GAACCCAACTGCATCCACTCCAGACGCCCAGAAGGGCCAGATCCGCTGTCACTCTTCGCTACTGATCGATTGGCATCCAAGATAAAGCCAAGCCAATTTTGGCGGTCTGGATTGTCGTATTCTCTTCAGCACTTCGTTTGATAGGTTTGATCGTACTAGCGGTTTTTGAAACACGAGTCTGCCCAATTCCACTCTATACTGTACAGACAAATTACCAGGTACTGTAATATATCCAATATTACCACAGTACATATTCCAAAAGGAGAGCAATCTCCAACGGCGCTCAAAGATATTGCCAATGTCTTACCCAGAATCCATCTACGTTCTCCATTCCAACCCCAATCACGTCCCAAAGAAACCTCACCAATAATTCAAGCCAACGAAGGCGCTATCACATCAAACCGCCAGACTAGCGAGCTTAAAATATCTAGTCATTCATTCCACCTGATTCAGGAGAGCCAGCGCTTCCTAGCTCCAATAGACAGTCCTACTGTAGTCAGTAGTCTTCTCCACAAAGAGCACTCGGCCCCGGGCTGCTGTTGGGATCTACCCCGAGAAAAGGGGATCGCCAGTCCAGGAGATCCAGACTGGAACAGAGTTGAGATCAGCAAGCATTGACGACTGCGACAGTATGAATCTATATCTACTTGCGGTTGGGTCCTGATGGTTATTCTACTTCTACTATCCAACCTTGGACACTCGACGGAGTACCCGGATGCTGTACGGTTCCCACACTCGGACTCGCTTCGATTGCATACGTAGGCTGCAATGTTTATTTTCTGGTAACGAACACACTAGGCAGATGCTATGCTCCGAGTAGAAGGTGGTTCTCGGACGAACACGCGGTCGGTCTCTAGTTGCCGGGAGAGTTGACCTGAATTACAGTTAATTAACTGAGGCTGTTGGTCCATTGGACTGAGTTCTTGTTGGATGATCGGCAGTTCACGGTACATGGGTAGGAGTGAGTTGATCGTCAGGGGGCGAAAACAGCGCATAGTGAACATTGCGGGGAGGGTAAGAGCAGAACTTAGAAGAGGATTGAAGGTGATTATATGAATCACGTTCTAGCATGCATATTGATCTGGTATACTAATATGATCGAGTAACCACAGTAGAGACCTTCGCTCTTGGCGTCCGGAGTACACACCGTATAGTTATGGAGTCAACAAACAGCAATACACTGCCAATACGGTATTGGGATTTGATGAGATCGGCAGGGCGGAAATTAAAGATACATGGACATCCAATCACAAGCCAGGATCTTCTCAATTTTGGCTTTGATGATGCCTAATGAGGAATGGCCGGGACGCTATGATATCCCGCCCCACATGGCGTGGGAGGAGATTTCCTGTTTTCGGTTTGTTTTTGGATCCAACTCTGCACACTGAGACTGTGGGAACTCAGCTCCACAGAGTGAGAGACATACTCATCTTAGGGAAATGAACAACCGAACCTTCTAGGGCTCGAGGGCACCTGCATGCAGTGGCCATGCAGCCACAACGGGGTACCTTACATATGTCTGACAGAGACCCGTGTAATGGTGGCTTGAAAGAAGTCAGGAGTATCTGGGGGATGGCCCTCGCAGCCGTAAGGGGGCTGTGAGACAAGGCTATTTTGGATGTAAGACCAGTGATGATCCGTGCGGATAGAACAGCAATTGTAATTATAGCATAGTAATGATACCGTAGTAATGATAGTCCCGAGGACAGTTCAGGTAGACAAGAGTCAAGTACTGTAGGTATCAGGAAACAACGCAGAGGGAAATGACCGTTGGGCGCAATCGGAATAGTATGCATCCCACAGATATTCGTACAGTAAAAATACGAAACACAACTGCAAATCCACTCTGCCCGACCCGTGCGGGCCAACCAAAAGCAACAAACGATTGGGTCTGCAGCCAAACACCAATCAGAGACCGTTCGTCCCTGAAAACACATCTAGAACCCCCCAGGGGTAATTTACACTCTCGAATCCCGGCCTTTTTTATGTCTTTTCTCCCCTTTTCTTTCTTCTCCCCCCCCTAACCGCCTTTTCTCCATCAAAAGGCCCTTGCCCCCTCATCTTCTTTTCATTTTGCTACCCACGTTCTTTGATATCACTGACCACCGCTTCACTCGTTCAGCGGGCATTCATTCTTTTTGTGTGGGCATTGAATCTCCAACATGAAGGGAGCTATCTTCGCCGCCGCCGCCATGGTGGGCTCTGCCATGGCTGACGGTGTTCACCGTCGCCATGATGCTTTCCACCAGCGTCGTGAGGCTTCGTCCAGCGCCTGGGCTTCCAGCGTCACCTCAACCCCCTCTGCTGCTCTGGAGGATGAGACCTGTGGCTGCACCACCAAGGTCATCACCTACTACGGCGAGCCTACCCTGGTCCCCATCTCCAGTGCTCAGCCTACCTCCTCCTCGACTTCCACCCCCGTCCCGGAGTCGACCAGCACTCTCACCAGCACTCTGCACTCCACCAGCACCAGCACCCTGACTGTGACTGTGTCTCCCTCCACCTCCTCCGTGGCCGCCGTTTCGACCAGCCCCGCCAGCAGCAGCGCCGTCCCGGTTCTGCCCACCCCCGGTGTTAGCACTTTCCCCTCCACTGGAACCTACACCATCCCGGCCACCACCATTACCGTGACCGACAGCACCACTGTCTGTGGTGCCACCTCCACTGAGGTCCCCAGCGGTACCCACACCTACGGCGGTGTTACCACCGTTGTCGAGACCGCTACCACCGTTGTGTGCCCTTACGCTACCGTCAAGCCCAGCGGCACCACCGTGACCAGCGTCATTGAGACCACCACCTACGTCTGCCCCGCCGCTGGTACTTACACTGTTGTGCCCCCTACCACCACCACTGTGCCCACCAGCACTGTCCTGGTCTACCCCACCCCCCAGACCATCACCCCCGGCACCTACACCCAGCCCGAGACCACCGTGACCGTGACCCGCACCGACTACACCTACGTGTGCCCCTTCGCCACTACTCTGGCCTCGACCACTGCTCCCGCTGCCGTCACCCCTACTGCTGCTCCTACCACTGTTGCTCCCACCACTGCTGCCGCTACCACCACCGCTGCTCCCGTTGAGTCTACCTCCACCTCCAGCGCTGTTGCCACTAGCACCCCCTCTTCCAGCACCGGTCTCACCGGTGAGGGCCAGTACGGTATGACGTACTCTCCCTACACCTCGAGCGGCAACTGCAAGACCAAGCAGGAGGTTCTCTCGGACATCACTGTCATCAAGCAGAAGGGCTTCAACCTCGTCCGTGTCTACTCTAGCGACTGCAGCGGTCTCGAGTTCATCGGTGATGCCTGCAAGGAGCTCGGCCTCAACATGATTGTCGGTGTCTACATTGACTCCACTGGTACCTCCGGTGCCCAGGAGCAGGTCGATGCTATTGCCAAGTGGGCCGAGTGGTCCATGGTTGAGCTGATCGTTGTCGGTAACGAGGCTATCCAGAGCGGATACTGCGACGCCAGCAGCCTCGCTTCCTTCATCGCCTCCGCCAAGTCTACCTTCAAGGCCGCCGGTTACACCGGCCAGATCACCACCACCGAGCCCATCAACGTCTGGCAGCAGTACGGAGCCTCCGCTCTCTGCTCCCCCGTCGACATCGTTGGTGCCAACATCCACCCCTTCTTCAACGCTGAGGTCACCCCCGAGAAGGCCGGTGAGTTCGTTGTCTCTGAGTTTAAGATTCTCGAGGCTATTTGCTCTGGCAAGGACGTTGTCAACCTCGAGACCGGCTGGCCCAACGCTGGTGAGGCCAACGGCGCCGCCGTCCCCGGTACCGCTGAGCAGGCTACCGCTGTCAAGGCTATCGCCAAGGCCGCCGGCTCCAAGTCCATCTTCTTCTCCTACGCCAACGACCTCTGGAAGTCCCCCGGTGACTTCGATGTTGAGCAGCACTGGGGTTGCGCTGATGTCTTCTAAGCGCCACGTCTGATGGTTTGATCTGTTACATTGCTTTTATTTCTATTTTCTTTTCTGCAAAACTTGTACAGGAGGATAAGGAGTTTCAACCTTTACTCTTTTTGGTCTTGTCTATAGTCTAACGATTATGGCTGGCCATTTTCATTTCTTGGTTTCTATTTTTAAACTTTGTCCTGTTTTTGGTAGATACTCCTTTTATTTGACGTTGTCTACTGACCTGGTTGCGCCGACCCTGTTTCTTTGTCCTTATGCTTTTAGTGTGTATATTGTTATTGATGCCTTCTTACGAGTTGAACAAGTAATTGAGTAGCACTGTAGTGTAGTTCCTCTCCGTAGACTGCCGTTCGACACGAACACTCAAATCGTTTGATACCTCAAATACCGCAAATCCCACTCTTAATGATAACAAGGTAAAAGTACAAGTTGATACAGCATTGCGGCCCATCCCTGATATCCAGGACTCGATGCTATTCAGATGTGTGGAGTCCCCATGGGGAAGGTGCGATGGCCTCGACACCCTAGGACTCCTTTCTAAGTTACAGCTCGGACTGGATCTGCTCATCGTCTCTTCGTCATCATTTCAGCTTCCTAAGGGTTTCTGTCTAAGCTTGTCACTTGCATCGTCTTCTACGCTCCAATCTTGATATTCTGCTTCTAGTTCGTGTTTCATCTCATCTTTCGCAGTTTTGTGAAGCCTAGACATGATCCATGACACACAGACCCGTCCCAACAACAACGAACTGGAAATCATACTCGTTCACATTCTCTTCTTATCATTAAACCGCCCTCAGTTATCTCGAGCAAGCAAGCACCAGACGTCCAGTTATTCTCCATCTAACAAAGACGCGCATCAAACGTGTAATGAAATATCACTCTACCACAGCAGACCTTTCTTACAAGTAGCAGGCAATCCACATCAAGAAATATATACCATTAACCCATAGCTAAATACAAAAAGAAACCAAAACATGCATCCAACGACAGGATATGCACATCAGCCAGCCAAAGTGAGGGTATCATCATAACGAGCATTGAATAACCCCGTCGCAGTTATATCGGACATTGAGCCTTTTACAGCTGGGCGCAAGTCTATCAAACCAAACCGATTAGCCATGATTCAGAAAAAAGAAAAGAACAAGAAAGAAATGCAGATAAGCTACTCACCCCATTTGAAGAACAGGTCAGTCCCTCACAACAACAACCCTCGACACCGCAGTTGTCAGCGGTACAAGACATGGTTTCCTACAGAACGTCCAGAGTCAGCAATTGTACGTAGAATATTCGTCTCCCCTTATGTCCCTCGATGACAGGACAGGCACAAACTCACAGATTGACACGCTGTCAGAGCCTTGGGCATCGCCTCGGGAAGCGCAACAGTGAGAGCAGCAAGGAAACCGAGAATCACAATGGAAGCGCGCATTGTGGCTTGATTTGATTCGGTGATCTGAGATGGAAGGTGAAAGGAGAAAACGGACGTTGGAGGTAATCTGGGAATTGAAAGTGGGAATCAGCGACCGAGTCGACAACGATATAAAAATAGAAATACATTGCAGGACAGCCGTGAACGGCATATATGCATGTGCAGTTTTGGATCCATGTAAGGGCCAAGAATCGGTGTGGGAGGTACGAACCTTGATCGATACTGTAGTGTCAATGGGTTGTGTGAGTAGAGTAGAGTAGATGATGGTCGAGGTGATGGCTGTTGAGTGTTACAGTAGATCGAATCTGTCAAAGGTGCGCCGCATGTCATGTAGGATCTATTCTGGTCTTATAGCTTTGCGAACAGTGGAGAATGAAATGACACAGGCCATGCATTGGGGCGAGAGTCTACATCACTGCGTCTGAAACTGAAACTGGGCTGGAGGATCTACAGGGGTAGTATGGGGATCGGCGGATTACAGTACTGGGAGGGCTGGGGCTTGCCAAGGTGCTGCTTGCCCTATGGCGGGGCTGGATAAGGATACGAGGTTGCAGTATGCTGTTGACTGGGGTTGCTTGTTTGAGTATAGTGGTCCAGAGAGGCCTGTAAGTGTAGCAGTAGTTAACGTTGGTACTCGAGGGCATTGTTGACGATTGCCCTAACTTATCACGGTGGAGACTGTGGCGGATTATTAAATGTCGACAATCCACTCATTGACTTCCTGCGACGTCATGTACTGATCGAATGAACACTTTCTTTCTGATTTCTTGATACAATTGGGGTATATGATATTAACATCCAAGGGCTGACATTCAGTAAAAGACAGGTTACCCAACCGCGGTCAAGTACATGGGACTAGAACCGCAACGCGGCCAGTACTGTATACCAAGCCCTTGGCATTGGATCTTGCAAGGGACGCACGGCCAGTCGAGGGTGGTGCTTTGCAGTGACAAACCAAGCTTGCGTGGGCTGCCCAGAGTGGAAGTGATGTTCTGGGAGGTGGATCCTGAGAGCTAGGGGTTGGGGCCGTGGAGATGGAGGCGACAAGCTGGGAGTGGGCTGGGCTCACGGTAGCCAAAAGATCGATAACAGTATCAATTCTACATTACTTATAAGTAATTCGATGCTGGAAACGATTAAAGCCTGACGCCTCCGGATTGCGAGGTGGCCATCTTGACACCTATAATGTCAGGCCACCATTGGGCTGTCACAATCTCAGTCAGGCAGTGCCCTAGAGTGCTCGTGACATTTTACTACCGATTTAGTTGCACTCTGTTATTAACTTCGCTATCTATAATACAAAATACTGGAGATTTCCGTGAAAAAAATCTGCCTCAACTGTTCAATACTTTTACAACGCAGGTCAAATGGGCCAATAAATTGATTCTCCAACATTTGGTCAGCGCCGTGGACCGTATTGATAAGCCTCCTGCAGGTAATGTTCAGCCTGACCCTCTTCTCTAAAGGAGAAACGTGGGATAGTGCATCAGTTCTGCACTGATCCACTGGATAGAAATGCCTTTAGAATAGCCAGACAAGCCTGAGGCACTTTTATGCTTAGCGCTACTGCTTTAGCAGATAAAGAGATTCTTGCGAAGGGAGTTTGGACCTATTCCTCCACCTTTTGCCAGGCCATATGTGGCTCCGTGGAATGGCCGATAAAAGAGGACAAAGCCGCATCGCTATCAACGATTCTCTTGGTCGCATACTATCCAACGGCTGCCTCGCCAGTAGCAGTGATAAGACTGTTTATGGCCCTATCGACGTATACCTCGAGGCACTCTTAAGCTAGCATAGTCTTCGGATGATATCAACCCACATAAGTCTCAACTCTAAGATTTCGTTAGCAAAAGACTGGCAAGCGAGCCAAGATTTAGACATCCGTATCTCCCGATGGGGGAACAGAGGGCAGTTCAGAGTTTACGGATATAAAGGCAGTCATGTCTGGCGACAGAAGTTTTATTTTTGGCGTTGAACTCGTCGGTCCCCATATGTTAGTCGTAAACAGGGCCGACCCCCGTGGCCAGCTCCACAATATGCCATCCAAAACAAGATCTCGGGCCCGCCGATCGGTTTCACTTGCCCAAGACGCACATCAGAATTTCCTGATTCGAGTATCGTCGAGCAGGAGATATTGCGCCAAAAATGCTGAGGAATTTAGCATAGCCACGGCGAGCGCGCCAACATCCTAGCTCGCAAACATCCAGAACTCAGCTAGCCACAGATATCGGGGACAGCGATATTCAACAAGAAAGCGTCGACAATTTGCTCACAACTATTAGACTTCAGCACAGAACTATCGCGAGAGGTCTGAGCTTCACTGGCTAGAACAAAATCATCGTGATAAAATTTTGTCGAGACATTAACAAAATTGATAAGATTTTACCGCCGATGGTACTAGACAGCCTGGTATGCATGCTTGTCCGGTTACTATTGGCGGAGCGCTTTTTGGCGTTATCACCGCAAGCATTTTGAGTGTGGCGAACCGGTATAAATGTCTTTATGTGAAGTATGTGGCGTATCGGGATAAATGTCTGTATGTGAAGCATGTGGAGCTGAAGAACATTGCAATCGCGACAATCGTCCCATTTTTCGAACCCAAGCTGGTCTAAGACTATCGGATGGGTATTTCTATAAGAGTGGTCTTTACCAAAGTAGATTGTCGTGTATCTATCGTTTCATTCCACAATTCTTCCATATACTCTGCTACCATGATCACCAAAGCCCTACCTTCTCTACAGCCTACCCTTTTGCAGGTTTATCTTGCTTGGGTTGATGCGTGGTGTTATATCTCGAATGGCCACTACAAGCCGACCCAAGAGATTATTTGCCTGGACGAGATAGCTTCTCTATTCGACGAGGAGAATCTGCACCAACTGATAATCCATTCTCGCCTGGTAGATGCCATCTACTCAGTGCAGCAACATGTCAAAAACGGAAATCTGTGTCTCGGAGGCCCCAGCCCACCATCCTGCAACGAGACCAACCTGCTCTCAGAATCATACAACCCGCAAGTCAACTGCAAATGCGAAACCACGAGTCCAATCAAGCAAGCAGGATCAACATGCAGCGCCCTCTCAACCATGCAACAAATAATGGAAAAAGTCATATCCCGCAAAGACGAATGGCACAGCACCGGCCTATTCACACCATCGAAACTCCGCCTCGCCGTCGACGAACTTGTTAACTCCAATACAGACCTTCAACCAGAGTCAATAACCTGCCAGGGCCTACCGGCCTCATCGCACATCCCGAAGATCAGAGCTCCGGATCGCCGCCCAAACCCATCTGTCGATAGCGATCCCCGAATCACGAACCAGATATACCAGACTGCGGAACAACTCAAAATCTGCACTGATGCAAAACACTTTGGCGTTATCGCTTGCGGAGCGAGTCTCTGTGATGAAGGTCTCGCACGCGCAATCGCGGATTCATGCAACGACATTCTGATCGGTGATTACTGTGAAGCAGCCGATGCAAAGGGTCTCAAATTGCTTCAGCAAGTCGGCGCAGCTGCAGTGGCCTTTTTGAAAGTCTGCAATCTGGCTGGGAGGGTCGGCGACTGGCAGTTCGACAACCTCGCCGCTTATATTCTTCAGTGTCGAGTTCTCGGGTATTATAAGGACCATAGTCGGGGTCGACTTCCTGAAGGTACTTATGGGAGTCGCATGACAGGACTGCAGGTCCATCGGCATATTGATAGTGCTGCTTTCCATGGGGTGATGGCTGCTTCCATTGGGACCGGAATGGAAGTTGATGAGGGTCAGTATGGGCGCATCGTGGAGGCGATTGTTTTTATCAGTGATTTTGTGGACATCCGGGGTGACACTATGCGCAAACAGCGAGAGAATGTTATTTTGAGGGGATTGCGGGGGAATCTTTGTCGCTATCTTGATCGATCGATTGGGGAGTGTTTGGATGTTGTTGCTGATGTTGTGGAGGAGACTGAGGTTGGGGCTTTGCTTGTGATGGGCTTCTGTAATTGGGCGCTCATGTCATCTCATCACAAGATTTATGAGTTACTGGAGGGGGTGAGCCCTGTTCAGAAGTACGGTTGTTGCGAGTATACTTCTGTTGCGGATGATTCGCGGTATGAGCGGTTGATCCAGGCGTTGCGACCATATGGCACACTTGGTGTTGATGGTCCCAGTGTACGAAAGAAGAGGATTGAGATGGATAAGAGTTATGATGTCTGTCGACAGTCACCGGAGTTGCATCTATCGTGGCTTGCTGATGCCGCTCGGAGCTTGTTGGAACCGACAACACTGAGGCAGATTGTCGATATGGTGCATTTCGAGTGGAGCGGCGATGTGGGAGCTGTTAATTATTGTCCTTGAAACGAAACCACAACGCTAAGGAAGTCTGAATGTGGCGCTGAAGATGGCCAACCATGAAGCCATTTCAAATTTTATCTAAGAAATTCATACCCTCTCATCGAACTCGTTATCTGGTTTGGTCCATTATTTTCAGATGCTGCCTGAGTAATGAAATTTGCTTAGGGATCTGCTTACCCTTCACTCAGTCTAGAACATATTAGCAATGAACATGATCAAAGTAATTTTCGTCAATACAGCGATCATTTAAATTGTCCGGGGTAAGGTCATATAGCGTACGGAAAGATTGCTATTTGGTGCTGCTTTTCTTGTAGCGTTCAGTGAATACCATGGCATCGGATCACACATTAATGCCATGGAAAGCATCCTGGTTTAGTCTAATGATTTGTTCCTTTTGTCCTGCTGCGTCCTTTGTGAACTCAACTTTTAGGACGAACTTGAATGAAAACTCATGCGTGATTGCATATGGCCACTTGGAAGGTTTGTTGCCCCAAGGTAAGACACAATCGAAACGGAAGTCGTTAAATTCTGTTTTATACTGATATTATACTAAATTGAGAGATATAAAAGGATTATAAAACTAGCCAAAATTAGTAAAAGATAACGTCCACTATAAAGAACGTCTACTGCTAAACCTAGAAGGCCTGCAAAGAAAAAGAATGGCAAGAAACGCAGAAAGCCATCTGTGAACGTGCTGAAACTTGCTTTGTGTTGCAAGAAGTCTTGAGGAGCAGCTGTGAAAGCATGATCATTTCTTAGAACGATCTCGGCCGGACAGCATACAACATTCACACCAGTCGGGATCCCTTGTAAACTTTCTGAGCTGATTGTAGCAGGCGGAAGAAACCATCAACATCCTCTTTGATGGTGGGTTTGATGAACTTGTGTACAGGGCAATATATCGTTGATGACGTGGATTGAAGGCAAAGATCAGGAAGTCGGCTGCCATGGAATTGATTGTTTGTTCTTTTAATTTTTTCTAATATCTTTTTGGGAATCTTTCTTTCGATTGTGAAAGAGCTAGGCCAGCCTAGAACGGAGCTCACAGTTCAGATGAGTCAATCAACTTCTCTTCCCCCCATGAGTCTGATACACGTAGACCTAGTCTACTGTACAATAATATTGACTGACTTTCGTTCAGGTAGTATTGGATAGATCGTCAGAGGAGATGTTAGTTTTAAAAATATAAGCGCAACATAAAATTTAATTGAAGTAGGGGAGCTGCTGACTGCATCTTTCGTGAGGGTCATCTCGGACTAAATATGCCTGAGTCCAACGGTTAGGAGGCTTCCGCTGCACACAGAGATCTTATTCCAGTATCACGCATACCACCCGACTTCACTAGTCAAGAATATGACCGTCTCCCCTATCCGTTCCGAGCAGTGGTACAATTTACTGGTAGTGATCTGGTCTCCCGTTGTTTGGCCGCTCGGGGTGGAGAGAGCCTGATGTAGCAAATGAGTCTAATGTGCCTTTAAGAGAAGACTAAACTAGGGAAATCGAGAATGTCCAATCGTGAGGATTGAGCGGACAGCTAAGATATGCGCGTTCATATCAAGTGACTGTGCAGAGCGAGAAGTAGGCCTTCGACACGGTATCCTGTTTCAGAAGAAAGGAACTGAGTCTGTCAGTGGATGAAAATTATTTGAGATCTCGAGAGAATCTACCAAGGGACCCTCACTTCCTTGGCCAGAATTCATCACTCACTCTGAAATCAGACTCTTCTGCTTCAACGTTCGGATGTGTCATCTTTTTATCCATGAACATGGTTCGATAACCACGTGGGCCGGCATGTTCACGATAATCCCTGCCTCCATGTCCGGGAAAGCTTGCGCGAAAAACTTTCGCTCGTTCTGATTATACCCAGGCAGATTTCCTTTGACTGACTTTGCTCCGGGGGTGAGATCAATGGAATAATCGATAAGGTGGCCTTGATATCTCGAATCGACCGCGCGAAGTAATCTCTCTAGGTGAAGAACAACCCCCAATTTGATGCCACTAGTAACTTAGTCCCATTTAACGTTTTGAGTAGGAATTTCTACATCCAATTTTACCTCTAACGTGAGACCAATCCTTGGCATTTAAACAAATTCGATAAATCCGCAATCCTCGCCTAGCCCACTCAGGCTATAGCAATTCCCTACTATACGAAAAGTAAACGGCGGACATATGAATTATTCGATTAGAGTAGTTCATCTTTTTTTATTTTAGCGCCCCATTACCTCGTCCTGTAAGCTTTGCCTTCTATTGCGACGACATAAAAAGCTCGCCCTTTTGACCTCTTCTACCTCCTTCACTTGTCCTTCAATGGCACTACCCTGAACTTATCATCCCCTTCTCTTTTTCTAGCCCCAAAAGTTTGAGCTACTGTAAGAAGCTGTCCCATATTTGTCCCACTTCTGTCTCATTCTGACATCGTCGTATTCCTAAGCAATATCAGTATTATAGGTCTATTGTTTTTCAGCCATAAGCTTTCTATATATTTCATATTGCTAGTAAGCTAAGTACATACGACCACAGGGTGTGGAGAACAGGGCTTCCCGTCCGCTCAGCCGTACTTAAGCCACACGCCGGTAAGTTAGTAGTTAGGTGGGTGACCACTAGCGAATCCTTACTGTTGTATGTTTTTTATTTTGCCGTTTTTAAATTTTGTTGCTGCTCTGCTCGTGGCGCTATTGCTAGTGTGCATTTAAGTTTGTTCTATGTGCTTTTTCACGGGGTCCGTCGGTCCTTTGGTGAAAGGAATCATATTTTTCTGCATAGCATAAACTACACAAATGCCCTTCATCTATCATGATCACAAAAATACAAGACCACCTTTGCTTCCGAATGATATGCGCATAAATGTGGAGGCTAAGATCAGCGGCACAAAGAGGGCGCAAATCCTCATAGCTAGTGTGAGTCGCAATGCGATTTGCTGTTTTCTAGATTTTTCTTAGTGCCAATGGTAACACCTCGCTCAACGGGCTTCGATCATAGGTACCGAACTACTATATCTACATTGAGTAAAGTCCCAGTGTCACGTACCATCTGAATTGTCACCCGGATGAAATGAAGAAAAAAGACCGAGACAATCTCCTGTTAGCGATGTTTCTGCACGGAGTCTTCCCCAGCCAATGGATTGCAGGGGAAATCAAGGAACACAAAAACGCCCGGACACTAAGTCAAAAATGGAGTATGCCTTGGACATAGTCTATATCCACTTGATTAACCCACAATCCAGAGCGAGAGCGAAGCGGATTTCCATGTCAAACCTGTCAAACCTGTCAAGACGTTATAAGGGACGAGCCGTGAGCGGGAGTTCCACTTCAATAACCCGACTTTTAAGCTTGGAAATCAAACTTTCATGACAGGCCGTAGAATCACAGATAACAGAATGACTAGCTACCATACACGAATCCAAGACCCATAAACAGACGGTGAACGGAGAACAGAGCCTCCGGTTCTTCCGCGCCGGCAGTGAGAATCCCCTGAATACTCCACAGCGGCTTAACGAAAGAGAAAAATGGGCTAAAAGGAGAAACCCCCGAGGCATGTGGAGCCCTTTGGGGATCGGCAGGGATGGCAGCTCAACGTTGTGGAGTTGGAATGTTAAGTTGTGAAGATCGTTCGGGAATTTCCACTGTAAACGTCTTAGTTCCAGAGTTTTTATGCTGTCTCAGGCTGATTGTGGGTATATTTGCTGTAGATCTCCACGAGCTAGACAGGGCCGCGGCAATTCTTCAACGGCTCTTGTTTAGATCTACAGTGGCATACGAGTTATTCGATTCCAGGGGAAATAGCTCTTGGTATTAAAACAACGAGGAAATCCCTGCATAGAGATCGTCAATTCACCCCTAGTCACTCTTTATCATCATGATTCTTTCCCATTTGTTTGGCGCGCTGGTCGCCACGGCTGGCGTGGCCAAGGCCGTTAACATCACCGGTTATGAGTATGTCGTCGTTGGATCCGGTGCTGGTGGTGGTCCTCTCGCTGCCCGTCTTGCTTTGGCCGGCCACAAGACCCTTCTCCTCGAGTCTGGTGACGATCAGGGTGAGAACTACAACTATACCATCCCTGCGTACTCAGCCAGAGCCTCCGAGGATGAGAAGCTCTCCTGGAACTTCTTCGCACACCACTACGAGGATGACGAGCGTCAAGCTCGTGATTGGAAGGCGAGCTACGACACACCCGACGGCAGCATCTACACCGGCCTCAACCCCCCAGAGGGCTCTACCTTGAAGGGAACACTCTACCCTCGGACTGGTACCCTTGGTGGATGTACTGCCCACAACGCCTTGATTGCAGTCTACCCCCACCAATCTGACTTCGAGTTCATCGAGAAACTCACTGGCGATAGCTCTTGGACACCTGACAACATGCGCAAGTACTACACTAAGCTCGAGAACAACAACTACTTGCTTCCTGGCGTCGAGGGCCACGGCTACGATGGCTGGCTATCAACCGAGACAGCTCCCCTCAGCATTGTCTTGGAGGACCCTCAGCTGTTGAGCATGCTCACCGGTGGTGCTTTCGCTCTCGGTAACTTGACTGACAACATCATGAACATTGGCACTCTGCTGGCTGGCGATGCAAATGCTGATTCCAAGACCCGCGACACTGAGCCTGGATACTACCAGATCCCTATCTCGACTGATGATGCTCACCGCAACGGTGCTCGTGAGTTCATCATTGCTGTTCGGGATGCTAAGAACACCAATGGCACCAAGAAGTACCCTCTCGATGTCCGTCTCAACACTCACGTCACCAAGGTGACCTTTGATGACAGCGAGACACCCCGTGCCACTGGTGTTGAGTTCCTCGACGGTGAGCACCTTTACAAGGCCAGCCCTATGTCCAAGTCTGCTCTCGCTGGTGTCCCCGGTTCTGCTACTGCTTCTCGTGAGGTTATCGTCTCCGGTGGAGTGTACAACTCTCCCCAGCTCCTTAAGCTGAGTGGTGTCGGTCCCGCCGATGAACTCAAGAAGTTCGGTATCGATGTTGTCAGTGATCTCCCCGGTGTCGGCACCAACCTCCAGGACCACTACGAGATCTCCGTGCAAGGCAAGATCGAGAAAGACTTCTCCTGTCTGGACAAGTGTACCTTCAGCATTCGCGACCAGGCCGACCCCTGCATCAACGACTGGGAGTCCCCTATCCTCGGTGACCGCGGTATCTACTCCTCGCCCGGTCTCGCCGCCACCATGCTGTACAAGAGTACCACCACCGACGATGACTTCGACATCTTCTGCTTCGGAGGACCCGTCAACTTCCGCGGTTACTTCCCCGACTACAGCATCAACGCCACAGACGAGCACGACTGGTTCACCTGGGCCATTCTCAAAGCCCACCCCCGCAACACCGCCGGTACCGTCGCCCTCCAGTCCGCCGATCCCCTCGACATGCCCAAGATCACCTTCAACTACTTCGACACCGGTGTCGGCGACTACGCTGCCGATCTCACTGCCCTTTACGAAGCCATCGAGCTCGCTCGTGACGCCTTCGACCGCCAGCTCGTCAACATCACCGAGGTCCTTCCCGGTGCTGACGTCCAGTCCAAGGAAGACGTTGAGCAATACGTCAAGGATGGCGCCTGGGGTCACCACGCCTCTTGCACCTGCCCTATTGGCGCTGATGACGATCCCATGGCTGTCTTGGACTCCAAGTTCCGCGTCCGTGGTGTCTCTGGCCTCCGTGTCGTTGATGCCTCCGTCTACCCCAGAATCCCTGGTACTTTCACGGCTGTGTCCACTTACATGGTTGCCGAGAAGGCTGCTGATGAGATTCTTGCTGAGCTCGAGGCTAGCTCTTAAGTCATGCCGAAGTGGTCATTAATGTGAAGCCGGACTGGTGCGGTTCTTCGTTCATATATGGTTCCTGTTCAATATGGAGCGATTTCATGTACTTTTATAATACCACACTCTTTCTAGAAAGCCAATAGATCTTGTATATAATCTTTCTTTATTACTTACTACCATTTCCAATGCTTTTTCGCGGTAGATTGCGACTATTATTGTACCAAGTCGTCACAAAGCGCATCTCGTACTGGTTAATTAGGCGGTTTACCTATAAGTTTCTAGGCCTTGACCCTTGCTCACCGGCAATGATCAATGCAATCATTGACCGCGCCATAATGTTTGGGATGGCGGCTAAGGCAGTCCTCGATGTGGCCTACTGGGATAGTTTAGACAAAGTGACGAATTTGCCCACCTCAACTTTACTTGTCTGATGTTTGACTAACGAGTCACCATGTTTCTCAGTCATTAGAATTGTAAAACCCAAAACCGGTGTTCAAAATTCTCATGCAGAGCGCGACAAGGGATCGAAGGCAATGTAGCTCAAGGTTGGCGATAACCCTGTTAATGACACCCACCGAGTCAAAGCCATCCGCGATGTCCTCCCTTGTAATATTGAAGTATGGATTCCAGCAGAGCCACGGGACACTCAAATTTCGATCACAAGTAACGCTGCAGCGAGCAAGTCATTTTTTAGCGCGGTGTATCTTAAAAATCTCTTTTGCCATCCGAGGAGTGTTTAAAGTCGAAAACCGCGTGATGCACCACGAGGGCGATATTGGCGCAATTCCCCGCTCTAAACCGCATTTGGCGTGGGGTTGGGAGACGCTAACCCCCTTGGGAGGTACAGAGCCTACACTCTTCCCAATCGAGAACATCGGCAAGTATAGAACATCCCGACTAGGCAAGATGCCGAAAAACTCAAGGTCGGCATTGAATTCTTTCATGCCGTTAACTCTCAATTCTTCTTTCACCCTCAATCTCCAAAGCAAACAAGAAACGCAAGTACTCCGATAAACACGCAACCAAAACATAAAAGCCCCACCAGCAAATTTCAAATTGCAACTTCAACATTCAACACAACAGCAAACAACACCTCAAATCCAAAATGCAACCAAATCCACACATCACTATAGTCGGATCCTTAAACATCGACTTCGTAACAGCAACTCCTCGCTGCCCTGGACCGGGCGAAACTCTCACAGCAACCTCATTGAGCGTCCTAGCAGGCGGGAAAGGCGGCAATCAAGCCGTAGCAGCCGGCCGCGCCTCATTCACATCAAACGAGAAACAAGATGTGACCGTCAGCATGATTGGAGGCGTTGGCGCCAACGATCCATACTACTCCACGCTCCTCCAGCCAGCGCTGGAGAAATCAGGGGTTGACACGGCATCCATTGAACAATCTGCGATCGCGCAGACCGGATCTGCGAGTATCATTGTCGAAGAAGGGAGCGGCGAGAATCGGATTCTTGTTGTTCCTGGTGCTAACCATGCTGGGTTGATGGGCGATGTGGATGAGATTGTTCGTGCGATGAAAAAGTCCGAGGTTGTCATTTTGCAGGGCGAGATCCCGCGAGACACGACCGTGGGTCTGTTGGAGTATTTTAATGCCAAGGGAGAGGCGAAGGTTGTGTTTAACCCGGCGCCTGTATTCCCTGAGGGTGTCCCGTTGTCTGCGTTGCGTGGTACGGCTGTTTTGATTATGAATGAGACCGAGGTTGTGCAGATGGCGAGGTCGATTGCTGGGCTCCCTGTTCACGGCGATGTTGTCATTGATGAAGATCGATTTGATCCTGCTGAGTTTGCGGGCAAGTTTCACGAAGTTGCTGGGGTTGAGATTGTTCTTGTCACGCTTGGTGCGAAGGGCGTTTATTTCTCTACTAAGAACGGGAAGTGTGGGACTGTTGCTGGTGTGAGAGTTGCCAAGGTCGTTGATACCACTGCGGCGGGTGATACCTTTGTTGGGTATTTCTCGGCTGCTGTGGCACGTTTCCTTGCTACTGGGAAGGGGTTGGATGAGTTTGAAGAGATTGAAAAAGCTGTCTCAGCGGCTAATGCTGCCGCCGCCATGTGTGTACAGAGCCGGGGTGCGATGCAAAGTATTCCGTTTGCTTATGATATGATGTGAAGTGAGAAGGGGAACATTGTGTAAATAGAATTAACGTTAAGTTGCGTTGGCAGGGTATAGTTATGAGATCATATGTCACTTTCATCGAATTCCTCCTCGTATCGCGCCATGTTCCACGTTGCTTGTAGGGCTTCGGTCTCCTGGTCCAGCTTCATCCCTGTCGTAGCAGTTATCCTGGCTAATCGCTCTAACAAAACAGTTTGTTGCGACTCATGTGTCATGTCACGGGCAATGGTGAGAAGACTGGCAACCAAAATCGGGTCCCACTGCTCCGGAGAATCGTTGCTTGCTGCGATCCCAGCTATCGACTGTGCATGCCAGATATGCGAGGTGTAGCACCTAGGCCCTGGAAGAGATTTCAGAAGCCGTGGTTTGTGTGTCAACAGTAGTAGAGATGTGATATGATAGGCAGCATTAGCGACCAGCGCCATTGGCGTCGTATAGATAAGAATCGGGAAAGACGAGTTGTGATCAGGGTCAATTTGATCAGCTTCTCCACCACGAATATCCACAATCTGTTGGACGTCTACCGGTCGCTCGTTGTACCATTTTTGGCAGTCTGTCCATAGAAAAGTCCATTCGGAGAGGAATTGTGATTGTCGCAGTGAAGGGAATGCGAGTCCTGGGGATGTCGCTTGCCGGGGCGGGATGTCGGGGCCACCATACATCAGAGCCAAGCAATGTCCGAGTAAACATAAAATATTTTTGTATACACCGTTGACGGTTTGGGGCTCGATTTGAGTTTGTGAATGTTGAATTAATGTGCCGTCGCGCCGCAGCAGTGATCTGAAAGGGATGAGAGGTGGTATTGCAGAGGTAATGCAGCTTGCAATATCTATAAGAAACACATTGTAAGTAAGATGAATACTGGAAACTAGTCTTTCACATACCGAGCCGAAAGTAAAGCCAGAACAATGCCTCTCCAACTTCTTCTCCTAGAAGAGACTGCGAAGAGAAATCACAACCCTGTTCTATACTATACATGAGAATTCTTCTCCACTGTTGTGGCCCAGCAGGTAGAACATCTTGAAGCATCAAAAGCGTTTGCCCGGCATATCTAGCCAAATTGGACTCAACTGCGAGGCTTTCCTGTGCCTCCTTCCGGAACCGACGACTACTTTCGGCGTCCTCGCTAGTTGCCAGTGGCAGGAGCAGCCTCTGTCCAGCAGAGAGTGAGAGAACCGCAGCTTGTAAAGCCCGATTTGTTCGCGAAAGCAGCAACACCTGAAGCCCAAATGGGAGCTCAGGATCTCCCGTGTCAATCCACGGACCAACATGATACCGAAAATGGCGCAGCAGATCAGTTTCTTGGTTTCCACCGACAAGAAGCGTCTGACGTTCGACTGTTTGAGCAGTAGCAACAGGACTGGCATGTCCAAAATAAGGGGGACTGGTCAAGAAGCGGGCATCTGGTGTGTTTCGTCTTTCAACAAAAGGAATCGGACGCCCCGAGAAACCAACGCCTGGCACGTTATCCGACAAAATAGGTTGAAAGTCCAACACTCGATGGTCGCCCGTGTCATCATGGCTCCCAGCAGATGACTGCAGACCATCGGTGAAGTCAGCGTTGCCCTGAGTCTCATCCAGGGGATTCTGCGGCTCCTTGGATTTATCTTTTTGCCCAGCTGCAAGAGGCGAGTCGTCAACAAACTATACCGGATCAGTAAGATCCCAACCCATGACCGAAATATAGAAACACAAACCGTGATAGAGCTATACCCTTGCCCAATCCCTGACCCATGTGGACCAGCTCTCGACGACACAAACGCCAAATCACCTCCGTATTTACAGGAAAAGCCTTTCACCTCACAATTAGCACATCTAGGCTTCTGCTCATCACCTGAATCAATCTTGTCAGTATCGAATACCGCCAAATCCCGTCACGGGAACGACCAAGCACGTGACACGTACATTTTCTCCTGCGCCTGCGACACGTCAAACAGCCCGTCCGCACGCGCTGCTTGGCTGCCGGCGTGGGTTTCCTGGGCATTTTGAGGTCTCCATCGACTGAGAGAGAAAAAAGACAGTGGAGGCTCCGCGGTTCTTGATCCGGAGACGGCCGCTGGTTTTTGGCGGGCGCCACCAATGGGGAGAGTCGAGCCGAGAGTGGGGATTTATATGCGGTTGACGATCTGAGGCCTTTTCTCTGGGGTTGGGCCAGCGGAGTTTATGGAGATGAGATCCGATGTTCCGAGATTTATGATGTGGGTTGATTTAACTATATGTGGACACTATGGTGAAGATGGAAGGTGAGGTTGAAGTGCGACGTCATTCATTAACTGCATTTTGGTATCACTTAAGCTATGCTAATTACTGGTATAGCAATTTCCCGTTCATTACAAGCTTTGTCCTAAAGCTTCTCAATATACTGCGATCCTTCCATCTTCTCCAGATCGCGGCCAGTTGCTGATCCCATGCGAGCAAGGAAATCGGTTAGGCCAACATCGCGCTGAGCTTCGCGAAGGAGCTCTGCGTCTGCCTCGCCAGCGTTACTCTTGAAAACGCGATCCATTTCTTCCAGGGATGCGCCTTTAGTTTCAGGCAGGAAGAACCAGACCCAGGCAATGCCGACAAGGAGGAAGCCGGCGAAGAAGATGTATGTACCCCATTCCCAGGCTTGGAGCATTGGAGGCACAAAGAAGGCGATCGCAAAGTTGTTGATCCAGTTACTGGAGGCGCCGATCGAGGCTCCCTTGGCACGGATTGACAAGGGGAAGATTTCTGAGACGAGGGTCCAGGAGACTGGGCCCCAGGTTGCGCCGAAACCGGCAATGTAGAGCCAGATGAGAGCTGTGAGACTGTTAAAAATTGTGTGAAAATCGCTGGATTGGAGTTGACTTACCGACTGCGGTCCAACCGGCGGCAACATGGCCTGGCCAGTCGTGCTGGAATTTGGCCACGATTACACCGACAATCACCATGCTGCAGAACATGACAATGGATCCACCAAGAAGCATGGGCTTCCGACCGATTTTATCAATGACCAACTGGTATTGTTAGAGAATGATCTATAATATTGAGATTGTTGACTTACCATTCCGGGGACTGTGCTAACGATGAAGACGACACCAGTGACACCAGTTGCCAGTAGAGCAATAGTACCACCTGTCAGACCGAGACTAACAAATACATTGGACGCGTAGTAGATGACTGGAACTGGTTAGAAAAAAACGACCATGTCAGAGCAAACAACTCACTAGCATCAATACCACTCCACTGCTGGAAGAACATCACCAACCAAGCAGTACAGACACGCTTGAAGTTATCCATAGTGCGGAAGCAATTGGCGTACTGTGCAATCTGATTCATGAGAACACTCTTCTTCTCACTGTCGGCAAGCTTAGGCGAGGCCTTTGCAAACGCGCGCTCCTCAAAGACAGACTCAGCCTTAATCTCAAGGTATTCGACCTGAACCAGCTCATGCTCAACTGGAAGCTTGCGCATCCACGCAAGAGTCTCCTGAGCCTCCTGGTCGCGACCCTTCTTCACAAGCCAGCGGGGCGAAAACGGCATGAACCAGATTCCACAGGCCAATGCGACAGCAGGAATACCCTGAATAATAGAAGGCAAGCGCCATGCCAGATCAGACTGAGTCGCGCCCGTCCCGCCGATGTTGTTACTTCCATATCCGACCCAGAAGGAAATCATAATTCCGAGGATAGTCGCGAATTGGTAGAAAGAGACAAGCAGACCGCGCATCTCAGGAGCTGCCAGTTCGGCATTGTAGAGAGGGCCGACACCGCTGAACAAGCCGACACCCAGACCTGTGAAGAATCGGCCTGCGTAGAGAAGCGATGGGTTGCCGGCTGTCGCACCGACGTACAGGTAGCTGCCGAGGATGACCCAGCAACAGGCGAAGAACATGGTATACTTGCGTGAGTAGATCTCTCCCAGAATACCGGCTGAGAGGGAGCCGACAATACCGCCCAATTGGAGGACAGAGGTGAGCCATCCTGTTGCTGTTGATGAAGCGACAACTGTGGGGAAGTTCTCTGTGAAACGGGTCATCACAAGGGATTGACCGAGAACACCTTGTTGGTAACCATATTCGAAACCACCAAATCTGGGGACGTTAGTGTCATTCGTCGTGAAATTGTTTGGTGTGCACTCACGATGCGAAGAAAGCAATGAAGAGGACTTTAGGGTTCTCAAAAATGGACTGCCACATGGACTTTTTCGCGATGACCTCCATGATAGGCAACTGAGTCAAGTCTCTCGGAATCTCAATCTCAAACGTGGGGAAGTGAAAATACGGGGGAGATGGGGCCCCATATATACTCACTTTTTTCGCATTGAAGTTGCACCTACAGGAGACTGACAGAAAGTTAGGTCAAAGTGGCGCCACGTGAGTAACAAAAACTCATCTCGGCGTCCCGACTCGCTGTGAGTTCCAAATCCCCCGGAACCCCAACCATTTTTGTGGAGGCAAAACGTGGAGAGATCCCGAATGCTAAACCTAAAAGGGCGGTTCAGAGCCTACGAACCCCCGATTCGGCTAATATCGGCCTCTCACACGGAAAAGAGTGGAAATCTCGGCTCCACAGAGCCTGCACGGCTGAGCCCACGCTGGCTTCACATGAATTGTCTCACTTGGCCCTGTTATCTAGCTTTGAAAAGTGTGGGGTTGTGTTCAATTAGGGAAATCAGAGCCTTCATCTCGCCAATTTGGCCAAGTCCAAGCAGATCAACACTGGGGAACCTGAGATCGTCTAAGCATTTCCCTTCGGAATGGGCCGCACTATCGGGGAAAGCTGGGGCCGTGGCGATGTTCAGTATAAAAGGTTGATAGTAGATGTCTATTGTAATTGAAAATACACGAAACTATCTCCATTCGGCAAGCATACCCCCTCCAAAGTGAACATGCATTGGTCAACTGCGCTACTCTCCTTGGTGACGACTGGGCTTGCAGCTCAGGCGGATAAACACTATGCCATCATGGATAATGATTGGTATACAGCGGGATTTGTCCCGTACCTAATTGCCCTAGACGGTGATGTCGAAATTCTGGGCCTGGCCTCGGGTGAGTATATTTCAACCTTGACAATAACAAACCACCACTAAGACCACCACAATACAGACACGGCAAATAGCTGGCAGCCTCAAGGCGCCCTTCACGCCGTAGCAACATTAGAAGCAGGAAACTTGAGCTGCATCCCTGTCTATGCAGGCGCAACATGGCCACTCATCAACACCCCACTGCGCTTCCAAGCATGGGAAGCGATTCATGGCAAGCTGCCCTGGGAAGGTGCCTTTGCGCCAGAGAACAAGACCCTCGAGGCTGAGGGCAATGACCCTACCTCTGGAGATCCCAATCGTATAGTCAAGGAAGCGTTCAAAGAGGGTTTCCCCAAAGGACGACCAGAGAACTCGACATCTGCGGCGAACTTTATGGTCGAGATGGTCCACAAGTATCCCGGGCAGGTATCTATCTACTCAGCTGGAGCATTGACGAACATCGCGTTGGCAGTTCGTATGGATCCGACATTTGCGTCGCTAGCTAAGGATCTGGTCATTATGGGTGGCTATGTTGATTTAAATATGCTTGAGGCGACGGGGAGTATTATGCTGGCTGATTATCAATCTGACGTGAGAATCGTTCCATACCCTCCAGGGCTGCTGGCTTGATCATTCGCTGACTTACTATAGATCAACTTGATGATCGACCCCGAAGCATCAAAGATCGCTTTGACTGCTGATTTCCCTAACATTACCATCGCTGGCAACGTGGCCAATCAGGTCTTCCCCACGGAGGAGTTTAAGAAGGAGGTTCTTTCCGTGCCTAACCCCTACAGCGAGCTCTTCGATAAATACTATGATCTCTCGTTCCCTTTCTGGGATGAAACAGCTGCTGCATTAATGGTCGATCCCACTATTTCCGTCAATCAGACTTCAGGTATGTCAAGAACTACACCTCATTGACATCGCATCGTGAAACTAAACAACTTTAGTCTTCTTGGACGTTGATATTTCTTATGGAAGCCCCAATTATGGAAATATTCACGTTTACCAAAAGGCTCTTGCGCCTAAAGGGATCCGCGAGGTGAACTACGTCTTTGAGATTGATGCCGATAGACTTATCCAGCGGATCAAGCATGCTTTGCAATATCCCAAGTCTTGCGCTGATTTGAAATAAGGGATTGAATATTGATACAATGTCGAGTCTTGAAACTTGTCCTGTGTCTCGGACATATTAGATATAAAATGACGCTTAGATCAAATAATCATGAGAATACATTTATATCATATCCGTTCTAGATAACACTCAGAATTTCCCCAGTCTCATATCCCCATGCCCTCTCAAGATCTCTCAGTCGCCACAAAGCCCCCCAACCAGTCGTCCTTTCGATTATCTTAAACAATTTCGCAACCTCGACATGCTCACTGCGATGACTGAGCAGCTTACCCGCAATGTAAAGTGGCTGAATAGCATTGATCAAATTCCCGCTGTGGGGATTCGTTAACGAAATCCCACATACCCGTCTTGCATGCCAAATTGCCGAGAAATACGGCTTGGACGCTGCCCCAGGACCAGAGCCGCGCTCTACAGGCCTCATGTCAAGCATCATTATACAAGCCGCGTGGTATAACTGATTCCCCGAGATGGCAGCCCAATGCGCAAATAAAATTTCCGGAAAGATCTGACCAGATCCCATACCAGTTGTTTTTATGGGCAACATTGCCGGCGGGCGCTGGTCAAGCCAGTAGTGCAATTCATCCCAAAGGCGTTTCCATTGTTCGGGGAAAGGACGTGGATCGGAGGATATCTCGCCCAATTCGAGGAAGCGCGTACGTCGACTGGACAAATCGCATGTTTTGGCACAGAGATAGACAGCCCAGTTAGCGTGCATGTCCGGTGAGGCATGGCCCTGTTCACAGAAGAGATCGCGGATGCGAGTTTCTTTTTCCTCGGCGCTGTTGGCCAGGACTGCAGGCACCCATTTGTCTAATGGGAGGACTGTGCTTTCTGCACCGTTGGAAATGATCGCGCCGCATAGTTCCATGCGGGCGTAGCACCAAAATACCGCTTGGAGGTGGCCGCCTGAAAGGCCGGTTACGTTGAAGGATTCGAAGAGGGCTGCACAGCCCTCTACGTGACGGCGCCAGTCGCGGGGGCTGACGGACATTAGTTCCATAACTGCTAGAATGCAGACTGTCACGAGAACATTTGGATCTTTTGCTTGCAGGCATGGAGCTAGGAGACGAATTGATTCTTGGTAAAGTTCGAGGCTGTCGTATGCTTTGTCGAGGCAGGCTTTTCGCTCTGTTTGGCGGGCTGAGAATGCTAGTATGGCATAGAAAAGAGCTGGAGAGCCCTGTGCTAGGATTGGGATATGCACACCGAAATGGCGGGCTTCATCGAATTTGTCGAGGTATGGGGCACATTCTGTGATCCAGTTTTTGAGGTAGAAGATTAGACGGATTTTGGGGATTGAGATCACTCGGGTGAAATCTAGGCTTTGACGTGTGCCCTGTGGCTCACTTGGCTGTGGAATTGGGGTATAATTTGATGGCTCGAGACTTGCTACAGCTGAGAAGAGGACGCCACGGAGTTCTTCCTGTAGTTCCAGGAATCTGGGGTTCGCGGCATATTCATCGGCGCTGGAAAATGTGCCCGGAGATAAAAAGTCTTCTTCAATTGGGGTGAAGGTATCAGATATCCGTGCTTCTAATATTGGCGTTGGTTCTTCCATTTTGTGGAATCCGGGGGATCTGGGGTAAAAGAAGAAGAAGGTGGAGTGGCGCCGAAGAATTTCCTGATCCCGTGGACCCGTTGCCCTACTTAGTCACGGATCCATCTTTAGAGACGAGATCGATTCATGAATATATTTCAAAACTATATCTGCAGCCTTTGACTTTTTGAACACATGAGTAATTGATGTGACCATACGTTGGGGAATAATCCACCATATTTCTGATTGGTGCGATGAATGAAGATCCCTGTCGCACTTTCGACTCTCTAACTTGCTGAATTATTACGAATGATGTTTCAATTGATAGACTGCAGGTCAATGTGCAGTTTGGCCAGCATGATGGAATCCAAATATGCAACTCTTTATCATCTATGAAAATGGACAAAGCAGCCGACTCCGGGACCATGAGAAGATGGAGGGATTCTGAGGAAGTACTTTTGAGCACCGGAAGATTTTTTTAGTTGTAAGTGATCAAAGATGAAGGTGTCTTCTAGGTTCTAGTCTCTGCTTCCGACTTTCTCGTGAACAAGTTGAGCTCCTCGCAGCCTATGGCCCCTAGTAGCCCGAATAGTCGAAAACTGCATCGAGAAAGATATCAGAAAGACATCAAAAAAAAAAAAAAAAAAAAATTACAATTTAATAGAAAGCAGCGTAAAGAATAACGTCCAATATAAGGAAATGCCTATTGCTGGATTAGAGTGTAGTCTAGCTTTAAGATAAACTCCGAGTGGAAGGCAATAGTAGAGCACTCCTTTACAAGATAGAGTCATTTTAAAATAGAAGTCTCTACTACATGAAAAATCTACACTAGTTGACAATGTCTTGTGAATAAGTCATTTATGCCAGCCCTCCAGGTTTGGAATGGATACAGGGCACGGAAGTTTTGAGTCAATCGCGATAGTGTACTGATGTACTAGACTGGGGGCGAGATGTGAGCCCTGGATGAAGCCTTGCTTCAGATAGCGTGACTGAGATCGCAAAATTTAAATTCTAAAGAAGCGTCTTTCGACTATTTATTCATCAAATCCTGCAACAGAAATAGTAAATCAGGAAAAGAGAGGAGGTAGCTAAAACCGTCAACTTGACCTTTCGGAGTCCCTACTATGCAATGGTTGATTCAGATATGATATACCTCTGAAGTGCATCGCGACCGTACACTGGAAGACCAGAAGCAGAGATTGGTCAATTTACAAGGCCAACAAAAAGTGGAGATAAGTTTGCTTTTCGTTTGGTGTGGCGTCAGCAGTACCTCGCTCAACACCAGCGCTACCGGGCTACTTTGACGCAGAGGCACAAGATGTTTATCTATTTGCCCATCTTTATGGGTGGTGTTCTCCAAATATCGGACAGGGAAGTCTAGAAAGACATGTACAAAACTGGGGTTTTGTGAAGAAGTGGCCGAAAAGTCTTTTTCTCGGTCCAAAGCTGATGTTGATAATACCACCAGGCATTAACGAACCAGAGTCATCTGCGTCAAGCAACGTTGATTGCGGTATATGAGATCCGGAGACCTTTTGTTTCAGTATTGTTAATTTATCCACAGATGAGCTGACAGCGACTGTATTTCCAGGTAGATTTATTTTCAACAAGAACCCGTATCGGTGTTCGAATTTCCAAATCAGGTCTTGGCTGAATCACGTAGGGTGGGGTGGAGTAATTGGTGAGTGATGTCTCTTTTGGTTCAGTCTCTCATGATTGGACCAATAGGAGGTGGCGGAGGAAGTGTACAGTAATCTGTACTGTCTCAAGTCCAGCCAGCCACACAGGCCATTCAGAGGTGGAGGTGCAGGAACCATACAGCAGGGTCTGGTCGCTTGACTAGTTTCGTACTTCTGTCAGAAACAGGAGGACCAGGGCTCTGTATCTCGAGTTCACTAGAAGTCATCAAAGCTATCTAACAGAATATTTAACTTGACCATTAAAATATAATGTGGGAAATTTTCCCCCCAGCCGTATGCTAACATGACTTTGATTGCCTGTCCATATTCAAATTCCTTTCTGAGCGCTAACTACTAACGTGCATAGATTCCCACAAAATGTTCTCACATTTCAGTCCACAAAAGTTCTTCGGCTATCAACACCTCAATTAACCCATGAAGGTACATAGTTAGTCTATAGTCTCTCATGCACGAATGTTGCTATCTGCCAGTAAATAATTGCCAGCTGTTGTGAGAGCCCCTGCAAAATTGTGGATGATTCTTGCTCGCTTGCCTTTCCCTAAGTTTGTCTCTCAGCTTGACTAGGCTTGAGTCTTTTTTGTTTTGTAGTAGACGAGCGTGCTATAAATACGGGAGCCTGCGAAGTGTCACTTTTGCATTTTGCTGTCCGATATATCTAGTTTGGCCTCAATCATTTCTAATCAAATCGTGATACTCAAGACTCCGTGAAGATGAAAGCTGTTATCTACTCCGGTGAAACCAGGATCACAGTCGAAGACCGCCCAAAGCCAGTCATTTTGGAACCAACCGACGCTATCATCAAGGTTGTTCATACTACCATCTGTGGAACAGATCTGCACATTCTGCAAGGCCACGTTCCGTCATGCACTCCGGGTCGCATCCTCGGCCATGAGGGAGTTGGCTTCATTGAATCTCTAGGCCCTGCTGTCAGAAACTTTACTGTCGGTCAAATGGTGCTCATCTCTTGCATCACAAGCTGCGGAACTTGTCATTACTGCCGCAGGAAGATGCCATCCCAATGTGAATCTGGTGGATGGATTCTCGGAAATAAGATTGACGGCACGCAAGCCGAGTACGTCAGAATTCCTCATGCCCCATTCTCCTTGCATGCGCTACCGGAGAGCATCGATCGAAAGGTTGCTGTTACTCTGTCTGATACGGTTCCTACTTCTTATGAATGTGGAATCCTGAATGGAGATATTAAGCCTGGTTCCACTGTCGCAATCGTAGGAACAGGTCCTATTGGTTTGATGATACTCCAGATGGCAAAGAACTTGTTCGGCCCGTCAATGACGGCGGTGATTGGGAGAGGTGCTCCCAGGCTTGAGACAGCCAAGTCTATGGGTGCCGATCATACATTCAGTATGCTCGATGGACTTGATGCTGTGACGTCTTCAGCGCTAGCTGCGACAAATGAGCGAGGGTTCGATGTGGTTATTGAAGCAGTGGGAACGCCTGATTCTTTTGAAACTGCACAAGCTCTGGTAGGCGCTGGAGGAACCATAGCTAGTTTGGGAGTCTTTGGCGAGTCGTGTCAACTGCACTTGGAAAAGTTGTGGAATCGCAATATTTGTACACCTCTTCTCTACGCTTTGGCAGGTTGATCATATCTGACCTTTTCTCCTAGGCTTGAGGACTCGGCTTATTGATGCTGTCACTACTCCAGATCTACTCAAGATGGTAGAGGCCGGTGGCATCGATCCTCATTTCCTTGTTTCACATAGTGCGCCTTCCAGAATTCTTTGCCTTTCAGGATGCTAATCGGTGTCTAGACTTTGGATTTGATGATATTCACAACGCCTACGAAGCATTCGAGGCATCATCTAAGCACGGCGCCCTAAAGGTGGTAGTTAGCATGCCTGAAGCTGTTACGAATGGCCATTCGTAGTTTTTGAAAGCTCTGGTGGTACTCATTGCAGAACTTCATTAGCTCAGTACAATGTTTTGACATTTGTCGGGAGAATAATATACTTTGCAAAATGTTCCACTGAGGTTCCTAACGCTCCACTTATTCTCCTCAGGTTAGATCAAGTCCTGAAGCTGTTCACTTACGACGAGTCCCAACTTCTAGAATAGAAACTCTTCATCCAGATAAAAGAACAATTGATAGCTCTTACCAACCTTGCTTGCTTGAGCCCGTGGAAGTCATCCAAATTTAGTCAATCAGACAGAAGTGGAATCTATTAAATGCATTTTGTAATCAAGCACAGGCTTGGATAATTGAAGCGATTTTCAGAAGGCTAGTACAAGAAAAAGAAAATCAGGCATGTCCTAATGAAGCCCATTTTGATTAAAGCAAAACAAGTGCCCGTCATTATTTCCAATCCACAGATATGTTTTGCATTGTTACCCAAGATTACATCACAACGCTAGGTGACGGAAAATTGAGCGCCGAAAACGGCTACCTTCGACGCCATTTTAAGCGTTCTTTTTCAAATTGTGGGCATAAGGAGCACAGGTTAGCTTATTTTCCCTTATACGCTAAAAGGTTGGAACCATCTTATTAAAAACATCTTGACCACCAAAAGTAAAAGAGGGCAAGCAAAAACAAAGTAGGCAAGTAAGAGGAATTCAATTTCGACAATCGTTAATGAGTTCTTAAGCTCGAAGGTCTATTGGAAAAGCTTATGGCTAAACTAGAGAAATCTCGGATGGTTTATCGGGGAATTTGCACAAGCTGTAAACATAAGTTAAAACGCGGGTGATGATGGTAAATATCATTCTAAAGTCTCTTGTAGCCAATAAAACAAGTACGCGTCTGAATAACTACCAAAAATGCTGCATTGAGTAAGCGAAATCAACTCCCGGGAGCTTTGGTGATGCCTAACTAGGAATGGACAGGCAGCTAGTGCGAACCAATGGCGGATGTGCCCCATATCCACCTGTCTTCCCTGTCTTGCATTGATTATACGGCGCAGTGACCTTGATGCAAAATGCTTGAGCTTGGGATAGAGGCAGAGAAAAGAAGGCGCAATAGTTGACGTAGTGATATTGGGGAAGAAAAAAGAGGAAAAGGGAAAGAAGAGAGGAAGAGAAGCTTCCTCCTTCATCTAACTTATATGCTGGCTCTAGTCTATCCTAGTCACACGACCTCATGTGACCATCTCGACAAAGGTATGCCCAAAGGAACTTTCGCTACTGACAGCTCTCTGACTCACAGAGGGTTGAAATGTCCTCCAGCCACCTTAAGCCTTGTACGGGACCGAAGGATAGTCGATGTTTTCCGGGTTAAGATAGTCTGATGCCGAAACCGAGGAATCTAGCTCGGCCATGGTGAACCCATTGCCCATCCAAGGACTTATTTGTTCACTAACGTATGTGTATTCATAGTCTTCGAACCGCGGCGTCTCTAGGACCTTGGCAAAATGGAGGGAGGATCCGGGCCAGAGGGCAGTGACTGGACCATCCTCGGCGCCGCGTTTGTACCATGATCGGCAGGACATGGAAAACACCGTTTTCTTGAAGAATTCTTCACAAGAAGCTTTGAAAATGTCGCAGGAGACCTGGCGGGGCTGTATAGTCGCTATGCGATCTTTTTGCATCTTAGCAATAACCGCAGAAACATAATCACAGGTGCGTTCGAGCACAATCACGATGGATCCCGCCCCAACACCCGAATTTGGACCATGGGCAACGAAGTAGTTGGGAACCCCGTGGGTGCTCATGCTGAGGTACGTTTCGGGGTATTCTTTCCACTTGGCGCTGAGGTCTAGGTTGCCACTCCCATAAATTGGGAATCGTCCGGAAAACGACGTGTCAAATCCGGTGGCACAGATGATGACATCTACCTTGCGCAGATTGCCATCCACGGTGACAATTCCGTCTTCGGTGACCTTCGAAATTGGCTGCGAAATAAAAGATACGTTGTGCTTGGTGACAGCCTCAAGGAAGCCTGGTCCAGGTGTAATACGTCTGCAGCCTGGGGCAAAGGATGGGATGATGCTCTTGAGGATCTCAGGCATCTTTGCCAGCTTTTCGGTCATATGCTTAGTGAAGTCGGCAGTAGCCCGATCAGAAAGCTCGCCACGTAGAAGGAACTTTGTCATCGTTGAAACCTCGCTGTCGAGTCTTTTGCGATACTCTAGGAGAGTCTCGGGATGCTTGTTGAATTCTTCAATCTCCTCCTGCGTGAATTGGAAATTGGACTCGGTGTCGGTGTGTTTCCGTACTTCTCCCTCAGCCATTGGGGGGAGAATTCAAGTTTGACCACGGGCATAATTATCAAGATGCTTGACCTTAGACTGAAGAGCGGGCACGATTTGAATGGCGCTAGAACCAAGGCCAATTACTGCAACGGAAAGGCCCTCCACATTCATATTATCATCCCATGCAGCACTGTGGACAAGCTTGCCCTTAAAGCTGGATAGACCTGGAATCTCCGGCCATTTCCAATCATTCAGAGCGCCGAGACATCCGTAGAGAACATCACATGTGTCCTCGATCACGGCTCCGGTAAGGCAGTTTTCAATCTTAACATGCCACTTCGATTCAGCGTCGTTGAACCGAGCCTCAATGACTTTGTGACTCAGCTTCATATACTTTTCCACGTCGTACTTTGCAACAATGCCCTTCCAATACCGGAGAATTTCTTGACTGGAAGCATAAAATTTGGACCAGTTCGGGTTCGGCTCGAATGTAGCTTGGTAAACATGAGCGGGAATATCTACCAAAGATTAGTCCATGCTTATATTCCCGGGTTGGGTAAGGTACTCACCGCATGCAGCACCGGGATAATGGTTTTCAAACCAAGTTCCACCAACCTCCGAGTTCTTCTCATAGACGACGAGATCGAGGTTTGGAATCCGACGCGGGAATCGGATGGAGGCAAGGATACCCGAAATACCAGCGCCAATGACGATGACCTTCATGGGGCGTCCATAGTCAACGGTGTCTTCGATAGAAATAGTCATCTTGTTGTTCTTTGATGGATGTTAGCAGAGAGTACTTCTCGCACAAGAAAGGCGGAAAGGAGCTGTAGTTGTACCTCTAGTCGTGATATCTAAGAATGATATTGGTAAGGACTGAACGATATAGCTGTTATTTCTCGCTACTTAAATAGACGGACCTTTGAACGGCATTGGATCTCTAATATCCTCGTGGACGGAGCTCCGAGTCAGTTCTACCATCCGGAGCTCCGGCCTTTGGACCTGCATCAATAGGAGCCGAGTAAGCCACGGTCCTCCGAGCCGAGACGCAAATGACGTCTCCAGAGCGGCGTGGCCAGGGTATGCAACCTCGGACCGCTTTCAGCAGTTAGTTCATATTTCCATAGCGCTACATAACTGTCCCCATCTCCAGAATCACAGAAGACCCGAACAATTTCCATCTTTCTGCCACAAACACCATTCGCCTATTCCATTCTGTATCTTGCCCACAATGGCGTTGAAAAATTCACCTTTCGTACTCCCAGCGAGCACACCGAAATCAAGCAAGATGACAATCCATATAGCCGGGTTTCATGTGTACCTCTATGGAGTTCAAGAATTATGCCCCCAACAGGCAGAGAACACCACAGTATTATTTCACATCCACGGTCGTACAAGGACATATCGGGATGCCGAGGAATTAGCTCACCAGCTTCTTTTTGAAATGAGAAGCCGGAATCACTCCCACCGAGGCCTTGTTGTTGTCTCTTTTGATAATCGCAATCACGGCTCTAGAGCAGTAAATCTCCCTTCCCGTGAACGGATATCCCACTGAACCTGGAGACTGACTGGGCTCTAGATTGATTCGCTCGCAATGTAAGCGTTGAATTCAAGGTCCTATTTGTACAGAATTGACCAAAAAAACTATAGCCAAGACTGGAAAGGTGGAAACCCAAAACATGGGTAGGGATTCTCTTCCCCAATGATTTGGATCTGATCAGATGCTGACGCCTTACAGACAAGATATGCTGTCAATGATCGGTATGTTTCTTGTGAACTATGAAAATGAAAATAATCTCAAGATTTTGCAGATGGAACGGCGAGCGACATCAGAACTGTCATGAAATTCCTTCCGTGTTACGTTGATGGTATGTTTCGCCCTACCGAGTTCATCGTAACAGGACTCTCTTTAGGTGGACATGTTACCTGGAACCTACTCTCTGAGGAACCCTCTGTTGCTGGTGCTATCATTATTGTCGGATCGCCAAATATCACCAGTTTGCTTACAGAGCGCCTCGGATATTCTTCTCCATCCGACATTGTGGAAGGGTCAACAGAGTGGCCTAGGTCACTGAAGATACTCTGTGAAGAGCGTGATCGGGCGATGGCAAAAATCTCAGGTAAGAAGATCCTGATCTTGAACGGGGCTCTGGATACTCTCGTGCCGAGTAAATTTACGTCTTCCTGGGTTGTCACCCATGCGCACCAGAATGAAGTCAAATATGTCGTCCAGGATGACAGTGGGCATTGGTTATCAGTTCGCATGGTGGAGGAGATTGTGGAATGGGTAGCACAGGCTTTAATATGATTCTCTTAATCTCGATATTGCTCTGGCGGGTGCGTTATGAATGGGGAAAGTTGGGGAAAGTTGAGAAAAGTTGAGCGGGAAACCCGTCAATGCCTAGACTTCAGACTTGGTCTGTGAAGTACGAGCTATCGAAGTCTGATAGTTGAAAAGAACACGCATTCAGCAAAACTGTATGTAATTAGTAGAAGCTTAACAAAGGTTGAAGGGTCTCCTACGCTTGTCAACCTCCGCCATAGAGTTACTCAGATCAAAAAAGGAATCGTAAAGTAAATCACCCCCCTTCTCTTCGGTATCGAATTCTGAAGATGAAGCGAGATTACCATCATCAGCTTGAGGATTTTCAAAGGCCGTATCCTCATGCAGCTGTGTCACTGAACACTCGTTGAGCTTTTCTGTGTGGGATTTGTAACATTCACTATTTCGAAGGGGGTCATAACAGGGCTCTTCACTGAGTATTGCTTCCTCTTCCTTTTTCATAATCTCATGGGCCAGCTTCTGCAGAATATCAAGACTCTGGGCTGAGACTATTGCTTTGGCTTTCAAGCGGCGCTGCATTCTTATGACCCTGCCGAGCCCTTTCTTTGCTTCCAGTGCCCACTGGCCGAGTGGATTGCTACGTGCGAAAGCACTGAGAATAACTCCAGCGGCGAATAGGTGAACACCGACAAATGACACTGCATGTGCGTGTTGGTTTCGATTGAATATTTGGTGCCACCCAATGTTCGAAATCCTCAAGGCTGCGTTCCAACAAGTGCTAATTGACCAACATCGCGTAGCTTTTGAGAGCATCTCACATTCGTTGAATGTGAGTGTCAAAATAGGTCGATGAATTAAAATCAAGGCATGATCATATGCAACCTGCAGCAATAGGGCCTGCATTCCGTATATTGAATTCTTGATTCTTGCGCGCCGTTCCTGTAAGTGGACTGATTCCAGGAATATGTCATCGTGCTCGGGAAAAACAATACCGTCATCACCATCACAGTCATTGACATCGACATCGGTATCGGCGTCGTGGCAGTGTGGCTTGTCGGGAATTCGAAGGATAGCCGGAAGATCTTGATACTAGCTCCGTAGAGTATGGTCTAATTTGCAAACCTTGTTCACCATGTGTTCGGATTGTGACTGGGGGCCATGAGCTGACATGGATGGGGTTGAGAATCCCGGTGGCAGAACACCAATACTCCCAAGCCCGCCCGTCGTTGGTCGGTGAAGTGACTGAACTATATGTCCCAGAATGACATAAAATTTCAATTTATGTGTTTGGTAGGTGAGAAGTGTTGTTGAGTTGGGAGACATCCTGGCTGGGTCGACATCTAACATTAAGAATGAAGAAGATCCTTTTTCTGGGTATGCGCAATCGTCACGTGGAATATCAGCGACGCAGTCTTCATCGGCGATGAGAGGTGGCAAACCATAGCACATGGCTAGGAATCGGTCTGATGTGTGAACTGCCCAGAAAAGGCGCGATTTCAACTGGCGTCTCTCCATGAAATCCATTTTTTGATAATATGGCGAAGCCCAGCACAGCTCGGAATCCTCCTTATGGAGCCCCAGCGCATATGCAATTCTGATAGTGCAAGCTGACTGTGACAAGGCCAGATTTGAGTGTCCATGATATAAATACAGGTTCCCGAGCAACAGCATCGACTGCAATGTGGATATATTGCCGCATGCAAGGTTGTCCGTCGAATTGTTGTGAACTACCGAGAAAAGTCGGGACACCGATTCGCTGATATCAAACTCCTGACCATCGGATGGCATGAGACTTGGACCTTCCGTGGGGGCGACGCTTTGAGAAAATTGCTGCATACAGTGACGGTGGCGCGCGTCATGAACAGTGGTATATCGCCCTCCCATGGCCACTATTGTCAGAATCAACAGCGCAAATGTGAAGCTCTCGTCTCCATTCGGTATCAATCGCTCGTCTCGCGCGTACAGGTCTATCATTTCCCGGTAATTATGAAGAAAATTACCTTCATGAACCACGACAACGAACCAGTGAACGGTGTTGAAGTAGACCGCTATTAAATAGTCTGCGACGGGTCGGGGTGGTAGGAATCGCAAGATGGAAGCCGCAGATGGTCTGTGGGAGGACCAAGGAAGAACAGGAGAGACCTTTATGTTCCTCTCTCTCTGTTGCTCAGGATGCCCGGGGGTCTGGGTGAATAGCCGCGTATCCATGCATTGTCCGCTCAAATCAAGGCTTTCCACGTTGTGATCCGTTGTCAGCTTTTCGCTGCCAGCATTGCTCATGGCCGGACTCAATGGGCTTTGGGGGTTTTCAACTCTTCTTCTACCTCTAACCTGGCGAATATTTGTTGGTCGCTCATATTGACTGCAAGGGTTCTGAGCGACTTTGGTATCACTATCCACGGCTCTGTGAAGACATGCTGACCCAACTTTCACGCAGACAGAACAGGGCCTAAAGGCATCGCACTAACCATCAGTAAGCACAAAGTTTTTTCCAGAGGAATAACGAACAAAAACTGCTTCGATACGTACTCGGGTCTTTTGTTTTCGGCATCGGACACAGGCACGCACAACCTGTCGTGTAGTTTGCAGGCTGCTCTGTTCACCCGACGTGGCCATGATTGTACCAGATAAGTTTTGAATGTAGCATAAGTTGAATCTAAGGATAACCTAAACATTTCTATAGCGCGATCCGTGGGCCTTCGTATCAACGGATCCAATTGATCTCTACTGTCCAATAAGGAATACGGGATATCTCCTCACTCAAGTGCTCTGTTGTGACAAGTATCATATTACATAATACAATGACGTGTATAGTTGTTGAGATATGAAATTATCTTATGTATGGGATTTGGGCACGCTTGGGAAATTCGGCAGGGAATAATTGTGAAGGCTTCCGAGCATCCCGATCAAGCTTGCCGCGGACGCGGAAGCCCATATTACATTCCTGTTACCTTCCTCGCCGAGGCCGGTCCTCCGAACTTGTAATTCAGAACCGGGTCTATCTGTCAATACGAGTAACTTCGAAGGTCCTGGCCGAGGCCGTCTCAGTAATCAGAAAAGTCAAGCCTCGGTCAAGACCCATTATGCGCACCTGAACACCACCTTCTAGCCCATGCACCACACCAAGTTCTAGTCCATGCACCTCACCCACCAATATACTCTCTTCTCTCTCTCTCCATCTGTCGCTTCGGTAGTGCCTTTCTTTGATACTTTTATATAATTCAGCGTTTAGACGCTGCACTTCATCGTACAAATGGTAGCTCTCCTGTTAAGGAGAGTTGACAGGCATTATAAATATGCTTGACATGATCTTGTACCCTCTCAGGTTGGATTGCTGATTGAAAGCGAAGTACAAGTTTGGTTGGTGCTTCATGCTTTGCAAGCTGCTTGTAATTTGCTAGTGTTTCGGGGAAATGAACGCTGAATTGGCTTAATATTCGTAAATTCACGGGTGCGTTCATCATAGGCTGGTCATTTTCCAATTTCTATCTCGTGGTGGCATCAATGACGCTCTTTTCAAGATGGCTCGAGCCATTCGAAGTCTTGCTCAAACTATCAACTTTTATGCATTCCTAAACCAATTCCTAGTATGTCAAGGTCTTGTTTGCGCAAGCAAAACCAAAATTCCTGCGTTTCTAACTACCAGTCCTGTCTGGAATCCCCTAATCCCTCCTCCATATTCAATACCCACGATTGGTATATCCACTTTTCTTTTCAGCAATATCACAATGGGAAAAATATAAGATATCCGCCACGCAATAAGCCACGGTCACATTTTTGGTGACTATATGATCGTAGTGAACGTCTCCTAGTGACATGCGGTTGTCAGAATCCTTGAATAAATATGAAACCGAAAAATTGCAATGTTAACAAATTTAACTTACACAATTTCGCACCGCAGTCACTTGTTATCATAGGATGGGTCGCCATTTCTTCACTCAAATCCCGAGACTAGCCAGCTTCTTCTGGCCTTCATCGGTAAATAAGAGTTTTCCACTGGTCCAGCCAGCCATCCAAAGAGCCGGATATCTCCAATGGAACCATAGCGGGTGAGTCGACGCGCCGAAATACCCAAAATGATGGTCGAGACTGAAGCAAAGATAGTTGCAGCTTCCCAAAACCAAGAGAGTGAGAATAGCAGTAAACCACACGGCCTTGTGTCCGTAGTAATAGTCCACCAAAAAGTAATTGGTGAGACCTCCCAAGGCGCCACTCATTCCAAGAGGACATAGAATCATTGTCCAAATGACCTTGTAAATCATTTCACGCGTGCCAGAAAAGAAGAGCACAGCGACCGTAAGGAACAGGATTTCAGCAATCATTGAGTTGGCCCAGAATACTAGGAAAGGGCGAATGTAAATCAAACGTCGCTTACGCGCCTGTTCCTCATTCTCCTCGCCGGAGGTTATGATGGCTTGGTACTTCGGTAGGAGGGTCATCGCGTGAATTATCGAACGGGACGGAGATATGGCAAAAGCAGAGGCAAATATTGTGTTGCTAAAACTCAACTTGAATTTGGTGCAGGGCCTTTGTTATATCTGCCGTCAATTCAAGGAACCTTCAACATGGCAAGCCGAGGCACTTGATTGTACGGGGCGTTTCTGACCTCTTGATTATTAAACGATGCCGAGCGTCAATAGATCTCGATTACGTTGGTCGTGAATATGAGGGTATACTTTGCACCCGAGCTCTCTAATGCATTGTTACACCAGCATTAGGGGGCGCACAAGGAAGGCGTTAGGAGATGTGCACATAACAAGAACTCTTAGAAGCATGACTGTATATTCCGAGCATGCCGATCAAGTTTGCCATTACACCGCGAAGCTTTTGTTACATCCCCTGTTAGAATTCTTAAAGCCGGTCTTCCAATGAGCCGGTCTTCCGATAATCCGAGGCACTTAAGTACGCAGAAACAGGCCAATAGCTAAGTTAAGTCTGATCCTAGTGTACAGCCTCTGCTCCACCCAAAATCATGATCTCCAACCTGCCGCCCTTCACCGCCTTGGGGATTTATTCTAAAATGACACCCGTCCGCACTTTATCTAGACCACTAGCGGCGGGTTTCTACTGATATAATTCATCTAAGCTTCCTGGGCTTCAATCCTTCATTTTATCGAGATATGGGGTTTCAGATATGGCGCTCTATTTATCGTATTTACTATGTGATTTTAGGTTATCTGCTCAATCTTATGATCCGCTCAATGGTGGTTGACGTTAGTGACTCCGGCAACCGATTTACGTAGGATGTCTTTTGGACTAAAAGGTAGAATCATATTTTCGACACTTCCATTTGGCGCTTAATTCCTATCTTCAAACCCCCAGGGATTCACTGCCCTTCGAATAATCGGTGGTGATTGCAAGAGAGACACAGCCTGTCGTTGGAATTCCTTGAATTTTTCGGACTCGACGTGGCGCTTCAAGGCATCTTGATCAGTGTACCTTTGTCCCTGTTAGCGAAATCGATTTTCAAGGTGTTGGAAGACTAAGAAAAGCGGACTTCTCAATAATAATAAGTTCATTTCCGCCCTCCGGATTGATTGCATAGTATTGAAGCGTCCCGGGCTCATTTATTTTGACGTACGCTGCAAAATCATCGAAGGCTCGGACCGTCTTCTCAGAAAGTGTAGTGTTAGAACAATGTTTTAAAAGATTCGAATAATTTCATACCTCTTCCAATTTACCATCTCGTGGCATGAGGCTGACGACATTATGGAGTAAGCCAAATGCCATTTTCTTCTGCAATATGACGGTTTGAGGGATATTTTCAACGAATTTACGGGGTTCAATGGACAGGTTCAAGTACGTGCTTGCGTTTTAAAGGCAGAAGTGAAGGCCGAGGTATGATTTTTCGGATTACTTAGTCCCTCGGGCAATGCTAAACTTTGACCAGTCCCACCGGGTCCCAGCTCATTGAGTCTTGACTAATACGCATTAGCCTTTCCCCGGCGGACCTCAAAAAAGGGTCGTCATTCTTCTTCTTGTTGCCGTCGTGGATGAAACAGTTATAGGCAGCTGCTCTAGCTCTGTAGTATGCTGCTCAATGCAGTTTTCGGGCTTGGCAATCTGTTATAGTAACACAATGCTGCATGTTCTGGGGTTTTCATAAATCTCTGAGTTGTCAAACACACTCATTGAGCGCTCAGTGAGCACGCAGTCCTCACACGGTAGTCACGTGATTACATTGAGCAGCTTGTGAGTTAACGTACCCGGTAAGCGAGTGGTAACCCCCCAGCCAATTTTGTACTATAAACTGCGATTTCTTAACCAAAACGCCAATCAATTAAAAAAATGAGGCTATTAAGATATATCTAGGCACCTATTCATGAAACCGACTTATAATGTTCGCTATTTCTACCACGGTTGAACAGACAATATATTGAAATGGGATAGCGCGATGGCAGTCTGGTCAAAACAGACGGGTCGACAATAGCAGTAGCAGCATAGGCAAACCCAACAAGAGGTAGAGCTATAGGAAAGGAGAGCACATAGGGATTGTCTGAAGAGAAGAATGTGTCTGTCTTGTTCTACGTAGAGTAGAGAGGTCTTAAATACATCATGAGTGCTGAATCATCCATAGACCGCTACTTCATGCAGTAAGCAATTCCCCCACTACAATATTTATTATTGATCCCGTGTAGCTGGAAGTATAATATTATATCCTATTGATTCCCTCGGTATTGATATCGAGTTTATAATATTTATTAACGTTATAGGGTAAGTTATGAAATAGAAAAAACAACTCTCTCTTGGCAAAAACGTTTTCCTGGAATATCTAGCCAACCAGAGGTCGTGAGAGCCTCGAGAATTAGTTCACCGTAGTCGTAACTCCAAACGCTACCATCCGATACCCTTTTTGTAGGGGTGATGGCAGCCGTGATGGCGACGGGTGCGAATGCACAGAATTTGCCCCCTATCAGGAGAGGAACATCAAAAAACACGGCCCTCACGGACCCGCCCCGATCCATGGAAGACATCGCGGAAGGGGCCCGCAGGGTGCTGAACCACATCGAAAACAATGGCACGGAGGATCGCTATGTTACTGGATATATCCGCGCCGTCCGCCAGTACGCAATCAACGCCCAACGGGGCGATGGCCAGGGCATAGCCAAGGTGCTGGAGGCGCTGACCAAAATCAACCTCGACACTGACCGTCTGAACCAGCGAATCGACACCATTGAAAAGACCACGAGCGCCCTATCGACAACTTTGTCCACCCCTGCGGCGAACTCGGCGGCGGCATGGCGCACCTTCCGAGCCAGAGAATGGCAGCGCGACCTAGCCAAAGCGGTGGCACCCAACACCCGGAGCAACGGCAAACGTCGTCTCCAGGAGTGCCAGAGATCGAACTCCGCGAAGACCGCGAGGTCATCGTCAAAGTAGGTTCAAACCGCGATCAACTCCGAGGTTTGACGCCGAGGGATCTGGTTGAACGGGCAGAACGCCAAAGAGCCACAAATGCCCGACAGAAAAATTCCGGGGTGCTGGCTGGACAGGCCTCATTTGTGGCAGCCCGGAAATTGCCCTCGGGTGATGTGGCGATGATCGCCAACAGTGCCGCCGGCGCGGAGATCCTTCGCAAACACCCTACGTGGTTGAGGGCGTTTGGACCTGGCTCGGTGATCCAGGAACCATCCTGGGGTGTCGTGGCGTACCTTATCCCCGTGAAGTCGATGAAGCTTACTCCGGAGACGATGGCCAACGTCGCAGCTGAACTGCTCAGGCAGAACAACTGGGGCGAAGGCGCGAGGATCCAATATCTCGGATGGCTGACGCGTCCGGGTGAACGGGCGGAGGGCTCGATCCTGATCGAGTTCACCAGCCCAGTCATGGCTAATCGCGCGATTGTCACCGGGGTCGTGTGGGGGAAGCAAATCCATCATGTCTCACGGTTCTGTCGCGAGGGGCGGGTGAAGCTTTGCAGGAAATGCCAAAAGCCGGGGCATATCCAGTCACACTGTTCCAACGTCTTCAATTGCGGCCACTGCGCTGACGGGCACCCGACCTGGGAGTGCCCGTCGACAAAGGGGCAAGCGATACCAGTCAAGTGCGCCAACTGTGGCGAGGGGCATCGTCCGACTAGCCGGGAGTGCCCGGTCAAAATTGTAGCGATGAATGAAGCCAAACAAGCCCTGGCCGAGTGCCCTACATATCACCGCATCCCTCTTCACTTCCGAACTGCAACAAGTCCTGACAAAGAGACAAACTCGACTAGCTCAAGCACCACCACGGTGGACGGGATAGAAGAGTCGATACATGCCCCCGTGAGGCAACAGGAAGAAGAAAATTCGACGCCAAGCCAGGAAACGACGACTGATCTAGATGCCGCACCAGCGGAAACAGAGACCGGACCAGACGAGCTCAACGAAGCCACTCAATCCAAACGAGGCCCCGGTCGCCCGAAGGGCTCAAAGGCCAGATCAAAGGCGCCCAAACCTCTAATGATACCACTCGCATGCCAGCGATCGACGAGGTATCAATTGGCCTCCCAAAGAACGAGTCAGGAAGACGCCAACTCTAAAAGGCGCCGCACGGGCGAGCCAGAAGACACCATGGATGAACAGCCGGATGACAACGATTGGTTGACATCCAGCTCAACCCGGTTGACTTTCTCCCGAGACCAACGCCCAAGAAGACAGCCACGAAAACCGGCTTTCCCAGTTTATTGGTGAGATCACGACCCTCAACGATGCGAATAACACCCCTGAGCCAAGTGTTGAGGAACTGGATCCGGAGAGCCCCGAATACCGAAGACTGGTTGTTTTGAAATACAGGAAACAGCAAGCGGTATCAATAAGGTCCTCTCCCCCCGTACTTGCAACTGATGCAGTGACAATCGACGACCCAAATGACGAAGTCTGGCATGAAGCCAGCGAGCGAAGCGATGACGAGCAGCCCCATCAATGAGGACCTTCGAGATTCTTCAATATAACGTACACAAGTCGTGGCCGGTGATGGCTGCGTTTTTGCGAGATAAGAATGTTCTCGCAACAGACATTATCGCGGTGCAGGAGCCGTGGAAGAATGAGCTACAGCACACAACCCACCAACCGGCGACCACATCATTTCAGCTCATATACCCGGCGAAAGGGGCAACACGAGTACAAGATCAAATGAGCATGAGGATCAGAATCGGACTTCAGCCCCATCTCAACCAGGAGTATGCCTGTTTGTGTTCAAAAGGCTTGATCCAAGCACCTGGTCATGTCAGCTCATCTCGCAGGACTACCAACTGTTGAAACTCAGGAAGACCCGGCGAGATGGAGACTGGACAGACCTCTTCATACACAACATATACAACAGGCCGGGCAGCCAAACACTAGAGCAACTGAGATATGAGCTGTCGAAGCGCCCTCTGGGAGAACACGTAATCCTGGGAGATATGAATGCACACCATCCAACATGGGGAGGCACAGGGACCAAAGCTGACAGGGAAGCTGAGCAACTTCTCGAAATCACCAATGAATGGGGGCTGGAAGTAACGACTGAAGAAGACAAACCGACCTGGACCCGGAATGATCAGTCGTCGGTGATTGAATTTACCTTTGTCTCTTCAAGCCTCGTGGGTAGGCTTATCCAATGCGAGAGGGCAGACGACATCGAACACGCTTCCGATCACTTTCCGATTCGATCCGTGTTTGACATGGAGACTCCAGCCGCAGTACAACAGAAGCGAGGAAATTGGAACGTAACTGACAACAAGAGGCTCGTCCAGAAAATCGAAGCAAGCCTACATGTGAGGGATCTATCCCAGGCAGACACACAGCAAATAGAGACTGAATGCGAAGAACTACTGGAAATCGTTCAATCAGCAGTTGAAGGTTCCACACCATGGGCAAAACCATCAGCGTGGTCGAACTCCGACTTCAAAGATGAATGCAAGGCCGCAGTGATAGAGGTCCGTCGTCTCCGCCGCAGACACACGAGAACGAAGGATCCCTACGACTGGATGCTTTACTCCAAAGCACGTAACAGAAAGTCACGTTTGATCAAAAAGACCCTGTCACGAGCGCACCGACGCCGTGTCCAGCAGGTTATCGAAGGTGGGCCGCAAGGCATGTGGCGACTAACGAAATGGGCAAGGAATCGAGATGGAGCGTACGAGAAAGGGATCACGCCCGCGCTCAAAATCCAAAACCCTCAAACACCGGGCGCTTTCGCGGAAACAATTGAGCAAAAAGCAGAAGCCTTCCGGGCAGCATTCTTCCCGCAACCACCACCGGCTGACCTCTCCGACACGGAATCATTCCAATACCCGCATCCAGTTAAATTTCCACCAGTGACGGCGCAAGAGATAGAGGAAGCAGTGAGAGGAGCGAAAGCAGGAAAAGCGCCAGGAGAAGACGGTATACCGAACTCTCTGTGGCACAAACTCATCGAGATACCGATAATCTTGGACGTGCTTGTTCAACTATTCAACGCATGCATGCGTATCGGGACACAATCCATCACATTTCCAGCGCTCGATCACGGTCGTTCTCCGAAAACAAGGGAAAAGTGACTATCAACTCGCCAAATCCTACAGGCCGGTTGCATTACTAAACACACTCGGAAAATTCTTGGAGTCAGTTGTTGCACGAAGGATCAGTTATGCAGTGGAGACGGAAGGATTGCTCCCTCGGACCCATCTAGGTGGTCGACGAGGCATATCCACTGACCATGCTATCCACATTATCATCGATCGGATCAAGACCTCATGGGGAAAGGGTAAAGCAGTGGTGTCCCTGTTGATGCTAGACGTCTCCGGGGCATACGACACTGTTTCCCACGCTCGCCTACTCCACAATCTCAGGAAAAGGCGACTCGGACACTTTGTCCCCTGGGTGAAGGCCTTCCTGTCGAACCGAAGCACAAGAATCCGCATGCCCGAAGGCATGTCCGATACGATCCCAACGCCCACGGGCATCCCGCAAGGATCGCCGATATCACCAATACTCTATTTAATCTACAATGCAGACCTCATCGAGGGCTGCGGGGCAGGTATCACTAGCAGTGGTTGGGTAGATGATGTTTGCTTCATGGCCAAAGGGGACAGCGAACGCGAGACGATCGGGAAGCTCAAGACCGCATGACGTAAAGCCGACCAGTGGGCCGGGAGACATGCGTCAGTCTTCGACCCGAAAAAGTACGCTCTCATCCACTTTGTGAACACCAAAGAGGTCGACCCACAATACCTTTCATTACGTCTACAAGAACACACCGTACCAGCGACCAAGACAGCTGAGCGATACCTAGGCTACTGGCTAGAACCGAGTCTGGAATTCCATCATCATCGTGAGAAAGCCGTGGCCAAAGCTAGCGTCTCTCTCAGAGCACTTAGGAGCTTGGCAGGTTCAACGTGGGGAGCCTCGTTATATGCCATGCGCAGAATCTATCAAGCAGTGATTATACCGCAGATGCTCTTTGGTGTCTCGGCATGGTATCAGCCTATGCTCATTAGCAAATCCAAAGCCCAGGCAATCTGTCGGCCTTTTGTGGCCACTCAAAAACAAGCAGCATGTCTCATTAGTGGGGCATTCAGAACTACCTCAGCGGAGTCACTGAACACGGAGCTTTACCTACCGCCTATCTCGATTCACATGAACCGGCTAGTAAGAGAAACGGCTCTTCGTTTGCGAACAGGACCAGAGCTTGGTATACCACCAACGATGGTGCGACGCCGACCGGCACACGAAAGAGACTGGAGTGGATGGACGCCAATGGAAGCGCAAGCCTGGAAGACGGGCGGATGCCTGACGGCTTCCCCGAGAACTTTAGCGAGCAACTGGGAGAGTCGAAAGGCATTCGTCCTAGCACCATGGCGAACGCCGCCGGAGGTGATCATCGACGACAGAATGACCGCAGTGGAATATCACGAGGGGATCATGGTACAGGCATCACAAGAACGACCCTTAATAGTGTACACCGATGGAAGTGGCATCGAAGGAAGAATGGGAGCAGCGGTAGTGGTTGACCTCGAAGATCATGTCGCCCACAGTCAAATGGGCGACGAGAACACAACAACTGTGTACGCCGCAGAGCTACGCGCTATCGAGATGGCGCTGGACTCGGTCCTAAACAGCACCGAGCCCTGGGCTGCACAGGCCGGGAATGGGCTCGTTATTTTTGCGGACAGCCAAGCGGCGCTGAAAGCGCTCCGCCGACCTCGTATGCCTTCAGGTCAGATTTACCTGATTGGATGCCTAGACCTCATCCGACAACTGGCGGAGCGGGGAATCAGAACTGAACTCCGATGGATTCCGGCTCACCAAGGAGTACTGGGCAACGAGACAGTAGATCAACACGCGAAAGACGCGGCCCAGCAACCCGACGATCCACAAAATTCTCACAACCGATATATCCGCCTCGCAGCCGCGACGAAGCGGCGACTCCGCCAAGAGGCAAGGATCGAGTGGGAGCGAGCGTGGGCATCAGAAAAGACCGGTCGACCGACCAAAAGGTTGATTGAGATACCAAGCAAGAAGACACTGGAATACTGGTCGGGATTACGCAAAGCGACTGCATCTATCCTGATGCAGCTGCGCACTGGGCGTATCGGCCTGGGTGCCTATCTGGCCCGCATCAACCGACGGGAGTCGGGTAGATGCGAATGTGATCTAGGCAACCAGACCGTGACCCACGTATTGCTTGAATGCCCATTGCATCAAGAGGAGCGCGAATGGATGAGAAACGCCCTATCTGAGAAATGTATAACGCTTCGCCAAGACGAACTTTTGACACAATTGGAAGCGCGCACCATTGTGGCCGAGTTCATGACCAGAACCGGCATCTTGGGCCAGTTCCAGGAGGTGGATCCAATTGCTCTCGGTGTGGAAGAGGTAGAGAAACAATGATCCCGTAAAACAGTGTGACGGAAGGAGAACAATAATGCCCGTTAGGAGCGCAGTGCCAGGTCCACTGTACTCCCTTGAGTCAAACGAGCGCGCAAGCGTCTGTCGGCAGCTGAGGAGGACAGAGACAAGGGGAGAGTTGGGGGTTAGGAGAAGTGGAGCAGGGCTCCAGCGAAGGCGGTGAGGACCAGGAACGTTCGTTTTCATACTGGCAATCTGCCAGTGGCAAGCGGTTGGACATTTGCAGTCGTCGCATTCCTTTGTCTTATATTAATTCTACATTCGATATGGCTAAGGAGAGGCTCGAAACATGAGCCCCCCTAAGCAAACCAGTGGGCTGGTAACCACCTTTTAGCTGTCGGCGGGCCCGATAGCACTCCCGCATAGCAGCATATATTTGGAGCGAGCTACATCGGGCAAATGAATTCATCATCATCATCATCAAGTTATGAAATACTATTACAAAGCCATTCGGGAGGTGGAGGAACCCGGCTACGGCAGTTGGTGTTCTCGAAGAACTCCGCGATCTTGACTCACGTACACCCGACATGGATCAATCAACCGGGCAATCTTCCAAGCGCAAGCGATTGTCTTTCGCCTGTAACTATTGTCGCCAGAAGAAAACGCGCTGTGACGAAGAGCAGCCCTGTAAGACGTGTCGATTAGCGGAGGTGGAATGCATCACGACCGACAAGCGACGCGATGGTGCACCTGTCACCCACCGGCGACGAACTGGTGCAGCAGGTCTAAGCCCAACTCAGGAGACTCCGAATACACCTGACTCCAATTTATCGTCTCTCACTCCTGCTTCTCATGATCGCCCACGACTGTGGTCTCAATGTTGGGTTCGAGATCGCTGGAGAACGGGCCGCTTGCCGATGATGCCTCGCCTGTCTGGAGCAAGTATGCTTGAGTTAACGACAGAATGGCTTGATCTCGCATTTTACCGACTAAAACCCCCCAGAATATCATCTGTCTCGCCTGTGGTAAATGTTCAATTTGCAACTTTTGTACCAGGCCCGCCCGCCATTCCTCCCCCAGAGAAGACTCGTGGCCTGATAGATCTTTACTTTGAGACCCTTCATAGGTTGTTTCCGTTCGTCAATCGCGAAACCGTGGAAAGTATATATAATCGCACTCTATTTCAATCGCGGGATGGCTTCTCCATGCATCATGCTTCACCTCCACACCAGGCATTGATGTATTTGATTATTACGACTGGCCTGATGGTTAGTCCTGCCTCGGAAGAGTCCCAGGCGCAAATATCGGCTTGTGTGGGGTATTGTAATCTATTGCTTGGATATCTCATTGCCACCCGCTGCTTGGAGTCTGTCCAGGCCATTTTTTTATTCTCGATAATTCTTCGCAGCTGTGATAGGCTCGCGTGGGCATGGGACATCCTGGCTATGGGAGGCTCGATGGCCCAGTCCATTGGGCTCAACCAAAAAATCAAGTCACATCCCCACCAAGATGGAAACAGTCTAGGACAGAATGAAGAATTGGGGTATCAAACATGGTGTTGTCTATATGTCTTCGAGAAGATACTTGCCTTTGAGAGTGGGCGCCCATCCGTGATTTGGGATCGTGAGCTTTCCGGGACATTTGCGGATCTCAACGACTCCGATGCTCCAACAAATACAACACTACAATTTCGAAATGTTTCTGTGAGCCTTGCAAATGTTCTTCATGAGATGCAGGAGCGCTCAGCCAGAGCCTGGCGAAGGGAGGAATGGTTGCCGCAGTCAGCGGAGGAAGCAATCGAAGAGAAATTGAAAACCGGGGGAGAGTTACTTGTATTACTCGATGCGTGGCGAAATGATCTTCCCAAGGAGTATAGGTATGTGACTCTTAGGGCAAGTGTGAAATCTGCGAATAATTAATGAGTTGGGTATTCTTTCTAGTTTTGACGCTACCTCCACTTGTCGCAACGGACCCGAAATGGCCTTTATATTATTTTATTACAACACCGCGTAAGTACTTATATTTTGTCTGCTCCTCGATCAATGCTTCAGGCAGACAAGAAGCACTTACATATTCCGCACCAGGGTTATTCTCTTACACCGAAGCACGCTCATGATTAGCAAAGAGGAAATGAACGAAATGGTAACTAGATATGCACCGAACACGCCATGGAAGTCAAGGCTTCTCAATGGCCCGACAATTGTGGTCGAAGCCGCTCGAGATATGGTAAAGCTATTGGTAACGCTTGTTGACTCGGGTGCACCGAATTATCTCCTCACAATGACATCGCCGCTAGCTGCAGTATATGCACTGGCTGTGCATATTTTTCGCGAGAGAAAGTCATTGTTGATTCGATCAGACTTTGAGGTGAGCAAGGGCTAATCTCTTCTTCGATTTCTGTTCCGCTAATGTTCCTTTTCTTGCTAGCTGATGAAAGTAGCCATGCAGCTCATCAGGCAGTCATACCAGAAGCATGGAACTGTGTGCAATATTGATGATATTCTCAACGGTCTGGAACAATTTACCTTAAAGTGTCTCGAAAACTCTGGAGGGGACCCCGCTGGGCAGCAAAGCAATTTTCTCGATGAGCCACCTATGCCCGATCACACATCTACCCTGGCATCGATGGATCTAGCTTGGGGTCCGTCAGCATTTGACTGGGCGGGATGGGATTGGAACGATTTAAATAATTTATTGGAGCATAGCTCGTAGCAATTGTGTTACTGTGCGAAAAAAGATATGAATGCTGAAACAGTCGAAATTGAGAATTGAAACTCCATTGGACCAATATTTCTGATGAATCTAAGCCATCTGCTCAAGATAAGGAATGCCAGTCAACCTATATCCACGCTCGGTAAGCTTCACCGACTCTCGAGGCTTCGAGCGATTATAAGGATCAGCCTCTCCGTTCCTGAAAACCGGAAGATCGACGACGTGCATTGCATTGGGCCAGTGAGTGGTCATTTTGGTTTCTAGGAATAATGAGAAACACGTTCAAAGTTGGATGTGTGGGGGTAATTACCTTCAAAGGCCATCTTTTTTGTCTGAAGCTGTTCCTTCGTTGCATCTGCGACAGGCATGAAGCAGGTATAAACACAGAAACGATCTTGGTTTGTCTCAGAAGACACGTTGTAATGAGGTGTTCGTGAATCCCCTACTGAAGTTAGCTCCACGCTAAAAATCTGAATCGCCGCAGTGTGTTCCTACAGAGAAGCAGGTCGCCCGGTTCAGCTTCCACCTTGATCCATTCGCAACCCTTGTCTTTCAACCAGGCCTGTCCAGCCTCAGTAAATCCGTACCACTCCTTAGTCCTAAGGTAAGAAGATTTGTCAGTATCAGCAACGATGAAACGAAAATAGTTCCATACCAAGACCAAATCCTTTCCTCGTCCTTGAAATTGGCGTGGAACTCTTCACTCAACAAATGTGCGCCCTTGCAAACAATTAAACCACCATCTTGAGGCCCATTAGGAAGTAGATTGACAAGGCCTTGCAAGCACCGGAATCCAGGCTTTTCAGGATCCTGGTCTTGATGAGGCCATGGCGAATTGGGCTTGATATCCATTCTGTTGGGGAATCCGATGTTCACAGAGTCAAATGACACAATCAAATCCTCAGTATCATAAACCTTCTCAAATGCGCCCACTACAGCTGGCTCTTGACGAACAGCCCAGGTAAATGACTCGTGGGAGATGCCGTACCCCAAGCACATTCCTTTCTCGTTGATGTCGGGGAGGTGGTCCTTGTGAATTGTTGAACGATCATTGCGGTCAAATCCGAGGTTGCTATTGTGATGAAGGTGTTAGCTTCGTCTTATAATGTGGGGCTTGAATTTGCTGTGAGTGATGGGAAATGGCTCACAATTCCTCTAGCCAAGTGTAGATGTCGTCTGCGTATTTCAAAGCTCGATCGCGAGCGATAGCACCTTTCACCACTGCGTAGCCGTTTTGAAGAATGTCATCACGGAAATCACCGTATTTGACGTCAGTTCCCTGAGAGAACAATCTTCCAGAAGGGGCCTTCAGCAGCGTGGACGCCTTAGCTGTAGTAGTGGTCTCGGACATATTGCGATGAGCTCTTCGATGACTCAGCTTTCTTTTCAAACACTCCATATCACCGTGGCCTTGCTAGTTTGCTGCTCGATTATACAACTTCTTGTTGATACTTATATTTGTGTTGAAATTGTATCGAGATTCTTGTTACCCGGCTCGGCTGCTCCGGTTCGGTTCGGCTCGGTTGAGGCTGAGGCTGAGGTCCCCTTTGGATCTCTTCCATAATCGCCACATTTCGGCTATCAAAATTTGCAATGACAAGTGGTATAACTTTATGAGTGTATCAAAGGCAAGGACGTCGGGATGTCCACGTAGTGAGGCGTTATTGAGTTCAATGAATACTTCTAGTTCTTGATCCTCTGTCACGAGCTCTGGATTAATACGAATTTCGATTTTAGATTGGCATTCGCTGGCTTTTATAGCAAAAGCATTACTATGAAGCCTTTCATTTTATCGGAAGATGTACGGCAGACGTATCTTAAACCAGGGCGTAGAGTCTAAGAGAAAGGATTTATGACTATGTCGTTGGTGGGAAATATCAAGAGCCACATATATATTGAGGTTGTACATTGTCAATATCACAATTTTCTCCCAAAAGGCACTATGAACCAAAAGCGCAATCTAAGCGTGAGGACTTCCTAATTTATTCAAAAATTGCGGGCTATTGTCTGTCGGGGTAATATTCGGATGAATTTCAAATTAATAAAGATCAGCTCCTATAGCGAGTAACTAATTATCCCCCTCATCAATAAAGAAACGTCGAGCAAGCACTCGAATTCTTGGCCCAAAAAAGTAGATTGGAACAGCAATAAGAGCCAAAGCACCACAAATCACAGCTTCTACAATCATGGTACCATCGTATCCAAGAGTAGAAACAGCTGGCAATGTAGCGTAGCTCAAGCCAAACGAGATAAATCCTCTCCCAGCACAAATAACAACGAGAAAGGGTGCAGCACGTTGAGGAAAGCTGTCTACTGCATAAGTAATGCCAACAATATTGGCTCCAAGGAATGCAAAGAAGCTGGCATTGTACGATACCACCACAGCGCTGACGTTCCATTCATCTGAGTGAGTTGCTGCCTGTCCGTATATAATACCGCAGACAACCCCAATGATAGCTGGAATAGCCATCATGGGCAGACGGTATTCTGGTTTATACAGACCCTTGTTGCGGCGACTGAAAGCACGGATGGTCAAATCACCTCCATAGCCCAGTAATGGCAGAAAAATGACACAGCTAACGAGCTGACCGGCTTGGACATATCCAAGGGATGTGAATGCGAAGTTGTAAGGCGGCGGCATGAGGATACTCGAGAAGGTTGACGATTGAAAAACGTAGACACCAAGGAAAGCACCGTTCAGCAATAAGAGCCAGAAAATTGTTGGAATGCAGAAGCCTTGGAGGATATGTTTATAAAAAATTGGCACATCACTCAGACGTGGCTTGAGAACCATTGGCTTAAGGTCGTCTCTCCAGCGACGAGGTCCGTACTGGTCGATATCAAGAACAGTACCATGAGCACTGATATTGATGTTTTCCATCGCGTCGACTACCTTGGGATCCAATGTGGATTGCCCACGGACCGCTGTCTCAGGACGCTCAAAGTGTGACTCTGTGACAAATATGACAGATAAAACGAAGATCAGGGCGTTCGCAAGCGTGAAAAAGCCATACCACCATCTCCAACCCCATGCCGAAACCATATATGTGGAGGTGACGAAGAATACCCCGGCGGCAATGTTTTGAATGAAGATAAACCAGGCAAGTTTGCGACCGCGTTCGTGGAGAAAATGGATCTCTTGCACGATCATTGGCGAAAGTGCTTCGCTTTGTCCGGCAGCCAGTGACATAATATTGCGACCTGCGATGTGGCTTCCCAAGCTTTGGGAACACTGACACCAGACACCAGCCCCGATAAGGAGGAGCATTGATGCAAGAAAAACAGGCCGCCTGCCTGCCGTGTACGCCCATGGCATCGTGATGAGGTTTCCAACACCCATGAACAACGTCGGATAAGTCATGAGATCATTGGCTTTGGTCTGCTGGCCCGGGTAATCCTGCTCGACCACAGAGAAGATAGGGCCCATTCCGGAGGCAAGGACAACTGCCGTGCAACTATATGCCGAGACAAGAACTAAGATAATCCACTTTCGCCATGGGGGGAGGTTTAATGGATCTAGCTGTTTTAGAAGCTTGCAAAGCTGATCAAGACAGGTAAATACCTTTGGGGTCTGCAGACGGAGCCGGTATGAGTACGACCTGATTGTCTCTCAAGAGCTCAATCTCTCCATTTTGGGATGACTTATTGTCGGAGTCTTCTGCAAGCTCGACATGACTGATATCTGTCTTATCCATGACTGCGATAGATTCAGACTGAGGGAAATGTGGGGGGATATCGAATGACTCGGTTATCCAACCATGCAGATAGCTCTCATCTTTATATAGAGGACAAGGTGTCCTATGCCAAAGACTGTAATCGCGCAGGTTGACCCCGGGATTTTCGAAGGTTCTCCACACGCGAAATCTGGGGTTGAGGCCCGCATGCCGAACCGAACCGAACCGAGCCGGAGCAGCTATTCAAATGACATTTAAGCTCCAGTGGCATCGAGACCCTAGCAACCGACACGAAAAGAATTGGCCTCTCAAACAAAACACACTCGGAAAACATGTCAGTCAAATTCAACGTCGATATTCCTTTGGCGGATTTGAAGGAGCCCGAAATTTGCCATGGGGGATATGAGCCTTTGAATCCACGCTCTGAAGTACTCTCAACAGGAAGCTCAACTGCACCCGGAAGACTTATCCTACCTTGCGATATTCTTATAGAGCATGATGTCGCGATTCCAGTGAGAGACGGCTGCACATTATACGCCGATATTTATCGACCTCCGACTGCCCTAGCACGCTCTACTCCAGCAATTTTGTGTTGGAGTCCGTTCGGAAAAAAGTTTAATGGAATAGAGTCTCTACGGCTCATGACGCCGTGGAATCTTGGAATCCCCGATGGAACACTCAGCGGCCTAGAAAAGTTCGAAGCCCCCGATCCGGCCGAATTCGTTGATCACGGATACGCTATCATCAACGTGGACTCGCGGGGTGCATTTGACTCCGAAGGAATAATGGCAATCATGGGGACACAAGAAGCGCAAGATGGGTACGATGTGATCGAGTGGATTGCTCAACAGTCTTGGTGCAACGGAAATGTCGGCATGGCCGGCAATTCGCATCTTGCAATTGTTCAGTGGTTCATTGCTGCGCTGCAGCCACCATCGCTGAAAGCCATTGCACCCTGGGAAGGATGTGGAGATCTTTATCGTGAACAATTTGCTCGTGGTGGTATTTACGGTGGCGACCTGTTCGATCATCTCATCGTGAAATACATCTTGCGAGGTCGGAATGGAATAGAGAGCTTCCGAGACATGTTTGACCAGTCTCCCCTTGCTAACGACTGGTGGAACGACAAACGACCCGATATGACAAAGATCAACATTCCTACTTATATCACCGGGACATGGACCAACACAATGCATGGCATGGGCGCCATTCGAGGCTGGCTAGATGTCAGCTCATCGCATAAGTGGCTTCGCTGGCATCCGTACCAGGAGTGGTATGATATTTGGGGAAATCAGGAGGCTCAAGCCGAGCTTCTTTCTTTCTTTGACAAGTATTTGAAAGGGGTTGAGAATGGCTGGGAATCGACTCCTCGTGTACGAATGGCAGTCCTGAGATACGGAGAAAAAGCCCCGTTAAAGAATGTGGTTGAAGATGACTTCCCACTTCCTCGTACGGTATACAAAAAGGCTTATCTCACTGCCAATGGCGGATTGACGCTTGACAAAGTCCCCGAGTCAAGTTTGATCTCCTACAATTCCGAAGATGCAACCGATATAGCGAAATTCACCTATACCTTCACCGAGCGTACCCAGCTGGTCGGTATACCAAAGGCAATTTTGTATATGCATTGCGACGATTTGGATGACATGGATGTCTTTTTGAATCTGAGTAAGTTGTCTGCTTCGGGAGAGCAACTTCTGAACCTTAACATTCCGTGGGAAAACCTTCCTGTCTCGAAGATCTCCGAGATCCCAGAAGAAAAACGAACAGAGGTCATTCTGTACCAAGGACCAACAGGAATACTGCGGGCTTCGAATCGTGACATTGATACATCACGTTCTATGCACCCCAATTGGCCGTTTTACAGCCACGAGAAGCAAGAAAAAGTCCAACCGGGATCTATTGTACGACTTGAAATTGGAATATGGGGCATGGGTGTTGAATATGAGGCAGGAGAGAGTCTGCAGCTGCGTATCAGCGGCTTTTACCAAGGTATCTCTAACTTCGGCACCAACGAGCATATTCAGAACCGTGGAAAGCATTGGGTGCATATAGGTGGGAACTACGATAGTCATCTTGTTCTACCTTTTGTGTAGACTTTTCATATTGTCATTTAGTCTCATGCTCGAAACTCAATCAAAAGGAGGGTAACTGGCTTATGTACATGATCTATTTTGAAATTGACCCATTGACGAAGACATTTGTCGGGTATTTACTTCATCCGACCTTTCTCGCCCTGTATTTGCTTTAACTCTATTTTGCCAGTAAAATCCTTTGCTCATGAAGTCCATTAAAAGTGTCTTTTCTGACTAGTTCAGCTGATCATCCGTTTCTCTCGCCCCACTCCATCATTCACAATAATTTCAAAAAATGGCGACGATCCATGCGAATTACTCATTCGATGATTCAGGGTCCACCAGACAGTTTTTGATACATGGTTCCAAATCCCTCATGCCACTTGTCTGAGATATCCTGGCTCATTCCGGGTGCAATCATGGTGTCTCCGCGCTCTAACCCAGTAGAGAAGAAGTCCATAAACTCCTCCACCGATAAGACGTTGGGGTTTTTGTGCTTTTTGTTATCGTCAGGATCATCCCGATCACGATGCAGATTTGTCGCGACAGAAGGAGGCGCGACCTCGACCACATTGATCTTTTCGTATCCGCCGCGGGATAACTGGGAACGAAGGGCCATTGACCAGAAATGAAGCCACGCTTTTGTGCCATTGTAGACTGGATTGATAATCGCGAAGGGAACAAATGCAAGGATCGACGACACATTGATAATAGTTGCACCTTGCTGCTTACTCTTGAAGTGTTCGAGTAGGCGAAGGGTCAAGTGCATCGGGCCACGAATGTTAATGTCGATCTCTTCATCGGCACTTTGCAAAAAGTCCGTAGGCTCTTGTCGTAACACTTCAAGGGGGCGTTGAACGCCGGCGTTATTGATTAAACAGTCGAGCTCTGGATATTTCGTGATGATGCTGTCCACGAATGAAGATATTTGATCGATTTTTCCAGTGTCGAGGACAAAGTAATCGGTAGCACCGATTTCTTTCGCGGTCTCGCGTAGAGTGTTTTCGGTTCGTCCAGCAATGATGACCTTCTTGCCTTCCTTCAGTAGGTATTCTGCTATGGCCTTGCCTAATCCACCTCCGCCACCAGTAACGAGAACACAAGAAAAAGAAAGAGGCATCTTCGTGAAATATCTTGCGTTTGGATTGTAGACTAGATGTTAACAGATGATTTGAATATTTATAATAAGACGGTGACGTCTTTACCCACGCCGAGTTCGAACATTACTAATTATTTCGGGATGCCGGCTGCCAAAGATTTTGCTGAAGTCGGCTACTTAATCGTGACCCACAAAAGGGTCAGGATTTGAGCCTCTGATTTTCACTGTAGGAAAATTTCATTCGCATGGGATTTCTCTGTGTCAGACTAATTGTATCCAAATTCCGGGTAAGTGAATTGCCCGTTCACGACAGGGTATGAAATCCAATCACCATCATTTACCTCCTTTGTCTCGTCGTTCCCAACCTCTGAAGAGCCCTTGTGCATTTGAGTAATCTGAAGCCCACTGTTGGCAGGCACAATGTCCTTATCATAGTCAGGAAGACTGATCCCAGAAACAAAAAGATTGCCGCGCGAATCCTTGATATCCAGCATCCGTTTCCTGTAAAGAGCTTAAGGCATTCAAGCAATCGGCTGCCTAACGGCAGGCACATACTTTACCCCAATCTATTAGCTAATTTTCACTTTATAGTTAGTTGGTGGATCGAAGCCACTTACTGGATAGATCTGGACCCTTTCAAGGTCCCAAACCCCACTTCTAGCGTAGATGTCGTTGTTGATCAATTCTCGAACTTCTTCGATATTTTCACCCGTGTATACAACCACACTGCCTAGGAACTGGGAATCTTTCCCTTGCTGTGGATGTTCTTCAAATATTGCACCTGTAGTTTGTTATACATGAGCGGCGGAATCATTTGGTGTTGGCTTGGAAGTGTAAACGGACCTCCATCAACCAGCTTGCCGGAAGAAATCAATGGTTGGATGCCTTCATAGTGACCGCTGATAAAAGCCAGTCAGCATTCTATGCATTCTGAATACATATTTCAAGCTTACCCCTTCACTTTCTTTCTTAGCTCCAAAGCATTAGGGCGGTCGGGCATGATGCAAAGGAATTCTTTCTTTTTGGCTACCGTCGCCATGGTTCTCCAAAGCGCAGCCCGTATTGGTTGCGGGGGTCGAATTGAAAACGCAGTAACGCGAGGTGAGATCCGGCTTAGGAACATTGTAAGATGTTATAAGTCATGTATCAGCGAGCAATTCCCGATGTTTATATATAGCGATCACGCCCGCCTTATGGGAGTGCGGTGAATGGTGTCGGAATGCGCCCCCGGTGCTGAGGAATACAGAACCACACAGCATCAGAAGCGCTATTTGATGACAATACCACCTCTATGGGAAGTGGAATAGAAAACTTGGAGATATTTCTTGGCTCATCGGATGTGTCCCCCGAGATGTCGGAGGGAACAGCCGACTGTGGAGAATACATACAATAGAAGACGTCAAGCAATTTATTTCATGACTAGCCATTAAGAATCGAATAAATTTCTTGGTGCGAAGATGGGCATGGACCGCCGAAAGATTGATTTCATGAGATATCAGGTTAAAAGGGAACCAGACAGCTGCACCACTGACTATCTCGCTGTCTTTGATACTTCAATACCGCCCAGTTCATGATATACGGGCTGTATTTCGGTAGCATGGCCATCTAACTCCATACCATTTTCGTCGACACTTTGTTCATGATTTCCGTATCCACCACTGCTGCTGCTATGGCCATTGCTACTGTCGTTGACATCACCCAGAATGGCATCAGGAGACCAGAATCGTGACTGTGCAGTAGAACCATCTGATGGGTCGGTAGGAGGAGGTGGCGGAGCGTTATGTACCGGACCGGATAGTACAGATTGATCTGTCTCTGGTAGACTGGCCTTGTTGGCTGTTTTCTGGCGTTGACGGCGGATGAAAAGAAACAACACTGCTGCAAGAAGGGCGACTCCAACTAAGGCTGCAATTGCAATACCGGCAACGGCTCCATTAGTCAACGACGAACCATCGTCAGAATTACCATTCTTGGACGGGCATGCATCTCCCGAGCAAGAGGAAGGAACAGAATCTTTGGCAGTTACGGTCACAATGTCTTCCTTTGCATCTTCATCCCAAGAGCATGCAGATACATTGAAGGTCCCTCTTTCGTAGTCGGCGGAAAGATATCTGAAAATGTCAGTGCATGCAAAAGGAGCGAAACTCTGAACACTCACGCTTCCTGCAAGAAGGTTCGACCCAATGTATACTGCGTAGAGTTCGCCGCACGTTTGAGCGGGAAGTAATAGCTGCTGTTATCCACCAATGGAGCTTCCGCAGTAAGAGCAAAGGCATCATACGGTAGAGTCACAGCCACAGCCTCTCCTCCAGAAGACACGTCGGAAATTCGGAATGTAACCTGTGCGTTTGAGTTTAGGAGCTCAGTATTGTGAGTATCATTCACTAGATATAGACCACTTTCGCTATCAAGCGTAAGGTCAAATGCATCTTCAAACGCATCACAGACACTCTCTGGAAGCCAAAGATTGGGGTCAGTTGAGTCGATAAAAGTTAAGATCGGCTCGGTGAGTAATGTGGACGAGGTTGATCCACTGTAGCTGATGGACTGAAGATACACAACCAAGTCACGAGTAGTATCATCGGCCATAGAGAATGATACTGAGTTTGCAGTAAAGCGGGAGGTATCGTATCCAGAGAAAATAAGTTGTCCGTAGACTTGCTTCAAGCCTAGCATCGAAGAGATAGATTAGAGACATATTATGCTGCCAAGGCCTGGTTCACTCACGATACTTAGCGCCGGCCGTATAGCTCCAGCTGAGACTCGGAATAGTTCCGTCCTCCTTCAGTGTCGTAAAATAGGAGGGCGAAGAGAAGTTCCCCAATGAAGTAAAATTGAGAGGTTGTGGATTTAAACCGAAGATTCCGCTATTGGTATTTTGATCAGTGAACCATAAATCCCTAAGACGGACAGCATCTTACAGATAAAATGGAGTAGGTGTTGCGATTCCAGCAACGGTCTGATTTCTAAGCGTCGGACCAGTGAGGCCAATACCAATACTATCCAGAGCGAAGTCCGCCCTTTGATAGTATCCTAGGTTGGCCTCGAGACCAACCCCATTCTGGTTAATACCAAAAAGACCAAGCTCGTCCCAGCTAGATGACTGATTCATATTGAATAAAGTCCCTCTGGAAACTGCACAGTTCGATGGCGCGTTAGAAAACACTGAATGAGAGCAACCATAGTCCGACAAGACAACAAGTGACTCTGGCGACGCCGTAGAAACAAGTACTCGAAGCGACTGTTCCGGGGTCCCCACTCGCAGATTAAAGCTGCTCCAGGGTCCATCATTTCCTTCACTGACTCGGAGTATTAGCAAAGGGGAAACAATCAATCCAGGACAGGTTGATCAAAATACAAATATTCGCTGGGTGCGATAGCTAAGGCAGACGGAGAGCGTTCAGCCAGGCCAGCTGCTAAACAACCTAGAATCAACGGAGTTATAAATATTAACTGTTGTATGATTTTGGAATGCATTGCGGTGAGCTGAGGATTTCAATAAGTGATCCTCAGAGTACAACGTTACTGAATTCATTCCCATGTGGCTAGTGTGGCGACCAGAACCTGCAGGAGTCATAGCCCAGCCCATTAAGCTTGGACAGCTACATCACTGCCGATTTCAAGATCTCCGAGCCAATTGCTGTATTGAGATCGGCATTGTTGGGGCCCAGGGGCAACGGGCGGCCCCTGACAGGTCGACGCCCACGCACGGCCAAGGTTGCAAAACCGGCTGAGGGTCGGCCAAAAACCTGCTCTGTTGTCATTTCAGGAACCAAAATCCTCGTTTACGCTCGTTTAACTTCTTTTTTAGTTCTGATGTAAAGCGGAACAGCACTTCATGGAATCCTTGCCCTTCCTGGCTAGTAAAAATGCCTGTCTTTACCTTTCTGAGTTAATACGCCGCTCTTGTTAGGCACAATGACAGCATCAATAAACAATCGCTGGTCGACACGAGATTTCAATGCTAGTCTCGTAGGGTAATTGCTTACTGCTATTATAAACTTTGATTTAAATCCTTCACTTGAGAGTCAGCCGTTGTCCTATCTGTCGTTTGGTCTCTGCATCTACATCACCATTAGCAAAGAATCGTACTACATCGTGTACCGTACGTTCGATGAAATCGCTCACTATGTTATCTACTCTGCAATGGGTTTTGCTTGGGCTAAGTATGTCCGTGACAGGCGCCCTGCATGATCCCGGTAAGAAGTTCGCGAAAATGAAATCCATTCTGGGCGTGTTTAACACAGCGAAGTTATTCCAACGCCACACTCCCCAAGTTACGACACTATAAGGAGCAGTACTACGGCTTGCACGTCTGAGAAGACCGATGACTGGCCTATGTCGTCAATCTATCCTAGCGACACCACAATCGACACTACCACTGCCATTCAGGTGACACCGCCGATAAACATCTCAACTATACCGACAGTATCAACAGCATGCTTTAATAGCACAGTCACTACTACCATAATAGTATCAATGATTGAAACGCAGTGGTCCACTACGTCATTGACCGCCACTACTACGGTAACAAACACAACTACCGACATTATCAAAGACACTGTCACCGATACTACTACAGTCACGAACACAACTACAGCTATCGTTATGGATACTATCACGGACACCACTACCGACACTACAACTGCTACGAAGACAATTACTGTGCCGACGACCATCACAGAAGCCCCAAATCCCTGCCCGACTACATGCAGCATGTACGTTATTCCAGTCGACAGAATAGAATGACATGGAAATGGCTGACTGATTCTACATTTATAGGTCTGTTGGAACCGTCAATTTGTTTTACTGGCCAACGAATCAGCCGCACCACGTTTACCCATCGACTTACGTGAATTCACATCTCAGTCAAACTTTGTAAGATTACCAACTGTTACTATCGCTTCTTTGCAACTAACGCTCAACACCACACAGCACGTCACCCTCAGTGTACATGATCGTTGACTATCTCTATGGATACAACACCGCTGGTCAGACTGGGCCCTCTGGCACCAGCGTCGTGTTCCCGCTTGATCTAAATCAAGTCTCGACTATAGATCTTACCAACTCAGCTACTCGCCAGCTGACCTTGAATGATCTTGGAACAGACTGCCCACAGAGTGAAGCTCCCTCGGCTATCGCAACGGCGACACCCAACTCCCGCTGTGATCCTATTCTGGTAGCTCCAGAGCCCGTCAAATCATGGGCTTCGCCTTGCAACGCATGCGGCAACTTTGGGCTGTTTGACCCTCCCTATGCTGTAGGGCCGATCACCGGAGGTTTGGTGCCGATGACGACGACTGTCGCAACCTCTTCGGAAATACAGGCTACCTCGAGCACAACATTGCTTTCTGCCGCCGAAGCCACTACTACTGCAGCAGAATCTACCACGGTTGCGACTACCTCGGAAAGTTCTTCTTCGGGCGAGGAGACTAGTTCGCCTGTTATGGAAACCAGCTCTACGCAAACTGAAATTGCTTCTTCCGCTACAGTCCCAACGCCAGTTTCACCGAGCACTGAACTGGGTGTCACTTCTTCGTCATCTATCAGCTTGGTCTCTAGTCCAGCGACTACCTCTCCGATATTTAATTCTGCGACCAAAGGAAGTTGTCTTAGTGTATCTCTAAGCTTAAGTTTCCTTACACTGGCACTTCTGTTATAGATCAGAAACTCGTTCAAAATTGGTGCTCCTTGTCAGCTTCTACCAGATACTTCGCGCATGGTTAGGTGTAGTCGTCATTATATCATGTAATAAAAAAAAAAAAAAAATAAAATAGCTGAAGCTGAATGCGAAGACATCATCTAAAGCCTATTATCATACACTCAAATCCACGGACCGAAAGAACTGCTCGTCAGACCTAATTATTATAACTTTCTATGCCCAAGATCACGAAGATGAAATCATCATTTGCATGGGCCTACCGTAATCTTGTTCAGTATGCCCATCTCTCATCTGGTTTCCAGCTAATCATAACATTCACAAGAAAACGTTACCATCAACCCTTATCTTCCAAATTCATGCTCCAGCAAAAGAACTGAAGTTCTCTTTCTGCTTACTGAGCGACAGGATGATGTAATTCGGCTACTCGAGAGAGATTATTATTTTCTGAAACATTCAGTTCCGAATGGACGAGGCTTCAGTCAGTGCCCCCTCCCCCACCAGCTAAATGGACAATAAATTCACTCATTGATCTTCACTGTATATAAATCCTTTGGAAAGAAGAAATGTGGATTTGATTAATCAATACAAGAGCTTTATCGCTCGTAATCAAAAAATATGCGCCTTCTTTCGTCTGAAAAGTAGCATTGGAGTTTTGAAGACTACTGAGAAAGTAATTGCTCTCCAAGGAATCCCTTCGTCCTTTCAACAACGCACCTCTCCTAATTGCTGGATCGTACAAACCGAGAGTGGTTGCGCTGTTCAGCGGGCCGACAATTGCCATCTTCCCTCGGAAGAAAGCCGATATCCACCAAGTATTGTGTGCTTTTATCCAGCGCTGCAATAGTATCTCTTTGACTTAATCCAGCCGATTGTTTCACTAGAGAGGAACCCATGAACTGCCTTATATTTGCTTCAAACCAATCCATTACCGGTAAGAAAGGGTGTTCCATGTCATGACTTTCGACGTCGGCTCTCAACGTTGTCATCCACTCGGCGTGCCCAATAGTCTTGATCGTTCGACCACTGCAGCTGCTAAGAATCTTGCAAAAGGTCTCGATCGGCACTCCATCGTGGCAATCCAATGCTTGTTCGCTGTGCAGATTCAGAACACTGTCCACCACAAGGGAAGTAATTTGTTCAACCCCTGCTACCGGAATATCTGATTTCCACAGATCCTCGCTCACTGATCCAAGGGACAAAATACTGTAGGCTAAGCGCCACAGGAAGTCTTCGGGATGGGCAATTCCTTCCCATCTTGTCCCTACCAGATATCCCGGTTGTACTACTCGTGCCCGTGGAACTGACGAATTCGGCCCTTGGTCGAGCTGGTGATTGTATTTCTCCACCATCATTCGTGACAAAAACTTCGTTTGATCGTACCCACACGCTTGAGCGAGATTATTTAAAGCTTGCTCTCGAGTTTCTGTTGGTGATGGGAGATACCCTCCGCACACGTATGTAAATGGACACGGTGCTGGCATATTGGACAGTGCCTCCAGAATTATGCGAGTGCTGTCAACATTTGTGGGCTTTAGTGACGAAAAGTCATCCAGCCAGTTGACTCGGGCGCCGTTGTGGATGATTCCATCGATGCGCATCCGACCCGTCAAGTCTCCCCAATGTGCATCGTCAAGGCCCAGCCTTGGAAGGCTCAAATCCCCGAGCCATACTTCAATCTGGGAGTCAAATTCAACGCGCCACCACTGACAGAGTTCAGCATGAGCTCGTATCTTGTCTCGGGCTTCCGCTTCACTCCCCGAACGCACCAAGCCCACAACGTGGCTCACACTGGGGTCCTCCAGTAATTCCCGAAGCAGCTGACTGCCTAGGAATCCGGTAATCGATGTTGCAAAGATTCTCTTTGTCTTTTGAACATGAATGGGTACAGGAATATCGATCAAGCTTAATTCATCCAGGAGGTCTCTCGAGGCGTTGGTATCTGACCAGGCATCCGATAAGCCATCTGCTCGGCCAGAAAGTCCCTGATCAATCTGACACACTGTGATCCCAGGTTGCATCAGGTCCTGAATCGGAGCAGTACCACCGAAACGCCGGCGTATCTCTCCAGAAAGATATGCAGTTTGGATGGAATCCAAACCCACACTGGTCAAAGGAAAGTCCCAGCCGCGTAGGCCTTCTCCAGCCGATGGTTGTCCTGTTTCAACCAGGTCTGCAATCATGTTGCTGAGTTGAATAGCCCGCGATTGAGCCGGATCTATTTGGGACCATGTGTGACGGAGAGTGCCTCCAGGCCGAAGTGCCATGGTCTCGGATAGTGTCATACTTGCCCAGTCTGAAATCAGCTGCTGCCGGTGAATCTTCTTGGAATCAGTCAAAGGCATGGATTGGACAGGCACAAAGGCACTGGGAACCATATAAGATGGCAATATCTTGAGTAAGTTTGCGCTCATCTGGTCCGCTAAGGATGGGTATTGTCCGTCCTTTTGTTCGATAAAAGCCACCAGCTCCGGGCTTTGAATGCCTTGTTGGTCCTTGGCCAGAATTACTGCAGCCTGTTCACCACCGGGAAGGCAGTCACGGAGGACCTTTTCAATCTCACCAATCTCAACACGGATTCCGCAAATCTTGACGAACCCAGCCCGACGACCACTGAAGATCATTTTCCCGTCAGGCTGCCACCGAGCCAGATCTCCCGTTCGATAGCAAAACGCTGAAAATGGCCCAGTAAGAGTCGAAAGTGATTCCGGTAGAGATATGAAATCGGCGCTTTTCTCGGTATTATCCAGGTATCTCTGCGCAAGATAGGGACTCTGAAGCAACACCTCGCCTTCAACTCCAATCGGTTGCAATCTGTCAATATTGTCTGGATCAACAATCCAACACTTTGCACCAATACCACGCCCGATTGCTTTCGGGTTGTCCGTAGATCGGAGATTCAACTCGATTGTATCCCAGACTCCGCCTTCAGTGAGTCCGTAGATATTGCTCAGTCTGACCTTGTCAGCCCAGGTGCTCAAAATGGCTGTTGTGGGCGCTTCGCCCCCAATGTACAAATTCCTCAATGTGGGCAGGGCGCCTGGTCTTAAGGATGCCACAACTGCAGGAGTCAAAGAAGCATCAGTGACGTTGAGTTTGTGCATGACCCCTTCGAGGTCTTCAATGCGCTCCTCCTCGGAGGGTATGCAGACAGTGCCCCCAACAACCCAGGGTGCAAATAATTCGCATATGCTAGCATCAAAGGAGAATGAGGCAAATTGCAGGAACCTGGTGGTGGGCTCCAGTTCAAATGTCTCGCCAACGGCCTCCAGGCTCCCAGACACTGCACCATGCTGATGGACAACCCCTTTTGGCTGCCCTGTACTGCCAGAGGTGAACATTATATAAGCCACTTGAGAAGAGTCCACGCAGAGCTCTTGAGTCCATTCATTGGATAGAACCTCTCCGCTCTCTAGAGATGAAGGTGTTATTGTTCGTAATTCGTCAAAGTGATTGTGGCCTTTCAATCTCTCTAGAATAGCGGTTTCCACAAACAACACTTGAATTCCAGCCCTTTGCGTGATGTATTCTATACGATCCACGGGATTTGAAGTTGCGATTGGGACATAGCCTGCGCCTGCTCGCAAAATGGCCAACAGCACTATGAGCGACAAGGCGGACTTTTCCACGCAGAAACCAACAACGGTCCCTGCTCCGATTCCTAGACTGCGGAGTTGGAGCGCCATCGCAGCAGATCGCTTTCCTAATTGCTCGTAGGTGACATCTTCTAAGGTGCTAGATACGGCAACATGCGCAGGTCGTTCCCGATAGTGCCGATTCACCAAACCATGAATAGTGGTTGCGGGTTTTGGTGCATCGGTTTGCATCCACTGACAGAAACGCAAGCGATCGTAGTTGCTGATGACCTCGATATCTTTGACCATTTGGAATGGATAGTAGACCACCGACTCCAGGATCTTTCGCAAACTATCCAGAAGATCGGATAATTCGAAATCACAAGGTCTCGCGCGCCGGGAATACAAATTGAGCATGACACTGTCTTGTCTGGACCACTGGACCACTAGTAAAAGACAAACCTAAGCTGGTCAGCACCGATTCTAACACAGTTTTCAAAAAAGCTTACCTTTGATACCTTTTCCAGGTTGAATATTTCCTCGGGAACTTCATTTACTGGTATAGCCTCTTCGTGTGCGAGCCAAACAGCGTAACGCTCCAATCCCTCACTTATTCCTTTATCCAGAGCTGACTGGCTATTTTTGCGTTGGTATAGAGCCTCTTGGAGATCTAACACGTTCCATTCTGACTCAAGTTCGACCGAGATTGTCTCCGGCTTTGCGGCCTCGGCGGGGGACCGACGAGTCCCTGTACGGCCGAAGCTCTTAAACGAGACTGGATTATGGCTGTAATACCCCTTCAATAATACTGTCCAGGCAACCAAAATGGCAGACTCTGCTTTTGAGCGGGGTAGTGGAAGAGGCATAGAGATCGGAGTGATGGAAAGCACATCCGGCGAGTGATCCTTCTTTCCCAGATTGTCAGGACAATCGGAAGACTCCTGTATAACAGACGCTGGAGTATGAAAGCGCATAGTGATCAAACAAGTGAGTCTATTGAGAATTTGCAGGATCACAACCGAATTTTGATGTTTATGCTTTGGAAGGTTCCCTTTATATTATATCATTGGGCACCTGCTATACCGCTCTTTGAAGATGATACGATATAAATATGCCCCAAGGATTTTGGAAATTGGCGCATACAAACTATCCACAAAGGCCAAAGCCACGGCACTGGTGAACACAACAATTCCATGAGTGATGTCTCTTTGAGGTCACCAGTACAGACCGCTCTTTTAGGTTTTCATGGACCGGTTTCTTGCTCTTGACGCATTTCTCTGTCTTTAGCTTTGAATGAAGTTAAGAATATAGCCCGCCATCAAGCGGCACCTGGGTCAAATCCGGGATTGGGGCACGTAACCTGCAGCGAAGACTCGCATGTTGCCAATACAAGTGACAAAGCCAGGCGTAAGTGCTCGGCTATCATGTTATGAGGTGGGCCGCGAAGGTTTAGAACGCAGAGTAACGTAACCAAAAGAGTCTGCCTGATCTACTCCTTCGTTATGTTCAGCAAAAGACAAGTGGATGATCATCTGCTTTCAGGAAATATCTATTACGGTTACAACATTGGTCTGAGTCTCTGGATCATCAACTAGAAAACTACAGGGATTTCTTTAATCTGCCCAAAGGTGGCGAATCTCATACTTGGTCGATCCGATCTCGTCACTGTCTGCAGATAACCATCACGCATCATGCATTCTTTGTCATTTAAGCATCATGCAGGCGCCTTGCAGGATCTTCTCGATTGACCGATCGCTCGGAAATCCATAAATCGTATCACAGTACATGATTCAAATGCATGCATAGTTCATATCAACCATTCACATCAAGATCACCCGGAGATCCTCAAATCGGATTGCAGTACATAACCTACATGCATGCCTGAGTTCGTATCGGCCATGCACACTGAACCTTATTCTCCATCAACAATCGAATCAAACACAATTATAACGAAGCGAAAATAAGACCTTACTTACAAACTCAAAATTCGACCCACTTCAGTGCATGCGCATCATCAAACTCCAATTTTGGTGAAGAAATCGGCCCCTTACAAGTTGGCTGCACCGCTGGATACAGCACACGGGTATCCTATACGTGATTTCTCTGGTGTAGACTTTTGAATCTTGGATGGAGATGACGATAAATATTGGTGTCGGTGAAATTGACTCTCCTTGAGGTTGGCTACACCGCCACTGAACCACCTCGCTATGTGAGTATATTGACGTAAGGCATTGTATGATTTGCCTTGCCAGGGCGCGACTTCTGTTCACATTATATAAAAGAGCTGTATCTCAGAGCGATAATTTCGGGTTTTTATTAGATACCGCTTGACATTCTTCTTCCCTGTCATATCTCCCACCGACCTTCGCCTTTCCACACAGAGTCCCGATATTGTGAGACGCTTTTCTATCGCCTTCATTTCCTCAGCAATCATGGCGACCACTCCTATTGGCAACAAAACTTTGGAGCTTCTTCGAGCCCGGCTTTTGAATGCGGTCAAGAAGGAAGCAGCGGCACTCGTGGCGGAAGACTTCGGGAGCCCCAGTGATATTGATAGGAATTTCAAGTCTTTGTTTCAAGCAGAACTGGGCCCCCACGAGATAGCCAGTCCGGATTCGACCATTCTCTTCGATGAGAAACAGAACAACTACGATGTGGTTGCGTATAACCCAAGCAGCGGTCTCAATCCGAAAAGAGCCGTCGAACTCGTCAACCCTATCCGTGACAATCTTGTCGGCGTTTGGAAAGTGCTAGAGTACAGCATGCTCGACAAATCCAATCGAAATGAGAAAATACATCCATGGGGGCCCATTCTGGACGGGCAAGTAATCTTTACTCCCGATGGGTACGTCAGTGCCATGGTCGAGATCCCGGGACAGCACCCATTTGGAGGTGATGAGCCCTGGACTTCAGGGACAGCTGAACTCGCGGAATCAGCAAGAAGATCGTGTTGTTACAGTGGAAGATTTTTTGTCGAAAGAACAGCCATCGGAGCAACCCTGGTTTACGAACTGGAGCTTTGCAACTACCCTGTTTTTCGTGGACAAAAGTTCCGAGTGTACCTCGACTTTGTGAAGAAAGGCAACCAGCAATTTCTTATCACAACATTGACATCCAATGATTCAGCAAGACAGAAGCAGGAGGTGTTCCTCAAGATATAGGGACAAGGGAGCGTGGTTACTTATGGATACAGTAACAAGACTTGGTGCATCCACCACGATTCTAGTCACTTTAGTTGATGTCAGTTGCTAGTTCGTATGTCGTTTATTACTACTCAATCAAAGAGTGAAAGCTAAATCCAAAGCTATCTGACATGTGCGTTGTTGTTTGATTGTCTTCCCCAGTTCATTCCCCCATGTATTGCTGTCCTGTCTCCCAAATTACCACAAAGACGTAACTTCAGACATCAACATGATCTTTCATACATGTTATTTACCATGAACATGATAGGATATTGATACTAGATAGTAAGCTATATTAAGTTGTGCAATAGGAACGGCGCCACAATCGTTTTGGTGAATAGTTAAGTTAATAGTAATTGAGAAAGCATATAAATAAACAAACAACTAAACAAGATTACGAAAGTAGCACGAGAGAATTTCTGCAATCTATCACATAGGCCTGCGCTGCATTATACAGTGCTAAGCTTAGTGATAATCGTGATATTGATGATTATAATCACTGGCCCCTAATTAGCTCACAAGATATCTGCCATTACTAACATATTTAGCTCGTGCTCAATCGTCACGGGATCTCCAATCAATTGGCTATTGTAGAGTATAGAAAAATAGTAGGGTATGAAAAGATAGTGAAGTCCCCTGTGAAGATCCGGCCTTGGGAATTGGCTTTTTTTCCCGATTCATCATTTTTAAATTCTGAATATTGCTCATCGCCCAAACTGCAGGCAATGCGACTGGCATAATTCAGGTAATGGCTTCGTTCATTTGAACCAGGCCACAGTCTGGGTTATGCAAGGGACTTTCTAGTTACATACTCTGTTTTCAACATCAGGGCACGACTTTCACCGCTCATGCAGAAAGACAGAGATCGAGATCTTTCGCCGAGATCTCGATAGATCAGTTTTTTTGAGATTTAATTTTGTAGTCATGCGTGGCGCCTTATCCACCAATATTCCAAAATACACTGTGCGCGACGAACTATTGGCGGACCGAGGAACACTCCTAACATTACTTCTTTTGCTGCATGATCAAATTGCCTATGTAGGAATTTGTAAATTAAATGAAAGAATCTTATCTCTCAACTCAGGCATCTGGCGGATCTCTATGGCCAAACTCTACCGAAGAATTCTCCAATGGTACCGATTAACATGGGAACCGACGACAACAAGGGTGTTAATGCAAGAATCCAATAAGAATGGACTCTATACGTCATCTTGAAATATCTCGGAGCTTCATCGTGCTCATCTATACTAATGGGCACAGTGGTGACGGATTTACTAAAGGAAATTGCTTTCCACCATGAATGCATCTGCTATACAGGCGATCGCGGGGTAAAGCATCCCTGGTCTCCCTTTCAAGGAGGTAAAAGAGCGTTTATGGTCAGGAAACCACTTTTACAGCATCAAAGTGCTCTTTTTAAGATATCCATTTATGGATGGAGAGTTTCTCACTCCCCCCGTCTCTCTGAGTCCAATCAAACCTATAGTCACTACCGATACGTACTCCCATGAAGGGAAAGTAAGGGTTGAATTCCATCACTTGACCTCCAGTCCATATCATGGTTGTAAACTGTAAACCGGTTCAGTGCCCTTTCAAGTTAATTTTAGTCTGGGATCCGCGGTAAATACCATTGGACGATGCACTCCTGAGATATCTCAAACTTTCATTCTGGCATGATTCGGTCTGAATACTGCGAGGAGTCTAGCAACTTGGTCCATTTGTACTGATGCGTGATACTTCCAAATTTTACTGTCTCTTCATATCCTCCCGCAGCTTGAACCGGGAGGGTAGGTGACGAATTACATTGGTCGTTGTCAAGGATATCGCTGATCAATCTCGTCCCCAAAGTCTCTTGGTGCATGTGAGATGGATCCCAGCTAAATATATGATTATTCTAATAGGCTATAAACGATGTTTTTCATTTTAAATAATGCTTGTATGACGGGTCGAGTGGTACATAGAAGCCCCTGGAATCATTTTGACTTGGTATAAATATAAAGAGTTGGTCTGACCGAACCAAAATACTAAAACATATGAAATCACTCTGCTCTCCTACGATTCAGTACCAAGATGCTTCCCACCACCACCAATAACAAAAATCTCGGAAGCGGCCTGACCAACAAAAGATGGCTAAGCTGTCTCAGTATCTGTGGCTGTCTCTCAGCTGTCTTTCTCATCATTGGTCTCGCTGCCTCGAGAAATATCCCTCCAACAAGACCATGGTGGGATGCCGAAACTGTCAAGACTCATTACTTGACATATCACAAAGGCACCCAAGCTGCGAGTATATTCCTGTTTGTTTCTGGGGCACTCTTCCTGCCCTACTCCACCGCAATTACCAGTCAAATCCGACTCATCCCCGACCTCAACCCAGCCATTGCAGATCTCCAGCTCGCCAGTGCAACAGCTGGTGTTTGGTTCTGGATGATATCAGCCATCTTCATGTCACTTTTGAGCTTCCGTGATTACAGTGCTGAGTTGATACAATTCCTCAATGATGCGATGTGGATGTCCCTTCTCCTGAACTGGCCAATCTTTTGGGTGCAGTTCTGGACCATTGCTTGGGCAATTTTCGCCGACCGCAGCGCCGACCCGGTGTTTCCGAAGATCATGGGATGGGTGAATCTTGTTGCTCCGGTAGTGCTCGCATTGGGATCGGGGGTTCATATGCACCACACCGGCCCTTTCGCGTGGAATGGTGGGTTGGTGTTTTGGCCTACTCTTGTTGTTTTCGGGGTGGAGATGAATTGCTCTTGTTGGTTTATACTACAAAATGTTCGGCGGAACCGATATTAATAGGTTTATTTCGAGGGTCTACCTACATGGTGGTCTCTGTGGGAGGATGATAACTTTGTCGAGCTTTACCTTGGTGTTCTGGGAGACATTGGGAGTCAGTATGACACTTGAATGTGTGTTCTTGTTTGTATCTTGCTATATGGCTTTCAAATCTGTGTTGAGAAGTGCCTGGGAACGAAAGGTCTCTAAAGAAAATTTCAGGGTGCTATTACGATCAAAGCAGCGATATTTTGCCCCAGATCTACACATCAATTTATTCCATGCTTTCAATTTAATGAATGGTTACTTTTTTGATATACTTAATCATACAGCAAGACTTATTTTGAAAATGTACAGTTTCCTGTACCTTGGACATGGCTAGACACATTTTATTTATCATGTTAGTCCCCACGATGGTCATAGTCTGAAATAAGCCATTACTAAGCACTGAAGAAATAGTTATCCAATGACCTCTAAATAACCATTTGACGCTGGCATAGGTAACCGCTGAGTTATACTCAGCCTGAACTCGCATCGAAAATATCACATCACGTACTATTTACCCAGCTAACTGCTCTATCGGACCTCACGCTTCTAGAATAAAGTTTATTGAACCTTTTAACGAGTAAATCCGGCAGACCTCACCAGATGACAAGGCTGTTTCGTCAAATCCTACGCCGAAGAATTCTGGTCCAATCTGATCATTGGGAGGATATGAATTTCCGAAGCAGCTATTGAATGGCAAAGTTGTCCGGTATGAGCATTGCACCAAGCATTGTTCGAGCTGATAATGTGCAAGCAAGGGGATTGCGTCCAGGTGATATTCGTGAAGAAAACTTGGAATACCAAACATGCATTCATGCAATGCATAGGCGAGTGGATGGCGCAGCCGATTCTTTTTCTTCTTTATTTTCTTCTTTTTTTTCCTTTTCTTTTTTTTCTATTTTTCCAAGACTTGCTAAACTATGATCTTATGCATTGCCTACGTAGTCATAATACCGCCTCTTTTGGAAAGTGGCGGTCTGCGAAAAGACGTCAAGACATGGCAGGGGATGATTATCTTGATTGTCCTCTTGATGGAAGAGGTACATACGTACAGTGCGGTATGCCAAGCACTCTGTTTCTATATAAGTAGTACTCGTCTTTGTCTCATGGCTCCTCGATAGATTAACGAAGACTCAACTATTCAAATTAGATTTAAACATTCACGTTCTTCTCTGCCAGAAGCAACGTGAACATTGATTTCTTCCACTCAAAATCTCAACATTGAATCATTACCAAAATTCAACATGGTTCATCAGATAACTAATGAGGCTGCTCATTCTATCTCCCTTCCCTTTCTCGGGAGGGATCTGAATGAAGTTAGATCATCATCTTGTGATGCTGATGCTTGCCTCGATATCTTTCAACAAGCGCAAACGCCCGATTTTTTTCGATCCGTAGCAAAGGCTATGCAACTCCGCCAGGCTTATCTACGCGATGGCTGCATCTTCATCAGTGGAGAAAATCTGATACCCATTTTAAAGGGGATTGGGGCGAGAGAAGAAGATTTTGAAAAGCTCAAGGAGGTCAGCCATCATCTGGACCCGGACCCAACGGTGGATTATCGAACTTTGAGAAGTGGAAGATTCTCTGTGGATATGAGGGCTGGAACTATCGAGCGACTCCAAAGACAGCCCTTCGTTCTGACAATGGTTGAGAACTACAAACGACACGACTCGGACATTCCTCGTGATTTCGGTGACTTTGACGAAAATCATCAAAACAATACCGTCGTTCAGGCTATGCTCGTTTTCAAAGCCTGGGTCACTCAAGACGTCCCTGTGCTGGCTCGCCCCGGTATAGACTACGATAAGGATATGGTCCTTACAGAGATTTTCAACGTGCATACCTTCACGAATGAGAAAATCCAGGGATATCCGGCTTTGGAAGGTGTGCACCAGGACGGATCCGATCATACCATGACTGTAAAGCTTGGATCTTCCAACATTACTGCTGACTCTGGGATCACATTTGTTCATGCTCGGGATGAGACAACGGGCGTTCAGCATTCCGAGACGACGATGGAGCTGCTCAAAGGCCGATATCAGCACCGTGACTTTCTAGACACGTTGCTTTTCACAGACAACAGTTTCAAGCACAGTGTGACCCCGGTCTACGCACTAGACAAGAGCCAGCCGTCTTACAGAGACATGTTCGTTATATTTTCTCGCAAGCCAAGAAGTGAGGATCATTCATCCGGATTTCCGGACTCTTTGGAGCCGCACAAGAAATTCAAACTCAAGTTTCCGATCTGGCTTCCCCCTCTCCCAAAGCCTCGCGCCTGTGGTCAACCACATCTCAGGAAGCAAAGTATGCCTTTCCAGAAGTACACCCTTTCTTTATTCATATCCGCCAATGGCGAGATGATGCCTTCTCTTGATGGAAATTTCGGAACACATATTCCTGTTAATTCTTGAGATATCCACGTCGATGTTGATTGATTTGCTTTGCTATTCGTCTAATTTAGCTTGAGTGGTTTACTTCGCTCACTCCTAGTTTTGTGGACTCAGAATGGATTTTATTTCTTGCACGTCATCAGAGTGCTCAAATGAATTATAGTAATTTACAACTCCGAATTAGGCGAGGCTAATACCTAGCTCAACCCCCGGGTATTCAGGCCCTTCATTGCTGATCGAGTGTAGCAAGTCAACATTTTCTTGGAATTTGGCCATGGGCACTCAATTATTTTTCTTGAGATTTTCTTGTTCACTCCACTGGGCACTTTCTTTTTATGTGACGGGATGTATACTTCTTGGTAGTAAACACCTTGATGTTATCATTTGTTACTATCTCATTTTCTTGGCCTCTTCTAGTCTGATGTCTCTTCGCTTTGACTCTGTCGCATCGTTTGGGTAGTATAACTTCCTCTGCTAAATAATATTATATCCCACTTGATATTCTCATTTATCGTATAGGAATAAATCATTCATGCTTTGCAACTTTGAAAGCACCAAGAAGTCCCTACAGAGCCGTTATCTCTCTTCGTTGGAAACTTTCCGCCAACCGCAGAGACAACTCCACTTAATAATAGATGACTGTCATCCTGCTAGATCTTAATTTTCTGTGTGGCTATTCATTTCTAAATCTTGAACAAAGTGCCATTATTCCATTAACTGATAATAGCAGCACATTGAGCGTTCAGGCAACGCAACAGAAGGGATAGAAATTAAATCCGAGCGAAACTTTATCACGCAGCTATCATTCCTTGTTCTCTCTTCTGAGCATCTGAATCATAGTGGATAGATCCTCGAGCCCCTGTCCTGACTCGACCGCTTCCCTCAAAAGAGCATTGAAATCCTCCAACAGACGGCCCGACACACCTGATGTCTCCGCCGTCTCACGCGCATTACAAACCACTCCCAACATTGTGCTGACAGTTACTGAGTCCCCAGGTGTTGATTGGGACAGATTTTGGTCTGTTTCGGCCATTTGCGGCAACAGACTTTGAAAAATTGGCAGCAGGGGCAGAAGACTCTTTCGTGTAAAATCAACTGTATCAACACCTGCGGCTCCAGCTAAAGCCAGGGATTGAAAAAAGGCCGCACAAAATCCTGCAACCATAGAAAGAGCAGCATTTTCCAGCAAACAGATATTTTTGTGGTCATCTGACGACCACACTGTCTTGCCAAAGATCTGACAAATGTGCTTCTGCTTTGCGAATACGGCTTCCGGTCCACTGTATGTAATGTCTGCCTGTTGTGCTTTGACTTCCGAGGGAATGGAGTTAATCCACCCGTGCAGATACCCCAAAGCACTGAGTTTGTTGGTCACAATATCTGCGGTTCCAATCTCCCATTGTGGTCGACTCGTTGTAAAGTTTATGACGGTGCAGCCAATGAAGGTCGGAATTCTGCTGAGCACATCTCGAACAACCTCATCTGAGGCCAGAGATATCAGCACGAGCGAGCCAGGCTGTGCACAATCTGCTGGAACTTTAGCCACCTTGGCACCCCTTGGAATAAAATGTTGCGCCTTGTCGATTGTTCGATTCCAGATGGTCACCAGGTGGCCCTTGTCAAGTAACACGGAAGCAATAGCGGCTCCCATGTTCCCCAGGCCAAGGACTGATATCGGTACAGCTGTGAATTCCATCGCAATAGAATGACTTTAGCTGTCAAAAAGGAATCAGAGAAAGCAATTTGAATGAATAGGAAATTCAAATTAAGTTAGCCAAAGGCTTTCTTCATAGACCATACGAAACGAAAAACAAGTATCTGATAGACTCCGGCTACTTCAAAATGTCGCAGGCCCCTTACAGCTTGTTCTTCGCGGTGAGATACGAGAAATTTCAAGTATCCAGAGACTCGAAAGCTACTGCTGAGATATTCATCAGATGAGCAGAAAACTGACTTAGTTGTCAAGAAATGCAGATGAAAGCCTCGAAGTTTGTTTGCCGAGAACCTATCAACACGATGCATCACTTTTTGCCAACATCATATAACTCTGGCTATGGCAAATTCTAAACGCTCTGTACTGCATCCGGTATAACGATATTCAAGCTGAGCCCATTCAGCGGAGTACTGAGTATGGCCAGCCATTGGATAAAGTGGCGGTGAGACTATAATCACTAAGTGCAGTGCTGCTGGAAAATGGGCCCTCCTGTAAGGGTGTCGATCGATGGGAATACCTGGGATGCTCATCTTGCATACGCCTGCTCATGTTATGCTGGCTGGATTATTCGGGACAATGCGTAACTATGCACCTTCAGATATAGAACAACAACTTGCAGCGTCTCATGTGAGACAGTTGGCGTGATTCTAGTTCAGCGAACTTTAAGCAGTTCCAAAACGGGTGAAGTTATTATTAATTGTGTTCTTATTCTCCAAATCATTTTCCTCAACCTCTCTATCCTGACAAGCATTTTGTTCAATTTTGAACTTGTGAGACATGGGCCACCTGAGTTGAAATCCGGAGATATCCCGTTGAAAAGGCACATGAAATCTCTCCATATCGGTAGCCTTTTTTCTTTGTTCGTTATATCTTCCAATGGATCCCCTCTAACTGTTCGGGTAGAGGTGATTTAAGTCAGCTTAATCGGTCTACAAACTACCTTTTCACCGCCTTTAGGGCCTTTTATGTTTCTGCCACTGTCTTTATATCTACCTTGAGATCTATTGTTTGTTATGTTACCCTTTATATTAGACCTAAATGTATCATCTCTGATTTTTGCAATCTCCGCTCATCAAAGCCATATTCAAAAAAAAAATAAACGACAATGAAAAACTCTCAATATCCGTAGCTTGTGGGCCAGAGCAAAAATCACAAAAAATAAATGTGCATCATCCGTGAATCGAACACGGGCCTCGTCGATGGCAACGACGAATTCTACCACTAGACCAATGATGCTGAGACATCAAACAGCTGGAATTGCTGATTGGCTGCTGATATTCGGTTCCCTATATTAAGCTACATGTAGTACAGCATATCCTGTTATACAGGATCAGCTGAACATGGGTTGCAAAAGCTCAATTTTCTGTGTGAAATTAGCCGTTTTATGATAAATTCCGTGAAGATTCTGACTCTAAAACATGGTATCCATTAGATCAGCTTCGTACTTTAAACGAGTGCGAGGTACGAATACGAGAATTTCTAGCCCCCAATCTCGTAACGTCATTACTCCCCTCACGTTTTGACTCTACTCCCTACGGTGATGATTTAGCATCTTTTTATAATATTTAACCCCATCCCCTACTCTACAGCCAATATGCGTGCCAAAGGAAATATGGGAAATAAAACCGTCCAGGAGCCTCCGCATCCTATGGGCATCCGACCAGAGCACATAACCGAGTTTGAACGACTACTCTGGATACAACCAAAGTACGACGCGCATGCAATCAATGAATACTGTATTCGATATGACAGCGACGACTCAACCTTGCTTACAGCAACTGGAAAGAGATATAACGAGAAGTCTACGCGTGAATTCCGCGATTCGTCCGGTCTTCCCTTGTTCGAAATGCAAAAAGTCCGGTGGTCAGGCTTGAAACCTAGACGACCGTGGCGGATTCGATTACCAGGGAGCAAAGAGGATGATCTGGTTGATATCCGGTTTAAGGGCCTGATGAATACCACCTTTGAAGTGACCTTTCGTAATGCTGTCGCGCGCGATACCAAGAACGAGAACGATAAAACGGTTCATATTGTGGTGCACCGCGTCTCACCATTCTATCAGGTATATGAGGTGAGGGCGGATGGCATCAAAGTCATGGATATACGCGAAAGTATGGAACGGAACCGATCCGTCCCCACAATCATGTATAATTCAAGTGGGGGGATATTGCCTCCTCGATTAGTGATGGAGGTCCTGGTGGCTGCGAATTTTGATATGTCTTTGGTAAGCTTTGGTATGAATCAATTGGTCGAAGCTGTTGGCTGACCTGATGGCAGGCTTCTCTTATCGCGGTCATAGTCTGTGATATGGGGTTTAGTGCCTCTCCCCCCTCGACAAGCCGGATGCATACCACTTTGAACATTCCGTGAAACATTTGTGCACGAGAAATGTGGCATGGAATTTACGCTGAGAATTGAGTGACAATATCTTGCTTAGCAATTGTAAAATGAGCGACGTGTTTATCAACGAACAATCTAAATTGTAGTAGCTTTATCCCCAGTCTTAGCTCCACATCACTTGTACATTTACTGTGTCAAGGCGATATCAAGCAAGACGACATCAAGCAAGGCTTTAATGTTCTACCAGCAGTCTCAGGGTCATTGCACTTGAAACATGGTCAAAACACAGGTATGGAAATAGACCGGTGCCTGAGGCGTCACAGGAGCAAGTCAGCGCCAAGGCCCACAGTCCGGGATCTGCGAGCCTGGGCCAATCATTTCAGCAGATCATCATGGCTCAGAATGAATCATCAGCTTGCATATGACGAGTTAAAGAACTCTGCACGAGAAGTATAAAGGCAACTGCACTCGCAGTCATGAAGAATTATTGTGAAACAGCTTAATTTACTCGGTCATAAATGACCCACCCATTCCTCACCACAATTGGAAATCTTTCTCCTATAACGATGGACAAATATACTACGAAAGAGGATATCCTCCGATTAGGCATCCTAGACCCAGAACTTGAGGCAGTAAGCGACTCCGTATCAAATTTGTGAATGGGTCCTCATCCAAAACTAGATTCTTCCACATAGTCCACCTCCAGCAATGGACTTTTCAGGGCCTATGGACAAACTACGCCAAATAGTATCAACAATGGAGCAGACAACATACAATTCCTGTCCAAAATTTGATGCAACAGAGTCTGTGATTAACATCACGATGCGCGATGGGTACCGAAACAGCCTCCACATCACCAAGCCGGGCAACTCATCTGGAGCAAACCCAGTAGTTGTTCTAATTTTCGGAGGAGCATTTGTCATGGGTACCAACATCCAATCTGTCATCTGGGCTCGCACGATTGCAAACCTATACGGTGCTACTGTGGTACAACCATCCTATCGCCTAGCACCAGAACACAAATTTCCCACCGCCCCGAATGACATCTGGGATAGTGTACAATGGATAGCTACCAATGCATCTGCCTTCGATGCAGACCTATCCAAGGGATTTGTCATAGGTGGTGGCTCGGCAGGCGGAAATCTTTCCATCGTGACAGCTCATCGCTCAGTGAGAGAGAAGCTCTTTCCTCCAATCACCGGAATCTGGGCCAGTATTCCTGTATGCATGAGCCAAGAGACAGTGCCAGAAAAATACAAGGAAATTTGGTTGTCTCGTGAGCAGAACGCCAATGCTCCTGGAGCTCCAGGTCTTGATACAAAGTCTATCGGAGGATACGAGGCTCTCTACGGGCAGGATTTCTTGTCTGAAGACTTTTCGCCGTTTGTCTCGACAGCGCCGTTTTCTGCTATTCCACGAACGTATGTTCAGGTTGCTGGGCTGGATATCCTCCGCGACGACGGTATCGTTTATGCAAAGGCTTTGGAAGACAACGGCGTTGAGGTGAAGCTTGATGCTTACCCTGGCATGCCACATGGTCATTTCAATTTATGGCCAGAGCTGAAGCAGTCGATTAAGTCCCAAGAAGATACAATTTGGCATGCTGGATGGCTTTTGCGCCGCGAAGTGCCTAGAGAAAAAGTAGAAGAACTTGTGGCTTTGATTGTGAAATGACACACTCAACCTTTCTTGTCAAAGCTCAGTCCGAATAGTCCAATAGGAACCATTTGAAGCCTTTTTCCCCGTGATTTAGTAGTCGATCTACCGGTGACAGTGTATATTTTATGAAAATCTGGGCTAGCAAACAGAATCCGTTGACTTACACGTGTGGCAGTGCTTTTCCGGTTTGGAAACAGCCTTGCAGAACATTAAGCCCCGCAAGGACCCCTCTGGGGCCAAAAAAACATACTTGGAACAACAATGATTTCTCATCCTGAAAGTGTTCAATTCTGCATGAGAAATTCCAAAGCTTTTGAAACGCCTCCATCTAAATTCCGAACCTCTCCTCTACCATGGGTCGAGACCCATACGAACGACCTCGATCGGCCTATCCTTACGTTCCAATCAATCCCAGTCAAGACAAAAGAGTGGTCCATATTCTTCCCGGATCTGGTAATCAACAGATCCGTTGCCACATTTCGGTCCAAGCACTAAAAGATCCTCATCCGACCGACTATGAAGCCCTATCTTACGTATGGGGCACATGGACAGACCACGGCACCATTTGTCTAAATGGAGTTCCAAATTTTTCCCGTCACGCGCAATCTACATAATGCTCTTCGGAGACTCCGACTGGGAAACAGGCCCCGTCGCATGTGGATTGATCAAATCTGTATTCGCCAGCAGTGCAACTGCGGAGACGATGGACATACCTGCGAAAAGAAACAACAAATCAGGAAAATCGGCCATGTTTTCTCAAAGGCAACCCGAGTTATCATCTGGCTAGGCGAGCCCGACATACCTTGCAAGCTGGAGGAATCGAAAGACAAGATCTTCAAGGCTCTGAAATCTGCAATCTCGACCAAGTTGGTCAGTCCATGGTGGACAAGAGCTTGGGTGATTGAGGAATATGCTTTAGCCAGTGAAGATCCAGTTGTGATGTTTGGACCCTATGAGAAATCATGGGATGAGCTACTAGAGCTGATTGAGGGAAGGCGGAACACTGTCAGATACGCTATGGGCCAAATCGCAGAAATGGGTCTTTATCTTGACCATTATGAACCCTTGAGGAAGCCAAAGATTCCCCGAGAAGCGGGTTCTGTTGGTGTTATTCTTCAAGATCAAATATTGCGTAACCCCAATTTCGAGCGCAATCTGCATTTTCTCTCTGTTGTCCTCAGGGATACGCAAACGCGAAATCCCGAAGACAAAATCCTTTGCATTTTGCCTTCCTTGCCAGAAAAGGAAAGAGAGTTGACCCTGAATGGCTGTGGTGCAACGGCGTCTCAGATATTCGCGCAAGCCACTTACGCTTCCATAGCTTCAACGGGGAGTATAGGTATATTGAGCTTAGCACCACGGCTGTCTTATCGGCGGGCTCAGAAGATGGAAACACCAACTTGGGCGGTGGAATTTACATTTCCTGAAAAATATACACTTAGAAATCATCATTGGCCAGAGGGCGGATTGAGAGAGAAGTTAGAAGATCGATTCAACCACGGCTTCCAGATCATGCATCCTTTGCTTACGTATGGAATATTCGAGTTTGTAACTCGCCAAAGGAGCTGGTGTCAACGATACCCTCAAGCAGTTGCAGAGGTCTTTTTCAATCCAAATCATCCTCGAGTGCTAGCTTTAACGGGCCTTGAATTCGACTATATCCAAGATGTGATGGATATGGATAATCGTGCCACCATGCGAAATTTCAGACCGGACTTGGTATGGTTTCAAGGATTCATAAGTATGACGGCAGCAAGTTCAACGAGCAAGCCCGTTTCTGTTTTTGATTCGCTCTCTTTCGACTCCACGGATCGAGACATCATGTCCTGTATCAAACAGAAAGCTCTTTTTGATAACCCATATAATCAAATTGGTTCTGTAAAAAGGAAGAATAACTATGCCATGCGTCTCCCGCCACAACAATCCGTCCGGTTTCCTATTCTCGCGGCGCATTTCCGAGCATGGGATAAAGTGCACAAGCCCCAAAATGCGAATCGCAAGGGCTCTTTTCTTCCTTCTGCGGGGAAAGATCTTATAAAAATCTTCGTGGACGATTTCTTTGAGGATAAGAAGGGATCAAACGCAGAAGAGGATGTCTACGAGAGTCTAATGGATCCATACGATTCTGAATGGTTTGAATATTTCTGTAACGTCGGGTTCCTTTTAGCCTTCTATTTCGACTCACGAGGTTCTACTTTCTTTGTTACTGGTGCTGGGTTCCTCGGCATTGGACCGGCTGATCTTCGGCCAGATGACAAGATAGTTCTCCCCTATGGAAGTCGATATCCAATTGCGCTCAGACACTATCGAGACTCAATCTGGCATCTTGTGGGATTTATCTACGTTCACGGAATCATGGAAGAGGGACTTTGGAACTGCTTTCCCGATATTGAACTGAAACAGACCGAATTTTGGATGGAGTGAAGTTATTCTGCGATAAATTAGTATAATATTGAAAGTCAAGAGCGGTAGCCATCTTTATTTAATATTTTATTGTCATCCATTGATAGATCCGATCTCATAGACAATTGATGTAGAAGGTCCGATGGTAGTCTTGTAATACAGCCGAGTCAAGATGGCAATGCTAGGAGCGAGGCAGATGAACGAACGACTCATACCTGGGAAAATTGAGGTGGAATAACCTCAACTCCGCAATTTTTGGTGCCTATTTCAAGTGGAGTGTAGGAATAATTTATCAAGTGAATTTGAGCTAAAGAAACCCGTAATATATACATATCTCAACCAATCCACCAAAAAACCTTTACAGAACGACAATCTTTGACTCCGAAACTATGCATAACAAACAATACCAGCCTGGTTCTCACTCATTCGATGTTGATCTGGAACAAGTACCGCTGCCGAATCTGAGCAACATCATAAACAATGTACTCATTGTAATAAAGGCCCGCATCTTCGCTACTCTCCTGCTTGATCTCAACATCAGGCATGGTAACACCCTGCAAAGCAGGATTCAAGCAAGCTGCATCCTTCCACCCACCAGGAGTGACGCGACCTTTTCCAAGAGTTGCAATCTTGCCTGTCTGCTTGCATACATCACCAGCGTTGTAATCGCTACCGACGAGTTCCAACATCGGGGCGCCAACTTCGGCGTCACAGAGCAGGAGGAGGGCCATGCCGCCACTGTTGTAGTGACAACAGTAGTTGGCAGATTTGCTGGATGTGTCGGCCAGGTAAACTCCCTTTCCGAACATATAGCCGTTCACTGGGGCTTCAGGGGGTGCAATGCGGAGCCCTTGGCTCAGGATTCCACCGAAGTTTGTGCTTCGCGAGCCGTGCCAAAGGAGGCGGCGGTCACCGTTGACGATGCTTGCGTATGGTGATGTGTTGAAGCGGTCGTTTTCGCCTTGACGCTCAATGCGGAAGATGTTGATGACTTTGTACTCTAGATTGTGGGTGGACCCCCGGGAGTTTTGGAGGTAATCTTCCAGCTCTTTAAACTCGGTTGATTCGTGATCCACTGGTGATTATTAGCTTTTGCTCATATTCGTGATGTAGTTTGGCACTCACATTCAACCATTTCTTCCATTCCCAAACTCTGGAACTGGCGATCCAACTCATGGACCTCGTCAGCACCTTGATTGTCCTTCATGATCTCGTTGGTGACATCCATGTCGGTCAGTGCTTCAAGCAGTTCGACTTCTTTCTTAATCTGCTCATTGCTTGCAATGGTTGGGGGCCTGTTGCGGCCAAAGACATGCGGAATCAGCGTGTAGTAGCGGTCACTGAGGTATTCAATCGCATCCATGTATGAGAGTCCGTATGTCGCATTGGCGGTTGCTGGCGCCGCGAGCAATTCGGAGAGTTCTTTGAGAACCAAGAACCCATTAGTCATGGAACGCTTGCTCAGCTTCCCGAGAGGCATCTTCTTGGCATCATAAGACATCGCTGCCAATGCTTCGAGGACGTGGTTGTTGTTGAAGATGAACTTCATCAAGCTCTGAATAGGCTTTGAGAGAGCGCTCTCAATCTTGATCCCGTCTTCCTTCTTTATTCCGTTCTCATTTTTGACATTTTCTTCCTCTTCCTCGTCGTCTTCCTCGTAGTTGCGTTCGAGGAACGTGTATTTTCCATGCTTCGGAGTAGCGAGTCGATCCTTCCATGACAGGCCTGTCTTGCTCTTGAATTTGGCTTCAAAATGTTTGATTGCTTCTGTCAAGCTACCACTTCCAAGTCTGGCTGACTGGCCGTGCTCTCCAACTCGGCCCCAGCGTGTCCAAGTGATGAATTTCTGCTGCTTGCCGACCAAGATTTGGACACGGTAAAACTTATTTGCGTTGCTGGCTGACACAGTTTGGTTCAAGGTAGCGTCCCAAATCAAACCTGCATCATCGATATGAACGGTGGGTTCTGAGGTAAGGGTCAGTGTCTTGGTCCCATAACATGTAACCATTTCAACTTACGCTTAAAATCTCCTGAGCGATCACCGAAACCCTCATCAACTGGAACATTCAAAGTCTTTGAACTGGCCTTCTGGATGTCTTTAACCTTCTTATTAGGCTTTCCCGCCGGGTCATCTTTGACAGCACGCTTTTTGGTTGCAGGCTTCTTATCAGTGCCATTTCCATCCGTCGTGGCGTCTGGCTGAGGCGTAAGCTGTGCCTGTCCAAGAAGATATTGCTTTTCCGGCAGTGGCTTCTTGGCCTCAGTCGATTCCGTGAGCCATGCAAGAGAAACAATTTGACATTTTGCGATTGCGCTTGCTTGTGTGTCTGGCTCGACAATTAGACAAATGGCGATAGTGTCAATTCAACATACTTACACTTTGCTGTCTTCTTTTCCACGTCTTTCTCTGTAGTAATGAGATGCGTGATATCATCCGTCACTGCCGTGCTGAATGTAGCGCCATTATCCTCAATCATTGATTTCAGGTCCGCTTTACCAGAATAAGCTGTCAGCAAGATATCTTTAAATGGGGTGGGTCATCAAACAGCAGGTCTTACATTGTTTGAGCTTTGGAAACGTCCCACTCACGGCAATGACCAATTTTTTAAAAGATCTTGCAGGCATTGTGCAGTGTGATAAGTGGCAATTGAGTAGCGGACAGTAAACAAGTTGTGATGAAAAGGGGTCGGGGGCCGAATACGAGGTGGGGGCTGAGAAGAAAGAGGGGGAGATGGAAGAGATGTATAGAGTCGTGCTTAAGGGATGAATCTGAAGAAACTGAGATGACAGAAGAGAAGCAGTCACCTTTTAAACTACCTGGGCAGCGTTGTGACCATATCAAGCCTAAGAAACCAGGCACCAATGAGGCTGCTGCCTTGCGCTAGCCAGGCAGCAGGGCCCAAGTGGAGACTTTGTGCCTGGAAGCCTTGGGGTTGAGCTCTATTTAGACTAACTTGTTTTATCGGCTTTGTTTTCAAGAAGGGTGTGCAATTAAGCTAATATACGGAGAACCGCAGATTATGTTTCGGGTCTGCACAAATAGTGGTCCTACTGTAGATACTAGAAAATGGGTTCCAATGTGGCATCGAGGCTTGTCACATCAACCTGCTAGATCCCATTATGAAAACAATTCCAATAATAAAATCGGATCATTTTACGTCCAGGTGCCGAATATTCTCCCAAGACGCAAAGACAGGACGGAAATGGTTGGATTGGGACATTATAGTCGGACTTTCCATTTTAGGAAAGTCGCCGCTCCGGTGGCGGGGAACCCTTCAACTGGAAAAGGACCGCACGCTCAACCTCCCCCGGGGCCATGCTTCTGATAAGAGAATGGAGCTCAAATTTATAGTGAGTCATGGGGGAGATAATATCAAAAGAGGGCAAGCAAGACGAGCGTGTCAATCTTGTCGTCAGAAAAAGGTGAGCTGCAGATATATATATCGGCGCAGAACAAATGTCCTGACATGACCGAGAAACGCTGCTATCACAACCAAGAACCGACGGAGCCAGAGCCCTCCCAAAGCTTGATTCAGATTCCAAGTCTTATTTCCACTTCATCTGGCATATCGGGGTTCTCGAAAAGAGGCTCAGTGGCTCGAGATAGATCCGCATCTCCAGCCAGTGGACAACGAAGGGACCATGCACTTCAAAAATCCCGAAATCATGAAACCGATAGCTCTTCCATCACTGAGGCAGGTCAGAATGCAGACTATGGATCCGAATCGCGCCAATTTGCATGCGACTCAAATCCAATGGCGACGTTTATGGAAAATGACGGATCACGGTTACAGAATGGCCAGAGCCAAAAAGGCGATGTAGGAGCATGGTTGAGCCCAGGAGAAAACTACCTTGACTTAGCAGAAGCGCCTAACCCAAGGCTACTATCACGGGCACTATATCCGCAATCAACGAGTGTCGACATCCCTCTGCTGCCACCAAAACAGAGCCAAGAAGCTTTGGTAGACGTCTATTTCCGCCGAATACACCCCATACTGCCTCTTCTAGACGAACAGACGGTGCGAGTCAATTTCAAGGAGGGCTGCTTGCATGCTCAACTTCTCCAAACCATATGCCTTGTCGCAGCTAAAGACAGGACAACAGCTTCTGTTTTATGCCTCGGCCAAAGTTCAAAAGTGCTCCAATTGGAGAGGTTCAGCAGTATACTCTACTCTGATATCATGCAAAACATGCCAAGGACACCCAGAGAGAAGATAATCTACATCCAAATCTTGGCCCTTTTGTCGCTCCACGAATGGGGCCCTACTGGATCCGAGGATCGCTCTTTGAATTTGGCTCAGGCCATCCATCATGCGCATACCATCGGGCTACACTTGATGCGAATAGACCAACAGCCTATTGCTTCACTTAAAGCACTTTTTTGGTGTTTGTGGAGTCTAGATAAATGGAACGCTGCTATGAGTGGAAGACCGATCATGATTCACGACCGCGACATGAACCAGGGGGTGGATGACGTTATATCATCGTTCCCAGCCTCATTCCGACTCTGGCTTGACATCGCGGAGAAGCTAGGCAGGGTGATTCTGTTTTATCGGCCGATCGTCAATGGCGCCGATCACGAGGAGCTTGATCTTCCCTCCTTTGAGGAAATTGTTGAGGACTGCGGTGCGTGGGATATTCCATCGGAGCTGCTTGGTATGTTAGTGTTACTGTAACTTGATTGGGTGTACGCTAATGCAGATATCAGAGTCGAGCGAGCTCCTTTATCACGCGGTCATTATTCTCTCGACACATTCCAATGGCCTTCAAGGGCGGTCACGGCCAAGAGCTTCAAGTATTCGACAAACTCATTCAATCTTCTCCATCGCGTCTCTGATCCACAAGCGGGACTTCAAATGTTTACCGCCGTTGCCAATGCTCGGTTACACTATATCCCTCGCTTTCTCGGTTACTTACAAACAACTAAGAGAAAGCCAATTGGCCAGCACCCGCCAGACAGCTATTAAGCAAATGCGCGAATTTCATCAATGTCTGATTCAGTCATTTTCTATATGGTGGTCTACTGCTGTAATGGCTAGACTAGGAACTCATGTGCTGGACAGAATCCAGGCCTCCATAGAGCTTCAAGGTTCCACAGCGCCGGTGAATGATGCTCTTCGACCGAACTCTAGACAGAAAGCGGGAGATCAGCGCTCACAAAATCTTGGAGAAACTGAAATTCTGGGGTCACACCCCAGCGTCGACTGTATGCAAGGGTTAGGACGGACAGAGACTGGGATAGAGAGGGTAGGGCCTCTTTATATTCAACCCCGATCAGATGACCTTTCCGATTTGGACATCTCAGTCGCAAATCCATTTTTAGGAGCTTCTGGCATCGAAGATTTCGACATTTTCTTCAATAATTTCCCTGATGTCAACTTTCCCAGCGGCAATGACCAACTGCTACTGGATATGGATATGGATATGTCGGGGTTCGAATTTGAGTAACCAAGGGATGTACATATATAGAAAGATACCACCAGAGCAAGGATTTTAACATTGAAATCATCGTATCCCATATTTTTGACCCTATGATTTCATACGTGGCCAAACAGAGCCAAGATAAAAACTCCGTTGGTTGGAATCCAAGCTCCGACCCAATTTGGGAAAGCCCGCATTCTTCGCCGACGCGAGTACGGCGTAGATAAAGTGCAATGATTCCCCCGAAATTGAATCTATTGGAGTATCACGGAATTATGATTTCAAGGTTCAACTCGTTAAGCTTGAAAAGCTCCTCGGTCCGCAACATGTTCGGCAAGGACATCGTTGGCTCTGAGTTGAAGTATGGGGTTCTGCATTACATCATTTGGCACCATTCGGGTACGGTTCTGACTTCTTTACTCTAGGCTTGATCAATCATGCGTGTTCGTGCAAGAAGAGCGGCATGTCGAGTTATCACCTGCGATTACGGGGAGATTCAAGCTCTCGCTCGCCCAGCCCGCCGCTTTCAAAAGCATCCAGGTGAGACTTAGAGGAATGCTGTCAATGTAAGAAACCCGCACCAACATCGAAGAATGATATCCAGTCTAAACGTTCGTGTTAATAGTCCCATCGAAGGATTCCTCGGCTACGACATTCGCGAGCAGCTTACGTTCGACCGTGAGCAAACACTGGCATCTACAAAAGCCCTCAGTGCATTCCAGATGCCAGCCGGAGACCACGAGTTTCTCTTCAGCATTCCGCTTCCATCTAAAATGTTCTCAACGGTGACAAGTTCAAACTACGAATATCACAAATACAAAGTTGAAGTCGTCATTGAGCGACGTCTCAAAAGTGACTATGTGGTCTCACAACCGATACACATCTACCAGCTTTGCGGACTAGAGCAGAGTTCTCTCAGACCGTTCAGTCCATTGGTTTGTTACTATATTTCAATCAAGATGGGGTATCATGGCTAATATTTTGTCGTGTGCAGACTCTTGAAGGTCAATCCGATCAGGATATTCAATACTGTATTTCTCTTGCGGATCGCAATATTCCTTTTGGTTGCACGTTCCCTGTGGAATGTTGGTTTGCTCCTCTTTCCAAGGATACCAAACTCAATGCAGTCACAGTCGAAGTGCAGGAGCAGCAAACTGTGCGTTTGGACGCGACAGCTGCCGAGTCGGTGCGACAAAATATACACTTTGTTACTTGCGCGCACAACCAGAGTGTCTTCTCAAAGAAGATAGACTTTGCCAATGGAAGCGAACCGATGGGAGCTGATTCGATGGAGACGGAATGGCGTATCAACACATCTGTGTGTTTGCCACGTACTTTGGGTGGTTGTTCGCAGAGTATCTCTACAAAACACATCAAGATCAAACATTTCCTGGTCATCAAGGCCGAGTTTTGTAATGAAGATGGCCAGATGACTGCAGAGGTATGTATATTTCAATTTCTGGACATAGGTGCTGCGACTAACTATAGCCTAGATTTCGGAACGCATTCCCCTTGAGATCTATATGACACCCTGTGTCATTGGTGAGAATGGGTTCATCCATGGACGGGATGTCCAACAACTGCAGGGGAACGATCATCCTCCACCGGCCTATAATGACCACTTGTCCGACCTCATAATTTTAACTGCTGCTGATGTTGACCTTTGTGGGAGTACAATTGTCACGGAGATGAACCTTGAGCGCAGTTCAAGCCAAAGTTCTTCTAGCAGTTCCTCCTCTGATCCTGCACCTTTGTATGTATAACGATCAATCCGGTTTACGATGTTGATGTGGTTCGATCATTACGCTTAATTCTAAGTATTTATTCATTCTGCTCTTCCACTCTCGGCTTGTCTCATTCTGCATATACCCTCAAGTCACTATCCACACATATACCTAAAGTGATGAAGGTGTGCCACTTCACATGTAATGTACTAGAATCTATAAATCAATCCCTGTTCAGCGCCAACCTGGCCCTAGCATAATCTTTCCCAACCCTCCTCAATGCCATCACCCGACAAACCCATATACCCCATACAATCTCCATCCCAGACACACTCGAGGCCCGCCCAGACAACCACTCCTCCCAACTTGCATCCCGGACAGCAAAGTAAGCCCCAGGCCCCATCCATTCAACAACAATATCTTAAACCCCAGAAGTATTGAACAGAACCCCGTTAAGCCCCACAAAAGTAGCCTCCCCAGCCGCCATCTCAGCAGAAAAAGCCCTCTGCTTCTGCTTCTGCTCAATCCCAACGTGAATACCAACAAGATCCAAATCTCTCAGCTCGACACGACCTCCAATCAACCGAATCAAATCATCAAGCGCATCCCTCTAGTGCCAAATTCAACAACAACAAGCTTCTCAGGCTCCCGCTCACCGAGCCAATCCTCAGTATTCACAGACCCAACATCCTCATACCTAACAGCCTTGAATGGAACCCGAGTGGCCAGGTTCCGATCGGCTTCTAGGATACGTGACACACTCGATGTGACGTGCAATAAATCAAGGGACATTGAACGCTCTGGATTACGTGCTAGGTAGTACGAGAATCCACGGGCTGTTTTGGTCGACGCGGGCTAGGTTGATCACTACTGTTGCAGAGGTCGCCGTCCGACTGAGACCAGGGGAGCTTGGATGACGATCTTCGTGGATGAATGGAGGGTTGTTACTCTAGGTTGGAGGAGATGACATGTTCACTTAGGATGTAGCCTGCTATATCGCTGATGAAGAGGGCTGTCCAGGCCTTGCGGTCGAGTTCTTGTTGGGCGGACGGAGATGGAGTCGTGGTTGTCAGGTCGCTGGTTGGATTTAGTGTCTGTGTTACTGTGTACCGGTTGTACAAGGGCATCAAATATCCTTTGGCAATGTCTGCTGGTCTCAATCCGGTGGCCTATTGGCTCGCCGGGTTTCAGTTTGAGATCTGTTGGTGTGCTCGTTGTTGGTCAGTGCCCGTTGAGGACGGTTCCTTTCGGTATTTCTGGGATGTTGGTCTCTTACAACGATGCGTAGCCTCCAGCAGGGACTGAATTATTGCCCATGCTGATGGGTGATTGTCTGGGACAGGATAGCTGTTAGACACGGGGTACTCGTCCCACCTAGAGGGATATGAATGAGCTTATGTGTGTATCAGTGGTTGGCACTGAGAATGTCGCTAACCAGTAGAAATATGGAAAAGCATCCATTCGAGCATAAATCAAGTGGTTGGAGGTCAGATTAATGAGCAGTGAGCGAAGCCGGATGGAAGACTCGGGTAATTCTCGAGGGATGGATTGGATATCAAAGCTAGCATGATTGCTGTTAACCTACTGGAAACCACATGAACAAAGTTTCGCTACAGGCTGTTTCGATAAGGTATTGCGAGAAATGAAGTCAGCTTCTCGACATGGATACTAAGGTTATCTGTAGCTTCCTGAGTCGATTCTCGGAGTCCCGCGAAACCCCCACCTGGCCTTGGGAAACAAATATGGTGCATAGTATACATATGAAGCCAGGTTGGGTACTGAGATATCCCAAAGCAGTTCAAACCGCAGAAGTGCAGGCATCAACTCACGCTTTACCTTACAACCCTGGATGACTAAGATCTAGTTGATGTCGATGATGTCATTGTTGACATTGGAAGGTGGAAGCCTGTTTCCCCAGGCATCACTATCGTCAGAATCAACATGATTAAAGAACGCAACTGTTACATTAACGAAAGGACCGCAAGGCTTCGAATTAACTGACAGAAGAAACAAGCCCCATGTGACTTGATTTAATTTATATTTCATATGCCACATAATTAACGATACTTTGACACTAACCAACATCACCAAAATATTCCAGATCCGACCTAGTCACTACTATAAAATAAAACAAACATCCTAACACAAGTAGACCCATCACACAAGCACACGAGATAGCATCCCAACCTTACTGTGGAGCTCCCCCGAACTCTTATCACATTCCAGAGGCAGGACATACTTCGGGTGGCGCAATCCGCAAAGCCATCAGATAAGGATGCAGCTAGGACCATCCACTCATGCTCGAGAGATGCCGGGCGGAAAGAGCCTTACTGTAATCTCGCATGAACCCCCCTGCCAGCGATCGATTAGCGCGGTCGACATGCAGCCTGATTGCGGTGCAGACAATGGGATTGTGGCTTTCCAAGGTTGGTGGACGTGAATGACTAAAACGGTGTAACTAACTTTACTTAACTTATAACATGGAAGTTACAGCAGGCTAAGGAAGTAAAAGTGAGTGGAGATCTCCGGTCTACTATACAGTCTCCACGCGAGGATTGACACGGTATGAGTGGTCCTTGGAACGAAGTACTCGATTGATATTTGATATTAACTTATACTTCATACACTCGGAGCAGAAAGGAAAGGAATGTGACGAGAATACTGTATGTATGCCGGGATGCAGAAAGGAAAGGATTATAAAGAACAGAGAGAAACGATGACACGGTTTTATGTGGGCGTCTGGAAAGTGAAGCGCGCCAGGAAAATCATCAGAAGATGCGAGCAAAAAGCCTAAAAGGAACCGCCCAAACCAATTTGATATTTGGGTTCAATATGCAAAGTAAAGTGGAGGAAGTGTGCAGGAGCTGGAAAGGAGAGTGGTATCGACAGGGGTGAGTGTGGAATGCTGTGTTGGGAGAAGATCGGGTTGAGATTTGGTTGAGATTGGATCGCTGGAAATGATTGTTCACGTTGGTGTGAAGGTATGCAGGGTGTGAGGCCGGGTGAGGGTGTTGATTAAGGGTTTTATTATTGTCGGAGAGGGCGGTTGGGTGAGATATATGGAAGGACGGGGCTTGGCTTGAGAGACGTAAAAGTGGTACCGGAAATGGCTGCATTGTATGCAAGTAGGTTGGTTGTGTGGATATAAAGATGAGACGATGGGTGGAACAAGGTCGGAATGGAGTGTCGTGGAAGAACTCAGAAAATGACAAAACGCTTCGGTTTCGGTTTCTCGGTTTCTAAAAAGGTATCAGAATGAAGTCAACCAGGTAGTAGGAATCATCAGAACTTACCTGGACTATTGGTCCCAACCTGAACAGGAGTAGAAGCCTTCGGCTCAGACTTCCTCAATCTGCCACCAGCTCCTGAACCCTTGGCTCGAACTCCATCGGCCGCAGCGCTAATCGTAGCAATACGATGCCGAGCCCGTTCATCGCCCTGCTCAGCAGCCTTGACATACCAAACATTCGACTCGAGCGGATCCCGTCGACATCCAATACCCATCTCAGTGAAATAGCCCACCGCATACTGAGCCTTCGCCAGACCCAAATGCGCAGCCCGCACAGCCCACTCATACGCCTCCTCCTCATCCTTCTCGAGAACCGGCTCCGCGCCAACAAGGTACCACGCACAAAGCGCCATCATAGCAAGCGGATGTCCCTGCTGCGCCGCAGTCGTATAGAAATGAATACTCAGCGCCGGGTCCCGCGGACAACTCAGCTTGCCATGTTCGTACGCATCACCCAGCCTGTAGCACGCCTCGACGTGGCCCAGCTCGGCGGACTTGGTGAACAATTGCGCAGCATAGGTCGCGTCCGGGAAGACGTCGTCACCGAAGCCCGTTTCGTGGAGCACCCCGAGCTCATACGGCCCGGAGTTGTACTGTGCGTCTGCGGACTCGGTCGCGCGCTTGAGCCATTTGATGCCCTCGCGGTAGCGTTTGCCGAGACCCATGTCGCCGGCTAGACAGGCCTTGGCCATGCGCATCATGGCGCCTGGGTGGTTCTTGGACGCGGCTTGGCGGTAGAATTGCACGGCGCGGCCTCCATCGGGGCGGGTGCCCCAGCCGAATTCGTAGCAGAGGGCAGTGCGGTAGCAGGCTTCGACGTGGCCGTGTTTGCTGGCCGCTACGAAGAGTGGGAAGGAGCGGTCGTGGTCTTCTTTTCCTTTGTTGAAGAGGCCTGACGCGTATCCGTCACCGAGGTAGTATTGCGCAAAGGGGTAGCTTCGGTCTGCAAGGCGTTGGAGGATGGATTTTGATTCGCGGAGAAGGCGGGCGCGGGTGATGGGGCTTTTGTCTTCCAGGTCAATGGCTGGCATTTCGCGCATGGAATTGAGCATGAAGACCGCAAATTCGTACAGGACAGAGGGCTCGTCGGTCTTTTTGACGTTTGCCAGGTACATTTCAAAGGTCTCTTTGTGGCTGAGAAGAGAGGCATTGTTGCCGACTGAGGCCTGCAGGCGGGAATTGCCGAATTGAACGGCGGTTGGTCCTGGCTGCGGGTACGATGTGTTGAGTAGATCGACGACGGACAGAGGCCGGGTATCAGGCGATGCAGTGGAGTTTCGTGACACTGAGTGACCATGGAGGTACGGCGATGCGGAGAGATTGCGGCGGTGGCCTCCGACATCTGAGGTGGACGAGTAGGCCGAGAGAGGGCGTGTAATCTGCGGCCGCCGCACTGCTAGCTTGTCTGTCGAGCCTGACGAGTGCTCTGCGGCATCCGCCACGGGCTTGCGTGCCGGTTTCGCAGGCGCTTGCTGGTGGTGATAGGCCAGTGGCTCGTAGCTGTCCGACACCTGGGCCACGCTGTCCAAACTGCCCCGGGAGGAACTATTATAGCTCAACCCCTCGCGTTCCAACGACGAGCCACTCTTTTTCGGGTTCCCGTGTCCTCCATCTTCCTTGGGCTCGACCACTGACCACGAGCCGCTGCTGGCGGGGGTGTGTCCATACGGATGCGGATGTTTGTAATGCGGGGCCTGGGTCGAGTCCCTCCGTGGGGGATAGGAAGGGTTCCAACTCTGGCGTGGTTGCTGCACTGAATCTTCGAGTGTCATGTCGGTGAACTCGGAGAGCTCCAATTGGGGTGTGATGGGCCCATTGTATGGTGGTTCGATCTGGGCGCTCGACGGCTCGGGGATGACTGTGCCATGGTCGATCCTGACTGGGGAGCGTGGCGAGTTTTGAATCACCGGTGATGTGTCCGACTGCGTGTGGGCCACTGGTTTGCGACTAAGGTTCAAGGTCGGGCGATTTGGGATAGATCGCGGAGTAGATTGAGCAAAAGGAGGCGTTGATCGGAGATAGGCTGCCGGCGGACTGGGCAGGGGTTGGGCATACTCGCCATGCACCGGACTGGCCATTTCTGAGAGCCTCGAGAGCAGTGCAAGTTCACAGAAAGATGAGGGGAACGCGGTGGAGAAAGGACCCGTTAAAAGAGTGGACCGCGAGATCTGCTCCCATTCACAGATTCTATAAGGGAAAGCGGTTCAGAGCAGTGATGCCGTCGTTCAGCAGCTCAGCAGTGCAGTGCAGCAGTTCAGTTCAGAAATTCCCGAAATTCAGACTGGGAGGGGCGACAAAGAAGATATTCCGCTAATTCCCCCACTTCGCTAGAAATCCCCTTATGAACTATGGGACCTTGTGTGCCCTTGCGATGCTTTTAGGCGCCACGATTTCCCCGTATTCCACTTCACCGACTCGTACATATGTAATGTGTAATATGTGTAATATGTAATATGCGTAATATGTAAGTTATATGTAAGTTTACCATTTGACCATTGACCATCCTCATCCGAGACATGCTAAGAATATCTGCTGACCACATAAGACCACTTGGCATGTCAACGTGGGAGAATGATGGTCTCCGATGTTTCCGGAGTGCGTGGCAAATATTCCCTCCTCGACACTAGTTCTAGGCATGATTCATGGTAACCGAAGTACGAAGTAGGCGTGGAAGAGCCTACTCTAGGTACTGTACGCTCTGATCTCCATTCCCCCCAAATCCTCCGAGACAGAGAGGCGTCAGCCATAGCCGAAATGCCATTCTCTCCATTATCCCTGACTTGATAGAAAATAGTTTCGATTGAGTTCACCGTACCTTGTTTTTTTTGTCCTGTAGGTTTCGCACGGCCCGTTCAAACCATGGCGTCGATAGGTTATATCCTCCTTGCTCTCCTCCTGCATATATAGCTTGGAGGGATGCCATGTCGGGTCCGGTATAGGATGCGAATTGTCATCGGGAATGACGACATTTGCTGTGCCTCTGCGCATCCTCTTCACCTTCGGTTCTCTGTCTGGTTCTTCCAAGGTGAAACGTGGAAGGCGTGGAGAGACCGAGACCGAAAGTGTCGCCGCATTCCTGTCAGATCCGAGGCCACGTCGAGTTCTCAACAAGAAATCCAAGGGGTGAAAATGAAGCAACCCATTGGGCTTGCGGGACGTGATACGTTCTTTTTTCTCTTGTCGGTGTATGCTAGCGTCTAAGAAATCCCAACGGACATGAACAAAAAAAGAAAATAGCCGTGCTTAATATCTGGGGATATTCGATATGGCGCAGAGGAGGCTGTCGGGGAATGGAGTCGGCTGCAATGATCGACAACTGGCGGTTGATCATAGTCCCCGTCATCCTCATACTGGAAGGATTGAAATCTCAGACTCACTGGGAGCGACCAGGAATCTGGTGACACCATCGGGGTCAGATTGTGTTCAGATTGTGTTTGAGAAGAGATGGTGTGCATTTGTCTCGACTGGGCACCGGTCTAGAGCCGACGATTCGTATTGAGGCTCACTATGCATTCTACAGGACAGTCCAGAACTTCTGATGCTATGAATCACATTCAGTTCTCTAAGAGCTTAATTGCGCGTGGCAATTAGGGCGTGGCAACCAGGCAGCCCCGTGATGCGCAGAAAAGCCCTCGGCTTCTCTTCCCCTCTGTTACAGTTGACTCGCCTGGGATTGGGTCGCTTCGCCAATAAAAGACCCTTGGGATGGGCCGACCCCAGGGCAAAGTGGTCTGATTGGTGGGTGAGGGGCTTAGGGGGATGTTTAGGGTGGATTAGCCCCGGGGTATTGCCCCTAGCGACCGAAATAGAGGACAATAATAAGTTGCGAGAAGGCTTAGGGGCCATATGCAAAGCGGCCAAACCTGGTCCCGAGTTCAGTCTCAGACAGACCTGAGACCTCAGACCTCAGACCTCAAACTTCATCCTTTTTCCCCTTCGTGGTGCATCTTCGGTTGTGTCTGAATTTCCTCTTTCTTATTTGCTGTAGCCCGTGGAGTGGGACACTGTTGTTCTCCACCTTGCACAGGCCGACCGTATCTCCGACAGAGCTCTCCAGATCTCGATCTCTGCTCTCGGGGCATTCGAGGTGTCGGATTCTGTGTGCATTTACTGAGGTCGCTGGCAAGCATCAAGTGAGCGCAAGGACATGTTTTAGTTGCGAAACCACTGCACACTCTGAATCATCTTTGCCATTCGTTCGGGTCTGGATGACCGACAATTGATCATAGTGAGTGGGATAAACAATCCGAAATGTACAGCCTAGAGCTTCAGGGGCGCTAACAGGGGCCATACAGTCAAACCATGTCTTTGCCGCAGAGGCCAGGCAAGGCCTCCCCTCGGCGGGAGGAGGCCCGGGCATTTCGCGAACCCTCGCGACGTCGACGTCGAGATGGGGATTCGGGCACGTATAGCGACGATCCCAACGCCTCTCCCTCACACCGACGCCATCGCCGACACTCGAGTCACCGACGGGGAGCAGAAACCGACGAAGAGCGCATGGAGCGGGGTGGGGATGTGCGACGCAAAAAGAGTATGGTCAAGCCAGAGCGCCGGAAAGCAGACCCCGATCATCCCAATTACCATTATCGCCAGCGATCACACCACATGACGACTTTCCCGTCGGCGACAGGAAATGACCCCTTATTAGACCACCAAGAGGGCGAGGCCGAGACGAACAGTTCGCGCAGCGTCGATGTGAAGAAGGAGGGATTGTACGGTGCCAGTGGGAATGTCAACAAACCCATGGAACGGGCTCCCAGCAGACATCGGTCGAAGAAAAAGAAGCGATCGAGGCGGTCATCCAAGGGCGCCGTGGAGGAGAGGAAGCGTTTGAAGGAGATTGAACAGAGCGGGCCCCCTGAGTTGTGGCCGACATATTGCGCAGTGCTGACGTTCTTCATTCCGGACTTCGTTCTGAAGTGCTTTGGTATGCCCCAGAAGGAGCAACGGACGGCTTGGCGAGAGAAGATCGGCCTGATCAGCATCATTCTAATGATCGCGGCATTTGTCGGTTTCCTGACCTTCGGCTTTACGGCTACTGTGTGTGGCTCGCCAGCGGTACGACTGAAAGTCAATGAGGTGAATTCCAACTACATGATTTTCCATGGCAAGGCCTATGACTTGACTGGATCAAAGCATGGCGCTGCTGAAGGTATCCCCGCTGATACGAATGTGCTCTACGACTTACCCCACAAGTATGGCGGGCAGGATGGCAGCTTCTTCTTCCAGCAGGTCAATGGTGCTTGCAAAGGCTTGATTACGGCCCAACCAGATGGTGGTGTTCCCACAAACTCTGACGGAGACCTTGGGTGGTATTTCCCCTGCGCACCGTTCAATCAAGATGGGTCGTCTTCACCAAATCTGACGATCGACTACTACCTGGGCTGGGCTTGTCACACCAGCAAGTCCGCTCGTGAACCATTTTACACCCTGTCAAGTGACGGAGACGTCTACTACACTTGGGAAGACACTAAGAACAAGAGCCGAAACCTTGCGATCTATTCTGGCAATGTTCTCGATCTCGATCTTCTGGCTTGGTTTAACGAAAGTCAGGTATCATATCCCAAACAATTTGACGAGCTTCGCACGAATTCTGCGGTTCGGGGTGTCGACCTGACTTACTACTTGCAAAGCGGAGAGGAGAAGAAGATTGGCAAGTGCTTGGCACAGATTATCAAAGTGGGCAGCATTGACACTGATACTGTCGGTTGTATCGCGTCCAAGGTCGTACTCTATGTGTCTTTGATCTTTATTCTGTCTATTGTCGTCGTCAAGTTCGCCTTTGCCCTGCTCTTCGAGTGGTTCCTGGCACCCAGATTTGCCGCCCAGAGCACGAGTATGAGCTCAGATGCCAGAACTCGTAACCAGCAGATCGAAGATTGGTCCAACGACATCTATCGACCAGCTCCCCGAATCGCTGATCCCATTGTCCCCGATCGAGCCAGCAAACGCGCCACTTTCTTGCCTACCACTTCCCGCTTCTCAAGTCCTTACAACGTGAGCAGCAGCGGTGGTAGCAAACAGAGACCGCACTACGTCACAATGGCTAGTCAGAATTCGACCTCCCGTCTCATGCCTAGTTCCAACCCTGGCACTATGTACAAGTTGAGTCACAACGGAAGTGGTTCCTTGAGCGCTGATAACTCGCGGAACAATGCTGCTGCGAGCCGGACCAGCTTGGTTCCTCCTGGTCAGCAGGACCCTGGTTACTCTACGTTGATGACTGATTATGAGGGTCCTGGTCCTGCGGGTTTCATTCATGAAGCTGTCGTTCCCCAGCCGCCGGCTGAATGGCAACCATTTGGTTATCCATTGGCACACAGTTTGTGTCTGGTTACCTGCTATTCAGAAGGCCAAGAAGGTATTCGATCAACACTGGACTCTATTGCTATGACCGACTACCCGAACAGCCACAAGACAATTCTTGTCATCTGTGACGGTATCATTAAGGGTAAAGGAGAAGAGTTTTCAACACCGGACATTGTGCTTGGCATGCTGAAAGACCCTGTTGTCCCCATTGACGAAGTCCAACCCTACTCTTATGTGGCTGTGGCCACCGGCTCCAAGCGACACAACATGGCCAAGGTTTACACAGGTTTCTATTCTTACGGCGACGACTCCGTCATTCCCTTGGAGAAGCAGCAGCGCGTTCCTATGATGGTTGTCGTCAAGTGCGGTACTCCCCAAGAATCGACCCAATCGAAGCCCGGTAATCGAGGCAAGCGAGACAGTCAGATTGTCCTGATGTCCTTCTTGCAGAAGGTCATGTTCGATGAGCGGATGACGGAACTTGAATTTGAAATGTTTAACGGCATGTGGAATGTGACAGGCATCCCACCAGACTTCTACGAAGTGGTTCTCATGGTTGATGCCGATACAAAGGTCTTCCCGGATAGTTTGACACACATGGTATCGGCTATGGTCAAGGACCCTGAAATTATGGGTCTCTGTGGAGAAACCAAGATCGCCAACAAGACAGACAGCTGGGTGACCATGATTCAAGTGTTCGAATACTTCATCTCTCATCACCAAGCCAAGGCCTTCGAGTCCATCTTTGGTGGTGTCACTTGTCTTCCAGGTTGTTTCACCATGTACCGCATCAAAGCACCCAAGGGTGGGCAGAACTACTGGGTGCCTATTCTGGCAAACCCAGATATTGTTGAGCACTACTCTGAGAATGTAGTCGATACCCTGCACAAGAAGAACCTGCTGCTCCTCGGTGAAGATCGTTACTTGACTACCCTCATGTTGAAGACCTTCCCCAAGCGCAAGCAGATCTTCGTCCCACAAGCCGTGTGCAAGACCGTTGTCCCTGACGCATTCATGGTCCTGCTTTCGCAGCGTCGTCGCTGGATCAACAGTACCGTGCACAACCTCTTCGAGCTTGTCCTTGTCCGCGACTTGTGTGGTACTTTCTGTTTCAGCATGCAATTTGTCATCTTCATCGAGCTTGTCGGAACCTTGGTACTGCCCGCGGCCATCTCCTTCACCATCTACGTTGTCATTTCCTCTATTGTCAGACGACCTGTCCAGGTCATTCCTCTGGTCCTGCTCGCCCTCATCCTGGGTCTGCCGGGAGTCCTGATCGTTGTCACCGCCCACCGTCTCGTCTACGTCCTGTGGATGCTGATCTACCTCCTGTCTCTCCCCATCTGGAATTTCGTTCTCCCGACCTATGCATTCTGGAAATTCGATGACTTCAGCTGGGGTGATACTCGCAAGACGGCGGGCGAAAAGGACAAGGGCCACGAGGACGGCGAGGGCGAGTTTGACAGCACGAAGATTACGATGAAGCGCTGGCGCGATTTCGAAAAAAGGTGAGTTTTTGTCCCCATCCACACCCTTTTAAATAAAGTTTAATTTACTGACATCTGCTTAGAACGCCGCCTGCGCAATACTGCATGGGCGCAATCCCACGGTCCTTCGGAGGGATACCCGTCGCACTACGAGACGTATTCACACTATTAACGAAAGCGAAGCGCAATTCATTGTTCATTATTATTATTTTACCTATTTTTATATTCTTTTCCTTCTGTGGACTTGTTTTTTTTTCTGGACTCCAGGTTGTGATTTATTGTATCATTGACATACTGGCGTTCAAATCTTCCATTTCAATCATATAATACAGTTCGGGCGGGTTTTACTTTTCAAGTACGAGATGAAGTGATAAGTTCTTCTGTCAATTTATGTACAGTAATCAAATGGTACTTTGCAGTCTGATACATATTACTCCATGAAAATCCAATATGATATGAGATTGATCTCCCCTTGCAACTTGCACCCTGTCACTTAACAACCCTGCAACCCAGCCCTGGGCTGTGTACAGTGAGATGAGACTAATGTCCGACATTCACAGCTCATTGGACCACCGGATCAGAATTTCAAAGTGCACCATACTGTTCCCTGTCCATATAAGCTCTCAGGGCTGTCTCTCTGACTTTTGACAGGCTCTTCGGCCCAAGCTGTGCCCAACAGGATCAAAGCGCAGGTCAGCAGGCTTGCTCGGGTTGGATCTGCAGTGCATGGCTCCCTGCATCATTATTTACATATGCGGTTCTGTATCAACTCTACTCTGGGGAACAAGATCTCAGGGCTGTCAGGGCTTGAAGGGGAGATGCTGACTAACCTCCCATCACTTCGACGAGTCTCACAAATATCTCCCTGGGGGCTTTCCCCCCGCGTCATCTTGCTTCCACGTTCCCACGGCCACGTTCTGATAGTCCATTTCATCCTTGCTGTTCCTACCCCCTTCTTTTACCCCATAGACAGAGGCTACCGCGCTTTGTTCGGCTCCCGCGAAAGCCCGGCGTTTCATAGACCCTCTCTCTCCCTCCCCCTGGGGGCCCCTACTTTGATTACCTGGCCGTGTTTACTGCCTCCGCCCCTCCGCCTTCGCCTCGCGGTTGACTCGGCATTTCTGTTTTGGCTGCATTCCTGTCGACGCACGCCACTTAGTGTGTGGGGACAAGTCAGCAAAAGGCAACCGACGTCAAGGCAGCGTCAAATCCCGGCTTTAACCTCTGAGCCTGTGCAACCCTTGCCCTGGCTTGTGATTGTAATCGCAACCGTCATCTCACTCTCACTGCCACTCTAAAGTTCCAATAGTTTCGGCGGGATTCCCCTTTTGGTTCATGGCGGGCGATGCTTCATTCGTGTGATTCGAATCGCCCGTCATCCCACCGTCGCGATACGACATGCCATGTGTCATGTGATATCGAGAGGTCCCGAGTCATGAATTCTTCTTCGCATTCTTCCAGAAATCGATCTTCTGCGGAAGACGATTCGACCGTGCAGTCGGATATCTTTTCCCACGTCGATCCTTCTGCGACGATGGCCTCTGATGTCGATCGCCATTTACACGATGTCGGTGTCGCCGCCCTTGCTGCGGTTTCGCAGTATCCTCGACCTGTAAACGATCACAGCGGGTCGTTCTTGGTCACCGAGGTTGTAAACGCTGTGACCGGGGCGGGTCCATCCCCTGACTATCAACTCTTCAGAGGGAACTCGCTTCTTCCCGGACATAGGAGTTTTTACCCGACACCATCTGACACCGATAGTGCTTCGGGGCCGGATTTTGTTTTTGGACGCCCCGATCGTGATGTTAATATGGACTCGGTTGTTCGGCATTTACTTGGCCGCGCTGCTGAGCATGACAATATGGCCATGATCACGCAGGAATGCGACGAGAGTGCGCGCGACAAGGATATGGTTATGAATTACGAGTCCGACGTCGAGGATAACATTTCTCCACCTTCTATCCCAGATGATGAGTTTGAGGACTTTATCCGATTTTATCCGGACGAAGAGGAATACTACCATCAACGCAGGGGTCGCCCGACCGAAGATGCCCCAATGGCGGATTTCGATCTAGATGACTTTTATCTCAATATCAACTACGATGATATCGATGTGGATCTACCCCAAACGCTTGGCATCCCTATTTCCGATCCTTCTGAGATCATGGACTTTGCTGATCAGCCGGAATTCCCTGGGCCTCACCCGGCATCTATCATCCACACTTCGACGTACGAGCGTAACCTCACTATTGATGAATTTATCCAGCGCTGGATGGTTCAAACGAACATCATCCCCCGTGGCTTCCATAGCGAAAGCAGAATACCACCCCAGCTCCGGCCCCTGTCTAAGATGATCAGTTGGAGTCCGCCACAGACGGTCGTTAGGCCACGCGAATGGAGGCGCGACTTTTACGATTTGCAGCAGATTCCATGGACTGAAACGCTCCGAGTTAAACGGTCTGATGCGCGGACGCTGCGTGATGCTTGGTATACATCATATCATAACTTGGATTATTCGCATATGAGCCACGCCAAACGTATTCCGGCACAAGAGTCATTCTTCCGCGGGACTTCCATGCACACCTCACACAAAGCCTCTATCGAACACTTCCAACTCCGCAACTTGATGTCTGCCCCGGCATCCAACACCGTCAATTTCGCCTACCAATCCAAGGTACTATCATGGACACCGACGACCGGCGACGCCCGCTGCCTAATCGATCTAAGCCAGGCGGACCCGGATTCAGGCTTTCTGGGCCCCGTCAAAATCTCAACCATGAAAACCGCCCACGGCCTCACAATCGCCGGCGGTTTCTGCGGCGAATATGCCCTCCGCAGTTCATTTGGCTCAGGCACCGGAGCAAAAGGCCTCGCAACACCCGACTTCAACGACGGCATCACAAACCACGTAGACATTATTCCCAACCGAACAGGCCCCTCTCCAGTCGGTGTCTTCGCCTCAAACGACAAACACCTCCGCATCCTCGATACCGAAACAAATGTCTTCACCTCCGACCACGAACTCTCTCAACCAATCAATTGCACCGCAACCTCCCCCGACAGCCGTCTGCGCGTTGTGATCGGCGACTCCCCAGACGCCTGGGTCATAGAATCCGACACTGGCAAACCCGTCCACCCCCTCCGCGGCCACCGCGACTTCGGCTTCGCCTGCGCGTGGTCACCAGACATGCGCCACATTGCAACCAGCAACCAGGACAAAACCCTCATAATCTGGGACGCACGCACCTGGAGACCGCTCGAAACAATCGACTCGGACGTGGCCGGGTACCGATCTCTACGCTTCTCGCCTGTCGGCGGTGGTCCCCGAATGCTGCTCTGCACGGAACCGGCAGATCGGATCTCGATCCTGGACGCTCAACTCTACCAGTCGAGACAGGTGCATGATTTCTTCGGCGAAATCGGTGGTGCGGATTTCTCGCCTGATGGCTCGGAGATTTGGGTGGCGAATACCGATCGCCATTTCGGCGGCTTTATGCAGTATGAGCGTAGGCAGTGGGGGCAGCGAGTGGGGTTGACGGATTTGCCCGGTGAGTGGGCGAGTGAGCTTGAGTTGGAGGGCGATCCGCGCTGTGTGTTGAGCAAGCGCGAGAGGTCGTTGCGGTTTTTGAGGAATTTGTCGAGCGATGAGCATGAGGCTTTGATTCTTTGATGTCTATCTTTCTCTTTTTTTTTCTGCTTTTCTGCTGTTCTCCTTTTGGGTTATTTGTTTTGTTAGGGCTGTTGTCCTCGGTTGGTCTTTTTGAGCTTTTCTGCATCTGATACCCTGGTCTCGGCGTTGGTTGTTTGTTGTTCTTGTGTTCCTATTTACTTCGAGTATGTATCTACATAGCTCTCTCTCCGTTCCCCCTGTGAAGTTATATGCAATTTATACGTACAGTATGCGTGACATACCCGCATCGACAGTCCAAATCCGTCCGATCGATCTCGATCCCAGCGTCGATCTCCCTCATCCCCTAACCACAACACCCTAAGCCCAACACCCTAAATACACCCTAACCACCACACCTAACTACACCCTAACCACTACTACAAACTATACACACTATACTCACTAGTACCTAATAGCAGCCTATAAAATACTACACCAAGCCAAGCCCCAAACCCACAAATCAGCCCTACCAAAACGCGTGGCTCAACCCAAATCGATCAGCCCCGCAACCCCTCCACTGAGCTGAGCTACTTCCATCCGATTCTCTTTCTTTTGCTTCCCCCTTTTCTCCCTCCTTCTTCCATCGATTTTCTATCTTCTATCTTCTATCTTCATCTTCTATCTCAATCTCCATCTCCATCTCCATCTCCCTCATCCAACCCAAAATGTCCTACGGAAACCAAGAATACGGCGGCGGCGGCTCAGGCAGCAACAACTACTACGACCAGAACAACGACTTCTCGGACCGCAACCAGTCCCACGGAAACTCAGGATACGGCAACCAGGGCGGAAACGGCGGCCGCCAGGAATCCAACTACGGTCGTCAGGAAGAGTCCTACGGCGGTGGTAACCAGGGCGGCAACTACGGCCGTCAGGAAGATTCCTACGGCGGTGGCAACCAGGGCAGCAACTACGGTCGTCAGGAATCCAACTACGGCCGCCAGGAAGAGTCCTACGGCGGCGGTAACCAGGGTGGCTACAATAACAACAACAACAACTCCAACTCCAGCTACGGCGAACAATCCCACCACAACCGCCGCAACAGCAACAGCAGTGACGACTTCAGCGGTGCTGCGCAGCACGCTCAGGAACACTATGATAGTGGGTCGTCGGGCTCGCTCTTCAACTCTGCTTTGAACTTCATTAAGGAGCGCAAGAGTGGATATAATGACTCTGAGGTTGATGAGCAGCATGCTGTGCAGTCGCACCAGGCTATGTATGGCTCAGGCTCTAACTCTGGCTCTGAGCAGCATGATAGTCAGACTCTGGGTGCCGGGGCTGCTATGCAGGCTTTGAAGATGTTCACTAGTGGTGGTTCTTCGGATGGCGGTATGGATAAGAATAAGTTGATTGGGCTTGCTATGGCCCAGGCTGGGAAGTTGTGGGAGGATAAGAATTCGTCTGGAAATGTGGTATGTTCTTTTCTTTGTTTGTTTCCCCGAGTTTGATTTGGTTACTAATTTTCGTCTTTTTTTTCAATTCTAGTCTGGTGATAAACAGTCTGCTGTTAACAATGCTGCCGAGATGGCTTTGAAGATGTACATGAAGAGCCAGGGTGGTGGTGTTGGTGGAACTGGTGGTGCCAGTGGATTGATGGGTCTCGCCAGCAAGTTCCTCTCTTAGATGGATGCTAGCTAAGTCATGCACGAATTGGCTCGACAGGCCTTGGGATTCATTCGATTTTGATTGTATGTAGTTCGAACATAGCCATCTATGACCAGCATCAGAATGACAGACACACATGGACATAACTATGTACTTCTCTTTGCAAGAAACTGCAAGAAACTGAAAAACGGTATATATTGAACTGGATGGAATCTAAGGTAAAAAAAGGCCACCAAAGTAAGCCAATAACAGAACTGAACAACACTCACTGTCTCATGTCGTCAAATACATACATAGAGCCAGAATGGAAGAAGGGAAAAATGGAAAAATCGAGGAAGATACCCGCAAAGGTCAACGCTAAGCGCAGAAAAAGTCCAACACCGCGACCGACCCTAAACAAACTCGCGCAAAATGCTCAAATCTACCACTCGTCATCATCGTCGTGTTTGCCCTGCATTGCGGTCTGTCGCGCCCGCAGCGCCTCGGCGAGACCGCCTGCGAGACTTGCGTTCGATGTGCTGTTGGGTGTGCCGCGCCCACTGGCACCAGAGGAGTCACCTGAGTTCATGCTCGTCGTGCTATCCCTGGGTGCTGGTGGGGGCGCGGGCTTGCGGCCGGCCATGTTGGGTCGCTTGGCGGGAGGGGCTGGAGGGGCGGGCTTGCTCTTGGCGGCAGCGGCTGCGCCATTGGGAGTAGGACTGGGAGTTGCGCGGGGTGCCGCGGGGGGCGGGGGTGGTGCGGGTTTAGGCGTGGGAGCGGCAGCGACTTCTTCAAGATAGGCTTCGGGGGCCCAGCCTTGAGCAGAGGTTGATGTGTTCATGCACAGCCACCAGCCTGGGATCATTAGTATTGTAGCAGTAGAGGTGGAGAGATGTACGTACCATTTCCTTCCTTGGACACAATCTGTACAACTTCGCCAGTGCGGACAGAAAGCTCGTTGGCCCGGTCGCTGTTAAAGTCATACTTGACCTTGGCAGTGGGCTTCTTCGCCGCTGGAGGGGCCGCAGGGGGAGGTGGTGGCGGGGCTCTAACAGAATCACTGGACTGGTTGCGGGTGTGGGCTGCTGCTGCAGCTGCCACGGGTTGAGGCACGACCCGCGGCTGGGCAGGCTGCGGTACTGCTGCGGGCTGGGGGTGGGCCGTGGAAGAGGTTGCGCGGCAGGGACAGGTCTGCGAGCAGCCTGGGACAGCTTCGAGGGACCGCCACCAGGGCCACCGGGACGGAGAAGCTTGCCCTTGGTGACCGGACGAGCAGCAACTGCCTTTGCTCGCGGGGTGGGCTTGGAAACAGAGCTGGGAGGTTCACCAGCACTGGTGTGGATTGTGCTACTCTTGTAACTGTCCACATTTCCAGCAGCCGGGTCCTTGACCACCTTGACCATGGCCAACTTGCCAGGCTTCTTGTTGTATTCAATGCTTTCTCCGACCTTCAAAGTGAAAGCGCCACGCAACACGGTAGAGAGGTGAGTAAAGAACTCGGTCTTGAAGACACAGTTGAGAAGAGGGTCAGGCTCCTGGGCTCCGATGACCAGGGAGAACCAGTCATCTTTGAGAGTCGAAGTGCTGACACTCTTAACAGCTCCAACAGGGACCGTTCGTTCTGACGCGATGACAAGCTGGTTGTTGACGATGCTCTGCGACACAATGTAGATATGACGGTTCGTCAATACCAGAATCCGAGGAACAGGCTTGCTGGAACGACCAAACTTGGAAACCAAGAGCTCGGCACGGCAAGAGAACACAATATCTTCTGAACTGCTGATGTTTGCACCATTGCGGACCATTTCACCAGGACCGCCAGCGTTACCGACGCCAAGGTAATCGCCTAGGAAGCGACGCGATCCCAGCAAACTCATTCTGCGACGCTCCTTACGGCCTTGTAAAATCTGATGACCTTGGTCACGAACCTTGATCAGCTCGAGGCCACCGTTCATGCGGCGCCAGAAGCGCTGGATACGGATCGCACATTCGATGCGGTACCGGAGGTAGTTTCTCCAAGCGCGTTGGATTCGAATGGCCATGTTATGCCAGTACTTATCACGCATAGCTTCAAGCGCAAACAGCGTCTCGGGAGTCTTGACGAACACCTTGGTAATACCCATTTGGTATTCCTCGGCGGGAATACGGGTATCCTTCAAGATCTGCTTGGCACCAGTTTCCACATCACCAGTCCACGTGTAGTCACCGGCGTAGGATGTCTTAGGAGATAGGAGGTAGAAACGCTCAACGAACTTGTCAAACGTTTGACGATAGGCGAAACCAGCACGACGAATGCGGACGTTCTCTTGAAGACCAAGGTACTTGATCTGGTGAAGAACGTTACCAACATTGTACTCCTTGGGAGCCTTGTTATCGTTGGGCTTGATGGTACGAATGTAAGACGGCTGCGCCTTCATGAGCGTGGCCACAAGATCATTGGCAGATGCCTTGATCTTGTCACCAGCGGTAGGCGGGCGTCGCTTGTCATCTTGGTTCACCTGGTTGGGGAACAGAGTGTGAACGAATTCATTGCTACTCGATTGAGCGAGGTTCAATAAATCCTTCAGCAACTGGTCCTTGTTCTTATCGGTCATTCCCTCAACTGCGTAGGCGACATCACCTGCGTAATGCTTGACAATGAATTGGCCCTGGCGACCCTCAAAGTTGGGATTTTGAGACAGGAAGTTCAATCTGCCAACGAAAGTGTTATCCGCAGCGCTGGAATCAGCGTGGGCAGTTGCGCAGGCGTCGTTCAAGGCAGCGAAGACACCAGGAGGCCGCTTGTCTTCGATCAACGAACACACCACCTTGTTGTCGAAGTACTTGATCGGCGTCCACTTGATCTCCTCACGAGCATATTCATCCTGTTCGGCTTTCAAGGTCAACTGAATGAAAATCTGCTGCAACTTTTCATTGACGTAGTTAATGCAAAGTTGTTCGAAGGAATTCTTCTCGAAAATCTCGAATCCATAAATATCCAGAATACCGATCGAGTTGCTGATAGATCCACGAGCAGTCAGGGACTGGTTAACGCGACCCACAATCCAATCGAACAGGTTGAAGTAGATTCCCTTGGACAAAGCGTCCCGAACAGCGGAAGCTTGGACTTGGTTAAGTGGAACCTCGTAAACAGAGCCTCGGCGGCCTCCTCGGGCGGTCTCCATCAGGCGAATTGTCAAGGCCTTGTTGACTTGAGCGGCATCGACTTCCAAAAGATAGGCAACAAAGTCGACAACGGACTGATCGGTAATCATAGCATTACCAGAGTCATCCTCGCTGAATTGCACATTACCGATCCATAGAATTGCGGCCAGCATGCGGAACACGTTGTCCTGCTCCGCGTCGCTCATTCCGATGACCTTCATCGCATCCACTGTATCCTTGAACTCGGCAACATCGTCGACTCCGGGCACATCGAAACACTTCGAGCGACTCGTGTAAAGGTATGATTGCGGCTGTTGTAGGCCGAAAGTGTCGCGGTACTTTTGTGGTGCGCCCTTTGTGAGCTGGTAGAAAATGTGGAAGTTTCGTTCGTTTGTGATCTGTCCAACGACTCGAGATTTCTCCAATAGATAGTTGGTAATGTTGGCTCCCACCGGCTCCCCGTTGGCATTGAACTCCAATTCAAGGTACTTGCCGAATCGCGACGAGTTATTGTTGCGCAGGGTTTTCGCATTACCGAAAGACTCTAGTAACGGATTAGTGGCCAACACCATGTCCTTGGTCTGTTGAATTGACGAATCGCCGCCGCCAGATACACTGGCAATGTATTGCATGATCCTCTTGGCTGCCTCCGTCTTTCCGGCACCGGATTCTCCGGAAATAATAACACACTGGTTATCCTTGTAAGACTTCATATTATAGTATGCGGATTCGGCGACTCCGAATACATGAGGAGGAACTTCGAGACGGTTCTTGCCGCGGTACGAATCGAGAACATGATCGGTGTAGATGCCCACTGGAATCACACGGTTAGCCAACCAGTCTAAAACTCATCGCGAGTAAACTTACAATCGCGGAAAGGGTTCACCGAGACCAACACATGGCCAATGTAAGTCTAAACATCACCCGTCAGCCTGTACTCGTGTTCGCGCACAACCCCGCAGTCTGCGAAAGTGATCCCTTACATAAATCTCGTCATGTTCAAATCGGAGTTTCAGATTGTCGTTGATTGCCTCGTTGGAAATCTTGCTGAGCAGAGTAAGATCTGACACTCCGATCTCCTTCTTTTTGCTACTTTCGAACGTGGCCTTCTTGACCTGCTGCTTGCCCCCCGCTGACCGGCCATCGCCAACGTCGGCGGCAGCTTTGTTCCGCCCAAAACGGCTCTTCTTCTCCCCACCCGCGGGGCGTCGTGATTGACCCTATTCAATCGGGGGTCAGTTTGGTGTTTCCACGGCGGATCACGGTAGTCTTACCATTCTTGTGTATGTATCGAGCTCTCTGGATGTCGCGCTCCGGCGACAAATGCAAATATGACCTGTCAACTGTAAATTGAAAGAGTGTACAAAGAGTGTGAGGTGTAAAGTGTCAGCCGGGTAGAGTGTGGAAGTGTAGAGAGAGTGTAGAGTGGAAGGGGACTTACGTACGACACAGTCAAACGGAGACAAACACTGCGCCACACCAGGGTCTTCGGTTGCTGCCTCAGGGGCAAATCAGACGGAACTCCCGTATAGTTCGGGGTTTGATGATTATTCCGACTTCTCCTCCACTCATATCGCTTTCCTTTGTTCATTCTTTCTTTTTTCTACCCGTCCGCCACGCGCGTCACCGGCTTTGTGGCTAATGCGGGTCAAGAATAGAAGCATCGACGTCATTGGGCATATTTCTTAAAATCTACTGCCTAATCACAATCTGGTCAAGGTTGCAATTGGGCTTCAACTTGTGGACCATGGATAAACAGTCTTAGTATGAATCATGAGTCTAGGCTGTATCATATGGGTGGGTATAACTGAATATAAGCCAACTCTACTGGGAAGGGATGACATGTTTGTAAAATATAGAGATGGAAGAGAAGGAATCATCGAAGTAGCAAGTTAAAAGAAAGACAAAAGCAGACCAAAGCTTGGAGACAAAGATATTTGAAGCAGGCTGAAATTAAAGCCTGACTATTAGTCTATATACATGAACAGAGGGGAGAGTATCAACAATGAACCCCGCCGGAAATTGCCAAAGCAATAACCTCTCCAAGGCTTATAGCTGAAACGAGGAAAATCCTCGTCTTTAATGTGACAGGGTATCTAGATAGAACAAAAGAATACATGCAAGCTCACCTGCTTTGGCAGGGTGGGGATATATCAAACGCGACAATCAAGTCAATGAATATCACGTACTCTTTGGCGTAGGGACCGATACCTTCTCGGCGGCAGCAGGTTTCGATGTATCCGTCGACGATGCGGTCTTATCCGATACAGGTTCGCCATCTGGTACACCCGGAGATTCAGTCGGTTCAGCGCTCTGGCTAAAACTAACATAAGAAGCAATGCGTGAGAGCCACCCTTGGGGCACCTCCGGTGTTTCCACTTCTGGTGCTTGTTCATAGATCTCCTTCGATAGAATTCTGTTCGTCGCTAGCTTGGGTAGCTCGCCGTGCTTCGCTCGGAGCTGAAGCAACTCCTTTTCAAGAGCGACCAGAGCCCCGCGTGCTGCTTGCTCCGATTGTTCCAGTGCCACCAATCGGTCTTCGACATCTGATCGCCGTGTGCTTTCCTTTTGCCGTGAGCGCCATGACTCGAAAAGAATTAGGCCTCCTGCAACAAGGAAAAGGAAGGATTCGGATATAAAATTGGCACCGGACTCGATCGCTTTCGATTCGGAGAGTGGCCGAATACGATAGTGCTGAGGTTTTGCTGCTTCTTCGGCGGCAGCTTTGGCTTTGGCTTCCGCGTCCTCCACAGCCTTGGTTTCTGCGGCGTTCTTGACGGTCGGCGAAGTTGGCTTGAGTTTCCTCGCTGCAGCTTCGGCCGCAGCTTGTTTTTGTGAAGCTGCAGTGTCTCGAATGGAACCTAATCGGAGGCGCATATCAAATCGGTGGAGGGCCTGCGCCATTGAGACGCAGATCTTGCGGAATCGCTCATGTTCGCGGGCTTGGCCTTTGATTTGACTCTGTTGCCTTGTTAGCGTGAGGGTTGATTGACAGTGGGGGATAGCTTACAGCAATAGGCTTGGACAATGTCCTAATTGCCAAGGAAGAGAGCTTTAGTGTTAACGACATGGTGCTTAGAGGGGAAATGAACCTTGGAAGCTTGAGAAGCTTGAGTCACTTTCTTACATCAGATCCAGGCACGGCTGACTCAGCAGTGGTCCGGGCGTCCAGGTTTGGACTATACGAAAAGGTCAATGACCAACCTGACTTCGACTTTGTTGTATTTCATCCCATTCGTTATTGGACAAATAACCACTCAGATAGATATTTCTTATGTCTGCTAACTAGTTTCTCCCAATTTTGACGAGTATCTTACTGAGTCTCGGACCCGGTCCCTGCACATCTGGTTGACTGCGCTTGGATCACAGCCAAAAGCGACTGACGCTAGTATAAGCAATATGTGAAACCTGGGCAAGGTTTGACAGGTCGGAGATCCCCGAAGTTCTGAACTGTGTTCTCTTGGTGTGGGGATACATTTTCCGGGGTTCTTCGCAATTCAAGCACCCAGATACTGAATGCAAGTGGCCAATCACCTCATGCATACATTCCCAGCATCATTTGGTCTCCCGTCTGAGACATACGCAAGCTTCTCCCGCCACAGCCTCGGTTCCGAGATAAGAATAATTTAGCTTCCCTCATCAACCACTCAGATGGTGTGATTGGCTCCCTAGCGTGGAAATATTTTCTACACTGGTTCTGTCCGCGCTGTTTGTTCCCTCAGACAACATGGCGGATTTCGAGGGTCATCCCAAGACAGGGAGTAGGTACACCGTACAAGATGTGGAAGATCAACTACCCCCACATGCAGGTCCATCAAACGACAGCATCCCAGACGATGGACAGATCGTGACCCAGCGTGAACGCCAAAGTCTGATTCGCGGCCTGGGTCAGCGTCATATTCAGATGATTGCCATTGCGGGTGCAATTGTATGTGGGGTTCATATTCCTGTCATGTTCTTGTCTAACTTTCGCATAGGGAACTGGACTGTTCCTCGGACTTGGTGGGTCTATCGCTACTGGCGGTCCTCTAGGTGCCCTGTTGGGCTATATGTTTGTCGGCATAATCGTCTGCTGCATTCAATTTGCCCTGGGTGAAGTTTCAGCACTGCTTCCAGTCACTGGATCTTTTGTTCGACATGCAGAGGTCCTCGTGGACCCGGCGCTTTCATTTGCGATCGGATGGAATGTCGTGTATGGATGCTTTATCAGTGTTCCGAGTGAGATTTCCGCCAGCGTAGTCTTGATCCAGTATTGGACAGACATCAATGCGGCTGTGTGGGTGACTATCCTCATCGTAGTCTCCGTGGTGGTCGCTATCTCGTTCATTCGCGTCTATGGTGAGATCGAGTTTATCTTCGCCATATTGAAGATCCTCCTCGTAATTTTCGTGGTGATTCTGGGCCTGGTGATTGACCTGGGTGGTGTGCCTGGGGTCCCACGAAAGGGATTCCACTATTGGAAAGAACCTGGACCATTCGTCGAGTACATCACCACCGGTTCTTGGGGCCACTTCCTTGGCTTTTGGGCTGTCATGACCAACGCCGTGTATTCATTCGCAGGAGTGGAGTCTCTCGCTATGGCCGCTGCTGAGACAAGGAATCCACGCCAAAATATCCCAAAGGCTTGCAAGAGGGTCTTTGCGCGTGTGTCCATATTCTATCTTGCTGCAGTGCTTATCGTTGGCATGTTGGTCTCTAGTGCGGATGAGCGTCTCGGCAATGACTCCGGTACTGCGGCAACAAGTCCCTTTGTCATTGCTGCCGGTGATGCAGGCATCAAGGCTATCCCGTCTGTTGTGAACGCTGTCTGCTTGACTTCTGCGTGGTCTGCTTCCAATCAGAGTATCTTGGCAGGAACAAGAACCTTATACGGTCTCGCCATTAAGGGCCATGCCCCTAAGATTTTCCTGCGGACTAGCAAGTGGGGTGTGCCTTACATGTGTGTATTGCTGCAGGTTGTTTTCTCTCTTCTTGCCTACATGTGCGTCTCTAATGGCGCCATGAATGTCTTTTGGTGGTTCGTTGATTTGACAGCTGCTGGTACGTTGGTCTCGTGGATCACTATCGCGCTGAACCATATTCGGCTTCTACAAGCGATGGACAAACAGGGCATTCCTGTTACAGCTTTGCCGTGGCACAATCGGATTACTAGTGCGTATTCCTGTTAAATTTATAAGATTGACTATACTGACTCTTTCCAGGATACACCAGTTGGTTCGCGTTGATCTCCTGCGTTATTATCCTCTTGACTGGAGGATTTGTGGTTTTCACCAAAGGAAACTGGGATCCAGCCTCATTTGTGTCATCTTATCTGTATGTTTTTTTATCTCGTCCGCTCGTGACCCAGCTAACAGAAGATGTAGCGATATTCCCCTTGTTCTTCTTGCATATGGGGGTTACAAACTAATCCGTCGGACCGAGATTATACCACTCAGCCAAGTGCCTGTGCAACTGGCAATTGACGAAGCAAATAACGACCCAGACAACGTGCCAATCAAGAAAGACAGCATTTGGGCGAAGATGAATATTCTTTGGGGATGATACATTCTCTACGAAGAAGTCATATGATCTTATTTGAGGATCGAGCCAGAGGCAGACGTGAAACAGAGAGCGCGATATATCTAAATGAATAACTCAGACATTTCTACGTCTTGGGGATATCATACTAATACTTCACCTTTCTTTCATCACCTATAAATAATTTCGGGCTTTTCTATGCAGTTTCTTTTCTAATCTTCAATTACGACGTCTTCTATTGACTCGCACTATATAACGTTTTCTCGGTTCCCAGGTACGTCAGTCATACCTTGCTACCTTTATACTAAGCTCTACGCCTCATAAATATAGCCAGCGAATATACCGCGCGGTCGGTAAATCCTGTAATCAATATAATACAATATATGCCCCTTCGGAAAACTTAGTCGATGCTAACACCAGCCCGCGATCGTCGGAGTTAGCTAAACCCGCCCACGGACCCTCGGATCAGACTGTTCACCCAAACGATACCCCGAGGCATTCTGCACCATTCCAGTAATTCCTTAATATAAATTAAGTCCGACGTTGGCACCGGAACGATTACCGAGAAACCATAAGGGGTGCAAACACCGTTATCCCCGAGATATACGAGTGGAGGACTAGCCCATATCACGACTCCACTTACCGCAGGGACGCAGATCAACCTGGGCATCTATATAAAGCTCTGTCAAAGGTTCGCTTTTAGTACACGCATTCAAATCAATACTCTGTATTCTGTTTATCTTCACACTACATTATGTCTGCTTCAAACACTGGTGTCTGGCTGCTCGAAGCGGGTGGCCAATTCGTCGTTCAGGAGGCTCCGATGTATACTCCTGGTCCTAATGAGATTCTTGTGAAGAACAAGGCTGTTGCTGTTAATCCAAGTTAGTCTATCTCTCCTTCTTTTGTCATTCAACGTATCAATCACTAATTCAATATATGGCAGTGGACTGGAAGATCCAGCTCTATGGTCCCCATCTGCCATTCCCAAGCAAATACCCATTTGTGAGTTCCTTTGGCGCAAGGCACGACTGAGACTGATACATAATGCTATTCAGATCCTAGGTGCCGATCTTGCCGGTGAAGTGTACGAAGTAGGCAAAGATGTTACAAAATTCAAGAAAGGCGATCGCATAGCCGGGTATGATATATATCTCCAACTACAAAGTGTGTATAACTATGAAGTATCATGCTAACATCACAAGAAACGCAAATTGGTTTCTCTCCCATGACATCCGAGATAGTGCCTACCAGAACTACACAATAATCAATGCCGCCGTCGCCGTCCACCTCCCGGCAAATATCCCCTTCACAGAAGGCAGTGTCATTCCGTTGGCTGTGAACACTTCGGCAATGGCCCTCTTCCCACCTGCTCGTCTAGGTCTTCCACTTCCCAGATCTCCTAAGCCAGAGCCAATTGGCAAGGTGATCATTGTCTGGGGTGCTTCGTCGAGTTGTGGGTCTATGGCTGTTCAACTTGCCGTTGCATCGGGTGCTACTGTTGTTGCTACGGCTTCGGGTAAGAATCACAAGTTTGTGAGGTCGCTAGGTGCAACTGCTGTTGTGGACTATAAGAGTGAAGATGTTGTTTCGGAGTTGATTGATACGGTTAAAAAGGCTGGAGGTGAATTTTTAGGGGCTTTGGATGCTATTGGGGATGATCAGACCTGGAGGTTGTGTGTCGATGTGGTGCAGGGTCTTGGGTGTGGCCGGGTGGTTAGCAATAACCCGAGGATTCCAGTAAAAGATATTCCTGAGGGAACTGAGGTTCTTGGTGGTAAGTTTCCTTTCTTCTTCTAGACTGTGATCAAGCTGATAATGATCCTCATTGGTAGTGACTGATACTGCAAATATCGGTGACAACAAGGAGATTGTGGAGGGTATTTGGGCCAATTTCCTCCCACAGGCATTGAATGATGGAACTTTCAAGTGTCTTCCTGAGGCGATAGTATTGAAAGGGTTGGACAAGGTTGCTGAGGGCGTTGCTCGGTGTCAGAAGGGAGTTTCGGCTGCAAAGGTTGTTGTAGAGCTTTGATTTACTTCATACCCACTTTCAAGTAACTCAGATTCAGTCATAGCCGCAGCATAGTATATGCTGTTATTGGATCTGATTTGAATGGAGTTTAGTTGTTCTTGTTCCGTTGAAAAAGTATGGCGGTCGGAATTTGTGTACTGTATTGTCCCGTGCTTGAGTAATAAACATTCTCCTGATTTATCAACTAGATTTCGTAGGACATAACTGTGATGGTGTATTTCAGCAATATCAGGTGATCTTCTTGTAATAGAATCGATAATAGTAGACTTGATTGCTGTAAATCAGGCATCCGATGAAAATTATAGATATTAATGGGAGTCTATGTGTGTTATGTTCGAGTAAATCTTCAAGTTATAGTATATGAGAAAGTAAGCCTAGAAAAAAATAAAGCACTGAGCTCAATCCAGTAAGAAAATTTACCTGCTTGGTCCGTGAGAATGTGTGGAGTCTGGATTTTCATGTAAACAAACAAAGATATTTAACGTTATGACTGCCACGCAACAAAGCGAGAAATTATAATTAAAGATCTCAGCTATAGACAAAGCTATATATCTGATGTATCAAGCAAGCTAGTTATTATTTGAATAATTGTCTCAAGCATACAGTATATCAAGGGCGAACGCATGGGATAAGATGCACGTGACCGCGGGACTGTTTATCGATTTCCGCATTGAGCAAACTATTATGGTCTTGTCATCCTCAACTCCCAACCCTCAATTGAGGTGCCTTTGTTTTTCTGGAGCTCTGTACAGTTTTTCTGCTTTAGCGCTTTGCATTTCAGTACGCCTTTCCCATCTGTTGTTCATCGTCCCGTCCCGACCGACTGGCTTCGGGGGACCGATTGTACGGATTCTGACTCGACCGTTGCAGGGATACCAATCTTGCACCACTTCGATACCTTTGAGAACCAGCACTTAATACCCTTTTTACGACCTTCATGCATGATACCCTTTGTCTACGCACCTGCGAGCCACCACAATACGATAATTCGACAACTGCGATAGAAAGACCGACCCAATGAGAATGGAGGCCCTTTCCCCACGCACTACGAACCAGATGATAAAGCCCAAACTTATCATGGATCGTAAGGCTTTAGAGAAAAATGCTGCACCACCAAGCGCCCAACCGAAATCCTCATCAGCGAAAAACCATGCTGAACCGCCACCGTCAGTAGTTTCGGAACCGGAAGATGGCGGAGAGCGATACTCGATAGGTGCATTCTTAGGGAAGGGAGGATTTGCAGTCTGCTATGAGGGCGCATTGGCGCGCAATGGTCGTGTATATGCCATGAAGGTGGTCAAATCACAGATGCCACAGAAAAAGATGGAGGAGAAGGTATGCCAAACCCATGAGCTCGGTGCTTCTAACGGGGGTTCTGACTTATTCCACAGTTTCGGACGGAACTGCAAATTCATTCCAAAATGCGACACCCATTTGTCGTTCAGTTTTACCGCGCATTTGCTTTTGAATCCAGCACATACGTTGTCCTAGAGCTATGTCCAAATGGGTCAGTAATGGACATGGTACGGAAGCGTCGGTGTCTAAGCTTGCCCGAGGTACGACGATTCATGATTCAGCTTTGTGCAGCGGTGAAATATCTTCACAAGCGATTTGTTGCGCACCGCGACTTGAAAATGGGAAATCTGTTCCTAGATCACAACATGAACATCAAAGTCGGGGATTTTGGCCTTGCAGCGATGATTCTCTCAGACAAGGATGCAAAGCGACGAAACACGCTTTGTGGAACTCCCAATTACATTGCCCCCGAGGTTCTTGATAAAAGCAAAGGCGGGCATACACAAAAAGTGGACATTTGGTCATTGGGTGTTATTTGCTTTGCCATGCTTACAGGATACCCACCTTTTCAATCAAAAACACAAGAAGAAATTTACAAAAAAGTACGAAACTTGAGCTATGCCTGGCCCAAGGAATCAGACACCAACAACTTCATACCAGAAGAAGCGAAGGATCTCGTTACTAGCTGCTTGAACCTTGTCGATGAAGAACGGCCAGACCCAGATGACATTGTTGAACATCCATTTTTCAACATGTACGATGGGTGCATTCCTCGTCAGTTGGATTCCGGGTGTCGTTACAACAAGCCACTCTGGCTCAAGGATGCTTCCCCCGGGGTGATTGTATGGTAGGCGGCTATGGCTTAGATTCTGACGAAAAGCTTCGTGCCTACGTGTATCAGGTGGATGACCCCAGCCAGCGGTACCATTCCTGCAAGGCTGCCTTCTATTCCCTCTGTGGAGTTGGGAAGAAGCCCGATGGAACGGCTCGGAAATCTGTGGGTAGAAACTGCTCCAAGTCAGCCTATGCCGAGTGCGATGCAGAGGACCAGAGAGGTCTTCGTCCAGTTATTCCGCTGACACCTGACTATGTTTACCGATGGCCGCACGATCTCGATGGGGACTGGTGCCTGTTGGAAGCTTCTCGCAAGGTTCGCAGCGAAGAGTCCATGCTTGACAGCAGCACTCTTTCAAGGCGCAGTGTTGCAGCTCGGCCCCACCCTGTGGCAGCTTCACGGACCAACGCTGCCCTTCTGGCTGCTCAACAACGACGCATGGAAGGCCAAAGTCATGCTGCCACGCTTCGCCAGCAAGCTCGTGTGCCTCCTCTGTCACCTAGAAAGACACCCGGGATCAGCGACCCTCCGGTCTTATCTAGACCCTACCGTGACGTACCAGAGCCGGAGCCGAAACTACCTCTGGCTCCTGGGATACCCGCCGGTGGTCTAGCGGAACGTCCCATCCGTACACGAAGAATGGTATCCGCATCCCAAGCAACGACACTGTGTAGCAAGGAAAAGGATGCCATTCCTCAACTGACCAAGTCAACAAGCATGCCAGCTGGCCTGACTGTAGGCAAAACGCGTTCTCAGTCTCGCAGATTGGCAGCCGCTGACCAGGAATTGCCACAGGCTTCCATCCCAACGAGAGAAAGGCAGCCAACTACAATTCCCGAGGAGCGTAGAGCGCCCCCTCGTCAAACATCCCTACGATCTTCGTCGCGAGTGGATGCGAAGATTATAGCGGAGAGAAATGAACGCCAAAGAGTCAGCCCCATCGATGCAGGCGCAAGATCGTTGTCTAGCCAGTCTAAGTCTTCGTCTTCGTCTTCGTCTACTGGACTTGCCCGATCTGACTCAAATGGAGTCAGTCGATCTAACAGTAAAACTGCTGGTAGGGCTCGTTCTAGCTTGGGATTGAGTCCCCTTTTCCACACCGAGGATCTCTGCGAGCTTCTCCCCAGGACTTCGTTGACCGAAGTCAATACCGACCTCCGGCTGTTGCTATCGAACTTGATCAATCACGCCCCAAGTCGTCGACGTGGTGGAGCAAGGAAGCAGCCTCACGCATACGTTATTAAATGGGTTGATTATACAAATCGATATGGCATCGGGTATGTCTTGGATGATGGAAGTGTTGGATGTGTTTTCAAAGGAGAAAATGGACAACCGGCAACAAGTGTTGTTGTCCGAGATGGGGAGAGACATATTCGTCGCAAGGCGCGGAGTGTCGAGGACGGGGATATGAAACCGCTGTTTTACTCGGAATCGGATCAGCTTGTTCCTCGCAACGGACGTGCGATCGAGTTCTACGAGAACAGGGACGATGATTTATTAGGCTGTCGCGGAATCCGGCGCGCTATGATTTCACCATCCCTGTTCGACAAGAGCTCAAAGGCAATGAGAACTCGCACCCCATCAGGCACTGAGCCTGAAAGAGCCGATGCAGAGAAAATCAAGCGCATGAAGCTCGTGGACCAATTCGGCAAATACATGATTGGAGCCCTCGGTCGCCATGGCGACGAAGGTATCATGGACGATGACATCCCGCAACAGAACAGCGGCCAGTTCATGAAGTTCTACCAGCGCCTCGGCAATGTTGGAATTTGGGGCTTCGGAGATGGCGCATTCCAGTTCAACTTCCCCGACCACACCAAGCTTGTCATTTCCCCTGGTCGCACCCGCAGTTCATCTCCCTGGATCGACTTTTACCATCTCTCACCATCCGCCGCTCGCTACTTTTCCGCCAAGGGCAGGATGCACCCGAATGGCTTCGACACGAGGGCTGTCGCTTCGGACGAAGCTGCCACCTTCCTCAGCATCGCCAATGGAGACTCCGTAAACTCAGTCGAAGACCGCATCCGCGACATCTTAGATGCCAACGTCTTCACCGAGAAAATTGCTTTCATCAAAGATACCATCAAAGTCTGGATCAAGAACGGTCGTCTTGGCGGTCGTCCATCTTCTGCTGAGATCCCGTCCGCGGATCCATCCACACCCACGGAAATGTTCTGGCAGGGCACTCAAGAACGATCGCAGCCCAACACCCCCGGAACGAAATTTGTCTGGGTCACAGTTGGAGCCCCAGACGGCGACGGCCAATACCGTTCCATTATGTTGAAAGACAGTGACCGCGAGCGACTCACCAAGCGCGCTAGCACGGATTACGAGAAAGAGATGGATGCACTGAAGGATCGGCTTCGAGCTCTGAATCGTTGATTCATGCCGGAGATTCTATTTTGGCTATTTAAATGTCCGCTTCATGATGTTACGACTTTTGTTTTTGTCGGATGAAATGCTTTCATGTTTATTTTTATTTTGGTTGCGGCTCAGGCCTAGGCTTCGATGCTTGGAAGTTTCGGCGTCTATTCTTGATAGTGTTGATCAAATTCACTTCTATTTTTGCACAGTTACTTACAAAATAATCCATCTGGCTCGATTTTCAAACCTGTCCCGTTGGCTGGATATGCTTCCCTGCCTTGCCTGCAGTCACAAATCTTTCCTGTCCAACGACAAAAATAGCATTCTGCCGTACCTTGTGGGTATAGAGCAAAGGATTCTCTCATTGAAGATATCTTCTTCCTCTCGTAGCTTTTACATCGAGATCCTGAGATTACAATAGGCCCTTGGCAGATAGGAAGTAGTGCGTGGTCACAGTTATACCGGACGCTTTGACTAAACCTGCCCGCTGCATCATCCCATTTGAGCTCATCCCAGCACTCTTATTCATCTATCTCTGAGTTTGTTATCGAATCAGAGCCAAGTTCAGAACCATCCAGGCCCATCGGTCGACTGTACGCCGACATTCCCCCCCGCGTCCGACCACCCGAAACCCGGGGGGTAAATATGAGAAGCTATAAAAGAAGATAGAATCCCCCGCATATCCTGAGACTATGCAACTACTAGCCTCATAGCTTTGAGCAAGTGAGGGCGAAACACAAGTCGTACTTGACCAGACCCCGTCGACTTCTACTCCAACCTTCTTTCATATAGTCATGCAGAACCCCTCCTGTCTCCTCTATGGCCCAGGCGACGCCAGATTCGAAGATCAGCCCATGCCAACAATCAACGACCCCCTCGATGTAATCATCCGCATCGAATACGTGGGCGTATGCGGCAGCGATGTAAGCACCAATCCATCCCACGAGTGACCCCAAATCACACCACCACCTCACTCAATATCCACCCTGCACGGCAGTCTAACAACCAAAAGGTCCATTTCTGGGTCCACGGCGGCATAGGAAACCACGTTTCAGCCACCAATCCCATAGTCATGGGCCACGAAGCCTCGGGAACAGTGCACGCCATCGGAAGCAGCGTGAAGAACCTACAACTAGGCGATGCAGTAGCTATCGAACCCGGATTCGGCTGTCGCATCTGTTCGAAGTGCAAATCCGGCAAATATAATCTCTGTCCGAATATGCGGTTTGCGGCGAACCCGCTGGATACGCATGGCGCATTGTCGAAGTTCTTCAAGGTTCCTGCTGATTGCTGCTATAAGATTTCTGGATCGTTGGATTCTGAGTTTGGGTCGGAGTTCCCTCATGCGATTGGGCTCGATGAGGCGGTGTTGATTGAGCCCATGGCGGTTGCTATGCACTCGGTTCGGCAGGTTGGCGTTAAGCCTGGGGATCGGGTTATTGTGTTTGGGGCTGGGACTGTGGGGATTCTCTGTGCGGCTGTTGCGCGGGAGTTTGGGGCCAATTTGATTGTTTCGGTGGATTTGAGTGATGATAAGTTGGAGTTTGCGAAGAAGTTTGTTGGGGAGGATCGGGTTCGGTATCGAACTGCGATTCCTGCGGCGCAGCTGGATGCTGAGGAGAATGCTGTTGGGCTGAGATCTTGGCTTAGTGGTGTTGACCCTGATGCGGATGTTCCTGGATTTGACGTTGCTATTGAGGCTACTGGAGCTGAGCCTTGTATTCAGACGGCCATTCATGTGCTGAAAGTGGGTGGCTCGTTTGTGCAGACTGGGCTGGGCAATCGAAATGTCAAATTTCCTATTTCGACGGTGTCTGAAAATGAGATCACCGTCAAGGGGTGCTTTCGGTATGGAGCGGGTGACTTCCAGATGGCGCTGGAGCTGGCGAAGTCGAGAAAGATTGAGTTGAAGTCTCTCATCACAAAGGTTGTGCCGTTCGAAAATGTTGTAGAGGCGTGGGAAACTACTCAACGAGGCGAAGGGATCAAAACACTGATTCGAGGAGTTGGGCGTGCTGTGTGAAATATCTTGAGTTTCAATTGAATGGAGAATGTGATTATTAGGGCTAAGCTATGGCTCAATTTACACTTTACAAGATCTTCTTCAATCTAAGAAAGCCCACATTACCAGACAGAAGGCCTGCTTTCAGGAGCAGTTTTTCCCTCTGCACGCATCTCCAAGTCCTTTTCGCTTGCAATAGTCTCATCATCGCCCCGAAGACCTTGGCTAGTCTCCAAATCACGATCTAGGTCGTAGTGCTCAGTGAAGAGACTGATCACTAGAGCTACACCGGAGACAGCACAGCAGACTATCCATACTGTGCGAAGACTGTCGGTATACGCCTCTTTGAGATTTGCCTTGTCTGCCCCGTCTGCCATAGCCTTGATAATCTGGACCAGACCAGCGGCGTCCTTGCTGTATGCATCGGCCATAGGAGCCAGATCGGGATATCTCATGATGTTACTGAACATGCGGTTCTGGAACACCACTCCACCAACCGCAACACCAATAGCTTGGCCGAGGGCACGGAAGAAGCTAAACATGGCGACGGCGATAGCGAGGTTCTCCGGCTCCGACGAAGCCTGAACGGCATAACCCAGAGATGGGAACAAGATCCCTAGCCCCAAACCAGAGACAATATTCAGGAAGATCCAGCCAACAACACTGGTGTGGACTTTGATCAGACACATCAGACCAAGTCCGATGGTTGACAGAACCCATCCTAGCCACACAGCCCATCGGTACCGGCCAGTTACCGTAATGAGAATTCCAGCGACCATTCCACTAGGAGCCACAGTGAATGTCTCAGGGAAGAGAGCCACGCCTGAAAGAATAGGACTATACTCTTTCACGGCTTCATAGTATAGAGGAAGGTAATAGAGCGCACACCACAGAATGAAGCCCTGCAGCACACTTCCAACAAAGGAAACAGTTGCCGTCCGGTTTTTGAAAATGACTGGCGGAATGATGGGGTCGGATGCGAAGTAATACTCGTACAATGCGAAAATGAGAAGACCTGCACCTCCCACACAAAGAGGAACTAGTGTTCGCCATGAGCTCCAGGGGTAGGAGACTCCACCCCAAGTGAGTGGGATGAGGAAGGATGATATACTTCCGACGAAGAGAACGGTTCCGAAATAATCGATTCGTCGAAGTTTTTCGCCTAAAGAGCTGGGGACGAGCTTCAGGTTGAGGAACAGAATGACGAGGATCAAGCCGACACCGATGAATGGAAAGTTGATATAGAAGATCCAGCGCTATAGCTTGGTGTTAGAGGAATGGTCGATGTCTTTGGTAGGTCAAACTCACCCACGACACGTTCTCGGCGAAACCACCTCCTAGAATTGGTCCTGTCACTGAGCCGAGACTCCACATTGCACTTAGAATACCAAAGTACTGTCCTCGCCATCTTAATGGAACAAGATCTGTGATAATGACTTCGCTCAGAGATATGATGCCTCCGCCACCGACACCTTGTATAGATCGTCCGACTAGCATATAGGTAAAGTTATTTGCAATCGCCGAGATGATAGCACCAACACAGAAGAACACGAGGGCGATCAATATCATAGGGCGGCGGCCGAAGATATTCGAGAAAGAGGCGAAGCTCGGTTGGAAGACTTGAATATTGTCAGAGAACATAGACAAAATAGATGTCTTGAAGGTATCATACCTGTTGAGCAAAGTAGGAAGGAGGTACCGCTCCAAAATGCTTCGATGGCTGTCCCATTCAGCTCTTGAGCAATGTCCTAAGCTTCATTAGGCTATGTATGGTTTGGTCTCTGGACATGACACTTACCGGCAACGCAACAGACAACGAAGTCCCATCGAGAGCAGCCATCAATGTAAGAACCGCCAACGTGAAAAAGACCAAAATCCCCCTCCGCCCCAACGCAAACTTCTCCTCAGGATCCGGCTTCTTTTGCTTGATGTCAGACGCAGGCCTCACGCTGTCATCGTAAGACGACCTTCCACGTCTGTAAAATGGTAAATCTGCGTCTGCCATAGTGAGTAGTGAGACCGATGTACCGATTTTATTTCGACGTAGTTAGAGGCAAATATGGTTTAATATTGCAGTGTATCTCGATCAATAAATGATTTTACATTTGAATCCGCAAGCCAGACAGATATATAGAAATCAGCCGTCTAGCCAACGCCCACGCGGGATTGGCAAGATTCCATGAAGTTGGGAATGGGACGAAGAGTTCCTCCGTGGCCCAAGATCCTGGAACTAGACTCCCAGAAGACCATCCATACCAGGCCGATTTAATCTCTAGGGATTCCACGACAGGACGGAGTTGGAACTTGACCGCAGCTGTTTGGGGGACGTTCGGCATAAAGTTGGCCCGCGGACTGTGTCAGACGGGATTCGGGCTAATTTTATTCGTTCGCAGGTGGTTCTTGTATTTTTTATAGGCAATGATATACTCCGGTCGGGGGTTTAATGGCCCAGCCGAATAATCTTATTCTGGTCGCGGCTGATTTTGATTCAAGTGGCTTGGAGGTTGCGTTGTTTTGGCTTTCTGACTCGATCGTGCTATACATCCTCGATTGAGACATGATGCAACTGTACGAAGAGAAGATACGATGATATTCCTATGTGGCTTGCGAGTGAAGATTATACTATCTCGGAATCGAGGGGTTCTGGTTGCGAGGCATGAAACAGACATGTCTTGATTCTACCTATCCGATCTGGCATCTAGTCGGAATTCTAACCCGACCGTCAACTTTTCGAGGGCTAGTCCTCGCATCAAATCTCCGCTTTTATATGAAGCAGAAATATAAAACCCAGCAGAAGCCTCCAGGTCATCCCTCATGGCCCCTCGCTTCGCCATGGATCAGCAATGCATCTTCTGAGACCGACAAGCCAAGCAACATGCCGTGTCACAGAAGACCCTACCCACGTTAAAATCAAGAAGAATCCTGCAGACGTTGCCACTCGCCCTGAAGAACTTCAGGCAGTTCATCCACCAAACTGGGTCGGTACGGCTTCCAGCCTAGCATCTGACGTGCGCGCTGCGAACGACCACGAGAGTTCATGCCCCAGCTTAGAGATTCAAAGCCTGCATACTTTTTCGCACTGTCCAGGTCGATTGACTCAGCCTTGGCCTCCGGGATGTACCCAAGTTTGGCGGCTGCATTTGCTGTATCTTGGGCTAGTTCGCCCCAGACGTGTTCTCCGTTCTCGGTGAGGTAGTAGGCCTTAGCTCCCCAGAGCCCGTCGTCGGTTCGGCCTGCAACCGCTGCATCTACTAGAAGTGAGTATACATCACTCAGGTCATGGACATGCACATTGTTCCAGATGGACTGGCCAGCGCCGATTATCGGGCCTTTCTTGATACGGAGCGTTACATTGGCCAATTCGTAAACCTGACGCCCACGCTGAGAGCAAGGTCCTCGGCCCTTGCCTGGAGAAATATATTAAGTTAATGTTTTCATGCAAATTGATAGGGGAAGTTCCTTACCATAAATCGTAGGTGGACAGACAAGCGCTGTCTTGAGGACATCGGCATGCTGCGTACCCGCATCAAGGATGAGCTGGTCTACGTTTCGGTGGAAGGCATGGTCTGGGAGATTGAGCAGCTCCTCAACACGATCCCAGTCGTTGTAGATCTTCTCGCTTCTATTTCCGAATTCGTTCTTGTCGCTGTCTTCCCAGGTGAGGATACCCGTTCCTCCAGTGTGGAGCAGGTAACCAGGGTGCTCTTTGGTATGGCCTGATACTAGACCGGCTATTATGGCCTTTGCAGCGCCAACATGGTCACTTGCATCGGCGGTGTCTGTTTGGGAAGGATCAGCACAGTTTGGTTGTTATGATGTCTTGGTTGGGGCATTTACGTAGCACGATATCCGCAGCTGCACTTTCTTTCTCTAACAGAGCGGAGTCGTCAAGGTCTCCCAGAACAATACGGACGTTTGGATACTGGGCTTTGACCTGTTCAGCTTTCTCGTTGGTGCGGACTAGAGCTGCATAGGAGAAGTCTGGGTGCTTTGCAGCGAGAGTGGCTAGTGAGTCGCCGCCAATGTAGCCAGTAGCGCCGGTACTATAATTGTCAGAATCAGAATTCTCAAGTAGGATCGGGTGCTCTCACATAAAGATTTTAGTCATTGCAATCTTTACGCTTGCACTTCGAATTGTCAAGAGAGATGAGTTGAGGTGTGACGTCACAACTTCCCTGTGATATCGAACAAGATTCGCAGTTTTTGGTCGTCAGAGATCAAAGGCAGTTGTGTTTCAAGGGATCTTGCCTATTCAACGTCGATGATAAAGCAGACTGTAAGAGAATTGATGCACCAGGATCTCCTCAATGCTTTCCTCCATCCGGCACTCAACCCCGCGGTGGAACCTCGATAATTTGTAATCATTCGGATAGAATCCTGTTGAACTACATTTTACATCATGGCGTTGTTTTCATGACTTGGACTCACGAGGAAGATATATCTTAAGGCTAAACTACCCTGCCTCCTATCCATTGATTCTCATTTGCGTTGATTTCATATCAGATTAACATCGGCCTTTAATGTTATCAATATTCTTTTGACCTTTTGCAGCCTGATTAGTATCGTAATAGCTATCTAGACACTTCTTTTCCGTTGCAGCAAGAGGAAAGATGCCAGCTCTGCATGTAATGCGAATCCGTAAGCCAATACATAGGAAAAAGGCCAGTGCCGTAGCACACTGGGTACAAAATGTATCCAGACCCGTTCTAGCTCCATGAGTTTATCGTTCTGATATCCTTCATCAACTTTGGGGAGATGGACTGTTAGTGAGTTCAGCGTTTGTCTGGATATCTATTGCTTATTCGTCGAGGATCTGTCGACGGTTGCGAAGCTGTTGAGTCGTTCACCTCGAGCTTTCATTGCCCTTCGCACAGGCGGCATAGGTGAAGATGTTTTCAGTTTGCTTGCGCATTTCTAGTTAATACTGGTTGGATTGAGGCTCTCTATCAATTGCCTTTTTTTTCGAAATGACTACTCTGCCTATGAAATAAATGAATTGAAAATCCGTTTATGCACAGGTGCTCTTTTGCCGTACAAAACAAGCAATATCGGTGCTATGGTTGCCAAAGAAGCTATGACGTTTTTTGTTTTACTAGTGACTGTCTCATAAATGCATAACCATAATGTACTCACTTTCTAGTGTAGACGTATGCAAGGGCCGCAAATTGAGATTGTCGTTACGGAGTACACGCACGACATTTAGTTAAACATTACAGCAGATGAACAGCCCACCCCTTGCCACAAAATGAAACCCATGCATAACTTCATTTCTTCATTGACCCTTCACCGGTCGCAACATACATACTTGCTCATAGCCAGGGAAGGGCGAAGACGACTCCAAGAATCGGAACCCATACTTCTCATACACAGGCCTGCCCTCGGGCGACGAAGACAAGTAAACCTCCACACCCTCTCGATCAGCCCGTTCAAGACCCCATTTCAAAAGTCTCGATGCTAGCCCCCGGCCCTGATAGGACGGATGCACAGCCAACATGTCAAGATCTACAGGTCACAAATTAGCGCAGCTACAATACAAGCAATGCAAAATCAATGGTCGCGTGCAAAATAAACTAGACCCCAATAATCAAAGCCACCAGATAACATTAGTACCCTAGGACAGTGACGTTATAACATAACTTATCCCATAAGCAAAAGAAAAAAAAAAGTACGACAGAACAAGCGGGGCAAACAAGCAAACAAGCAAAATGAAACATACAATAATGCGGCCTGTCGCCCATCCACTTTGCTTTCGATTGTTCCATGCCGGAAAAGAATTGATCGCATAGCTCGCCGTCACAGCTAGGAGCCCATTCGGCGGGTTGCTCGGGTTCGTGCCGATGGCGATCGGCGGAAGTTGGACATTTCCATTTCGCGAATGCGGCGATCGCGTCTGGATCTGCGTCTGAGTCGGAGTCTACGATTTTGAAGAATACTTCGTCGGTTTCGCCGGCGATTGAGCGCGTGATGCTGTCGTGGAAGGTATGTTCCCACCATGCGGTTACGTCGGGGGTGTGTGGGAACATGGTCCTGTTGAAGTCGCCTACGAAGGCGGCGTAGAAGATCTCGGTGAGTGAGGCTTTGTCGGCTGGCGTTGCGGGGATCATTTCTAGTGGCATTTTGGCGGTTGTATTGTCTTGTGGGTGGTGGTGAGTGTTGGAGATTTGAATGTTGGAGTTGAGGTTATGTGGTGGGAATGCGGGTCTACAGAATCATCCTATCATCTTGGAGGGAAAACGGGACGGTGTTCTCGTTTGATCCTCTCACTGAAGGTTTGAATCTTATTCCAGATTCACTTGATGCTTGTTATAGCAAAGAAAGTGTGGTGAAATGATGTATTTTGGTTTACGTGAGAAGGCCAACGTGTATTTTGCCGTCTGCGGGATTTTGCCAGACAGACTATCAATGGTCTGCTCGCGTGGCCGGTTGCCAAATGTAAAGGCGAAGTTAGTCAATCGGAAATAGGAAATGTGGTTGAATCTTTGAAATTGTAGACATTAATCGGGATTAAACTAACGGCCAACATTATATCCATAGATCGTGAGCCTGTGAACGCTCCCATTACGCTCCTGAGGGTATATAATTCAAACAAAGTATTGACACTGGTCCCCAAGCGACCATTAAAATCATAGAAAGGAATTTTGTTCACGCAAGAAAGGGAACAGCGAAACGGTGAAGTTTCGAGGTAGGGGGTGTATTTGCGCCGATAGCGCACTCTTCAGACAGGAGATCACTGTTTTTCTTTCTCCAGTGCTGGCTCTGGGGTGGCGATTGGACTGACTGGTCCAGGCTCCGTGTTTTGTCTCTGGTAAGATGGGTCATGATGCAAAGTCTGGTCTGCGCGTCCTGGCTGAGTAGATCCTCTGTACGACTGGTCGTGTGAAGGCGGCAAGACAGAGCGACGGATACGGGGATCGTCGGGCTGCTGGTTCTTGCTTTCCGTGCTCTTTGTGGTTTCCATTTCTGACTTGACGCTTTGGTACATGCTTTCGACGATGAAGACTTCTTCTTGCACGTCTAGATCACAATTTACCAGGCAGAACTCTCGCTCGCGTTGTTCGATGTACTCTCGGATGTTCTTCCATTGGTTTTGGTAGTTCTTGAGGCGATCTGGGAGTCCGGAGCCGCGGAGGTATGTCAGGACACCAGCCATGATTGTGTTAATCGCACCGAACGCAGTGACAGCAGAGTGTGGGCCGCTGGCTGCGCCAAGGGCAGTCACTGCGGCGGCAACGACGACTTGGACGCCGAGACAGGTGTTGATGAGGAAGTTGAAGATTTTGTAGGCGCGCTGCGCCTTGGTTTCATTGGTAATGACACGGGTATAGATACCAACATTGGGCGCACTGCGGAGAAGATGACCCTGCTCTGTGAGCGCAGGGACACTGTCGATACCGGTCAAAGCGCGGAAGACGAGGAGCTTGTCATTGATGGGAATGAGAGAATCCATATGTGTTGTGGCCACTCGCTTTGGTGGGGCTCCTGGCATTTCTTGTCCATACCCTCCAGTCTGTACGCCCATAGCCGCTGCTGCGTGTGCCGCCATGGGTGGGTAGCCCGCTTCTTCACGATCTAAGGCTGCCTCAATCATCCGGTGAAGGAGCCTGCGGTTGGGCTTCTTTTGCGCCATGTTCGCGGGGATAGACAGATTAAGGAAGGGTAAGGGGAGAAGAGCAATGGAAAGATAAACCTTTTCACGCACAACAGAGGGGTCACATCCATATTTGTAAACACGAGGGACCGGCAATGCCGTCAAGCTGTTTTCGCGCAATACCCACCTTGCAGATGCAGTCAAGATTGGTGCATCGCTCGTCCGAGCACTAGATCAGAACTATCCCTGCATCAGTCGACGTCGAGTGAGGATGTGCATGATTATCTTCCAGATAGGGGAAAGCCCGGGGGAGAAACCTGCAGGGTTTGGCGAATAGCCGGTGCAACAAGACCAATCCGAATCATGACAGGTTGGACGCATGGCGACCCGCGCATGCAGTAAAAAGTTAGTGGCATCGGCCAGCTGGAAGTGCTTTTCTCAACTCGAAATCGACCTGTCTTGGCCCGAATGTGGCTTGAATTGGTGGAGATCTGCACGGCGCGCTCTCAAGAAGCAGTCAAGAACGGTGGGGCTAGTCTGGCGGCGTCGAGGAATCATACACTACAATCACGATCTGGTGTGAACAGAACGACGATCGTTGGAAAGGAGTTTGCAGCTTACAGTACTTCAGAGTGAAAAATCCTCCGAGAAGCGCTAACGATGGAGCCCTTACTCCATGGCGATGTCCACTTTCAGGGTCTTCAACCCAAGACGTGCCCATTTGTCAATGACTGCATGACAGGCGCAGAACCCTGGGTCCAGTCGCGGAAACGAGATTGTCACTTTGCAGATCGGACATCGATTCAGCAAGTCTAGTGGATCCCATCGCACGGGATGATAATTCTGCTGCACCTTTGCAAGCTGCATGTGTTGATCAGCTGCACCGTAAGCCGCTGCTTATCGTGCTGTCAGAATCAGGGAGAACAGTTGTTGTCTCAGCTCCGGATGTTGAAGCCCCCTGGCATAACAACCAAATACAAGCACGGGGGTTATCCTTCGGGGCCTTCGGGCAGGAGTTCCACTTGGTGGATCATCTGGATCAGCCCCTGAGTTGTGATCGAGTTAACACCCTAGCTTAGTGCCAATCAGTCCCGAGTGTGAACGAGCGACGTGATTGGTTTGGCTTGCTCGCCATGCATTTCCGTATCTTCTCGTGGCGGGCTGAAAGTCCAACGTATCACACCAAAAGCTTGACGAGGGTGGGGTGAGAGGTGCACAACAACGTGGAGATTGGGATAGGCAAGGAATGGGTGTTTCAAACAAATGTCTTGCTGTTGAAGAATTCAAGAGCCGTGTTCCACTTGAGGATCCCGTCCCCAGTTGTTTAGCCCTTGGTTGTAGCCATATTCGGGGCGACCGCCTTTCTCGCCGCAGTATATTCCTATTTGACTCCTTGGCTGCATTCGTGTTGACTGCGATTCGCGATCTAATTGTCATGGTGAAACTATAAAGTTAGCTCAAAAATCAGTATTTTAGAATGAGGCTTGAAGCCATAAACGTCAGCTGGGGGTGCTCGGAGGTTAGTTGATAGGCACTTTGCGGCTTCATTGGATGGAATGATTAAATGATTGAACGAATTAATTGAACTGGTGCTTTGTGGTTTTGATATAGCTCTAAAGGAGAAATTGAACCGTTTGTATGACTCCGCCTATCAGCGGCATTCGTCTATTGGATATCACTCTCCCTTCTTTGTTTTTTTACCATATACACCGTTTCGTAACGTGATTAATTTGCGGGGTTTGAGGCGCATTTTCTATGCTTATCAAATGTGCCGTCTTCTAGTAGCAACTCATGTATGTTGCAGATAGTTTACTTGCACCTGTAAACCTTGGAAACAATGATGGGCATGACTAATTCGAGTCCAAAGTGACCGGACTTTGGAAGAATGCGACCCCGAAACCCGACTCTTTCGGTATGAGAGTGAATCCATCCTATGGCCAGATTTGCCTCGGCTTCCCGATGGTTTCATTCGGAGATTCATTTTCTAGATTACTCTATCCTCTGCTGAACTGTGGTTCTCACATAGAAATATATTTTCGCGTTTAAACTTCTGGATTTCATTCACTCGTACTTGTTGTATTTCCTTAGTGTTTGTGCTCAAAGTCAATTGCTTCACTCCAGATACATCAAAGTATGGCCGCTATCAGCATGATTGAATGGCTTTGGGCTTCGACTCCCCAATTCGATTTTTGGAAATGCTTGCTCACAGTGTTCCTGGTGGTCAATATCAAGAACTTGCCATTGGTTTTTCATGTAAGTATGCAGTCAGAAATGAAGTGAACCTAAGTAGTACTGATACTAACAAACATACTTCAAGTATCGCATCTTCCGTCCGATCATACAAAATGTCTTCAAAAAGAAAAGCCGACATCAGTTAATTTCAATCCAACACGGAAACAAAACTCTACCACTGGCCTTCTTGCCTTGTATCACAACAACCTACACGCCCATGCTCGAAGCGGATTACAACCTCCACAAATCGAACAGCACATATTTCACAGATCTGGACGCCAGTCGCTCGCATCTATTGTCGACTCTTTGCTACAGCGGAATCCCCATCGTGGATCAAGAGTTGGCCGCGGAGGGGAAGTCTGGAATGCTGGCTGCCATTATTGGGTCGGTGACGACAAGCTTCAAGAAGGAAATTCGCATCTTTCAGCAGTATGAAGTCTGGTCGCGAATTCTCACCTGGGATCAGAAGTGGCTGTATATTGTGACGCATTTTGTGCAAAAAGGGAGCGTGAAGCATCAATGTTTGGTTGCTGGTACCGTTATGTTGTCGGGAGAACATGTCTGTGCCAAGTGCGGTGGTGCTGGTCGCGATGGTGGCAAACCCGGTGCTGGGCCTGTCGTGTTTGCAACTTCGGTTTCTAAATACGTTTTCAAAAAGGGAAGGTTTACTGTGGCTCCGGAGCGACTTCTGAAAGCTTCGGGTTTATTGGGAGGCGACAAGATGGGAAGTGAAGATTTTGCCAAACACAGGGAAGATACGGACGGTACAACAACTATTGGTCAAGTGGTTGAAAATGAAAGACTCCAAGGATTGAAGTATGCTCACGCTTGGAATGAGTTGGAATCCTTGCACTCGGAATTTGTTGGGCAGACCGAAAAAGGGGATTCTGTTCCAGCCATTGGGCGCTTCGATGATATTTCTGGTCACGGATTTTCCTATTGTTAACGGTTGAGCATGGAGTATTATGACAGTCGATGTGATAGACGTTCACTTGCTCTTCCAGTCTGCAAGTGGGGCTTCGGTGACTCGGCCTTTGATTCTCGACACTAAACAGAGTCTAAAGCAGAGTCTAAAAAGACTCTGCTAATAGGAGAATTGAATTTATTCTAGAAGACTTCAAGCCGAAGCATATCTCTCAATTTGATCGTCTTATTTTAAGGTGGTGAAATCCGCGACCTTCCGCTGAGACCATATTTCAACGGAGTGTCGCCATACGACGCAATGGAGGGAATGGCTGGAGTAGTTATAACTATGCCCGGGAGCAAATCAAAGGCTGTCACTGAGATTTGGGGCTTTCAACCCTCTGGTATTCCCTAGCTACTTAGTAAACATCCCCCTCTCTCTGTCCCTCTCCCTGTCCCTCTCTCTATTACAAATGCCGAGGTGGGGAACCCCAACTGATAAGAAAAAATCCAGCCTGTTGACGGCTACCACTTCGACATACTCGGGCCTGGATAATTTGCATTCTTGTTCTATTTTGACACACCATGGGAGACGCACCTTTGCCAACTGAGCATGTGCTCATTGTTTTTAACATGCACATGCCCGCAGCGTTGCAAGAGGAATTCCGCCGCAAGTTTACTGGGGCCGAGGTTACCATTCACAAGTCAGAGCCAGGTATCCCTGTGTCACCAGGTAAATCATCATGAGCCGTAAAATGCTGAGCTAGGACTCGCTTTTCATCATTGAATGTTAACATTGTGTATGCAGAGTTGTACCGGAGTGCCACCGTCCTGGTCACCTTCACAGATCTGCCAGATCCCAAGGATGCCATCAAGTGAGACACATCCCTGCAGCTGTTGAACCCCCTTGGGCAATACACTAACCAAACTGTTAGCTTGAAATTCATTCATTCGTTCTCCGCTGGCCTGGATCATCTCATGCAGCACCCGATTCTACGGGAGACTGACATCCCCATTACCACCAGCTCGGGTATCCACGGTCCCCCTATCGCAGAATGGACCGTAATGAATTGGCTAGTCTCTTCGCGGCAGTATGTGAAGACATATGAAGCGCAGAAAGCCCACGTCTGGGCAGACAAGTCCCAGTTTATGCACGGACTGCACGACCAGGTCGGCAAGAAGGTTGGCATTCTCGGATATGGGTCTATCGGCAGACAAAGTAAGTTTCAATTAGGAAAGATGAATATGCAGAAATATCAATACTAACATTTCCAGTCGCGAGGGTCTCCACGGCTCTGGGTATGACTGTGTACGCGCACACTGCCTCCCCGAGAACAACAGCCGAATCCCGTCGCGACGCTCACTACATCGTGCCTGGAACAGGCGATCCGGACGGCTCGATCCCGGTTTCATGGCACCACGGCACAGACCGAGAGTCCATCCGATCTTTCTTGGCCCTTGGACTGGACCATCTTGTCATTTCGCTCCCGCTGACTCCCGAAACGACTTATCTCCTTGGTTCTGAAGAATTTGCCATTCTCTCGGAGAACTCGCACCATCATGCTACCAAGCCATATGTGACTAACATCTCGCGGGGTAAGGTCATTGATCAAACGGCTTTGATCGAGGCCCTGAAGTCTGGTGTGCTTGGCGGTGCGGCTCTTGATGTTACGGATCCGGAACCTCTGCCGGCGGATAATCCTCTTTGGGATGCACCAAATGTGCAGATTAGCCCTCATATGAGTAGTCTGGGGGGCGAGTACTGGCCTCGTGCAATTGATATTGCTGTCTTGAATCTGGGAAGGGTGCAGAGAGGTGAGCCTTTGGTTAATGCATACAACCGGCGCAGGGGATATTAGAGTTCCATATTTACGTGCCATGATTGAACATTTCGTTCTTGAATAACCGAGCGGAATATACATGATGATGAGGTTTCTTTGTATTTTGATATACAGTGGCATCTGGCTATCCCAGGACGTAGCGAAGTAGTGTTGTTTTTGGACGGTCTTTCGGTAACCAGATCTTGATTTTCTAGGTCAAAATGGGAGCTGACCAGAGGTATAGTGATAATTACTCTATAGCTGGATTGGAACTGGACATGGCTGGTATTCAATTGAACAGCTTGGAAGCGTCGTTACGGGAAATACTGATAGTGAAAATCAAATTAAATGCAACCTCTTCCACGAACCATGCATCCATTGTCATATGGAACCGATTCTACCTATACAAGGTGAGGAGAGGTAATATTTGAGAAAAGCATGGTTCAATACAAGTTATCTAATCTACAGCAATATCAGTTTCCCAGCCCTCCAACCAGACTTTGTACAAGCTGTAACGATCACAATAGTCTCGTTCAAAGCAGGACTTGACCATCTCTCCCAACTCTGATCACGCTCACTTGCAGGATAAGATGCAACAAGGAACCATCTATCACGATCGGAGACAATATTGAAGGGCTGGCCATTGACATAGCAAGATAATGAATCCAGCTCGATGTCATTCGGCACCACTGATCCCTCAATCTGGACAATAACCGTAGAGCCCTCAATCCTCTTCGACTGCGTCTGCACCACCAACTCAACGGGAACCCGAGAGGTCCATGAGCAAGTGTCGCGACCCGCTCTGACACAATCAGAGTCAAGAGCAGGCACAGACGAAGGCTTCACACGACCATTCATTCCCTTTTCAAAAGCAAATCCATACCTGAGCAAACTATTATCATCATACCCCCTGCCAGCAAAAGTAAGGTTCACAGGCATCCCCGTATCCTCCATAACGCCCATAGGAATCGAAATAGTAGGCACACCCAGATGCCGGATCGGCCGATTCCCATTAGAATACTTGACCCCATTACTCCAAGCAAAGCGTGAAGAAACCTCCTCGCAGTCCGCGTCAGCGGCTCCCACATCGCCATTAGCCGGGAAAACCACAGCATCAAGCCCAAGCCCCTCCATCCACCTCTCGAACGTCTCTTCGCGCGCACTTTCCAGCGCCTGCAGTCCAGCCTTCAACCCCGGAATATCGAAGATGGACTCCGGTCTGCTAAGCGGATACTTGACCATCTCGTCCCACCGCAGCGCATTCGCCGCATCAGGCGTCCCCTTCAATGATAGCGGCGCAAGCGGGAAAATAGTAGCCGGATCAACCTGCGCCAGGGAATTGAGGCCCTCCTGTCCGTTTCGAACGAGGAAATCATCCCAGATGTGCGCGACCAGCTCGCTTCGCTCCATGGCCGACCAGCCAGTTGGTAGACCGGCCACTGTGACAAGCTGGCCTTTGTCAGCGTGGGACTCGTAAGTCGTCACGAGTGGAAAGTCCGTTTCGATTACTGCTGCCCCACACGCTTCAAGTACCTCCCTTGCATGCTGCCAGAGTTTGATAATCGAGGCCCGGGTAGTGACTTTGCTAGCGGGGTTCAAGGCTATCTGGTCACCTCCGATGTACATCGCTGGCACGCCGATTCGCTTTCCGCGCAGGGAAGCACTATCTCGGAGCACTGAGAACGACTGCGGTCGAACTTCTTCGATTGAAGGGAGCGGAATGAGCTTCTGCTCTTGATAGAAATCTCCTTCGGGCGTTGGGTCCGATGCGGCCAGGACGTCGAGAACGTGGAACATGTCTTCCATACTTCTGGTATGGGGTACTAAGACGTCACACGTAGCGTATAAAGGCCATACACCGCGAAGAGGCAGCAGACCTTTTGAGGGTGTATAGGCGACGATGGAGTTATTAGATGCAGGCGAGCGACCCGACGAAACAGTCTCGCTGCCGATAGAAAACGCACAGAAGTTGGCGGCTGTCGCGACGGCTGATCCGTTCGATGAGCCTGACGCATATGCTGCTGCCAGATATGCGCTGTTGTAGGGGCTTTCGGCGCGGCCGTAACACCCACGCTGCATGCCACCGTACGCCATGGCGGGCATGTTAGTCCGGCCTAGGAGGATTGCTCCGGCGTCGCGGAGGAGCTTTATACATGCTGCATCTTCATTCGCAATTAGGGTCTCGAAGGCTGGTGATCCGCTTGCGACGCTCATGCCCTTGACTTTGATGCTGTCTTTGGCGAGGTAGGGGATACCTTCCAGTGGTCGTGGTGGTAGACCTGCTGCGCGTCGGGCGTCAGACGCCGCGGCATCGTCTAGGGCGGTTGGATTGATGATTGGAATTGCGCTAAGTTTGATGCCGTTCGCGTCGAACACGCTGATTCTTCGGAGATATCTTGATACAAGGTCGACGCTGGAAAGCTTTCCGGAAGTAATGGCGGATTGAAGTTCTAAAATGCTTGCGTCGAGCAATGAAAAGTCTTCATCTTTGTGAGCCATTTTGTTGCACATTTGGCTTATACTTTCAGGTGGTCTCCGCGGAACCAAGTCTATTCAACAGGGAGACAGACATAGATATAAAAGGGTTCCAGGTGGAGATGGCGGGCAATAGTCCGTCTTTCTTGGCATCTCCGCCACAACGGACAAAAGTCCGCTGTCCCTATCATCGGTCAAATACTTAGATATGACTCGACTTATTAACCTGGCCACAATAGTGTGGAATTCATGGCTGGAGGATGGTAAGATTTTATAAGCTAGTAGTGGGATGGTGACAAACACAGAAGAATCTTATCCATTGCGTCTGTTCCAACAATGCCATTCAATTATCATATTATCATACTACGCTGTTAACTCTCAGTCCTTCCTCCAGCACTACAGCAATGAAGCCACAGCCCGCAACAGCGAGTGCCCACGGATTCTTTAGATCTTTGAGAGAAGGCCAGAAGCTGTTGTTCTGCTTCTGCCACAGCCGGAGCTGTTCATACTTGTGAACATCATGAGCCTTGTACCTCTCCTCTTGGCTGGCCTCCGTCTGCTTGTCACCTCCGACAAAGCGCAGAAACACGTAGTTTGAGAGCGGTCCCAGCAAAACAAACGGGTTGAAATTACCAGCCAAGTTCAATAGAGCATAGGAGAAATGAACCAATGTGTCTCCCAAATAACTGAGAATATATTAGCACATGCGACATAATGGACGGCTGGAACTCACTTTGGATGTCGCACAATACTCCAAACTCCATGCCGACATAAGTCACTCCGTTCCTTGCAATGCAGAGCAAGCTGAATGTCAGCCATAGCCTCCATGGCAAACCCTGCACCAAAGAGCCCAACGCCCAGCCCACGAACGAGGCTCGTGGTATTTTCATCCAGCAATACCGTGCTCGCACTCATACGGAATGGCGCGGTGAACGGGAGCGATATAACGCTTAACACAATGGCTTCGGGCAAGAAGATCTTCAAGAAAGCCATTCTCCAAAATCCAGGCTCTTTCTTGGCGGCGTCGTATCGAGCATCATCTTTGCCACGCGAAAGAGACCGCAATGCGATGCGACTGAAGAGCCTAGTGCCCCAGATAGTAACACAGCTTAATATCACCTTCTCGGTCCATGGAAGAACATCCCAGCTTTCGGTGAATGAAATCCCTTGGTCGTACATCGGTTGTCCGATGGCGCTCCACCAGGCATTGACGACCTGGGCTGAGGGCCATAGCCAGTCTTTCAGCTCGACTCTGTCGGTTGCCTCGGCTGCGATGTATGTTGCCAGTGAGAGGCTTGAGTAAAGACCGAAGGATGGGAGGATCGTTGATTTTAATATTCCGACATCACCTGGTGACATCGTCATGTTTGGACGTACACTCCGGAGGGAGGGCGATGAAAGGCCATTTGAAGCTTGAGTATCCAACATTGATGGAGGAATTAAAAAGGTCATCTTTGCGACATTCTCTGAACATTCAATAAGCAAGTTACGTCCACGAAGCGAGTTGGTTCGTGCTTTACTATGTTTAACCTGTTTCTTTTCCCAGGTTGATGTCAAGATTATGTAACATTGCGTAGGTCCAGCTCAAGAGGGTTGCGGGTATCCGGGAAGTCGTGGATATAAGAAATGTTTTCATTTTATTAAGTGCTTGAATGTGTAGAATATCACGATACTAATATACAATAATGTGTGGGTATAATATACGAACAGTAGCTGATATAGGAGAAAAAGGCACGACATGCGTTAGTAATCATGACCAGGTTGGGCCTCATTTCGCATCGATATCCCTCAAATGGTTAGAGAGAATTGGCGAAAGATCAATTGTCCCTGTAAATAAAGATGTCTGATCGTTCTTCATGTAATTTTGCTGCATCAGAAGCGACAATCGTTCAGCCCAGAGCGGGGTGAATTTCTCCACGTTGGACCCCGAGAATGCCTTTGGTTCGTTGTCACTATCGATGGATATATCATCCTGCGTATGCTGCCCATGGAGATTGGATATCAGTGATAAATCAATGGAGCATGTGGCTTCGAGATCATGCAAGTCATAGCCACCTGGTATGCGTTCAAGTGGCAGTCGGTTCGAAGGCAGCTTCCGGGGTTTTGTCCCAGTCGCCGAAGTCTCGTCCGATTGATTTCTGGTTTGATGACGGATGAAATATGCTCGAGGGTCATGAGTGGAAATTGTTGTAATGGACAAGGGGTCCGTGATTGAAGTTTGCGATGAGCTCAAAGCAGCCTTGGCGGCAAGGTACCGGCTATGGTGTGGAGAATGCGAGACCGGTGGTCTGGGTTGTGAATTTGACAGTGATTCGTTTTCCCGGGACCGAACACGGCTGCTTTGTATGGCTTCCTTCTTCCTCCGTTCAAAGTCAAGCGCCTTCTCCAAGTCCGAGCTTTCTTCGGCATTGAAACCCTCATGGAGCTGAGCGGCCCACCTATCAAGAACTGGAAACCCTCGGCCACTGTCCATAGACTCATTGGTATGCTCGTTCAAATCATGTGGAAGAGAGTTACGTCGAAACAACTGTTCTGCTTCGCCATTGTCGGATAAATCGTCAAGTGCTCCATCGCTCTGTCCGTCAACGGGCGAATTGTTGAGTGAACGCCCCGGGTGCGATCCGAATCTCTCCTGCGCAAGCGACGAAAGCGGCGATTCGGGCTCTTGAGTAGGTTCTTCCTGTACAGAGCTCTGTTGAAGTGAAATTTGCGTTGTTCTCTGAAACCACGTATCGAGCGCCCCATTTCCGTAGCGTTCCCTGTCTCGTTCTCTTTCCGCTCTGCGAGCACTTGATACGCGAGGTCTTTCCGGCGAGGAATCAATCAGCTCCCGAGGACCTTTATGGCCGCGCCTCACCGAGGACACAGATTCGATCCTTGAAATAGGAGGACTTGGAGGTTCCAGACTTTGAGGAGAGTTTTGAGGGCTTCTTGAGTCAGAAGTTCTCCGTCTGGATCCCTCTGGGCTTCGAATGACCAGATTCACAGAATTGGGTTGATCGAATCGATTCTGATCGTGTCGTGGTGTTTGGAAAGATGCATTGATTTTCGAGATAGACCATGGGTTGGCCAAGCTGGAGCGTTTTGGTGTATTGACATTAGGTTGTTCGAGGCTTTCATTGGGCTTGTATTGGTTATCGGAGACCGATGTTAAGTATTCCGGTTGGTCTTGTCTTTGCGAAAGAGGGCTCTGTATGATATTGCCGTCAAAGGAATCTTCAGCCTGCCGAGACTGAGTGTTTAGGTCTGCAGCAGGCTTCCTAGCCAACAGCAGGCTAAATCCACCATTACTAGCTCTTGCTTCAGATGATGTCACGTTTGCTTTGGTGGAACTTTGCTTCATCCCTGCTGCAAGCTCCCCGTAATGGTCTCGAAAAAGAGTTTCTGCCAAAGCCAGAACAAGTCCCCGATCTTCAAATAGAATATCATCTTTTGCTGGCTCGATGTTGACATCGTAAGTCCCCTTAGGGCAAGTTATTTGCAAGCAGAGAAAAGGATCCGTTATGGTCTTGGAAGATTCGGTTTGAGTCGTAGTGAGACGGATGTATGGCTTGAAGAGCTTCACAATTTCTAGTCCGATACCTCTGCTGCTGGAAAGAGGACGACCATCGACGCTAATAAACTGTCCTGTATTGTTGATTTTTGATGCATCTACTCTGGTCAGCGGTTCCCGAGAAGATGTTCAAACAAGACAACTTACCAAAGGGGGGTTTGGGGAGAAAAGCAGTCATTTCATAATCTTCTTGATCAGATGACCCTTCATTCTGGGCGAGAGCTTGGGAAGAAAGCTTTTGCACAACACAACAAGACGACACTTCCGTTCCAGCGATTTTAAGAGCTGCATCAGACACGGAGGCATCTGCGCTTGGTGCATATGACCAGTTGCCATTTTCATTTTTCGCCTTGAGAACTTTGAGCGAGAATCTCCTAGATGGCTGTGCCATGGCATATGCCTGAAGAAGCTTTTTGATCCTTGTCAAGTTTCTTGTGGCTGCTTTCAAGACTGTTTGCTTCCGAACAGGGATATGTTTGAGGAAGTTTTCAATGCGAACTGTTGTCCCCACCGGATGGGATATTCGCTGTGTTCTGAAGCTACGGTCAGCACGGTCATCAAACTAACGGGATTCTGCTTCATCGCCTACCCAGTCAACTCCCCATTCCTTCCATACTTGTGACAAGAGCCAACAACTTCCGACTGAACTCGGGTAGTGACCACAACGACTCCCGACATCTCTGCTACACTCGCCAATGCTTCTCCACGAAAGCCTAGACAAGATCCACCGACATTCTTGAGATCATCCAATGTCTGGATCTTGCTTGTGAAGGAACGCCTACAAACGTATTGTTGGTCCTCTGGTGGAATCCCATGACCGTTGTCCTTGAGCTGAATCGCATCAATCGTATTTTGAGATATTTCAATCTGCAACGAAGTGGCGGATGCATCGAGTGCATTGTCAATGAGTTCTTTGACCACTGAGCATGGATCGGAGATGACTGATGTGGAACCAATCGCCCGGATTGTGTTCTGAGGAAGCGCCTCAATCGGCATCCTGCGATCGTAAAATTATACGTTCATCACTAAAAGCTCCAAATATTCAGGAGAGCAAATGCAGTGCCCTTGATTGATGAAAGTCTGGTTGCAAAGGACGAATTCGGACTCGAGTTGTAATTCCACGCACGAAGTCGAGCAACATGATGAGTCAGCTGCTGTGGCGCGATAAACAACACGTCGGATCTGAACACTCTTCAGCCTTGTCCACCTCGCAAGACGCTGAGATGTTCGGTGAGGACTTTTCAATATCACAGCTGGCAGTCCCGGTTGTCAATTCCCTGATCGGTTTCCTCGCGTATCCATCACAGTACCTCTTTCTGCACTTCGAGCCATTGCCGCTTACCAAGAATGAGGCTTGGGCAATCAACATATTCGCACTGTGCATTTTCACATGCTATTATCGAGCGTGTTTTGTAGACCCTGGTCGACTGTCCAAGTCTGAAAAGCACTCGGAGCCTACTCGCGAGGACGGTGACGGGCTGGCCGGTCGCCAACGATGGTGTCGTAGATGCGAAGCTTACAAACCCCCACGAGCTCATCACTGCAAGACATGCAAAAGGTTGGTCGAATATCAGTATTTGAGAAATTATTGTGCTGACTTGTTGTCAGATGCATTCCCAAGATGGATCATCATTGCCCTTGGACATCAAATTGCGTCTCGCATTTCACATATCCGCACTTCATTCGCTTTCTCTTCTACGCAGTTGTCGGCATGTCGTACCTTGAAAGTTGTCTTTGGCAGCGTGGGTATTTTGTATGGAAAAACAGCAATTTGCCCAGCGTACGTAGCTTGATAAAAACGCCGACAATCTCGTTGCTGACAATTGATAGTATCTTGGCCCAAGGCTAGGACAGCTCATCCATCTGTTCATACTCTTTGTGGTGAACAGTGTTACTGTATTTGCTTTGTTCATTCTCCTACTGAGGAGTCTCTGGTCGCTGGGAACGAACACCACTTTCATTGAATCCTGGGAGATTGAAAGACACGCCACCCTTGTCCGCCGATCTCGTGTTCTGGGTGGGTATCTTGAAGGCCCAGGTGGAATCCGAGTTCAGATCAGAAAACAAGAATATCCGTACGACATCGGGATTTGGTCCAATGTGAAGCAAGGCATGGGCGGAAGTGCAAATGTCAGTACCTTTTCAAATGTGATACAAGGACACATGATTAACTTTCTATTAGATCATCAGTTGGTTCTGGCCGCTTGCTAGAAGTCCTGATTGTCGCTCTGGTTGGGAATATGAAACCAATGACTTTGAGGGTATGTAAAGATTCCAGAATGTAGAATCAAACTATTGACTTTTTTAAAGACCCAGGTGTTTCATGGCCACCGCCAGATCCTGATAGGATTCCCTTGCCTGTCAATACGAGACTAGGCTCCAAATCATCTCAACCATACGCTAACGTTCAACATGAAATCGATGCATTTAATCGTCGCAAAACAGAAGAAATGAAACGACTCACGGCTTCCAGTGTACAGCGCCGCAAACCCTTCCATGATCGTTACCAAAGAGATGAATTTGCTCCAAGTGAAAGCGACGATTCTGAACTCGAGTCAGGTAACGAAACAGACGAAGGCGAAGAATCATGGCGCAATGCCGAAGGAGAACGATTACGTGACTTCGGCGTTGACGAGGAAGCAGAATTCTATGATGAGGAGGACATCCCTCTTGGTATTCTTCTTCAACGCAGACAGCAACAAACATCCAAGTGAAAATCAGATTATCAAGTTCAATAAAAACAAGCCGGACTATCAAATCTTCTTTGCGATACCCCTCAGCCGCACATATCCCAGCCACTGGCTACCATCTTCGCCGCGGGTAACAACATCCTCAAGAACGTCACAAACCTGGCGCACCACAGTATCCCACTTCTCCTCGGGCAGAGCCTCAAGGAACTGAGCACCCATCAGTCGAACCCACCCCTCCAATCCACCCTTGGCATCAGTAGTCAGCTTGGTCGGGCGGTATTCCAATTCAACCTTTTCAACTTGGAACCCAACTTCCTCCAGCGCACTCCGCATCCAAGTATCGGAAGGGAAGAACCAAGGACTCGTCTCTCTCGCTTTCTCGACAGGAATTCCCTGCTGCACGAGGGCGTAGATCAAAGCCGTCTTCACCTCGGCAACATTCCCATGCCCACCCATTTCGAAAACATAAGTACCACCAGGCTTCAGACTACCATAAATGGCGCGAAGGGTGGACATCCGCGTTGTCTCGTCACGCAGGATCCAGTGGAGGGCTGCGTTGGAGATACTGTCCTTTGTTAGAGATCCATCATGTAGTCCGCATATCATAGTTGAATCCATACACTTTATCCCAAGATCCATTCACAATGGATGTTTCCTTCTCTAGATACCGGCAGTCCACAACCTGGAAGCTAGCCTTGGGGCTTCCGTAGTCCTTGTTGGCAGAGTCAATCATAGATTGAGATGCGTCAATACCTAGGACGGAGTCGATCGCTGGGATGAAGTTCCCTGTGAATTTGCCATCACCGCAGCCGATATCGAGGACTTTTTCTGTTGGCTTGGGGTCCAGGTATTGGAGGAGCTTGCCGGCGAGCTTCGGCACAAATGCCGCAGAAGTAGCATAAGCCTGATCCTGTTAGTTGTGGTAACATAGACTACTATAATAGCAAATGACGCACCTCAGCTGACCAGTGGTCTTTAGTTTCCTGGGTATTGGCTGCCATGGTGTGCCAAGATCTCGAGGTATAGTAATGCGGAGAACGAGCTTCCAGGCGTTAAAAATTCAGGGATGGGATGAGATACGTAAATAATGGAATCAAACAATGAACAAAATGTTGCTCTAGTCAATAGCACTTGAGTATTCTGAATAACTTAAGTTGTCTGGGTGGTTGAGCTCTTTTATATGTATCTGGGCTCATACAGCGGAGATGATGTTCAGAGCACAGCGAGGCCGATATCGGACCGGGCATATCGGCGTCATGTAGTATACGGTCTTTTTGATATACTGCGATCTCGCAGACAATCGAGTCATTGCAGGTTCTAGAATTTAAAATTGAACTATGGATACATGTCTTGCTTTGATAATGGTCATATCTTATTGGAGTGAGCTCTCCGAGGGCAGCCGCTGAGTTATTGCTCAGGCACAGATATTAACTTAGCAAAGTAAATGCATTTATTCAAAGAAAACTCAAAATCAGAAGTAATTCACACCCATTGATAGCTGTTTCCTTCCATTCCATCTCAGCCTTTCTTCAAATTGTAGAATATCCCAACTGTATCTTCTATATGCACTTATACAGCACAGCACTACCAAATCGACGTCACTAGGCGGGGCAGCGGAAACAACAAATTTATTTCCGCTGGTTACACAGGACAAAGCCCCTCTTCAGATATAAAAAGATGTTGCTGGATTGATTCTCTCAAGGTCCCTCCATCAATCATCTTCTATCTCATTGGTCTTTTGGAGTCTTTGGACCCCTGTACATTTTTCAGATCTTCAGCCAATCGGCACTCACCATGTCCTACCAGGGTCACTGTAATTGCGAGAGTATTCGCGTTGTTCTCCCCCAGCAACCAGCAAACACTGGTATCTGTTATTGGTATGATATTTCCTTGAATATTAATATCCTAACATGACCGGCCCTTTCTTACTTACACTGGGTTTCACTGTAGCGATTCCTGCAAGCGCGCTGGTGGCGGCGGTAAGCATACCAAGCCGTCGAATAAGAAATGTCGGTCAAACTAAACTCCTGTATTTAGGATTCTCCTGCAATTACTTTGTTAGCGAAGATGACTTGACTGTCGAGGATTCAAAGAAGACTCTGAAAATCTTTGAAGACAAGAAGTCTGCTTCTGGAAACCCTGTCAAGGTAATTTTCATGACCGGCTTCAGTATCCAACAAGACTAACGCGTTCGCCTTCTCATAGCGCCATTTCTGTTCCAACTGTGGCAGGTTAGTGATGTGTTGATTGCACAGCGTTACAATAACGCTAACATCTTGCGCCAGCCCTGTGTTTACCACGACCCCCAAGGCACCCGGACAGGTCTTCTTGAAGGCCGCTTTGTTTGATACTGTTTCCCCTCCTAAAGCCGAGGTATTTGCCGAGAAGCGATACAACTGGGTTGGTGTTGAACATCAGACGTGAATGCCATTCGAATAGGAGTTGACGGTCGGTAACAAACATGACTGATGATATGAAGTAAATCCATATGCAATGGAGGTGTCAAAGATGCATAGATGGTGCAATCCTTACGCTCACTATTGGCCCACTCTTTCCACACCCTACTGTAAATTTAGTTCATATCAGAATTTTGAACCGAACCATAGATATCTTTATACTTTTATTACTCTAAACTGAAAAACCGAGATCAAAAAGCGAGATGTATACTCAGAGCGAAACTGCGGGGCTGACGTCGATCCGCGGACTGCAACGGTGATCTGCTCTGACCTCCACACCTTCCAAGCGACACCACACCAGCCATGCTACTTTGGGGGAACAGAGTACTTGAAAAGAAATGTCAGAAGCCTTAGCAGAAGCTTCAAGCCCCAAGCGACCGGGAGCCGTGTTACAAAATCCCCGACCGCGCAGCGACCATGACAGCGACACAGATACCCGCGAGGCGCTGGAACTGCGCGAAATTCAAACGCACGAGGATGACCAGTTAGAAGAATCAGCGCAGTCAAATTCATCAGGCGACGAATACCGTGTCGTAACTCGGCGCACGACATCACGCGCTGCCGCAGCTCGTGTTGAGTCTCGGCGGCGCCGTCTCGCGAGGAAGGGGGCTTGGGGGAAATTTGCGAGGTTTTGGACTCATCATGTCACCTTGACGGTGCCGCACAAGAGCAATCGCGATTATTTTGGTAAATTGTTTACTACGGATATAGTTGGATCCTTTGGCTAACGGTGCGGTAGCTCTGGAGCGGACATTTCTGGCTTATATTCGGACTTCGTTGGTTATCACCCAACAGGGGGTGCTTATCGCACAGCTATTCCGCCTCACGGCGGCGGAGGCTTTGGCGGATCGCTTAGGTTTCTATCGTGTTGGCGTTCCGCTTTCTGTTACTTGTCACTGCGTGGCTATTGTTGTCGCTCTGGTTGGTGCTTTTCGTTTCTGGAGACAACAGAACGCCATCGCTCGGGGCAAGATACATGCTGGTGGGTGGGAACTAAACTCTGTAGGCATTCTTTTGGGCTGTGTAAGTGTTGCATATTCTAAATGGCTTGGAAGCTATGGCTAATACGACGTAGATTGTTTTGACCATGCTAATTGTTTGTGTCGCCATTGTTGTTGAGGATGAATCCGATCCATCGATCTTAGGTCGGTGGATATTGGCCGGGCGCTCAACCGGTCTATTTACATAGCCTCCTGGAAATAATTCTCCATTCTACTGTAGTGTTCCTCGGATACTTCAAACCCAATCAAATGAACATGCGAGCTAAGACTTTGTCCACTTTCTGCTGCGCCCACAGCAGGGCGGCCCCACTGGGGCTTAATCTTGGCTTTGGGGTCTTTATATATGGCAAGATCATCGTACAAGTTATAGCTTATGACCCTTCACACCAAGCAATCAGACTGAAACAAAGACTAAAACCGGGACTAGAAGTTGAACCCCCTCTACAAGTCCCCCTTGACAACATGTCCACTCTCAACGAAGTAATGGCATCAAGGCACCGCGTATCAGTCTACCACGTTTATCACAAAGGCGAAGAGCACGTCTCCATAACACCTTTCATCAATTCACGCAAAGATCTTGGCTGCACGAAAAAGGAACATAAAAAAATGGCAAGGAAACAAGGCGCTGAACCAGACCAACACGATCCAAACAGCTACTTCGTCCACAAACCATGTCTAGCCTTCCATGACGCTCCGCGAACTCTCCGTCGTGGAAATTTCAAGCGTGGACCCCCAGTCTGTATCATGAATTGTGGCGCCTTTTGGAGAAATTGGAATATCCAGTTTGGACCTGATCTGAGAGACATCATTGATCCGCGGGGCGTGGTTAAATGGGAACATCGCAGCAATCCCAGTAACATCACTCTCAATGGTGATCGTGCGCTCAAGGGATATAAAGTTCGCACGTGGCGACTATGGGGCAACACTGGAAAGGAGTATCATCGTCAGGTGAATTATTGTCGCAAAGCTAAGAAGCAGAAAGCTTTGGAGAAGAATAAAGAGCCAGAGGTCGTTGAAATTGATCCTATAAGGTGTGACGATACCACTTTGAGTGAGAAGCGTCCGGGTCATTCGAAAGCACAGGTGTTGAATTCGACATTGGAAGACCCTATACTACAGCCTGCTGTCGCCGAAGAGGCAGTACGGCTTGTCTGGGGCTCTCCGTTATCCCTTTCTCCTCGACAATACAGTTTCAAATATGCTGGTATCACATTCGTCTGGGAAGGAACACGAGAGATTCAGCCTGACAGAAAATGGACGAGGCGACTTATGCCGTTTCATCATCTAAGGCTACTTGCTAGGCTACCAGGTCGTGAGAACGAGCCTCTCTTGATTGCACAGTACACATCCAGCTTTGCATATCGGAAATTCGGCGAGCTTTGGGTCTTTGATTCAGTCTTATCTGATATTCTCAAGGAGACGGGCGACTCTTCTCTGTGGAGCAAGAGAAATGATGAGAATGAGATCTTTCAGTTGGATCCGGACAATAATATCAGAGAAACGAGGCTTTTTGATGTAGTGATGGCTACGGCTATGTGCATGATTATCAGCGAGTGGCAGAAGCGGATGGTCCTACTCATGATTCTAGCCATAGCTGGCGAGGGAGGTAGTTGAATGTTTTTCCGGGGGCTGTGACTTGAATTCGGTAACTTAGCATTCAAAAGTCGTGTTTTCCGGTTAGGATTCAACGACGTGGAAACGATGTTCATGTCATAAATTATATTACAATTTACATATAAGTACAATCACCTTCAAAAGCAACCATTACTAATGTGATCGATGGCGGTGAGATCGAACATAATGGCTGCTGTGTCGTTTTGTGGTGCGTAGATCTTCTTCGAGAATAAACCACTGCCTCGCAACTTCTGCCCTCTCGTCTGCAGTTGATTCTCGCATCTCTTCATGGCCTTGTGCTATGCGAGAATAAACAATAGCATCTTGTTGTACCTTTCCGAGTGAAATCTGAAGCTTCCTCCGAAGTCCAACCAAAGGGTATCCAGCAAGTCCCCATATTCCTAATTGAATATTAGCATCAATGAGTTCATTCTTTCAACGGATTCCTGATCATATTTCACATACCTGCCGGTGGCTTGAGGAAGACACCGCCAATGCCCTTGCCGATTCCCTTGGCCATCCCTGCAGCACCTGCCTGCTTGTATCCATGCTCGGGCTGAGTTACTAAGCCTGTGACTCCGTAATAAAAGCCATCGCGGAACTCCTATATATAGTTGATCAGTCGGGGGGGATCTAAAACGGGACTTGAGTTCCTGCATACCTTTCTGGCAGCCCGCAGGCCACTGCGGAGACCAATCACCTGCGGTGTGGGTTTAACCATTCGATCATGATACAACTTGGGGGCATTATGAAACCCTTTCGATAGACTCAACGTCAGATCTGTTGGTAACCAGATGACTGTTTTCAAAAGCTTCTTTGACATCCGACCACCGTGATATCGTACTTCTGTCAAAGCACTCTTCTTTTTCTCCGAGTCTTTCGATCCGCATGCCATTTTAATGGAGTTATCAAGCTGCACGCTTCGTCGACGGTCGATGCTGGTATCGGGTGTATCGGTGCCTGACCTATCGAGGCTACTTCTGTCACTTAGACTTGACTCGTCGTCCGAGGAATCCAACTCGCGACTTGGTGTCTGCGTCGATGATGATCGCTCATTTGACTCCTCGTGTTGGGCGAACTGTTCATCAGATCTCTCATTTGGGGATAGGTCGTCACTGTCTGAGCTCTCGCCTTGATGTCTTTGTCTTGTTCCTTCCGGGCAGTAGCATGATTGCATAGGATCAGTGCGGTTGTGAGGATTTCCAATGGCACGACCGGCGGACACAATATCCGTGACCATTGCCACAGGTACATCTGCTAGTCCAGTCACAAAGTTTGCAATTGCGCCAAATAGCACTTGAGTTGACGCGCTGATTGGACCAACTGGGTCGCGATATGTATCGTATTCTTGCGCGCGGTTTCTGGCATATATATCAGTGACTTTGAACTTCATGACATATTTTGGTTAGATGGAATCTTACAATACGACATCTTCGGGTTTCAACCGTCCCATCTCTACTAAAATAGATGCTGCAAAGGCACTCAGTCCTATATCGGTGTGTTTGATATGCCAGACAGCGGGTCGAGAGGGACATATCGCGCATTGCAATGATGCCGAATTAAGGTGACGGTGGAAACTGCGGACTCCATCCCGAACCCCAGATTCGGTCTTCATCTCGTTACTAATCTTCTGGGCTTTTTCCTTTGTTGATGGCTCCAAAGCTGAGCGGATAGCTTCTGTCAGCTTCTCGGCCGTCAACTGTTTATGAGGAATAGGCATCGGGCCAGCTCCTGCCCTAGCAACAATTGATCCCCAGAACTGTTGGTCCCCGAAGAATGGAACAATGATTGTTGGGCATGCCAACGCAAGCCCTGCTGCTGTTGTACCGGCACCGCCATGATGAATGACACATGAAACTTGCTGGAACAGCCAGTCGTGGGGAACACTTCCTATGATGAGGATGTTGTCAGGAACATCAACATTATCAGCTCCCAAGTTGCCCCAGCCCTTTGAAACAAGCGCGCGTTGGCCAGAATTCCGGATTGCTTCGAATATGATATTTGTCAATGTGGCCTGATCATCCACCACAATGGAGCCAAAGCCAACGTATATCGGCGCAGGCCCGGCCTTCAAAAATTCAGCTATCTCCTTCGGGGGTTCGTAATCGGACTTTGATGGAAGAAAGCTAAACCCGCAAATATCAATGTTTTCCGGCCAATCTTTTGGTTTCGGGAGTAACGCCGGTGACCTTTTCAGTATTTGTTAGCGGTTTCACTCATCCTGATATGCCTAGGGGGTTTCTTACCAAAGATATGAGTAAGAAACTTGTAATCGGTGAATCAAACTGGGTGCCGTGATTGTATCGAGTTCGTCTAAAGCGAGAGCTTTCTTCCGCCAACTGTTCACTATATCCCCCAAGCCCTCCCAGATCATCATGTCAACGACTGCGTATGATACAAAATTTGCGACGGTAGGCTTGCAACTACTCTGATTGAGAACTGCAAGCGGATGCGAAAATGACTGTGTAGGCGACCAGGGCATTCTATAGAGATGGAGTCAATATCCGACAAACAGTATACTGGTATAGAGACTCACGTGAACATCATATGAAGCGGAATCCCCAGACGCTGCGCGCAATGAATATGAGCCAAGCTAGGTGGGTTGGCGATAATAGCATCAGCGACAAATGGGCGACGTCGGTAATCCACAGTGTCGTTCCAAAGATCCTCCTTGATTTGGTGTAAGTCTGTTCCATCTCCGGTTTCAATACAAGACCTCCAGCATCCGTGAATGATCGCTTTCATATCTGCGCGGCGCTTTCTGATAGCTCCACTGCGGATCGTATTAAGTCCCGGCAGCAGCCCGGGATTCTTAACCATGAAAGCCATCAACTCCTCTGGATCCCCTCCAATATTGAAGAACTCTAACCCGCTTTCAAGCACAAAGTCACGAAATGAAAGATGTGTTGCTAGTCGCACTCGGTGTCCATGTGTTTGTAATTCTTTCCCTATCGCAACGAACGGCTGGATGTCGCCTCGCGAACCAATGACTTGGATAACAATATTCAAGTGTAGCGGAAACGGCGTCTTTTCATCTTTCGGCATAGGTTCTGGCGTCGGCTCGTGTTCGAGACTCTCTAAGTCGGAGGCTAGAGATGGGACCTGTATGCGGTTCAATAACCCTGCGATACTTGGCTTGTGTTCGTTGATTTTTATCCCCAAACGTCCATCGCCTGTGAGACGAAGAAAAAAATCAGTAAGTGAAATGTCTACGACAGATATTCGTGAATACAAACTTAGTACTCGAACACCAGTATTCAGTCCATCTCCCTCGAATTCCACCTGTTCCCAGTCCCGCGAGCTAGGTTTGTTGACCTCCTCGGGCCAGTCTTCCGATTGAAGGGCTTCATCACGATGAAACTTGCTTCTCGTGACAGTCGGCGCTACCGAAGCCATGCTTCTCGGGAGATCGGCTCTAATCGACCAGGGCGAACTGTGGGTGCCAAGCAAATAATAATCAACCTCTGCGCAGAGTAAGGCAAGCAGAAGTAATATATGTGCCCAGGAAGCTATGTAGTCTTGGCTTTCCAATGCCGAATATAAAGAAAATAATTAAAACAAGAAGAAAGGGTCTCGCGCACAAATAAGCCAAGTCAATGATGTCAGTAAGGATCGATCCCGAACATCCGGCTTCCCGGGTCTTTCCACTGTGGAACCCGATCGTTAACAAGGCTGATGTCTAACTTATGTCTGCTTAGTAAGAGCAAGTTTAACTTACGGCGAAATAATAGCCAATGTTTGGAATGAGTTGCTATACTTGGCCTGGGGGTGAATCGAAGCCGAGGGATCCGGAGAGAAATATCCGGTCATGACCTATAACCATGAATACGTGACAGAGTACTGTTTAAATGATCACTTCCGCGGGCATTCAATATTACCTTGGATCTAGAAATACATCCCGAGGCCCCGCATCAGAATCTAACGTGAGATCTTCAGCCGTTTACCGAGGTACGCAATCCACTCTGAGGCCGATGACAAGTCACAACGCTGGATTTCGCTAGTGTCGGTAACTTAGTATTATCTTATGGTATTATCTAATTCTAATGCAACGCTCGCTAGATGTATAAATTCATGCGGTCTCGCCGACTCTTCCGTTTTCCTCGGCTGCCATGGCTTCTCTCTCGTCAATGGTCATCTCACTTTTCGCCTCGCGGATCCTGACAAAGAAGACCACAATCAGCAATCCCAGAATTGCTAGCCCGGTCTGATACCAGAAAACTGCTTTGTAGCTCTTCCGAGTCCCCAGTTCTTCCGTCTGAGTCTGCGTGATATCTGCAAAGCCCAACATCACAGCAATTCCCATGTGTAATGTGCAGTTGATCAATGCACCAGCAAGACCCTGCCTCGCTTTTGGCAAGTTTGTCGTAATGAAGACATTGGCAAGGTTGAAGCTGATGTCGATTCCGATGGTACCGCATATCATTGAAGGGAACACAAAGGCCCAGTAGTTTCCGCCGGGGGGATGACAGCAAAGAACAATCCAGATCCCACATAGCCGAGGCATGAGAACATCATCAGAATTGTTCCTGGTACTTTGTGAAATATCATTCCTCCTCCCACAGACAATATCAAACCACCAACACCCATAGGCGCACACCATGCCACGATTTGCATGGGCGAGGCACCCATTACGTCAGACATGCTGAACGCGATTGTCAGTAAAAGATTCCAAAACAGTTCAAAGATGTCGGGGTGACTTACTATAAAACAGCATAGAGCATGAAGATTCCGAGCGTGCCATACAAGAATAGCAAGGCTATAACCAGCGGTGTCATATACCTCACGTGGAAGATATCACCGGGCAACAGTGGATTTTCGACCACCCAGCCCTCGACATAAATCATGGCACCGAGAAGGATAAGCCCAAGCGCGAGGAAAAGTGGAATATAGGGTGTTTTCCATCCCTGGGGTGCATACGAGCTGTCCGCAATGGGGAAGACAATCAGGACAGCCGCCGGTACAGATAGGCATGCACCAGCCCAGTCCATCTTGATTCCGTTATTCTTTTTTTCGTGGTAGTCCCGTGGAATGGAGAAAGATGCAAGGGCCGTGGTAATAGCAGACAGAATTGCACCAAAAAAGAAATACCATCTCCAGGTGAGATATTCGCCACAGAGCCCTGAGAAGAAAATGCCAACGAAGAACCCGAGAGCTGCGCATGCGCCATAGATACTGAACACGATGTTCTTCCTAGGTCCCGGTCGATAAGTGCTACCCAGGATCATGATTCCTGAGGGAAGGAAAGCGGCTAGGCCAAAGCCTTGCAGTGCTCGGCAGATAATTAGCATTAGCCACGTTTGTGACACGCCGCAAAGAATGGATGAGATTGTGAGCCATAGCGCGCCGGAATTGTAGATGAGATATCCACCGAACATGTCGGTCATCCGGCCGAAGATGAGTAGGGTGGAGGTGACGACCAGTGACAGTGCGGTAGATGGCCAAATCGCAGAAGCTGCTGGAAGATCAAGCTCTTCAACAAGCGTTGGAAGAAGCACATTTGATCCTGAGATGTAGTATTCCTGATCAGAACAAACGGGTCAGATGGGTGTCGTGTCGTGAGTTGCGTGCAGGAAGTCGAATACTTACAGCAAGAATCTGTGACATGAAAATGGACAAACAGAAGCACACCTCTGACCAGAAGCCACGGAAGCATTTTGGACGCTCTCTTCCCAATCTTTCCAGGTCGGCGATGCTCTGGTTTATTCTGGCCTGCTCAAGATCAGGTGGCAAGGCATTACCATTCGGGTCAGGACCCTCTGGTACTCCCATTATGTTAGACTAGCCACGGCGGAGTTCACTTGACAGTCAAATGTTGAGTAATGGGTTAGTGGAAAGGCATACTGATGAAAGGATACATGCACTCATATTTATTTTTTCACTGGTGGCTAATTTCTAAGCGATGACGACCTAGTATACGGATGGAGGACCCAGTAAAGTAGTATTAGTTGCTAAATAGTACCCGTTTCCAGAAGGCTAAGAGAACAATTTGCATGGGGAAGCTAAGATGATTTGTGGGCAAGGATGGACCGTAAAACTGCTACAGAGACAATACCAAAGCTTCTCCGCTGAGCTTCCTTTTTAGGAAGTTGTGAGGAGTGGAGCAGACGGGATCGGAGAAAACGTGGCTGACATCGGCGTTTTACGCACGTGATGCAACGCTTGGTAAGCGGTGTGCTGAACAACGAGCAAAAATTGAATCGGCAGAACTAATTGCACGATAGTAATTGGGATGCTCGACTTTGTGGATTGAATTATTATATGTGAAAGTTTAATCCGACTGCAGGAAATAAACAGAGCTTAAGGTGCATATAGTAGGAAATTGGTCATATAGACGTTCTGACAAAAGCTCATATGAGAGATACAAATATTATAATTGAATGGTCTTCAAAAGCAGTTATGAGATAAAATGACAAGCGATCTAATTGTAGTCTAATCTCGCCTCGTCATCAAAATAGCCATCTTTGAACTTCATGGCGATCAATTCCTCAAGCGACTTGTTCAATGTTTTGACGAGGGTTTGCCGCCACATGCGACCAGATAGTAGCTTCAATCCTAGAACGTTGATCCCTTTCATCACTGCCAGTGTTGTCTTGGAAAACCTCATCCATCTCTTCCAGGGTACGTCCCATAGTCTCCGGGACGAAGAACCAAGTCCAGACAAAAGACAAAGCACAAAAGACACAGAAAAACACATACGTTCCATATCCCGTATTTTGCACGAGGGGCGGGGTGATGAGACCAATGATAAAGTTGTTCAACCAGTTGGACATGGTTGAGTATGCCATACCCTTCGCACGCAGCGAAGAGGGGAAGATCTCAGCTGGCATTGCCCAGGGGATAGGGCCCCACGAGGCTCCATAAGTTAACATGAAAAAGAAGAGGAATGCTACGCAAACCCAGGCCTCCCCTGTATGTGATTCCCAGTCTGATTGGAACTGGCTCATCAATATGGCAATAATGAAATGAGAGAGAACCATGCAAATTGCACCAGTGAAGAGCAATGGCCGACGACCAAATTTATCCATACCCCAGAGAGACCCTATGCAAGCAATCATCTGACAGATGTTGAGAACCCCAGACATATTCAGCTGCATGAAGTAATTCAGTCCCATCCCTTCGAAGAGACTGGGCGAATAGTAAATCAGAGCGTTCACACCACCGAACTCTGCAGATGGTTAAGTCAGTACACTGCTTCAAAAAAATGCTCGCTGTAGGAAAAAGAGAAATGAAAGGTCACTTACGTTGAAAGAACATAATACCTATACCCACATGGGTCCGTTTCCAGCAGCCCTTGCGGAAACAGTCTAGGTAGCTCCATACATGAAGCATGAAACGACTAAAGATCGTCCCATCTTGACATTTAGGATGGCGCGTAGCACTCAGTTCTTTGCAGTAGGCAACTTCTGACCGGATGTCAACCCATTCTCTCAAGACACGCTCGTCGGTTTCGCTGACGCCTCGCAGCTTGCAGAGAGTTTGTAAGGCTTCCTCGTCTCGACCTCTTCCAGCGAGCCAGCGCGGTGAATATGGGAGAAACGGTATTCCAACGCCGAGGAATATGGCAGGAACCATCTATGTATATAGTCAGCGAAAATCAATCTCTGTGGCCTGCGGATGTGATTTCTTACCTGAATCAGGAACGGAAGGCGCCATGACCATTCACCAGGGATATAGCGAGTACCATATGTGATGTAGAAAGCGACAACAATAGCCGTGACTATACTCAGTTCTTGCAACACGAGTAACGTGCCGCGAATTTCGGGAGGTGCAATCTCGGAGATGTACAGTGGTGCCACCATTGCAAGCATGCCAACCCCAATTCCTCCTACAAAGCGAGCCCCAACAAGCATAGCAAAGCTTGTTGCTCCAGTTTGTAAGGCCGCTCCAAAGATGAAGATGATGACTGCGGCCATTATGGACCACTTTCGAGAGATTTTATCTGCTAGCCATCCTTGGTTCATAGCACCCAAGAAAGCACCCAGTTCGATCATCGCCGTCAGAATGCCTTTCATAAAGCCACCACCTGAAGCATTGGCGCTGACTTCCGGAAACTTCTCAAGAAACTGGTCCATTGTAAGAGTCACACTCACAACGCCCTGGTCATAGCCAAACATCGCACCACCCAGCGTAGCGAAGGCTGCGCAAGTGCAGACATATTTGTTGTTGACAATACCCTTTAGACCTGTGATATGTGACAATCGTTAGTTCGGGACCTTGAGTATTAGAGGATCATAGTCATAGAATTCATACCAGCCTCGCCATATGGTTCTCTCGCTTGTGTAGGTAGGAGACTAGAAGGGTCTATCTTCACTTCGGATTCAAGATGCTCAGCCTCCGGCGATGCTGGTGATGCTTTTTTGTCCGCCATGATTATATCGGTTGTGAATCTGTATCCGCGTAAAGCTGGTAGATTGAGTTGAAATGTGCCAAGGTAGTTGAAATGGTTATAAGAAGAGGAGCCCTATGCACCCAATAGAAATGGAGATGAAAAAAGTCAAAGCATGGAATCCTATGCGATAATGAAGAGATACTTGGGCACTTGACACTCAAATGATCACCCAGCCCGATACCATATTCTACTGCAATACATACAATAGACTGCAGGCGGCTGTTGACATGGCTTTCGGGCTTGACGCCACTGTCTCCACGCGCCCAAAATGCGGGGGAACCAACCATGCGAGTCTGGCAACGAATATTCCCGATCGGACACCATTTTCCGGCCCGGATACCATCTTCCAGCTCTGATCTATATCCCTCTTCGTCCTAGTCAAGCCGAGTGAGAGCGACTCATATCTCTCCAAAAGCAAATGACATGCCAAATTCCTGCCCAGCCCGAGATCTACATACACATCCTACAGTCATGGACTATCGGGTACCCCGAAAACATTCAAGAATAACAAGATTTGTTTCTGCTCAATTGCCTCATAGTTTCTGATTGTCGTCATTTCGCCGCGAGATCTTCTGCCGATTAAAACACTGAGCTCTGCCCCCGGCCAGAGGCTTCATGGGCATCCTGCGCCCGGCAACCCGATAACATGAAAGTCTATAAGTTATCTCCGGTCTATGCATGTGAAACTCTCCTGGACGATATATGCACTGCTGTACGAGATCCTAGGCATATTTTGATGTTTTCAAAGAAAATAACTACTCGCAAAACCTCCACGGCTTCAAGGGTCTATCTACCTTCTTCCCCCAGTTTGGTTCCCCCACGGGGAACCAAACCGGGTTGATCTCGGGATGGGGATTCCGATCCAGATGCTATAGCCAACTCGTATGTGGGTCTAAAGAAACGTGGGATAATACTGAACTTCTACTAAGTGAGCTGTAAATGATTACCAAACCCTAGTAGTTGTGCAAGTGAAGATTCTAAAGCCCGCTCGGATTTAGAAATTACCTTCAACCATTGACACTCACCTAAAGCATAAGGAGCGGGTGGCTTGCAGCTAATATATTGTCTTAAAGGCTATATTTTCTTAGCATAACCACTTATAGATATGTAAAAAGCAAATGAGACAGAGCTTCTGGACTCCCACTCCTCCCTGTTACATGTATGGCTGTTTAAGGGTTTGAACGATTGGCCTGGATGGATTCAATTCAAGTTGTCCATATGAATTATTCCTACAACCCTCAGCTTGGTATACTACACAACTCTATATTGATTGTGATATTTCCCGATACTATCCGGTGACTAGTAGGAACTACGGAGAAAACTTGGGATTTGACACAGAACTAACCTGGTCTACACTCGTTTTCTAGAAATAGGGCTTTAGGGTTGAAACGATCAATTCCAGCATACTTCATGTATTTTCTAGTTGCTGAGGTCCGATAACTTTGACAAAAGTTCTTGTTGGGACTGCTTGTCCCAAGATGTTTTGTTGATTCGGATAAAACCGTGCCTGCTCGCTACATCAGTAGAATTCGCCGTCTTGGCAAACATGTTTCGGCACGGCAACTGCTTGAATGTTTGAAGCGACGTTTATAGTCTAAGTGTCGGTCTTTGCATCTGCTCTCGCAAGATCCCGAATCAAACCGGTTTGATTGATGCATGCTATGAGTATGAGGCTTTATGCCGATACCCGACATTTCCCTTTCATATTATTATATTTCTACTTCAACCGAACCTCTTCATGAATATTCGTAGGAGATATCTCAGGTTGGAAATGTGCGCTAAGGCTCACTTCGGTTTACCTGCTATCAGTGCTCGACATGTTCATCCCATCCCCACCACGTCGACAAATCAGGGGGCATAAAGCGCTATGCTTTGTCTCATATAAAGGTAGTTCACAATTGTGCTTCTCTACTTCTCTACTTTCATCTGGATGGACAGCCGTGTCACAGGTATTATCATATCACTGAATACTACAAATCTGGCACTAACTATTTTGCTGACGGAGACAACGACCGATAATTTATAAAACAAAACAAACACCTCAAACGTCGACTATCTTGCAATGCAAGATAAAATTGGGAATTTCTCAAATAAACGGATTACTTTCTGCTCTGCTCGATAAACCACAAAAGATCTAGTATTCTTTGCGCAAGTGCCGAAGAGGCCCGAGAACCCCTTCTAGCCGTGATGAATTTTGTTGCTCAGGACCCCAGCAAAATGCTGGATATACGATACTGACTACCATGAAACTCAGATCAGTTGACATATCACCGCAGAAACTACCTGGCAAATGGGATTGAGGCAACCGTAATTGAAATGAATACTGCAGTCAACAATGCGGCTTCTGTTCGGTGATCTGCCAAGGCACAAGGTCAAAAGTACGTGTTGATTAATCTAAACATATTGTAAGCCAAGCGACTGTAGCATTTTCAGGCAAGTCCAAGTGTTTGGAATAGTAACCTCGTATCTCCAATGGGACCCATCTGCCGATCAATGTAACACCCCTCGATTTACTGACAATGCCTCGGATAGATAGAGGAAAAGAGAAATGAGCTAAATAGGACGAGAAGAAATACACTAGATGCTTGCAGCCATAATATCTAATATCGAATATTTCCTTCAGAATGAAACCATCTAAGCAAATTCTCCTTCCTTTTCTCCTTTCACTTGTACTCCAAGCAACGGCGTTTCCCGCGCAAGACCTCCCAGTACATGTCGGACACCATGTTATATTCTCATACCCCGGCCTTGAACCCCCATCTCACCTCTTCGATCTGATCACCCAAGGCAAGGTTGGCGGCATCATTCTATTCGGCGAGAATGTCAGCACAAACCTAAGCACGACGATCGAACAATTCCAGAACACCTACAGAAAGAGCCCTCACTATGTTGGAAGCCCTTTACTCATAATGACAGACCAAGAAGGTGGCCAGATTCGCAGACTGCCCGGCGGCCCAGAAAGCAGCGCGAAGCAAGTCGGCCAAGCATCCAACCCAAGAATGGCAGCGACACAGATGGGCAAAGATGCCGCAACCACCCTTAAAGCTGCAGAAATCAATTTCAACCTTGCCCCTGTGTTGGATGTGTATCGGGAAGCGGGCGATTTCACAGATCACACTGGTCGGTCCTTCAGTAACAACTCGGATGTTGTTGGTACTTGTGGATCGGCGTTCATCAAAGCCCAGCAAGGTGCTGGTATCATTTCGTCTGCTAAGCATTTTCCTGGACTCGGTGCTGCTGGTGCGACTGAGAATACGGACTTGCAGCCTGTCACTATCGACTTCAGTCTGGAAGAGCTGCGGTCTGTTGATACGGCTCCTTATGAGAAGGCTATTGCTGCTGGTATTGATATGGTTATGAGTTCTTGGGCTGTATACCCCGCTCTGGATGCAGAATATCCGTCTGGACTCAGTCGGGCTTGGATTCAACATGAGTTACGGGGTAGACTTGGGTTCACGGGTGTCACTATAACGGATGCACTTGAAGCGGGGGCTTTAGAGGCTTTTGGGGATGATGCTACTCGTGGTTTGCTGGCTAGCCAGGCTGGTATGGACATGCTGCTTGCTTCAGCGAGGAATGTGACTCAGGGAGAGAGTGTTGTGGATATTTTGGTGGCTTCCTTGAAAGACGGTTCGCTAGATATGCAGTCTTTCATCCGTGGGACAGAGCGAATTTTGGAAGTTCGGAAGAAGATTGCCTAGGAACTTAGCATTGAGGGAATGATAGCTTTAGACTAAGTGTGAAGGGATTTCAAGAATGACATTAAAGGTTAATGCGGACAAGACAGTCTGAGAAATGTGTTTCATGATTTCGCTTTGTATCGTAAGTGTGGAGAGTATGGCACAACATTGTTTCCCGCTCTGGAACTCCATAGTTACACCCATAACATACGGCTATTTCTCCGTTCTTGCAAAATCATACGATGGTGCTCTTCGTCGAACGTGTACATCCCTACAGGCGAAAACGAAGGAGATGGAATGAGCAACTCTGCCCAAGCAAACGGTCAGTAACATATTTTCGACCATATTTATCGCAGTATAACTCACCCAGCAACTACTTGTATCACCGAACCCGCAATCCTTAATCCTGAGGAGTATATTATACTATCAGGGCTGGAGACTATATAGGCAATGCCCACTAGAGCGAGGACTCCGAAGACAATATTGATAGCCGCGGAGATGAGATCTAATCCGACCAAGACACCAGGATGGGGCGCTTTTCTGATTTGAAGAAGGACCAGATGAATCAATGACCAAAGAGCAGTTCCCCCTGTCTAAATGAGTTGGGGTCAGATACAATGTTGAGGGCCATGGATATCTGCGCGCGCGGAGGGGTCCTTACCAATCCAACTGCCAGGTAGTCAGGGTTCCCAATGCTAAAGACAATGACTGCGGCTATAGCAATGAAAAGACATGTGATTCGCAAGCCAAGTAATGTATCATGGGTTGTAGTAGATGGAAAGTAATTGCTCATATTGTGCGAAGGGTCGTTGTGTTATCTCGAAAGGCAGCTAGCTGACATATGGATATGGAAGCAGAAGTAAAGACAAGATATTACAGTCTTATGTGGAAAAGTATCAGAGGGCAGTGTATTCTATAATAGGATTTGATGGATCCTGTGGGATTTGGCCCCAAGATCATCACCCTGATGTATCCAAGCATACGGGATGGGGGTCTGGCACGGATTCCATACTGGAGGCAGACTGGCCCAGGGTAGACGAAGGTTTGCTTAATAAATATTGAATCACATTTTCATTGGAGGAATTTTCTCACTGTAGGGTTGTAATCCACAGTTCTGCCTTGAAGCTTGAAGGTAAGCAGGGCTAATTGAGGCTATGCCGAGCCTCTTGGCATTAGGGTATGGCAGCTTCATTAAGTAACTCTAAGATATTTCTACCGAGCTAATAGCCCGCCTAGTCGGACAAATCTGAAAATACACATGTCCCTCCCATTGTGTGTTGTGTGTCTTTGTATAACGTTCCAAACGTCTGCTGCCGTGGTGCCGGCAGCCGACCTTGTACGTCGTTGACAAACTGAAGGTGTCTTGGCCCTCAGTCAACGTACATGTCTTGTCAACCTGGACGTAATTTAGCGTGACAATGCAACTGGTAGCTCGGGGTAGGTCAAGTATGTGCTCATCTTCAAATGGATTTCTGAAAAGTCCAATGCTTTACTAACGTGTAGCCGTGCCGCCTCATAATTCACATAATTTTCTGGTCTCCTTATAACTACGTAGCTAGACAATGCTGGCTTATTTAATATCTGAGAGGGTAGTGGTAGGGACCTGGCAAGCCTGCTAATAGCTATTCTTGTTTCAAAATGTACATGTTGTGGCCGAGTGCATATCTTCCTCTGTGGCCACACTAACAATGAGAATAACAATTTTCCGGACTGGTACACAAACAAAGCCACCTTTGTCACGCGAGCAGCTTGACAACATTGCCAAGCTCAACTCATAAGCGCTTTGGATTTGGGCATTTTGTTTAACCGGGACGCGAGACTCCACTCCTCGCTTCTGCAAAAGAGACTCCCAGTGTTGAGTCCGCTTGCACTCGCACTAGAATTCGGAATAGGAGCAGCAAGTTCCCCGGGAAGTTTTCTTGCAGCTTGCCAGCTCTATACCGGTCCAGAGACCTCCACCATGCCGCGTGGATCCCGATTAAGATGGAGCAGTGTTTTCCAAGATCCAATGAAAGAGTTTCGAAGAGTCAGCAATCTAGGCTTAGGGCCATGCATGGCGAAAGTTTCGTATACAGAAAGTTGTCCATAGAATGCCGGTGTACCCTCTCAAAGCCTCTAAGCGAGCCGAATTGAGGTCCCTTGTGTATAGATGGGGGCCAAATGAATGATAATAATCTCTAGAGCTCACCGGCGTGCGCCTCAAGTGCGAAGTTAGCCAGACTAGGAAACAACCAATGCCTTGGAACTCCACTCCCTAGGCCACAATACATGAGAATGGATAGGATATCCCATGTGAATGCCGCCAAATGTGCCGGTATGTGAAAAAATTAGCAACTTGGCGTTTGTGGGACATGCCGGTATACAAAATGCTTGATATGTAGGCACGAGGACCCTAGGAGACGCGTGGGTATTGGCCGGGATCCAGGGATCCATGATAGTGCAGCTATGCAGCTAGCGTAGTCCCGCATAATTTGGCCGGTCTCGGAATTTTCGTGATACAGCATTGTACAATATGTGTCGAAATCCAGTGGAAGAAGCGACATCTGGAAGATTCAACTCGGTTGAATGAAGACTCAAAATTAAGAAATTAGATTGGGGCAAATAGGAGACAAAGTTGCTGAGAACCAGGCCGATCGGTGGAGATTGGAAGAGTCACAGACAAGACCGATAGAGTTCTACGGGCAATATTCATGAGATAGATATCCTGATTCTGCTGCTCTTCTTCGACCCATTTGAATCCCAATATCTACAAACTATCGCAACAATACGTGTATATTCGTGGTTTTTATAGATGGCAAGGAACAACGTAACGCCACCGGGTCCGAGTGGTTCCGCCGTTTCGAGCTCCACCAGCTCTTTCTCTGCCAACCTGCGCTATTTTCTTCCTTTAAACCCCTCCTCCGACCTCTTTCGACTTCTTTGATTCTATCCGACTCCGAGTCTGGAATTTCAGTCTACTCAGTTTTGCTTTGCGCTCCTGAGCGCGCCCACGATTCACCATGGGGCTTTCCAAGGAGAAGCGTATCATGATCTTGCTGGTCATTGATACTGCGTTCTTCCTGCTGGAGTTGATTACTGGTGAGATATCCCTTGACTCTGATCTAGCGCGACCATTTCTGACATGTTGCTTCCTAGGCTATTCCGTCCACTCGCTCGCCCTCGTTGCCGATTCCTTTCACATGGTACGCAATCCGCAGTGCATTTTCGTTCCACAACATGATTCTAACCTTGCCCACAGCTGAATGATGTGTTATCGCTGTGTGTCGGATTATGGGCCGTTAAAGTCGCCAACCGGGAGACGACCTCCAATACCTATACTTACGGTGTAAGTTGGCAACCGCTACAAGCCTAGAACGATCTGACAATTGTATTCTTGAATAGTGGCAACGAGCTGAGACTCTTGGTGCCTTGGTGAACGGTGTGTTCCTAGTCGCATTGTGCATGTCAATCTTCTTGGAGGCAATCCAGCGATTGGTGGAACCTCAGGAGGTGCAGAACCCGAGATTCGTGTGTATTGTTGGCTGCTTCGGACTCGCCTCCAACATCATCGGCTTAGCCCTCTTCCACGACCACTCGCACGGTGGACATGGCCACAGCCATAGTCACGACGAAGAAGATCACGGCCACGACCACGACCACGACCACGATCATCTCGAGGATGAGGAGCATGGCTACAGCGACCACCAGGAGCCCGCCCCGCAAGCCATCGTCGCCTCCGAGACAGCGACTCCCAATGCGCTGGCTCACTCTGTCACCGAGCCTGCATCACCACAATCCCGTCGTCGCGGCACCCAAACCCGAAGCTCGCGGAGATTCAGCACCTCGACTGGACGCGTTTTCGTGAGCGCCGATGATATTCCTGTGCTTCCCGAAAGATTGCGCCAAGGAATCATTGCAGCCAGTCAGTACCAAAATGAGCAAAATTCGGATTCGGATACTGGTCGGGACGAAGATGAGATTCCATCGGAGCGCTCTGGTCTTCTGCGTCACCGGGACCGTGCCGCCAACTACACCGATGAAGAGGGCGCTGTCATTAAGCCCTCGAACAACCACCACCATCACCACGATGAGGATGTCCACAAATCTCACAACCATATGAAGCCTAAGTCTAAGGATGGAAAGAAGGGTGGTCACAGCCACGATCTGAACATGCGCGGTGTCTTCCTCCATGTGATGGGAGACGCACTGGGTAACATCGGTGTGATCGTCTCTGCACTGATCATCTGGTTGACTGACTACGAATGGCGCTACTATGTTGACCCGGGTATTTCTCTGGTCATCACGCTGATCATTCTTGCCTCCGCCATCCCACTGTGCAAGGCTGCTTCCCGTATCCTGCTCCAGGCTGTCCCTCCCGGAATGAGTATCGACCACATCAAGGAGGATATTGAAAGACTCCCCGGTGTCATTGGGTCCCACCACTTGCACGTGTGGCAACTCAGCGATACTAAGATCGTGGCCTCGATTCACCTTCAGGTCGATACCGAGATCAAGGGCGAAGGTTCAGAGCGATACATGCGCCTGGCCAGACAGGTGCGACGCTGCCTTCATGCCTACGGCATCCACTCTTCAACTATTCAGCCTGAATTCGCACCCGAAAGCGACACAGAGGATAATCATAGCCATCCCCATGCATCATCTTCCGGTGGTACCATTGAGCACCAACCCAGCCGCGCAGCCAGCGTACGGGAAGGGGACAACCAAGCCTGTCTTCTGGAGTGTGATGAGAACTGCGCACGTGGAGGACAGTGCTGCCCCAAGCCCACTTAATTTTCTCTTTATACAACCCCTTGTTTCTCACATGGATGTGGCCATCAAAACATTTCTACCCGACGGTTTCCCTATTCTGATACCCTATCAACATCACTCCGTTTATTCTTTGTGTCATTTGCCACTCTCTTTTTCACCGAGTAATTATCTCATACCCCTCATTTTTTTCGTGGTTTAGCCTCGAATTGCCAATCTTTTTGAATTAGGGCATTTGATGACGGCATGTCATATTCGCATGCAGTATATCATCCTATCCGTGTATGAAGTGCCCCTGTATTGTTAAGTGCCTGAGGCATGTTCATGTATTTCTACTTATATCTAATTAAGACTTCATCTTTGACCTGAGCTTGTGTCTGCATTCTGATTCTACACCGAAATCACTGCAAGTAAGTCTAATATATCTTCATTGACATGTGTTTTCGTTCTTTCTATGAACGTCTTGGTAGCGTGGTCTGTTTCTGAGATTTTCAATTAATGGGATTTCCAACTCTCAAGTACGTGGATCAAACACAAGGATCTTTACTCTGTACCATATGTACAGTGCTTGTTTTAGATATAAATAGCATCACGTGACCATACCCGGGGTGATCTGCGCGTCTGGCCCGCAGCTTGAATTGTCGCCCCTTGTTCTTCATGCAGTGAGATTCTCTGCTTGATTCTTTGCCATTCATTCTTTTCATTCTTTTCATTTCTCTGCCTTTTCACTGTATGCTCAGAGCATGCCCTGTCGCTCCTTTCGCTAGTTCCACATTAGCCCCATCGTGTTTGGGGCCACCCTGTCACCCAGGCTCGCTCTCAAGCTAACCCAACATGACATACCCTTACCAACGTTCCGCGGGCGCTTCTCCTCTTCCCTCTTTCAATCAGACCTACACACCGAGATCTCAAAGCATATCCAGTCGTGTGTGGGAGTTTGTTCCTCCAATCGCAAAACAATGGCTTTCGGAGGGGTCTCTCGGTCGTGGAATCGGTAGACACAGAGGCAGTGAGGGTATCAAGGTCACCGCAGTGCGAGCTGTTAAATCCATTTTCTCAATCTCTACTGCTATCATCTTATTGTGGATTTACTCTATTTGGTGGGGCGAACGGAGAGTATTTCAGGACCACATCAATCAATGCCTTTGGGAGAGTTGGGAAGAATGGGTAAGTGTTGTCGCAAGCGATTATGTCTCACACGATACTAACCGCTGCGTATTAGCCCCAAGATGCAACACCGCACCATATTGCCTTCATCTCGGATCCCCAACTCGTCGATCCCCACACCTATCCCGGTCGACCATGGCCTCTGTCCACGTTGACTGTTAAATACACAGACCAATATATGCGTCGATCATTCTCCTTGATCCAGGATCACCTCGAGCCGGACTCGGTTCTGTTTCTCGGTGACCTTTTCGACGGTGGAAGAGAATGGGCGACTGGCACCTACACCAGCCCTGAAGCGCGATATAAGAATATCAAGACCAATTTCTGGAAGAAAGAATACCGTCGATTCATGAAAATCTTTCTGGATCCTTGGGAAAAGAACAGTCCCTCGCCAGTAGATGCACGAGGGCGCAAATTGCTTGCTAGCTTACCTGGAAACCATGATCTTGGATTTGGAAATGGAGTTCAAGAGCCTGTTCGCGATCGGTTTCAGACCTACTTCGGGCACAGCAACCGAGTAGATGTGATTGGAAACCACACATTTGTTTCAGTCGATACCGTCTCCCTGAGCGCGATGGACCAACCCGATCCTTTGACGGGTAGCTCGCCGACAGCCGCAAACGATGATGCCTGGCCGGCCCGCCCGATTTGGAAGGATGCAGATGATTTCTTGGACAAGATGGCTATGCATAGAGCCAGAGCGGAGACAGAGGAGCTTCGAATGCTGCAAAACCAGAGCGAGGGTCATATGTTTGATTACCGGGTGGTCGATGCTGTCGATCCGGCAATCCACCATAAGCTCGAGCCAACGAGCCCCGGGTTCCCTACTATCATTCTTACGCACGTGCCTCTTTACCGCAAGCCTGCAACTCCATGTGGCCCTCTACGCGAGCGCTATCCTCCATCCTCGGACGAGGAACTGCAAGAGGATGAGCCAAACTCTTTGAAGATCTCGGGTGGGTATCAGTATCAAAATGTTCTCACACAGACCGTGTCGAACGAGTTGGTGTCTAAATCCGGACCCAATGTAGTTCAAGTCTACTCTGGGGATGACCACGACTACTGTGAAGTTTCCCACCGCGAGTTCAACGGTTCACCAAACGAGATCACCGTCAAAAGTATCTCCTGGGCAATGGGAGTCCGACACCCAGGCTTTGTATTGACGAGTCTGTGGAACCCAATTGACCCCAAGACAGGCAAGCCCATCAAGGATGCTTCCCCCACCATTCAAAATCACCTTTGTCTTCTCCCAGACCAACTGGGTATCTTCATCTACTATCTTACCATCCTCGGCCTTAGCGTCGTCATCCTCTTCATCCGCGCCCTCTACCGGGCATTCTCCTCGCCGGAACCATCATCAAACGGCGCACTCCTCCCTCTTTCTGAACGCCGCTCACAACATCAACCCCAAACCTCCGGTGCGTCCAGCTCTACTTTGTCAGCAGGAGGCCTGGCCAGCCGCGGGATGACCGCGTCTCCTCGCTACCCTGGGACTAAGTCACCTGATGCCTACCTAGGGGCCGAGGAGGACATGTCCTCTTCAAAAAGTAAGACTTCATGGCGGCCGGCATCAGCCACTGGGCCCCGCTCTACAGCTTCTCTTGTCTTGCATGATTTGTACCGCTCTACCAAGACTGTGGCGCAGGTAGTGTTGTTAGCGTATTTCATCCTGATCTGGCGCTGGTAGCCAGATCGTTCCAGCGAAAATAGACAATAATAGACATACATCCCGATCACCTGGTGCTGCAGAATTTACTAGCTTCGATCTGGACCAGTTCATAATAATAGCATCGCAAAACCAAGGCTAGAAACAAGCACTAAAAAAAAGCTAGAACAAGCGCTAGCGCTAGGGCACACATTAGGCCCGTGGACCTCGTGACCAGACCCTGAGAGCAAATTTTTTTCCGGCCCGACCCCAAGCCTCGGACCTGCCGTGTCTTGCCCTTCCCCGGGCTATTTCCACTCTCTCGGACTCTACCCGATAATTCACCGTTGTGGTCAAACTTCGGCATAGCTTCGGGACGTACGTCCAATCCTAGTCACGGGAAAAATCCCGCACTCGCGTATCAAACTCCTGCCAAGCCTTGACGCGGGCCGTTTGGGATTTGCAGTTGTTTACTCAGTAGACTATAGACACCAGTCGCTCGAACCAGGGTCTCGTCCAGCAGTATTATTCATGACAGTATGGACTGAAAATGCCTCACCGGATGTTCTGTCTGAGCCGACAATCTCGTAACAGAATTGCTTCCATGTGGGAAATAGAGTAAAGTGGAACCCAAAGCACGAGTAGTCAAACCTTCCCCCCGATCAAGACAAGTCCATCTACGGACCAGGGGAAATCACCCAAGTTATTTCCTTATTCCGGCTCCGGTGAGCAAGATTAACATTCCTCTCATACTTTTCCGGGGTCCAACGCTCATCTGTTGGTTGACAATCTTGCCTGCGGGTCACCGGGTTGTCCACGTTATTGGCTCTTCCCCTCTTTCCTCCAGACTCGAGCCCCTGTCCTGTCTGGGGTTACGTGGTCCGTCTGGGGAGGAAACCTGGAGAAGGAAATGAAGGACACAGCTGTCCCCTGTTCGGTGTACAGGACGTCCCGCGTTTTGGTTGATTTGTTGATCTGTGGCGTTGGGATACATGCCTCTTGCATGCCGTGTACATTATTGGGGGGGGTTTGTAATCGCACATTATTACCTGCTGCATCTGCTCTAGTCTTCGACGTTGTTTAGCCCACTATAGTATCAGCCATTATAATCCAGATCCCTAAAGCAGGTGACCAGAAAAAAAAAAAAGTCGAATACTTTTTCGGGCGCGAATTGGACTGGCCCGGGCCCGTTCGTTGCCCGATGCGGGACGCCGATCGGCATCGCATGTGGCTCAGTCCGAGATGCCGGTTCCGGCTGTCACTTACTCCCCATTTTTCTCGGGGCATGTGGCTTGCTTGGCTATTTGCTTGTAGCCTTACCGAATACCAGAATCGAATCTAGTCTAGCATTCTACATCATGTGGCTGACCCCAAGACGGGATGCCTGTGATTCCTTACTTCGGGCGGCCGATCCCAAAGGGTTTCTCGGCTCCGTCCGAGTCTATGTGCCCGCGTGACCAATGGCTGGCCCTGTGGCTGAGCAGTCCCATCTAGACTCTCGATCTGATTGGTCGATCCAATTCCTGACAAACTCTAACCCCGGGCTCAAAACATCTAAAAAAAAACACGCGAATTAACCCAATTGGGAATAATAAGGAAATTTCCAGATCGTGGAGCCCCCGCATACGCTTTCGGTTTGTTTGTTCGCTTCTCCCCGTTGAGGATAAATAGGCTGTGATCGTCCCTGCTTTTGGTGCTTCATCTTCTCATTCTACTTCACACTTCCATCTCCTCATTCCATCCAACTCGACTCTACTCTTGACTTGATTACTCTTCACTTGACTCTTCGCTCTACTCTACACTACTATATTCTACTCTCCTCGATTGATTAGACTACCTTATCTCATTCGTCAATCGTCTATATTTACAATGGGCTTTGCACTGAAGAGGCCGGATGATGCCGTGGGCTCTGCTGCCCCGGCAATCATTATTGGATTGTTCGTTGCTTTTGGTGGTGTTCTCTTTGGGTATGTCTCCTATCTTGCCCTCTTCTCAGTCAGACACTAACATACTCTAGATATGATACTGGTACCATCAGTGGTATCCTGGCCATGAAGTTCTGGCGTGGGATGTTCTCGACCGGATACATCAACGAGAAGGATGGCCTTCCCGATGTCACCTCCTCCCAATCCTCCATGATTGTCTCTCTTCTCTCTGCTGGTACATTCTTCGGTGCTCTCGGTGCCGCCCCTATTGCCGACAGGTTCGGTCGTCGCATGGGTATGATCATGGAGACCTTCGTCTTCGTCTTCGGTGTCATTCTCCAGGTCGCCTCGACCTCCATTCCCCTCTTTGTGGCTGGTCGTTTCTTCGCCGGTCTGGGTGTCGGTCTCCTCTCCGCTACCATCCCTCTCTACCAGTCTGAGACCGCTCCCAAGTGGATCCGTGGTACAATTGTCGGTGCCTACCAATTGGCAATCACACTAGGCTTGCTTCTCGCTGCCATCGTCAACAACTCCACCAAGGACCGCCAGGACACAGGCTGCTACCGCATCCCCGTCGCGATCCAGTTCGCCTGGGCCATCATCCTCGTTGTCGGCATGCTCATCCTCCCCGAGACACCCCGCTTCCTCATCAAGCAGGACCGCCACGAGGAAGCCATCCGCGCTCTCGGCCGTCTCCGCCGCATGGACGTCAACGACCCGGCCCTCGTCGCCGAGCTCTCGGAGATCCAGGCTAACCACGAGTTCGAGCTCCGTCTCGGAACTGCCTCCTACTTGGAGATCTTCAAGGGCTCCCTCGGCAAGCGTCTCGCTACCGGATGTGCCGTCCAGGCTCTCCAGCAGCTCGCCGGTGTCAACTTCATCTTCTACTACGGCACCACCTTCTTCCAGAACTCGGGCATCCAGAACTCCTTCGTCATCACCCTCATCACCAACATCATCAATGTCGTCTCCACCTTCCCCGGTCTGTACATGGTCGAGAAGTGGGGTCGTCGCCCTCTTCTGATGTTCGGTGCTGTCGGCATGTGTGTCTCGCAGCTCATCGTCGCCATCGTCGGCACAGCCACCAACTCCGACGTCTCCAACAAGGTCCTCATCGCCTTCGTCTGTGTCTACATCTTCTTCTTCGCTAGCTCTTGGGGTCCCGTCGCTTGGGTCGTCACTGGTGAGCTGTACCCGCTCAAGGCCCGTGCCAAGTGTCTCTCCATCACCACTGCCACCAACTGGCTCCTCAACTGGGGTATTGCCTACGCTACTCCCTACATGGTCAACAGTGGCCCTGGCAACGCCAACCTCCAGTCCAAGGTCTTCTTCATCTGGGGTGGCTTCTGCTTTGTCTGTGCTGTCTTTGTTTACACTTGCATCTACGAGACTAAGGGTCTTTCCCTGGAGCAGGTGGATGAGTTGTACGCTAAGGTGCCTGTTGCCTGGAAGTCTATTGGCTTTGTTCCCTCTGTCAACTACAGGGATGTTCGCGATGTTGCCGATAACATGAAGGGTGGTGACCTTGCTCAGCTTGAGATCGATGCTGGTGAGAAGCGTGCTGGTGAGCATGCTACTCACCACGAGAGTGTTCCTGCTAAGGCTGATGTCTGATTGTATTACTTATATTAATGTCTCATGGGATTTGTATGATTTTCTTTTTGTTATTTGTGGATATTAGTCCACGGGTTGGATTGCATCTTTCTTATGATATCTATGGTTGTTTTATAGCGAAATGCATTTACTATATTATTTATTTTTACACCACGTTCTATCGTAGATTAAATATTCACATATTTAGAACACTATCTTTTCAGTTTGACGGTTGGATTTCATCCTGTTATTACGCTAAGTTGGAGAGTCTCAGTCCAATTAATTATGCAGTGTAATACCACCACAGACAGAATATATAGTTGAAACCACTGCAATGCCAAACCTTCAAATTGACCATTAGAAAGGTCCATAAAGCACTAAACATGAACTCATACCAGTAGAGAACCCATATAAAATAACTTAAATAAAGACACATGCCTATATTCAAGTACTTGTCGCGTGGAAGCCGAGTGAATTGAAGCCCCATGTGATCGAGTTGAACCCCTGTATTGGGGGGTTCAACTGGTCTTGGCACTGCGACCGAGAAAAGTGGAGAAAATGGTGCCAAAAATCCAAGGCGAGTACTTCCTCGCGTCTAACTTAACTTATAAAACTAGAGAACTTCCTTAAAAGTATCGTAGATGTCGCCTCAATGCAGAAGATTCATTTGTCTCTGAATTGCGTAATTGCCCATTGCACCATTACCGATACCCTCTAGGGTAGCAACAGGCAAGGAAGCTAGTACCTCTTTGTATTTGATAGACAGGGGAAAGAAATCTCCTTTTGGATCTCCTATAATAGTGTGTTCTATTTGGGCAGAATATCACAGGTTAGGAGTATGCAGATGGCAGCCAAAGAGAGAAAGCCAATTACCTGGGACATGCATACAACTCCTGATGCAATTGTACCATACCAGATTCCTTGTTTATTTCTGGGCGCTTAGAGCCCCGCGAACTATTTTCCACAGATATTGGGCAACGTATGTCAGATTTCACTCTCCTCGTTATCTACACCCCTCTACCATTCACAGTATTTGATGACCCTGCTCTACTAAGTCTTATTCTACAATCAAGTACCAGCTACTCAACGATGTCTTCCAGTTCTTATTCGCAAAAAGTTCTCTCTAAAGGATCTCAACTGGTCAGCGCGGGGCTGGAGGGCGCCAAAGGCACAGTTGCTTACGGAATGCCTGTTCTAGAAAAAACCGCAAACTTCACAGCTCAGGTTAAATTACACCAGTTTGCAAGCAAGTCATTTGAAGTATATTATCTGACCCCTAGTAGACAGTCAGCTGGGGAATCGAAAATCCGGTTCTATTCACATGCGCGACTGTTGGTACAACTGGTGCGCTTGTTTTCGCTGCCCCTGCCCTGGTATCGGCCCCGGTTCTATCGACCATGGGATTTACAGCATCTGGTATCAAAGCAGGTATGTGCTGTAATTGATAAGTCTCCACTATCCCCACATCCTTGAAGCCCGAGTAACGTTTGATGTTATTGAATATAGGTTCTATGGCTGCAGCTGCTCACAGCTCCATTGGGAACATCGCAGCTGGTAGTGCGATGGCTATAGGACAGAGTGCTGGCGCTGGTGGTAGTGGCCTGGCCATCGTCAACGGGGCCGCACAGATGGGGGGTGCTGCGATGGCCGTCGGAAGTGCTGGGTTTGCATGGCTCAAGGCCAAACTGTAAAATGAAGTGGGAATGATGGTTTAGAATTATAATTGCATCTATCAATTAACCAATAAGATGCGTCTCGTCTATGAGCCTCTACTCCAAACTTCTATCTCTTGGCTTATGCTTTTGACACCTTATTCTAATTGTACATGAGTATCAATCATGCCCGGCGTCAATTTAATTGAAATAATCTTATGTACATGTATTGGATTCTATTGCCTTATGCCACAATTCCACATTGCCCTCTTAGTTTCTTTCGTATTTGAAGGCTTCATATTCTAACCGTTGACTCCAGTCCCATCGAGCCTATAATCTCAGACGACAAACCAAGAAACCTATCTCCAAACATGCGCCATCTCTGCTCGAACAAGTGCCATTAGAACGACCTGTTACCATTGAGTATTAGCTACGTTCCAAAACCCTGACATCTGCAACATACCAAGCTGAGGTCTGCGCCCTCGGCAACCCGAACGCGAAAGACTGAAATATCTCGATCCCGCGCAAAACGCTCCTTGATATTATTGGAGTGGAACGAGATCTCGGCAATCGTAAAGTTGCCAATGTTCACATAATTGGTCAACCCCATTGCATCACGCGGTCGCATCTCGACCACAGCCCCAGAACTCAAGATTCTGGCGTCAACGGCTGTGTGTTTCGACGTGAAGAATTTCTTGTGAGCAACCTCGGCGATATGGTTCCCACTGAGGTCTTCTGCATGCCACCCTAGCTTGCGCCGCAGGTCAAAGACCGGCTGCCCCGAGGCGTCCTTCAATGGTCTCCTCAGAGTCATCGAGCTGTAGCTACCTGGGCCTTCAACCGAGAAGAGCCGCTCGCCATGGTCGTTTATGACGTCGATTTTTTGAAGATGTTGGTCGTGGACTCTGACCCATATCACACACTCTTGCTCGGTTGTGTAGCCCTTGGCTAGGAGGACTGATTCAGGTGGAGCTTGTAGTTGTGCGTCCATTGCGATTGAACATATATGCCAAGAAGAGCTAAGCCGGGTTGTTTTTTGGGTTCAGTCGCAAAAGCTTCAAACACGAAAGGACAGAATAGGGGAAGGAGGAGAAGGAGTGTTGGGGCGGAGAGTAGGAGGTATCCGAAAAAAAAACAAGTGAGGTCAGGATCTCCAAGCCTTAGCCGTGGTAGACTATTTTCCAGGATGGGGGCTAGTTCAACAACTTGACGTGGAGCTCATCAATTGAAGCCTGGTGGCGAAATTGCCGAGTATAGTACCAAATAAAGAAAGGTCAATGAAGCCCCGGGGCCTCGCAAGTCTCTGACATCAGCGCGGAATGCTTGGGGGCGGTAATATTACTAAAACCGACTAGGAAGCGACTGTGGGGTTGGATCACCAGTAATATGTTGCATTGTGTCCCTAACGGATTCTGACAAAATCAGCCTTCAATGTTGATCCTGGTCCACTTTGCTTGGCTCAATTGGAGCGTATATCAAGCTTTCCACTTAAAGTGGGTCAATCCTTTGCATGGAGTATACGCACCAGGGATGACAATGCTATCAAAGGTAACATTATACCAAATTCGTTCCGTATATGAGGCAATTTCAATATTGATGGGGGCCAGCGATCCATGGGGCGAAATTCATGAGATGGGGTCTATTTTCCCATATGGGCCGTGACTTGAGCGCCGTTTGATATCTTTGTTATCAGATCAAACTTTCTATCTCAACAACACAAAAACAAAATATTGATAGTAAGACTGCGTAGGGAACCAATAGAAATATGTGGCATAGTATGATATTGCGTTAGCTTGACAAGTCATTGACTACGCGAAATGCCGTTTGTTTATTAGTGGGTTGTTAAAGCCTCACCCAAGGAACACATACAACATGATACACGTAATATTGGAGATATTGGCAAAAATAACGCTGAGAAAGTTGAGAGACTAATGAGATCATAGAAAAAGACCTCGCGTGGTCTCATCTTGCTCAGTGACTAGCTAATACTTGCCCTCCATGTCTCAACCCGATCCATGGAAAGCATGGGGGCCAGTGTTGGTAGTTTGGGTACCCATGATTTCTTGCGTAATACCAAAATAGAAACCCTAGCAACATGAACATAGTAATGATAGTCTGGTTAATTCCAGTGTATATTGGAAATATCTCTTTGTATAGCTCTAAACAAAAGAATGCAAGTAGAGGCCTTAGAAGCACCAATTGAACATGAGTGCCATGGCCATATCTTTCTTCTCATTTGCTCGTTGAACCATGTAGTATGTAAAACATCTTACTAGCCCGGAAGTAGAAGTGGCTCCCAGAGCATCCCATAGCTGAGTCAAAGATATCATTGAGATCACAGAGAGACCAGGAAGGCCGGAGTGGAGCCCGCAATGGAGCCAGAAGGTCACTAAAGAGGCGAAGGAACTAGGGAGCCTTGCAAGTCCGCGAGTTCAAAGCCGCTGGAGCAATCTTCATTCGATTTACTACATGAGGAAAGAGAACAATGGACGAGAGATGTCACGGACCAGAGAACAAGGTATAAAGATGCCCATTCTTCCCGTCTAAAATTCATTCAAACAATCAAAGCAAATTCTTCTTCCTCATTCAATCTCTTTACAATTCCCAAGAACTTTCTTCCAATCGCCAAAATGGTCTCCTTCAAGTCTCTGCTCGGCGCTGTCGCCATTGCTGCCTCTATCCAAAGCGGCTCGGCCATCTTGGTCGAAATTTCTCTTGACGTTGCTCTTGGAACAATTGGTGGTATTGTTGGCGCCGCCGGTGGTGTTACCGGAGGTGTATCTGCTGCCGTCGCCAACTCGAAGAGAGAAGTGGATCACATTGAGGCTGGACCTATCAGCCGTGTCAAGAGACAGTCCTACGGCACCAAGTACGATTGGGAGCAATGCCACAAGGAGCTCACCACCTCTCACGTTGACTTCAACGGCGAGTCTGCTGGAAGTAAGTAGTCTCTTTATCTCAATTCTGAAAGACAATTTTTGACTAACAATATGATGTAGCTGTGGTCGTCAGCGGTGTGCCTCCAACTTGCATGAACCTTGCTACTGTCATCACTGGCAAGTTCGACGAGGGTAACCCGGTTCCTCTCAGCAACAATGCAATCCGTTTCACTGGCTTGACCAACGATGATGTCAACAAGATTCAGGACGCTCTGAACACCCACTCTTAAGGAGATGGAATACGTCCTGTTGTTGGTAGTTTCTACAAGGAACTTATTGTGATTAGTTTTTTTGGCTTTATCTGCATCATGTCTCGTTAGATTGGAATTGACAGTGACGCATGGGACTTTCTTTCCATCGTCAGTTTATATGGTACAAATTATCCTCTCATAGTAGATTAAGATTCTATAAGAAGATTCATGACGTTCTGGTTCCTCCTTCTATATTTGAATTTTCAAAAGCATATAGTTTAGCTACATGAAAATATAAATTTTATACATGAACGATGTCTCAGCTTATACATATACTGGAGGATTATTACTTTTTCCTTCAAAAAGCGAAATCGCAACTGCGATGCTCGAAGAGGTGTATTGCCTTTTGATAGATTGCTCAGAGTGTGATAGACAGTCTGTCTTCAGAGACAAGCCACGCTATATTCGTGTATGGCTAAGGCACTTTTAGACACTTTTAAAGACCATTAAATTTGTTATAGCCACATCAATCTATTTTAATTTCAATAAGGCACTGATCTGGCGTGGAGGGGAAGATGATGACAGCGTTTGCTATGTCAATATACACCAGCGTGATCGACCGAACCAAAAGAACAAATTGACAAAGCCTAGCGTGTTTAGGGCTATTCATGTGCATCACGCCGTTAAAATAACCGCTGATCAAGATGGGTCTACAGTGGGGATATGCCCCTGTAAGATTTCTATGTCAAGTTAGTTAATTACAGTAATGTGGAGCCATGGTATACGCAGTTTCAGTATGTTCTTTTTTGGGGGCCAGCGTATATAGAGCAAGAAACCCACCTTTGGGGGCCAGCTGCTCCACCTGTAAGCCTCCCTACAGTATTGCCCCCCCCCCGATTCCCAGTGTGGCTAGGATTAGCTCTTACTGCCATGCTGGAATTCAGGGTGCGAGTGCTGGTAGGGGGCCATCGCACGGGCTGTACAAATTACATCAATTCCGCAAGACCCCTCTTCAACATTTTGCTCTCAAATCATTGATTCGACAAAGGAAAGAATTGGTGCGCAGGAGTGTCATGCTGTTAAAACAATTATCACAAGTCTTATTGCCAGTGCTCTACCTTGGTCTGTCTGGACTTGTATTCGCTGTCTCTTTGCATGCACCGAAACAGGGACAGCGGTGGGCACTGCTGCCATTAATCCTGATATTTGCCTTTTTATCTTTATCCGCGGTACTCAAGGTGCCTTTTGCGCCCGGAATATCACTCGTTTGGGGTCAAGCTTTAACAGGGTATGTTCTGCATACTATCTCGACCTTGCATATTGAGGCGATCCCACCACCATCCTCATCTGTGCCAGGTTCAAGAGCACCTGGATCAGAATCATGCTTTGATTTCGGTTATTTCCGTCGAATATGGCTCAATCCACGTTTGATACGGACGCATTCAACTCAGCCAACATCGACAAAGCAGTCTCGCGGGGTCTTCCTTGTCTTGCAGTTCTTTAAACTCGCCATATACTACATCATTCAAGCAAAAATATCTCCGGCAATCTTTGATGAGATCGTCATAGACATCTTGCCGGATGAGGTTGCTCCATATCAACAATCTCTTTGGCGACCTTTGGATGGCTTCACGGCGCGAGAGTGTTTGAATGTGATATTCGTCACTTTCTCGTCGTTCTGGACAACTGTTGTGTACCTTGACGGGACGAATGCAATTATGGCTGCCTTCTTTGTTGCAATTGGCCTGGATTATCCAGAAGATTGGCCGCCGCTGTTTGGGAACCTATCCCAGGCAGTTGGGCTCCGGAACTTCTGGTCAAGATTCTGGCACACGCTTCCCATGAAGCCTTATAGAAGTATTGGAGGGTACATCAGCCTGCAGATACTTAGGTGCTCGCCTCGGTCATTCGCTTACAAGGGTACCGTCGCCTTGACTGCATTTTGGCTTTCGGGCGCTGCTCACGCCTTGGTGGACTGGCTTCGTGGCAGTTCTGATTGGCACCTGAATATTTATTGGTTTCTGCTTAACTTCCTCGGTTGCATGGGTGAGTCCCTTTTTGTCAAGACACTTCGCGAGTTGGCGTGGCGAGTTGGACTAGAGCATCATCTTCTGGCCCTCGAGAAAAGCTGGCTAGGCAGGTTCGTTGGGTATATTTGGATCTGTCTTTTCTTCTGTTGGACGGTGCCAATGTGGCGTTTCCCCGAAATTCACCGCCAATCGTTGGCATTCCATAAAATGAGACAGCTTCTGTCGAACTTGCAAATAGTTCAACAGTAGATGTTGCGTATATAGGGCAGGTAGGCAAAGTCTCTATCTCATCACTGGGTTGAGCCGAGACTAAACCTCAAACAATGAATGTACATATTACAACAGCCATTTCGAGATTGATATTCACCGAAGGCCCCGCCAAGTATATCGAATGATGTATTTGGAGAGTCTCCCATCTGTATTCGACTTCACTGTTCAAAACTTCAGCATACCCTCAGTCTAAAAAGACAAAGACATAGCAAGTCTGTATTGTTCCAAAATCAGGATTACTCAAGAATACCAAATACAAGCAACCGGCAAACGTGAGAAATGCCGAGAACTCGGACCCCACCGCCCGGTTCCCACGTCATTCACATCCCGCTCCACCCCACCCCCCGGTTATCTGCGGTTTACGACACCAGTCACGTGAAAAAAAGACTTTGATGGCATCTATGACTCAAACTTAGACTCAATTTAACATGAATGCAGCTAGATCGGTAGCTGATTGAAAAGAAATCATTACAAGTCTCTATTCTGCCGGGACCAAGCCCAGTTGAAAGGCAACATAACATGGCCACAGCTACTAATACAATGCCGACGACGGCATTCGAGCTCCCCAACCTGGGACAAAATACCGGAGAACGACAACGAAATCTGAATTCCTCCAATGCCCATGAAATCGACGAGGTCATGCAGCAGTCCCTCATTGCAGACTCGCAAGTCCCCGACGGAGGCTATGGCTGGATTCTCATCGGTGCATGTGCCGTCGTGACCTGGTGGTTCGTCGGTGCCTCATACACATGGGGTGTGATGCAAGCAGAGCTTGTGGATAAGGAGGGATATTCGTCTTCGACGTTGGCATTCGTTGGATCGCTGTGCCCCGCTTGTATTTCTCTTCTGGCTGTTCCCAATGCCAGGCTGATTGGATTGATTGGTGCTCGGACGACTGCTATGACGGGTATCTTTTTGCTCGGACTTGGGAGCATTCTGAGCGGCTTTGCGACTCATAGTGTCCCGGGTCTTTTCATGACTTGGGGATTTATTGGTGGTCTTGGAACTAGTCTGTGCTTCATGGTTAGTTGATTACCCTTACGCCGAGCTGCGGGCATACTAACACGAGGCTGTGACTACAGGTCGTCTCTGTCACACCGGCGCAATACTTTAAAGCCAAGCGTGGTATCGCCAATGGAATTGTCTACGCGGGTGGTGGTCTAGGTGGTACTGTCATCAGTTTCATCCTTGATGCCCTCCTCCAAAGCGTCGGCATTGCCTGGACATTCCGAGTCCTCGGATTCCTGATCATGGTGACGGGGCTGCCGGCCGCGTGGTTTATCAAAGAACGCGCGCCCATCAAGCCTGCGAAGATGGTCGAGTGGAGTCTGTTCCAGGATGTGCGCTTTGCAGTTCTTTTTGCCACTGGTGTCATCGGCACATTCCCACTCTTCGTACCGGCTTTCTTTTTGCCATTGTACGCCAACTCTCTTGGCTTGCCATCTAGTGCTGGTGCCGGTCTCGTGGCCGCGTTCAACTTTTCGTCTGCAATCGGACGACTTTCGTGTGGATTTGCGTGTGATCGATTGGGATCGCTGAACACGCTTTTCCTGTCGTTGTTGCTGAGCGCTCTGAGTATCTTCGTTTTGTGGCCTGTTTCTACTTCCATTGGGCCTTTGATTGCCTTCACTATCATCAATGGTTCTGCGAATGGTGGCTTCTTCTCGACTATGCCAACTGTCGTCGGCAACGTGTTTGGCTCGGCGAGGATGTCTGTTGCGGTGGGTATGATTGTGAGTGGGTGGCTTGGTGGCTATCTTCTTGGTGCTCCTATCGCTGGTTATATTTTGAATGCTTCTGGTGGTCAGGCTGGCGGTGTTGGTGCTTATCGACCGGCCATCTTTTACGCTGGCTCTATGGCCACGGTTGCGACTGTTTTGGCAGCATTCGTGCGGATCAAGGTTGATCGGAGGATCAAAAAGACTGTTTGATATGGAGCGAAGATGGAGAAGACACAAAAGTTATGACTTTAACCGCCTGGTGAGACATATTATCTAATTCATAGCTGCTCATTGGTATATGTTTGTAGAGAAATACTTCTGGCGGAAGAACGAACACTCAAGTATTTATGAGCACGGTGAATTGGTATAAAACGTAAGTAAATGAATTTAGGCAGTACGTTCGCTGCTAAATTGCTCAAATCATCTATTTATTTGTTCATAGTATACGTATGAAGACATTTGTCATGTTCATTCCCTCTAAAGACGGGCCTTCTTCTCTTCACGGCCTTCGAGGTTAGGGTGAGGGTTGCGAATGGGCCGAGTAACGGCGTAGAAAGCAAGACCTGAGGACTTTGTCGAGAACTATAGTAGGCCAATCATGTCAATACATTGCTGGTTGCATTAGAAGTATGCGGGTCTCATGACAAACCTTCACCTTGGAACCGACGTGGAAGAAAGCAAAGTCTCCAGGGACTAGGTGATGAGTGACACCAGTAGCCTCATCCTATATAATGGCCAACATGGTTAATATTGTGCCCGATCTTGTATATGTTGAAGTAGAAGGATTGACGAAGGCTCTTTGAATATGGGCAAGGAAAACCTACCAAGATATCGATCTGACCATTCAGAACATACTTGGTCTCCTCGAAGTTGTAGTGAGCGGGTCTTTGAGGTCCAGCCTCGATCTTGTAGAATCCAGAGGTGAAGTGTGTGGGCGAATCAGTCGTCTTAGTGCGAATAGAGTGGAAATCGGCTGTGGTTGCGTTCTCGCCCTGGGGAAGGGGAATGAACTCCTGACCGGCGCCCTTAATGATGGTGAGAGGGACAAGATTGTTAGACACTTTGCGAGTGAATCTAAGCGTCAGTGATACTCCATGATTTATACTTCCACAATGCTCTCTTGAAAGAGCATTGGACTCATTCACTCACTTTTGATTTATTTTTGTGATGAAGACAATATCGAGAATCGCAAGGCCTCTTTAACTATTATAAGCACTCTAAGGACTCAAGAGACACCCGGGGGCATGACCGGGTGATAGTGAAGTCCTGCATGCTTTACCCCAATGAGGAGAAAAAGCCCCCGGCGCATCACCCGTAAGTGGAGAATATGTCGGATGGACGCCCGATATCCACTGGCAAAGATGTTCTTACGAATTAATTGGTGATTGCGTGCTTCTTGCTTCTTCGAACAGCATGTTTTTCCTCGGAAAGAAGGTTTTCCCGAGTAAGGGAAGTAACAAAAGGCTTGCACCTATACAGTACTCGTCTTGGAGTATTCTGTTGGACCAATCAGGAAAGTTGATCCCCGCACCCCTCATAAAATTGGAGATCATGAAAGATAAATGTCCTCCCCCTGGATCAACCGTCAATCCTCATCTTGCACTTTGAATGAGATGGCTATTGGGTCCAAAGAGTGGCAGGTTGGCCAGGCACCAGGTACAGGGTGGCGAGTTGGCTCCCGGAGGTATTTGCGATCTGTTGTTGGCAGATGCTGATACTGTTCTTATCTGAGAAGCTAGGCTCTTCTTATATGTAAGAACATTCTTCATACTTGAGGCATAGTGTCTCTCACTTTGATATGTCCCAGGGCGTGGAATTCCTAAGCTGTGTTCAATTTATAAGCTTAGCTCAAGACCTTGTGATTGGCTCACAAGACCCACAGTCACATGCTGGGTAAGGGGGCACGTGATCGGGCTCGGCAGGAACGAGCTTGGCGTGCTTAACCCCGTCGCATCCCCCGGTGCATATACGATCGAGTGTACAGGTCACTGTCGCGATTGACACCGAAACCCAAAATTGGCAGCAATATGATCCCTTTGGATCCGGGGTGAAGATCTAACTAGGCGACCATGTCGGTCACAATTCCGCTCGAACCCCTCCGCGAAGACACGGCACATGCAAAGACAGGTGACCATTCCTCCTGTCACGCCGACGCGATTATCCAAGAGCTCGAGTCTCCCTCGCACTATTCTGAACGAAAAGCAGATCTTGATACGGAGACTGAACCCATAAATGCCGCATCGAACATGAACAGTGCGCGGAGCGACCGGACACCAGGTGCCGAAAAGCAACCTTCATCCGGCTTGCAATTCCTGGCCGAAGCTTGCGAGCATCCGCTTTTTCCACCTTTACCGTCCTATGGAGTCCCGTCTGGACTGGGAAGATTACGAGACTATGTTTTCATGGTGGCATCGTTTATTACCTCCTTCTGCTTCTTGACAGCTATCTTTGTCGGAGCATTGTTTCGTACAGGCGCAATCGCACTATCAGAAGCTCGCTTACGACTTAGCGGGCAGGATCCAGACACAACAAGAGCATTCTATACCGAAGAGCAAGCACGACGCAACGCACGGAAAGAGGCCGATCGAAGATGGCATTTACACAGACAGAAAAGGGACACGGATGAGGAACATGCCCCTGGACAATCTGTGTCGCTCGAAGGAGGAAAAGATCTTCTTGTCTGTGATGTAGCATACTATGCGCGTCGTGTAGGTCTTGATGTGGAGAAATTCCGCGTCCAGACCGAGGACGGCTTCATCATCGAGTTGTGGCACGTGTATGACCCTCAAGAATACCAGGCACTATCGGCAGAGGAGAGGCGTGAGCGTGGGCCAAATGTCTTTACCAAGCCCAAGATTTCGACTACTACTCGTCCCCAGACTAACCGGCGGTATCCTGTTCTTTTGATTCACGGGTTACTCCAGAGCGCTGGTGCGTTCTGTACGAATGATGAAGATAGTCTGGCATTTCATCTTTGCAAATCTGGGTATGATGTTTGGTTAGGCAATAATCGCTGTGGCGCGAATCCAGAGCACACAACACTTTCCACCGCCGATCCGCGAATGTGGTCCTGGGATATTCGACACCTCGGAACGCTGGATCTTGCAGCCCTTACTTCTCGTGTTATATACGAGACTGGATTTGAAAAGCTCGGCCTTGTCTGCCACTCCCAGGGGACCACTCAAACATTCGTCGCTCTGGCCAAGGAACAGCGTCCTGAGCTAGGCGATCGCATCTCAGTCTTTTGTGCTCTTGCTCCAGCTGTATATGCCGGTCCGCTCGTGCGTGGACCGTACTTTCGATTCATGAGTACTCTCTCTCCGGCCATGTTCCGATTCTTTTTTGGCATTCACTCCTTCATCCCCTTGATGATGACCGCACAACGGCTGCTACCTTCTAGAATATATGGCACTATGGCCTACTGGGTATTTTCATTCCTTTTCGACTGGTCAGACACGCGCTGGGAGCGTGATCTTCGCCACAGAATGTTTCATTTCGCCCCGGTATATGTCAGCGCCGAGTCAATGCGTTGGTGGCTTGGAAGTGAAAGCTTCGCCAAGCACAAATGCATCCTGTCCACGGACGAGGAACTCCTCCGCGAGACAGATCTTAATAACACCATGTGTAATGATCCTGTCTCTGAGCACGGCGATGATCCCGGAGATGCATGTTTGGGAACTCCAGCGCCTAGCCCTTGGTTTGGACCGCAAACACCTCCATTTGCATTCTGGATCGGTGGTTCAGATGCCCTTGTTGATGGTCGCCGGCTTCTAAATCGATTCCAGAGCGGCCGTGAGCCTCATGTCCGTCTCGTGCACTCCAAGGTCATTGATGAGTATGAGCATCTTGATGTTCTTTGGGCAATGGATGCCGTCGAGCAGATCGGTAATGAGGTTCGTCAAGTCATTTGGACGACGATGCCTGAGGATGCTCGACAGGTTTGTCGAGCCCCTCGGGGAGTCAATCTGAACCTGATAGACACAGAGTAGACGATCGGTCTGTCTCGACCGTAGTACATATAAATCATCGGTAGATATCAGTCATCACGAGCCAATGAATTCTAGACCAATTTTGGCAGGAAACGCAATAACATTACATTACCCTTCCACAAATTACAGCGGCATGCGGCTCAGCAAACAAATCCTTATTCCAACACTAGGTGCGTCAAATGCCCGGTAAACCTCCAAGGCTGTGGATTCCACTGATAGTGTGGTCCTGCACCTGTAAACAACGTGTTTCTGCGCCACACATAATCCATTCAAACAACGTGATTCTCTAACTACCGATACTGTCATTGTCAACTAGGGACTTTCAACGTTAAAGGATTGTAGTCTGGCAGTCTAATTTTTAGGCAAAGATTTTCATGACGACATGGTCATTCCGATTACCTGCTTTAGACAGATACTTCGCTCTGCTCTATATTTGCCTTTTGACTCATGGTCTTTGCCGTCCACGGGAAGTATTCTGTCACGCGACCAGGAGAATTGTCGCTAATTGACCACAAAAAGGAAAATGAACCTAGCAAACAACGTTTAACAAACTAAAATGTACGTTTTCTGAAGATGTGTACATTATAATGCCAGCAAACAACTGAGGTATATTGAAAAGTAAACAACCGTGTAAACAAAGACTTCGTGTTCTAGATACACTAGCAATTATTCAGTTGATATCAGTTTGTGAGGCAGTTGATATCAGTTTGTGAGGGTCACAAGTGAATGATTCAATGATTGACCAGCTCATAGTAAGTGACGTTTTCCAGTTGCCACTGGCGGGAGTCAAGATCTAAGCTTAGTCCCACATACCCCGCAAAACCCCAGATTTGCTGTGGAGCCGGGACTCCACCAAAACATTGAATTGTTCTCAAGGTCGTGTTGACTACATTCAAAGATATTGGGATATAATTATATACTTGATACTCCGGTAATACTGAGCTAGCACTGTTCCTGGAGTTTCAGGGGAGGCAGCCTATGGCAGAGACATCATGCTACTGTGGCATTTTGCGTTACGGTCTTGAGTAAACCCCAGTACATGTCTAGAATGCCCGTGTCGACATCTGTCCCAGTACTTTTGATCTATCTGCGATGCAGAACCTGACCAATTATCGTCTGTCAAGGCCACCCCAGACGGCCTCGACGCGCAATGTGGGGAGAGGGCTAGCTCGCGTAGATCGACTGGCACCCCCTATTGCCATCCACTGTCGTATGTGATGCTGTCATGATTGTCAGCGCTCGTCGCTTCTTGCCTGTCCAGAAGAGCTACCGAAGTTGGTCCTATACCTGGATTTCGATACCTTTCTTTGCATCCATGGAACCCAGCAGCAATCTAGATCATAACAACGACATTCAGTCCAGGCTAAACTAGACGAAGGGGGGGTGAAAACTGAAACTCTGGCGATTGTCTGACGCATCACAGTATTCTCTATTGGCTTGCCACCGTACAGGGATGTTCTTCATGTCACTATTCCTTCAGTCCAAACTGACTCCCAACCCCGCATTCTGTCAGATGATGTCTACCTATATAAGTCCTCCTAGACAGACTCCTTGGACTGTATTTTAGATGCTCCCCTGAAGAAACTCTCCTCTCTATCTATTTTCATCAAGTTCCATCATCACCTCAACCCTCCTGATCAGCCGCTCATCTCACAATACACATCCACCATGTCAGCACCAGTCGGCCCTATCCTGGCCCAGCTTCAGATGCTGCCTGCTCGCTCCAGGCAGGGTATCAACAACCTCCGGCAACGTCTCTTCCAGCAGGGTATGTTCCTCCATCCTGTCTTCCGACCGGCTCATCGCTTTCTCTCTTGATATCATAGTACTGACACAGAAAACAGGTGAGAAACCACCCAAGGAGAGTCACTTCCTTCGCACCTCGTTCAGCGTCCACCGTCCCGTGTGGGTTACTGCTGGTGGCGGTCTCTACACATCCATGGCTGCTGTGTATCTCACAATGCGATACCTGAGACGGGTCGCTCGGTAGATGATCAGAACATCACTACCTCCAGCGCTTGATACTGTCTCACTACCCACTTCCACATCTTTCCGCTTCAGATACATACCCTTTTCGCCTCGAGTCAACATGGACTCATGTCCACCAGCTGTGGAAGCCATGTAGACTTGGGCACCTCCCTTGTTAGGCTGTGCCTATCCTTTCTTTTGTTCGGTCGGTCATATTGTACGCCATAGAATGGCCACAGACCCGGTGTTTTTGGATTTAGGGCTACTGTACCCTCGTATGAATTTTACTACAATCATTTTTCATTTACTACTGTCGTAGAGAACTAGTACTCCGCGTAGCAGACATCTCTTCATTCATAATTTCCTTGAATTAGAATTTCACTGCATGTGATTTGTATCTTGATCATAATTACATCGCTTAGCCGATCGTGCCGCACAACAGCAGTGATGGCCAAGGACACGGTCATGATGACTAAATGGCATGATAGCCGGAGACCATAACCAACAAGTATGGAGGTCAGTCTGGACCGAAACATGACCCTGCCATCAGGGCAATAGGGATTGGCCATCATGCAATGCTCTGACCTGGTCTATCCAGGGGCGCGTAGGTGTACGAAAGCGACAGCGGCAAAGTATAAATGTGGCATTCCCAAGTAGCCCTGTATGAATGCCCAAAGGAAACTTCACAGGTGGTCAGTACTGTAGACAACTACAGTAACCACAGTGACAGATCCACTCGGCTGAAGAATCCACCAGGTTTCTCACATCTCCACTCCCATGGCCCAAAGGAATCAGGAGCACGCTCAGCCCTCCCTGTGGTGACAATCTAGGCTGTCATCTTGGAAGCGAGCCTATCATGTCTCGTTTCTTACTTGGCGTCACCGCAATTCACTGGCCTATGATATGACTACGACTAGATGGGTGCATGCGTTAGTTTGTGTTAAGGGGCTTGGCGACCCCGCGTTTTGTTGGTTGCGCTTTCTTATTAGGTGGACTGATGGCTGCATAGTCGTTTGTTCAATAATGATTTATGATGTGCAGTGTGCAATGGGGCCATAAATTAAGCAAGATGCTTGGTAATGCGACAAGGAACCCTTGAACCCATGGAAGAGGGTTATGGTTGTCTACCCGAGCTGAGTAATGCGGTGAATTTCCCTTCCCGTTTGGTGACATGGTGATTCCTGAGATTTATAAAGTTGAATATGAAGTGTGAGATTATTGTTTGTTTATCACACCAAATGCGGCGATGGAAAGACTACGGCCCTAAATGCGTGGCATGCTCTGGCAGGATCTCGATTGGACTTTGGTATATGCATCTCATTTGGTACTAAACGTCGACTTGTAGCCAAGGCAAGTATACGAATTATCTATAAAAGTCATGAGTATGTTTTATAAGACTTAACCCTGTTCATTTTACTTGGTTTACTTCTCTCAATCGACGCAATGTAGGTGCAATACGTCCTGTAACTTAAATGATGTTACCACCGCGCGCCTCCCCTAGAGGATGTAGAAAAGGTCCATTTGATTAAAGACTAGAATATTTCACTTCATATCGGAACTCAATTCCATCACCTTGTCTATAAAGATGGATCTCGTTGAAAATGATATGGTAGTCTTTAGGTCAACAAATTGGTCCTCTCCAGATATCATAACGGCTCGAATGTCTAGCTTCCATTTTGATCTAATTGGATAAATACTGCATATCCAAGACAGGCTGTTTGCCCTCGAGCGTTTCAAGGGTTGGGTAATGCGTTCGTCTGTAACAACTTAATCAAGCAGCCGTTCTAGTATTGCGGGGAATAACCCAAGCCGAAGTCTGTAATAGTCATAGACAACACAGTATCTAGAATGGATAAAGGGCAGAACTAGGTTCATTCATAGCAAATGTTTAATGTGATTATAAAGAGACCATGATGGAAATAGTGAATATTTGCAGACTGACAATTGGCACAAGAGCTGTTATAGCTCAATCAAAATAATGTGCGTCAGAGTAGATGATAAGAAAAAAATAAGCTACTGGTGGATTCTTCTATTCTATCTGCTTCCAAAGGGCACAGCTATTCACGTGCCTCTCCAACGGCCCTCCAGTATCCAAGTCACGTATTGTGGTAATTTTCAACGTGAGATCCCCCGCCGGAGCCCAATGGAGCATCCCCAAAGTCACGAGAACAAAGAACCCCAAACCCCAACTTTTCCCCGGAATCGCCAAGCTTTAGCCCAACTCCGGTGGAGCCCGGCAGTCGATTTCCTGGAGAATGGGAGTAAAATGCACCTAGGTTCCGATCCGAAACTAGCAGAAAGACAGAGAGGCCTGAGGACAGGGATCTTGCTGGCTATGAAGGTGTTTCACATTATCTTATATCAGGCCCACTCCCTCCTTTACTCGCCATTCGCAACTTCGGCCGCTTGCTCTTACTACTGGGAACATACCACGGCCCGGCGGGGCTGAACTGAACCCTTCGGTCTCCGGAATCATATGTTCGCCACACGTATACCCTCCTTCAAAAGCAAGACCGTATATTGAACTTCGGGACCATCCGATCAAGAACGAACCTCCGGCGGCGGAGTCCCGTCAGCCCTATGCAGACTTCACGCTTTATATAACCCACTTCCCCCGCAATACAAGAAAAATGGGTCCATGAAGCTTGAACCTCCGAACAGGTTGATCACTACTCCTTTCAAGCGTGCTGTGCATCGTGATACTCAGATCCATTCTCGTCTCCCTCACCAGCGACTATGACCACAGAAAAGATCGTCCCGACCGATCGGGAGCTGCATAATATCGAGCTGAATAATCCCGATGTTGTCGAGCTGACTCGTCAGGCCGAGGAGAGTGATGCCGCCGATCGTTTGCTGACGGTCCGACAGGCTCTGGGCAAGTACAAGAAAGCCGTGTTCTGGGCCATGTTTTTATCCACTAGTTTGATTATGGAGGGCTACGACTTGGTTATTGTGAGTCTTTCCCCGTTCTCCCAATAAGTCGTTTCTGACTGGATCACGCAGATCACGTCGTTTTACGGCCAGACACAATTTACAAATCGGTTCGGAGTCGCTGATCCCACCACTGGCATCAAATCTATCCCTGCATCCTGGCAATCCGGTCTCTCCAACTCGGCGGTCGTTGGCCAACTTGCCGGACTTGTCGCTAATGCATACACCCAAGATCGGTTTGGCTGTCGCCCGACTCTGATGTTTTTCATGTGCTGGATGATGGTCATGATCTTCATTCCTGTCTTTGCGCCCTCGCTGCCAGTTCTGGCCTTTGGAGAGGCAATGTGTGGTGTTTCATGGGGTGTGTTCCAGGTAAGCTAAACCGAGCAAACGATCAATGTCTCTCTCTCCGCCAGAATAGGTCGCTAACCATGGTATTTCGCAGACTCTGTCCACGACCTACGCATGCGAAGTTGTTCCTACCGTGCTTCGCCCATATGTCACTGCCTATGTCTGTATGTGCTGGGGAGCTGGTATTCTTCTTTCCTCTGGCGTGGTCCGAGCTGTCGCGGGTGTAGACGGTGATCTAGGATGGAGACTTCCTTTTGCGCTGCAGTGGATCTGGCCAGTCCCTCTATTCATTGGTGCATACTTCGCTCCCGAGTCTCCCTGGAATGCAGTCAGGCGAGGCAAATTGGATCTCGCAAGAAAGAGTCTGCTGCGGCTTCACCAGGACACGCCGGAGAAGGAGCGTGAGGTAGATGCTACTCTTGCTTATATCAGACATACTACCGAGCTGGAGAAGGCAGAGACTGCTAACGCGAGCTTTTTGGAATGTTTCAAGGGACAGAACTTGCGCCGCACTGAAATTGTCGGTTTTGCTTCCTCCTAACGAGTTTCATCACGTCGCTAACACTAAGTGTTTCAATAGAATTGTGTTGTATGGGCAGCTCAGATCCTTTGTGGAAATGCTCTTCTCGGATACTCCGTTGTTTTCCTCGAGGCAGCTGGGTTCTCTGAGCTCCAGGCCTTCGATGTCAACATTTCCCTTTCGGCCTGCTATATCATCGGCGGCATTATCTGTTGGCTTATCTTCCCTCATCTCGGTCGCGCCACCATCTACATGGGCGGCATGGCTTTCATGTTTGTGTGTCTCATGGTGATTGGAGGTCTTGGCTGGGTCGAATCCAAGTCTGCGCAAATGGCCATCGGAGTCTTACTGGTGATTTCGACTCTATGTAACATGATCACAGTGGGCCCGGCTTGTTATCCTATTGTTGCCGAAACACCCTCTGGCCGATTAAGATACAAGACGATTGTCATTGGCAGGTTTGTCTACAACCTGACTGGTATTGTCCACAATATCATCACGCCTCGCATGATTTCTGCGACCGGTACGTTCGAATCTAATTCAAAATGTTTCTTGGGGGCCGCTGGCTAACATGGCTTGTCATATTCTCAGCGTGGAATTGGGGCGCCAAGGCTGGAATCTTCTATGCTGGAACGAACCTCCTTTGTAACATCTGGTGTTGGTTCCGCCTCCCAGAAACCAAGGACCGTACCTTTGGTGAAATTGACTTGCTCTTTGAGAATCGGGTCCCAGCAAGGAAATTCAAGTCAACCAAAGTTGAGCGTAAGTTACTTATGTTATCCGTTTAACCCGTCAAGGCACTTAGCTAACGCAATTTGCTAGAATTCTCTCATCAAACGGACATGAAGATCAAGTCTGAATTGGCTGGAGGTCAGGCTGAACATGTAGAGACCTTCGCCTGACTTTGTGCTCATTTTGATCTGGGGTTGACTTCTGCTTTGTAATTATCTATTAAACGACCATCTTGAATACATACCAATTGGCGCTCGTTGTTCGCCCAACAGACCTAAAGATTTGTATGTTTATAAAAGGTCAGAAACTCACGAATTAGTATTTCATGGAAGGTCTTGGAAGATTAAGATTGGCTAGTGCCATATTGTACAGTTCTGATGAGGGGAGACAGAGAGATAGACAGAATGGAGAGAGTAGAAGAAGGGAGAGGGAGACACAAAGTAGGCCCTTTCGAACCTGAAACCAGAATTTGCGGACGGCAAATTTTCAAGCTCTCTTTGAACCCAGCAAGGACTACCGCAATAAAACAGACTGGACAGCATTTGCGAACAGCACCTTTGCATAGAGATAATGGAACCAGACAATGGGTTTCCAAATTGGCTGATCCTTCTGAGGGTTGCAATGGAAGCCTTGTAACTCGAGCTGCACCAGAGGCTGATTCTTCGTTGATAGTAGTCGAGTGATTTGGAAACGGTGACAACCCGAAAACTCAGACTCGTCTGATCCAAAGCCAAAGTCAACGCAGCTGGCAGGCGATTCTGACGATATCTGTGGTATTTGCTTGTCTAGGATTTTGAATGATCCGAAAAGACAGCTTCCCGTGGCAGGTATGGTGAGACTTGATAGCTGAGTTGATTTCCAAATCTGAACTGCGTTGGGATCATCGTTGAGCCCTGCCATGTTGATATCAGCAACAGATACAGACTATGCAGGAAATTGCTTACCGGTAAAACGTGCTGGCAATAGCTTCCAGCCCCCTATTCGTAGTGCAGTCCTCTCAAGTCCGAAGATGAATCCACCAAAAAACCCACGGGTGAATAGGGCTAGGATTTCTTCATCGTTCAATCCTGATACCACCGACTCGGGAAATACCTGGCTGACAGTATCTGTGCCCGTTCTATGATGCCGTGGATTCACTATCTGGAAGGACGACGACGTAAGAAACTCGGTCCGCACAGCTAGAGTATATTGAGAAAGGTGAAGTGATTGAAAGAAACAAGGACGGGGAAACCACCGAGACACCATGGTTGGGGCAGGTGTGGTGTGCAAAAGCCAGTCAACGAGCTGTGTTTTTTTTTCTGCTCAAAGGCAAGATCGCTAATGGGAATGGAAAGATGGAATTGAACCCAGGAAGTCGTGATAATGTCAGTTCTTAATACTCCAGGGCTCCCAGCTGGACATGAGTCAGATATGTTTGAATGCGATAATGTTCCGGAAGTGGACCCGGAGCGACCCGATAACTTCACGCTCGAAACAAGAAATCAGTCGTAAATTCCCCCTCAAAAGTTGAATCTACTCCATTGCATGAAGTTTGTTTATATAATCTAGCTTCCAGCTGTAGGCCGACCGAGTAGTTCCACTTGGCAGCTTGGCTCTTGCTACGGTCCGGGCCGCAGATTTGCTTTGATCATTGAATCGATTTCCGATCATTGACTTGCCCTTGTGAATGAGACTGTATAATTCATGACTGTTGTTTACTTATGTGGCTTCAAAAGAAACTGTTTGGGAGAAGACATACCAAGTCCGCTCGAACTCTGCTACAACAGCCCGATCATACTCGGAGATATGAAGTTCTTTCACATTGACGTCCAAAGATGAGGCTCACAGACAGACCGACAGCCTTGTCTAACAAAAAGGCCGGTTCGGACTTTTCGAATGTCCGTTAAGTTTTCCGATGAAACTTCAACGCAAGAAATGTTCACGTTACGTGGTCTTGTAAGGCTGAGTGGATCACGACAGCCTAGCGCATTGGGCCACAGAGTATATACTCCAGTTATTTCAAATGAAAGAGGGTCAGAAGCAGAAAACAAACTGAGGAGGTGTAGGGCTGGCTTTGACTCACAAAGTTGAACCTTAAGACTCTTCGTCCCGCGCGGAAAGGGTTCATACCGGGCCCTGACCCTCCACGCATCCCGTGTGGCGCTGTTTTACCTACCTTCGAGAGTATTACAACGTATGATGGCAGTGGCTGTAGAGTTACTGGTCATATTGCACTGCCTTTTGGGTTCGCCGTTTGGTTGTGGTATTTTTGGTCTCTGTTTATGCTAAGCAACGCTCCAAGCGAACAAAATGCAGCCACAAAGGTACTTCTTCTAATATTACTTGTGGATGTTGCATAACGCGTCGGCATTACATTTCCTCACATTTCGCTGGAATCCTGCAACAGAGCGACAAATCGCCCCGATGTAACCAGTTTGTTTAATGCATTATTTTCTCTGGCTTTGAAACGTCACTGGCTCGCTGCTAAGCCCATTTTTGGCTGCTACTAAATTTATCGCGCGGGGTTGCGGAGTATCGGCATGCAGAAACCATGTTGGTATCAGTAATTATCACGGCACATACCTCCTTACCTTATGCTCGAAACACTTCTACCCCTGTTAGATCCGCTTTTCTGGCAAATAAGAGCATGTTAAAAGGCATCTAGCCCCCCCCCCCCGAGGTAATTCTCTAGCAATCATCTCAGCCCGACTGGGCAAATCCTTCGCTTCGTCATAGGCACAGGCACAATACCGTAAAGTCACCTGCCCCTATATATAGATCTCGATCCTTACCAACTAGTATTTCTCTCCTCATGCGGAGATCCAGTGGAGACCAGGGATCTACCAGTCGTTGAGGACCGTCGAAGCCGGTTTCCACATGTCGAATAACCGATGGCTTTGGCCTTTATGCAGCGTGTATGGGTTTCTTGGCTGCCTTGGCTGCTAAAGCTTAGCCCGATCAAGGTTCCCCCACAGCTTCCAGATGTAAATACGTATCCCGTCTATACATTTCGGTGATCGTCGTGCCCATCTGATTGGTAGTGGCTGTTTTCTTTTGCGCAGCATAGACCTTGATCCCATGACGTTCTAAATAGGGATTCGAGTCAAAGCAGGTGAATGGCTTTAGCTGCATGAATGAAAGCCTTGCTCTTCTGCGGCCGTTCCTTGCGTGTACACGACATTGTGGATCCTGTTGTGCTCCGATGTACGTGCCCCTCATGTCTGATATTGGTATGCAGCTCGCTACTGCCACACTCTGGCCGTCTTCTGTGTGCCTTTCTCGCCAGGTAGATTTCTATGTCTCGGGTCGATGATGCCAGCGGAAGTTTTAGCGTTCTATCATCCTCAAGGTACAATGCGATTCTCGCTTGAGTGATGTATGGTGCTCAAGACACGCGTTCAACACAAGGTACGGTTGAAATTCTCCGATGGTGAATATTAACCTTGTCAAGTGGAATTAATATCCAACACGGCAGACGACACTGCAAGCCTTTCGGTGAGGGGTGACTGGTGAAGAACGGTCTTTCCCCGATTCATAACTTCTTCCGTGTTTATCCCTTCTCCCCTCTCCGCACTATACCCCCTGGCTATATTGCAGCCAGTTAGCATCGAATGTCAGAAAACTGATATTATGTGCCTTACCTCGTTAGGGATCACCATGAGGGGAAGCAATATCTCCACCATGAGACCGTTGGAGAAGACCTGTGGGGTGGGATGGAAGTACTGATGCAACATGAGAAAAATTCAAGATAGCTCTTATTGGTAGCCAGCAGTTTGGAGTAGACATAAAAGGCTGATGGAGCGCTGCTGTAAATGTAGATCAGTCTGTTCCTACACTCTTCTCAATCTCTGCAAAGTCTTGAGTCCAAGGCCGTGGAAATGAAGATTCCTATCCTCGCCACCCTCATCCATGCGCTGCCCCTCGTGCAGGCTGCCCCAGCCCGAAGGGATAGCACTTCCAACCCCGGCCTTCGGGGAAGCGAATCGCTAGTCGGATATTCATCATCGGAACCCTCGGCCAGTAAATCACCGCCTGACATCACATATTCGCTGCTTCCCGGACAGACGGAAGACCCTAAAATTGGATCCTATCTCGATTTTCAGAATGTCGACAACCCGCAGCCGATTCGTGGTTCGACTGGTGGAGATGACCCGGGCCCGAGTATGTTTGCGTCAACCTTTTTTTCCATTTCAAGCCGGGAGGGAGGTGCTGACTCGCGATGATTGACAGGAAATTATAATTACGACCGCATTAATAGCGATAAGCTGGCACCGCCGGGGACAGACCATGGGCAGACTATCAATGCTCAATGGCCAATGGGTAAGGATGCTTTGCGCCATTGCATATGTATAACGTGCTAATTATGCGACAGGACTGAGTCATAACAGGTAATTGATTTTGTGAAATATGCAGGTCTTTTCTATACTAATATTTCCCAAGACTCGGAATTGAGGGCGCAGGATGGGCTCGCCAGGAAAACACCGTTGTCATGCCTGACGCCAAATTGATGGCAGGCGTTGATATGAGACTTGAGCCTGCTGCATATCGTGAGCTTCATTGGCATGTGGCATCGGAATGGTCTTTGGTCTTGAATGGATCATGCAGAATTCAGGTATTGGATCAATGTTCAATCGGACTACCTGAGCATCATTGACCCCTTTAGGCCATCAACGAGAACGGAGAGACATTTATTGATGACTTGAATGCTGGAGATGTCTGGTTCTTCCCCCCGTGAGTTTTCCGATGGTCATTTAACATCAATTGTGCTGATAGTTTGGACTAGTGGTATTCCACACTCCATTCAAGCATTGGATGACGGAGTGGAATTCCTCCTCGTTTTCGATGACGGAGACTTCAGCGAAGACAACACTTTCCTTGCCACCGAGGTTTTCCTTCACACTCCGGTAAGACCAAATCATTTTGATTATGGCATAAAAATTTAAATACTGATTCAATGTGCAGAAAGAGGTGCTCGCCAAGAATCTTGGACTGACCACGTCGGCATTCGACAACATCCCCGATGATGAACTTTACATTTTCAAGGGAACGCCAGCACCCGCAAACATTGAGGAACAAACTGTGACAACATCTGCTGGAGTAGTTCCTCGCACTCAGAGCTACTCTTATCACTTCTCAGAGCAAGAGGCTCATGTCGTCGCTGGCGGGTCTGTGAAGATCGTCGACCCAATCAGTTTCCCTATTGCTAGCAACTTCTCCGCTGCTGTCGTCACCGTTCACCCAGGTGGTATGCGTGAAATTCATTGGCATCCAACTAGCGATGAATGGACATTCTTCATCTCCGGTCAAGGCCGAGCCACTCTCTTTACGGCTCCGAATGCCGCGACTACTTTTGATTACAGCGCTGGAGATGTCGGATACTTCCCCAAGTCGAACAGCCATTATATTGAAAACACTGGAGATGAAGATCTAGTTTTCGTGGAGGTTCTTCAAGCCCCTGAGTTTACTGGTATGTTTTCCTATTGTTATTGCGTGAACTCATAATGACAAGTTTTAGATATGGCTCTTGGTCAATGGATCGCCTCAACACCAAAGCAGATCGTTGCAGACACTCTAAATCTCAGCAACGACACACTGAGCAAGCTCAAGAAAGAGAAGCAGTATGTTGTGGCTGGAAACACTTCTTCATAAACATACGTACATAGGTCACCTTAACATGCATCTTACATTGTCCAGCTGGGGCCACCGATAGCTTAATGCCACCAAAGCGATAGAAATCAACGTACATTACAACGGATGTTCATGAATCCTTCTAACAGCTGCACTATACCTTATAAGGCGGCGGTAAATCGCGATCATTGTCGGACTCATCTTCGCTGTCAATACTGACGTCGGAATCCACAAAGTAAGCAGGAGGGTGGTCAGCACCTCTATGCACAGCCTTAGAGTCCAACTGAGGAACCGTGGGCATAGGAGCGGGAACTGAAACAGGAACAAAATTCTATAAAAAGAGTCAGCCTACATTCATATTCCAAAATCCCCATTCGCCCACTTACTTCTGCCCCTGCAGCATCCATCTTGATAGCCACTGGTTCACAGTCCCCAATCTTCCCAACAAGCACGCCTTTCTTCCAAACGCCATATTTGAGAATCATTCCTTTGAAATCAGACCGAGATACAACACACTCGGTCACATCACAGTCTGTCAAGCTAGCCCTGTCAATGTGGCTTTTCAAGATTGTTGTTCCAGTGATAGTGCAGCGCTTTAAAATATTTTCATCCATGATGACTGCCTTTTTAAATGTCGATCGCTTTGCCGAAATCCGGCCGTTGAAGATGCTATCTGTGATCACGCTGCGCTTCAAAAGCGCCACATCTTGAAAGGTGGAGTTTTTGGCTGAAGATCGCGACGCATATTCCACATTCGATAAAACGCAGTCATTCATAGAACATCGCTTGATTGATGAGTTTCTAATGTTGCAGCTTTGTAGACTGCTGCGCATGACGCTATTGCCGTCGCCGCTAAGGGTGCTGCTACTCGCTTCTGATACGTTCATGGCTGGACCTTTTCAGGGTTGGTTTTCTCTGTCGAAGGTTGAAGTGATAACAAATTACAACATTCTGCTGTGTAATTACTGCAGTGGTGAATGTTGGGTGAGACAGAAATTCAAGCTTATTTTGAAGGGCAAATGCTTCTTTATGAGATGTTGCGGGGGTGGGGGCGATACGGGCTCATATCTCCGGAATGCTGTTGCCTATGCCGTCTAGACGAATCAGTTCAGAAGATCAAAGTCCTTTGAGATTTAAGCTGTATTAAGATAAAGTAGCCTGTTCTAATTTAATGTACAAAAAGGCATCACAAGTCTTAAAGCGAAGCCTTGATAGTTCCACAGTTTCCGTTGGAGAGCTGAGTAGCGCTGGAACCAGAAATGAGATTGGCCGTTCCATAGGTGGAAGTGGTCGAGCAAACAGTGGTTGCGATCTTGTAGCAGTATTTCACGGTGCCACTGGCCCAGTAGTAAGACATGGCGCAGTTCGCGGTCTCAATGCAGCTAACACAGCAGTCGTAGGGACTAGCAGTGTTGCCAACACTGAGAGATTCACCGGTGACATGAGTGAAAGTGAGAGAGGAGATGTAGTATCCAGCATAGGCGCCGAAGTCGGAAGAGAGAGGGCTACCGGCGATGTTGTTGGTAGCACATGCGGCATAGGCAGCAGTAGTAGTCACACCAGCAAGGATGGAGGTGGTGGCAGTGACGGTATCAGTCTCGGCAGCAGCGGTGGTTGTTTCGGTGATGGTGGAGGTGGTGCTGTAGCTCAAGGTGGTGGAGACATCTGAAGGGAGTACCACTGAGTTACTGGTGATAGTGTTGGTCACAGTGACAGTGGTAGAAGGAGTGGCTGCGGTGACAGTAGCAGGGGCTTCCGTGACAGTCGAAAGTGTGGTCGTCTTGATGACTCTCTTCTCGTGGCAGACAACATTCTGGGGATACTCGTAATCATCGAGCCATGGAGAGCATTGCTCCTCCTCCTGTTGCTCCAAGGTGCGCTTGTATACAGTAGGAGCAGCCATAGTATCCACGATAGGAGTGAAGCCGGCTGAGGTGGCAATAGTCGAGGTGACAGTGCTGGTAGAAGAGGCGGTGCTAAAGACAGTCGAAGTGATAGGAGCAGGCGTCAAAGTGACAGTTGCGGTATCATACTCAGTCGAGGTAGTCGAGAACGTATCAGTGATGGCATTGGCAGTGGAAGTCAATGTTGTGGTTTCATAGTCGGTGATGATCTCGGTTGACACCGCAGGAGTCACGGTGAGGGTCTCCTGGGTGGTTGTGAAGATCACAACCGGAGAAGGATCATGATAGGTACGAGTGATTGTAGTTGTAGGAACCGCCTTCACCGAGCTAGTACCTAGATGTGTCTGGCAGTCGGCTGTGTGCACATGGACTTGACTGCTGGCCAGCTGGGAGCTGGCGACAGAGCTGGTGGCCGAGACCTGACCGAGCAACAGACCAGCAGCGAAGACGAAACGATTGAACGACATAATGAATTAAAGAACGGTATTATTTGGGGGGGAAGAGACCATCTCGCCGGGGGGAAGTGTTATATAGTTCTGTTTTTAGGGCTCGGCGGAGCTAATCGGCTAATAACACCCCGGGCGCATTCAAGACACAAAGCACACACGCCAAAGCCCCATCGGGCGTTCAATAGCGCAGATTAAAACCAGGAACGAGATCTTTTTCGTTTTCTATCGTCACTTTAGTCCTAGCTAGGTGTCGGAGTTGTCCGTACACGACAATCGGGCGATCATAAGCGAGTCAGCGTTCGAAGATTTATACAGCAGCCGATGTCTGGATTTAATTCTCATCTGAGCAACATTCATTCTTTGCGTCTGCTTGATCGCTGTGTTCCTTTTTTGCTCTTTGCAGCATTGTCATTCCTTTTCAGTCACTCTTTTATACTAATTGACCTCTATCAAAATGGGTCATTTGCTCCTTCGAGGATGGATCCTCGCCGCATTCCTTTTGCAATCGAGCCTTGCTGCTCCGTCCGAGTCAGCATCTGTGACTCCTAGTCCAATTGCTACGGTGACACCTACTCATCATCGCCAACACCACTGGACTCATCCATCACGGCCCTTGCCGAGCCGCAAGCCATGCAGCGCTCGTCCTTCATCGTCCCCATCTTCATCAGCCATTCCGGTTTCAAGTGTGGTACCCTCAAGTGTGGTACCCTATTCAGTGTCAGCCATCAGCTCTGTTCCTAATGCCTCTTCCACTCCTTATGTGAGGCCATCCCCCAGTCACTCGCCACACTGGACCTATAGCCGCAGACCTCTGCCGCATCGCAGCCCATGCTCTTCTTCTGCCGGAGCTATCTCAACTTCTTCAAGCCTTGTCTCCACTCCTATTTCTCCAGCCTCCACTGCTCCTACTGTAGTCATCTCTTCTAGCGCATCGCAATCCAGTGTGTTGTCTGCCACTCAACAGGTCTCTTCCTCCCAGGGTTCTTCTTCGCAAGTCAGCCTCTCTGGATCCTCATCTGCTTCTACAACAGTTATTGTTGGTGTTTCTACATCTGCGCCAACTCTGTCTCAGTCGGGCTCTTCTCTGGCAGGCACTACTGGATCTGGATCTTCCACGGTGCAATTGACTACATCGACGGTTCTCTCTACTCGCACAGCCACTATCACCGCATGCCCCTCTACAGTGGTCAACTGCCCTGCTAGCTCAAAGACAACCTTTGTCACCACAGAGACAATCGTTGTCTCCACCACAATCTGCCCTGTCACTGCGGCCGAGGGCAGCAGTGCTACTCAGACTGTGCCTTCTTCTCCTTCTGCCACTGGAAACACTGGAAGCGCTGGCTCCGTCACCAACGGTTCCGGCAACAATGGCTCGGACATGACTACCTCCACAGTCTACAGCACTCGCACTGCCACCATCACTGCATGCCCCTTGTCGGTGACCAACTGCCCATTGAGATCCAAGACAACGTATCTGACCACCGAGACTTTGGTCGTTTCCACGACTGTCTGCCCGGTGGCAGATGCCACTGCAACCGCCACCGCTGGTGCCGTCGCTACTCAGAGTGCCACCTCGCCGGTCGTTACTCAGATTGTTGGAGGCAATGGTAACCTTGGTTCCCAGCTCACCACTTCCACCGTCTATGTTACCCGTACAGCTACCATTCTTGCCTGCCCTGAATCTGTGACCGACTGCCCCTTGAGATCCAAGACCACCTCTGTCACTGTTCAGACCGTGGCTGTTGCGACTACCGTCTACCCTGTGTCTCCCGAGTACACTACCATTATTGTCGGAGGCGCTGAGGCTGTAGCTGCTACCGCCACCGTTGCCAATTCCCAGGCTAAAGAGACTGGGGCCTCAGCCCAGGGTGCTACTAGTGGATCTGAATCTGGCGCTACCGGTGCGACAAAGTCTGGGGGTTCAATCTCTGGCTCTGGCGAAACCTCAAACGCAGGAACCACATACACCACCACTCTCGCCGTTGAGTCCTGCTCCGATGATGGTACATGCACAGGCTATGTCAACACCATTGTGATGACCCAGACAGGTGTTGCTCAAGCTACTGGAAACCCGGCTCCTTACGTTCCTCACTTTACCGCCGGTTCTCTAGGCCACCCCAGTGCCTCTGCCTCTGCCTTTGCTTCTGCCTCCGCTTCGGCTTCCTCGGCTCCTGCGTGGGCTCAGGGCACATCCCCTAGTGGAATGACCACAGCCGCTGCTTCTACCTCCAGCAGCGCCGTGGGCGCCACTTACACTGGTGCTGCCTCCGTTGCTAGCCAGTTCTCAATGATTCAGGTAATTGTTACATTGGCTGTGATGCTGGTGGCAATGCTTGGCTAAGGAACGACGAGCCGCTTTTAATGTTGACATCTAATTTTTCACTTCTATATATGCCTTTTTTTTACGTCCAATTAAGGACTCTTTGGAAGAGATAAGATAGATATTTATGTACAGATAGCTAGAACAACTTTCATCAACCATTCATAATCATAATCTTCACAGTATTTCACTTTCAATGTCTAGGCTAGAGGTTCGTTTCGCTTTCTATCCATTCGCGTCAACTACTTCTTTCGTTGGCTCCACGTGGAGGAATCAGCCTTTGAAATCCAATCTCTAAATCATCAACGCCGTTCCTATGTGATGGTATGTCCAGCAGTCACACGGCCAATTCTCATTCTCAGGCATTGGCGATGGATCATAACAGCGATCAATATGGAGCTCAATGCCATATTCTCGAAACTGTTCAATATCATAGTTCCAGCCACGGTGTCTCATAGTCTCCCAGTCATCGAATTGTTCAGGGTGATAGTATGTCTCATACTTGATAGTGCGCAAATTTGGGGGCTGTCCGTTCTTCAACATTCCAATCAACACATCTGTCCAGAGGCCATCGCTTTCAAAGTCTTTCACAATAAGATTCTCTAAAGTACCAGGAAGACGTCTCCCAGTCCAGTCATTGTCCGTATTCAACTCATCCCGTTGGAATGTATCTGCAGGGACTATCAGGTGTTTCAGATGCTCCAGACTGGAAAAGTCGGAATCCGATTCGGCTTCAGAAACATCGAGATCGAGGTACTCCAGAGTCTCCGCCGTGGTCTTTGCCAAAGCTTGAATATAAGACTCTGTAAACCGATGCTGATAAAGCCCATACGGCCAAGGAAACTCCGCATCCAAGCCCTTCAAGGTGAAGCTTTTGAGGCCATCAAGACCCGTGAGAATCTCCTCGAGGATCTCCGATGAAATATCGCAATTGAGTAGAGTCAGCTTTTTGAGGCTTGCTCTATTTGGAGCCACTCGTGCAGCGAACACTTTCGGATGTAAACGCCCAAATTTGGCTCCTTGAATGCAGAGAATTTCGAGATTTTCTATGTAAAATACTATTTCATTTGGACCCAAGGACCACCAGTCTTTGAATTTGCCCTTGAATGCTGCTCCGAGATATACTGAGATAGATCAGTAGACTAACTCGAATACATCTGAACATAAAATAAGACTCACGGGAGCGTAAATTCTGTCCAGCCAATCTGGGTCTCAACTCGTCAATTTTGATTCTCGGTGCAAAGATACCCATGAGTCGATTGCTTTGTTCTTCAAAGATACCCTTCAGAGGCAAGCTTCTCAGGCTCAGGCTTTCGATGTTTTCTAGCTCCCACAAAGTGTCAATGAGTGGTTCGTGGACTTCGTCCGTCTCTTCATCGTGGTAGTGGATCTGTAGCTCCCGCACAAGCGAAGAGAGTGTAGGGCTGCTTTGCACAGTGTTTGCAAACTTTTCACCGCAGCTCGGGTCTCGCAAGCATATTGAGGAATATAATAATGGAATGATGATGCTATGAAACCTGTGACATGTCTGTGCAAGCGATCGAAGGGAGCCTGGAAACCGTCGAAGATTATGGAATATAAAGTTAAGTAGCTCAGTGGGGAGGATCTGAAAGAGAGAATTGGCATTCATTCTGATTCATGCGACTGACACCTGTATTCAGAGTAGTCCTGTCTAACAGACAGATCTTTGAGATTACTCATTTCGAAGGCTGACACCAGGCAAGACAACGTGGGGTCGCTGTGGATTGGGCTAGTGTATTAGGGGCCAATCATAGACCAAGAACTCAACATGCGAGTTATTTCCAAGTGCAGTATGATGCGTGCATTTGAAAATGAGCAAAGAAGAGAGAATGAAAGGTACCAAAATAAGTCAAAGAGCCCCAAGGGCACAGTTGTTTTGAGTAGAACATGAACAAGTATTTATCAATGGCACTGTATACGGACTAGTTACCCCTAATATAGTACCATTGCAAGAAATGATAACTACTTACAAAGAAGTATTAGTTATATCAAGCTTTGGAAAGTAGGTATGCAGAAGAGTTTGGCAGATCACTGCCCAATATTATATTTCTATCAGAAGAACGTAAGAAGAACACGGGCTGTTTCCCGAAAAAGAATGTACATCTTCGTCAGCTAAGCTGTCAACTGATCACTCTGGAAATTCAGTCTTTGACAAGATGAATTACTCAATGTCAGAGCATCCGAGAGCGACAGTACCACCCTATGGATATGTTAATACGGCTTCTACAAAATCTTCGCTAACAGTAGAGACATCACTTACTAAGAGGTTGGCCTCAGTGCAGCACTGGGGAGCGGTGTCACACTTGTCAGCCTCATAGGCGTGACCTGCCAAATGTTAGATCGATTGAGCGTCAAGTGAGACTGGGAGTTAGACTTACAAAGGAGACCAACGGATCCAACAATCTCGGCAGCATTGACACCAAGCTCCAAGAGGATGGGATCCACGATGGGGTCGAGAGGGGTGGCCAGAGTGCCACAGCAAAGAATAGGCTGGATGCACTCGGCGTCGCGCTGCATCAAACCACCAGCCTGGGGCATGGCGGAGACCATGGTGGCACCGACGAGGGAGAGGACGGAGAGGACGGAGAATTGCATCTTGATGGATGGATTGGGTGGTCTTTTTTGTAGAAGAAAGAGGATGTTCTTTGAGAAGTCTTGAGAGCTGTAGTTGTGAATGATATCGATCTCCACGGAATGGGATCCTTATATAGATTTTGTAACCGTATACCTAGGGCATCAATTGCTTCCGAACTTCTCCTATTCCTCTAGATTGAGTACCATCGTCGTCCTTGGAACATCCGATTGTGAGCTGTAGACAATGGACTCTCCGAGTCATTGGCTTGGAGGATCTGCAAAAACTCTAGATAACAGTTCATGACCATTGAGGTGACCTGAGAGGCTGAGGCCACGAACCGAGGCACCGGCATACAGGAACAGTAGCCCTCGATTCCCGAAAGGTAGACCGGTACCATAGATTAAGTTCACGATGTATAAGAATCCGCTAACTCTACGCGAACGTCTTGGCTGTCGATCTTTCTTGGCTAATTAATTGCCATGGAACTGCCGATGTGACTGGTTCCAAGTTCATGCAGGTGCAATATAGCTAGCAGGTCTCCAGTTGTTCCATAACCTCTGTTCTCCGGAAAGTCTTATCAGTGGATCCGAATATCGAGATGATCTGCGTCGGCTTAGTTTCATTGTGTCGATCCGACGTAAGGTACGGAGGACCAGTGCACGATCCTTTCTCTTATAAGCAAAGCTCGTTGATGGTACTCCGTAGAAGAGAACAAGCAAATATGAACCGCCGTGAACCCAAGTCACATAATTTGTCATGGGGCGACGGTTGGAACCGATGCCGAAAACGAGCCGGAGATAAGCCTGGGGTCTTTGATTGAACGCCAACGAAGAATTGGAAGTCCCACAGCCTTGGTGGCACTCGTTCTGCTGGGGTCGATCGTGATGCCTGTACTCCATAGTCCGTAGCCCGTTCCGTACAAGCGAGGCTCCATGTTCTTGGCCTCTTGGCTTTCCCTTCCTTGTCGCCATGCAGATAAGGGCAGAAGCAGTTATGTGAACAGGTTGGAAATCCCAGCCAACTTCTTTCTGACCATTTTTGAGTCGATCATGTCTTGGACAATCCTTGGGATCAATAATTGACAATGTGGCCGTGACAATATGGCCGGTGAGAGGATAAGGTTCTGCGTAGATGCAAGCCCAGACATTCCCCAGAGGAAAAGAGGGAGAAAATCGTTCAGGGCTTGCCAGCACATGATCTCATGGTAGTCCCTAAATGAACAGGGACATAAATCACCTTGGCCTGCTTCGCAGAGGGAAGAGTAAGCCCCGAGTCCTGCGTCGAGAGAACCGGCAGGATGTGGCGGTGCTGTGGCGCTCAGCGGGCACACCGCCACAGCCTCGCGACACAAAAAACTTCCGTCGATTATCTCCACACTGGCAGTTCGACCAACCCTTCTCCCCTTTTTGATTTTTTGAAGTATTGGCCCAGCGCATAATACTCGAACATCATCAAAATGGCTCCCATCTCTATTGCCGACCTGGTGGCCGCCCTCCCTGCGGAGGACTGCTGGGGCCCCTCCACCGGCGCCGACAACATGTTGGCTGGCGTCCCTTACGCTCCTTTCTCCAAGGGTGACAAGCTCGGCCGTATGGCTGACTGGACTGCCGAGTCCAAGGACCGTCAGAACCAGCGTCCTCAATACAACCGCGGTTTCAGAGGTATGTTGTTTGATGGCTTCTTCTTCGCCCCTCCACCGTGGTTGAATATCAGCTAACTCTGTGAATAGACCAGCAGACCTACGGTGCCGGTGCCACCAACCTGTTCAGCGTTGCTACCGCCGAGGATGAGTCCTCCTTCTCCGTCGTTGACAACACTCGCACCCAGAAGCGCACTTTCGGTCGTGGCGGTGGCACTGTTTTCCGTGGCCGTGGTGGCCAGCGTGGTGCTATGAACCAGCGCGGTGGACGCGGTGGTTTCCAGCGTGTTGGTGCTGGTGGCCGTGGTGGCCAGCAGGGTGGTTACTACGACCAGCGCGGCGGCCGTGGTGGCCGTGGTGGCCGTCGTTTCGGCTGGAGAGATTACGACAAGCCCCAGCGCATTCGTGAACCCTCCGTCAACATCCGTCCCGACTGGACCATGCTTGAGGAGGTCGACTTCAGCCGTCTATCCAAGCTGAACCTCGATGCCCCCGAGGGCGAAGACCTCGACTCTTACGGTTTCCTGCACTACTACGACAAGTCTTACGACAGAGCCCCCGTCAAGAACGCCGAGCGCAGAATCCAGTCCCTCGACCGTGCCGCCTACAATGTCACCACCTCCCAGGATCCCGTCATCAACGAGCTGGCCGAGAAGAACGCCGCTACCGTCTTCGCTACCTCCGATATCCTGTCCATGCTGATGTGCGCCACCCGCAGTGTCTACTCGTGGGATATCGTCATTGTCCACCAGGGCGACAAGATCTTCTTCGATAAGCGCGACGGCGCCTCCTTCGATCTTGTCAGCGTCAACGAGAACGCCGTCGACGCCCCTCTCGAGGTCGCCGAGGCCGCCGGCAAGCAGGAGCAGATCAACACTCCCGGTGCCCTGGCCATGGAAGCCACCATCATCAACCACAACTTCGCTTTGCAGACCTTGACCGAGTCCGAGTCCAACAAGGTCTCCTTCGCCAAGCCCAACCCCTTCTATGACGAGGCCGAGGAAACCGAACCCCTCGCCTCAAAGGGTTACAAGTACCGCCGCTTCGACATCTCCCTGGAGCGCGACGAGGAGCCCGTCTCCATGGTCGTCCGTACCGAGGTCGACGCCGTCATGAAGGGTGGCCCCACTGGTACCGAGGACCAGCAGCTGACCATCAAGGCCCTGAACGAGTTCGACCCCAAGGCCCAGGGGTCCGGCGGTGCCCTGGACTGGCGCAGCAAGCTGGTCTCGCAGCGCGGTGCCGTCCTCGCTACCGAGATGAAGAACAACTCTTCCAAGCTCGCCCGCTGGACCACCCAGGCTATCCTGGCCAAGGCCGACGGCATGAAGCTTGGTTTCGTTTCTCGTGTCAACCCCCGCTCCGCCACCTCCCACGTTGTCCTGGGCGTTGTCGGCTACAAGCCTAAGGAGTTCGCTACCCAGATGAACTTGAACCTCGGCAACGGTTGGGGTATCGTCCGTACTATTGTTGACCGTATCCGCGCTCTCGACGCCGATGAGCCCGCCGATAAGGTTAAGAAGTACGTTCTTATCAAGGACCCCAACAAGTCCGTTCTGCGTCTCTACAGCGTCCCTGCCACCACCTTCGAGGAGGATGATGAGCTTGAGGCTGAGGTTGAGAAGTCTGACGAGAAGTCTGATGATGAGTAAACTTTTGAATGACTTATGTTGTTGAATGTGCATACGTACTCTTCCTAAAATTTGATTTTTTTTTATCTGCTTCGCTATACATGTTGCATCTTCGTTCGATAGAATGAGAATTAATCACTCTGATTACATCCATGGATATTCCACACTACTTCCAGCCCATCACCCTCACATAACCCGATTTAGAGATCCAAATAGAAAGACTAAATGAGCATTTCCCGCTGTTCCACAGCCAGACACGGCATCAGGTCGAAAGCCAAAGGTCAGTCTCGACGTGACAACATGCAATGCAATTGGACCTTGCACAACCCAGGTCCAAGTCCTTCCAAACCAACCGATCGAGATGATAACTCAAAGTAATCAATCGCGAATTAGGAAACAAGAGGCAGAACACATGTGCCCTGCTAGGCCGCAACCGATATATAACATGGAAGCTCTCGACTACTTTAGGCAATGTGAACAGAGTGATCAGACCTGTTGTATGACCATCTTCCATGAACTCGGGTTCTACAATAGAGTTTGTATACTACATTCTGTACTCTGTACACCGGTACTTAACCCCTGCTTCTAGTTTTCTCGGACCTTCCATACTAAGTTAGTCGTTCTTGGTTATTGTTATTTGTTATACGTGTCGCGGGAGTTGAGGCAATTATGGAGACTAAGGAGTAGATGCTGATATCAACTATCATTGGTAGCCACCACGGTGCCCATTCAAGAGAATATATCAGATCTGAGAGCCGAAGACAAATCAAAGAACAAATAAAAACATTCTCGAGAGTCAAGTAATACAATTGCATACGGCAATTTGGTTTTATATACAACCCGGTTAATGAGTGGGTGTCGAAGAGAAGAAAAAGAATGGTAGGAAATAAAGAGTTAAAAAGACAGATGAAATAAAGGAGAGAAGATAATTCACACACACGATAACAACCACAGCCAGAAGTGAAACCAGGTTAGGTCATATTGAAGCCAGACCAAATTGCAAATTAGCTCCAGGACACTCCATAAGAAAGCAGAATCTCAATTTTCAGACATTATATCGTAATCGTTTTTTTCCCGTTGCTTTAATCGCCGCTTAGCCATACATCGAATCATCGGCTGTGCCAGACATGCCGAGGTCGACCTTGGTGCCGAGAACACTGCTCAGACAATCGATCAACTCAAAGTCCTCGACAACCGCGCCGAAGCCGTAGCAGCGGACTTTGGTATTGAGGGTATCAATGATGATCTTGACGTCTTCGCGACGTAGGGTAGTGTACAACTCGTGGTTCTTGAGGCACTGCAGGGCCATAATGGGTGTGATTTGGCCTTCGGTGACGAGCTGGCGACTGAGGTTGAGAAGCGTGCTTAGGTTGGCGTGCGGGAGGTCGGGGGCTTTATGTGGGTATGGTGTTTCTGCTGTTGTTTTGGCGATGTAGCTGGGTGGTGGGCACGTTGCCATCAGGGCGTGACCTGAGAAAGGCATGTCCTCGTCGTCCGCTTCAGTTACTGAGCGGCGACAGAGATAGTCCGTGTGTTCGCGGCAGGGTCCTTCCAGACTGTCATGGGGTGATTAGTTTCTCTGGTTTAGGAGCTGGACTGGCGACTTACGTGAGAATAAAGTCAACCTGTAACTGAGGATCACTTTCAAAGACACCGCTTATCCGAGGCATGGGTGCCGGCTGGAGGGAATCGACTGGTCCACCTGAAGACTTATTCATGCCCATAGAATGCTCGCCTGGACTGGTCTGGTACACTTGCTGTTGAGGTACGTAGCCAATTGGAGGCGAGATTTCCGGGTGGGAGTGGTCGCCGGTAATGTGGAGCGGACTCATACCAGAGGATGAAATTGTGGTGGCAGGTGTCGTGTTGTGGTTGCTGGCCGACTGAGGGAAACCTGTAGTCTGCGATGCGGATGCAGTGCTGCTGCCACCAACAGGACTAGATTGGTAACCGACCATCGGAGGCCGCTCCGCTCGACGACGCTCTAGATCGGCTTCATATTGAATTCCATGTGCTGCTAGAATCTCTCGCAAGATCTCGTTCTCCTCCCGGACTGCATGAGTGATCTCCCGTTGCTGCTGGGCTGTCGCATTCGCCTCGGCGATCTCGGTTGTGTATGCCTCCTTTAACCGCAGCACTTCCGTCTCCAAATTCCGCATGTATTGCTCCTTTCGTTCGCGATGCGTCCTATGGCCATCAGTCCTGGTCCGTACCATGCGATCCGGGGTATGTACCTCTGAGCCTGACGATTCAGCTCCTGTCGTCTGGTCAATGCAGGCTTGCTGTCCGGTTTGGGTCCACGACGTTTGGGGATTTGTCCATCTGGAAAAATGAGCGGGGTTCGTTGTGCGAAACAGAGGGCAATCACTCACCTCGGGTTGGTTTCTTGGGTGGCTGCTGTTGTCCTCCTCCTCCGAACATTTTGAACAACTCGGTCCCGAACCCTTTAGATGATGGGGTAGACGGCTCTTCTGTAATCCATTGCGCCGTGCACTCCGGGGGCCAAGGGCCGGGCCGGGAAATGCATTGGCGCAACAATGTCAGCACAAGATCTTCGAGAATCAACTGAAATGAGGTTCTGGTGAAGGCTCGGGCCAGCGGTCGGAAAGCCACGATCCAAACTCTATAGCTCCGGTGGCGAGAATCGGGAACCCCGTTGTGCTCGACTCTGGGGTCCCCGGCTCTGTCAGAGTCACCAGCCTACACCCGAATCGAGGACTCTGGGGGCAATTGCGATTGTCTGCTCCGCCGCGATCGAAGAGAGCTGTGACCAAGCGTTCTCCGATCGCAAAACACGGACCATTTCGAAGAAAAAAATCCAGCCACACCAGCTCCACGCTACCTGGGGGAAATCGCTTGGGAGATTTGGGACCGCAAATTGCAGGCGTGGCAATCCGAAGCAGGCTCGACCAGAACAGAGAGACCAGTCCAGAAAATCGGGATAAGTGCACTCACCATACTGCATGGAATGGTCCATCGGGTAGACCCCACCGGGCATGATGAAGGGATAGGCAAGGAGAATGTGTCAGTAAGAAAATGAGCAAGTGAGCAAAAGGTGCAAGTGTGAAGAAGAAGGGGGAGATGAAGAAGAGAAGTGGGAAGTGGATGTGATAAGTAGAGTCCAGAGAGTATATTGATCTTCCCTTTTAACGAATTATGCGTTCCGATCTATCTCCACTCCCCTGGCTCTGTCTTCTGCTTTTCGCTTTTACGATTACTTGGGACTGCTCGACACTATTGCATTTCCTTTTTTTTTGTTCTTCGTGCAAGAGTTGGGGGAGTTACCTGGAAGGTACTTGCGTGTCCAGTAGACCACCGCGCTCTCCAGCAGGTATCGGGCAAGTACCTGCTGATCTGACCAGTCGTCAACTGCTTCCTCCAATCAATCCCCGACTTCCTCCCAATAGTTCTGGGGAACAACGGAACATTCTTGGGTGCCTGACAAATACTCGACTTGCAGCGACACACCGGCAACTGTCTCGATGAATGAAATCCTGGTTCATGTCACAGCCCCCAGTTCCGTGCGTGACGACGCACGCTATCGGGCCCAAGTGGCCGCCATGGTGAACTTCTCTGCCTCGCGCCATCCAATCTCAAGCCCCGGCACAGAAACTCAGGACCTGCCCCAGGAAACCACCGCTGAAGATCAGCACTCGCATCAAGTATCCGCCTTGGAATCCCCTTCCCTACACGAGGCCTCTCCATTGCGGGAGGCGTCCCGACCCGCATGGGAGGCATTCCCAGATCGTCACTGGGTCACCGAACATACCAATGATCGACAACCCCCGGGCGATCACATCCCTGCGAGTCGAGACCTCGACTCGCTCGATAGTCTCATCAGTGTGATTCCAGATTCTCAGCCAGAGATCGTCGCGCCAGCTCCAGATTCCAATCCAGAGCCAGAGCCAGAGCCAGATCCCGAACTAGTTGCCTCGGGCCCGGCTTTTGCAGAAAGGTCCTACCCACCCTCCAAAAGGCGTTGTATGCAGCCACAGACCCTGTTACAGGAGGCCCATGTCCACTCTCCTGCAGCTGAATCTGATATCACACGTCGGGATTCCTCTGCAACGGACCAGCCCGATCTCCACCCTGTCCACCCTATCCACCCTGTGCAACATGTTATAGGGGATGCTCCTAATCCCATTTGGATATCGAGCTCGATCGAGTCCACTGGGCGCACGCAGAGTACCGATTCCTCGATAACAACATCGCTGCCAAACCCCGATCCCCTGACTCTTGCATCGTCTGCGGCTGCTCCTATTCTGCCCTGCACGACGACCCCCCTCCCCTCTTCTCGCACCCTCACTCTACCGCTAGAAATCCATGCCCCTCCACCCCCAATCTCAACTGCCCCCTTCACAACACATATCACATCAACGTTAACCATGCTCACAGACCGACTCAGGCCACAGCGCACATATCAACCAATCCACCAAACAAGGGATTTGGATCCCCTGGAACGGGGATATTGGTCAATACACTTCAACATTGGATCGCAAGAACAAGAAAAGGAACAAACCTGGTCTACACCGACCTTCCGAGCATTCTGGGCCTTCCTCGAAGACTTTATCAGAAAAGATGGCCGAGCAGGCTGGGGCGTATGGTGTATCCTAGAGCGATCTCCCCCCACAAGTGAAGATGATTCACTGAATTCAATGACCTCGGACATAGGAGAGACGATAGATGTCTCTGTCCCGGTTACACTCAAGGTATATGCATGGGGCGAAATCGCCATGCATATTTACCTGTTGCTGTTCCTTGCTAGTGAGCGACGAATTCGGGGGATGGAAGCTCAATGGAGGGATGCTGGGGAGACTGTTGTTATCCAGATGCAGTAAGTAGGCTGCAGTATCATGTACTAGTATAATAAAGCTTAGCCTGGGGGCATCTTGGAAAAGGTCCCCTATCTGAGACATGTAGGAAATATTACACCCACTATGTTTTGCGTGGAGCTGATGATATCTGGATCTTCAATTTCTCATTTTTGAAAATAGGGATATTGTACATGTCGCAAAGAATAAAAGAAAATTCCGAAGGGGAAAGTGATAAACAACAATAAAGAGATAGTTGAAAGCCAATTTGATGGATCGGGAAAGCAATGGAAGTCAGTAAATAAGCAAGTCGGGACCATTGCCCTCCAGCCATCCTGCCGATGCGCCGTATCGCCTAAATGACAGAAATAAAAAGGAGAGTTCAAGCAGTAGAAGAGAATGGATGAAATCGAAGGTGATAGATGTCATGTTGACTTAATAGTTTAACTCACCGCTGCCAGATGCATCAACTGCATCGAGATCCTCGTAGCTCTTCAAGCTGCGACCTTGAACAGCTTCGCGAGGTGGCATGGGCCCGCCGTTTGAGCCCATGGAGTCTGGGAAGGGGTTCGGTGGGACCATGCTGGCGGCAGGATGGCCAGGTGGGACTGCCGGGCGACCACCGTACATGCCAGGCATGCCACGAGGAGGGCTCAATCTGCCGTTACCGTTGAATCGGCGACGGTCATAAGGACCGGGGCGGTTGTGGCGGTTTTGGCCACGACGCATCACGCCGGGCTGATGCAAAGCATGGCCATCATGGCCCATCGCGTTGCCGTTCCAGCCACTCATCATGGGCATGCCACCTGCGGGGAAGTTGGCCATGTTGTTATTGGACATATAAGGCATGCCAGAAAGAGTGAAGCCACGAGGTGTGCCGGCCTGGCTGTGGCCGGGAAGGGGGAAGTGACCATTGCTATTGGCATCAGAGCGAGACGGAGCGATGCGTGAGGGGTCAAGGACGTAAGAGTTTACAAGTGCGAGCTGTTATCATGTTAGTATGAAGATTTGGATAGACATTCTTTGAATCCTTACATCATTTTTGAGGCCATCGAACCACTCAGTATGACGCTTCTCAATGTGCTTGCGCCAGAATTCTTGAGCTTTGAAAAGCTTGGTGCACTCAGGGGCCTTGCAGCGGAACTTGGAGTCATCTTCCTGCTTCATATACTTCAGAAGTTCATCCTCGAGAGCCTCATCCACAGGCTTGCCGCCCAGTTTGGCAAGATCCGCGTTCTCCGGTTCCAGGATCTGCAATAGCTTGTCCTCAAAAGTCTTTACCCAATTGAAGGCACGTTGCAATTGTTGCTCCGACTTGGAACCGTGTCGTTGAGATCGCTTCTCTTGAACCGGGGAAGAGGGGTCTTCGCCTTCCTCACTCGGTTCCTTTTTCTTAACGGGGAATGGGTGGCCTAGAGCGCTTGCTCGGGCAACCTCTCTAGCCTGAGTAGTAAGGCCACTGCGTGGGCGACGAAGATGTCCTCCGGGGCACTTTCGCCCAAGCTCATGAACTGAATCACTTTCGAAAACACAGAAGAAGCAGAAGTTGTAAACACGGCGGAGGTATTCGACTAGCAAGTCCAAGGTTTTCTTCTTTGCTGTCAAGTCCTCGTCGTCAACCTCTTCCTCGGCAGGAGGCTCCTTCTCCTCGCCTTCTTCAACATCTTCTGGGTCTGAGTGCTTCACGCTGACCGGCCCAGTGGCCGGGGCCTGGAGTTCACCCTTTCCACGCAGGTTCTCGACATATTCCTCAACTTTGCTGAGTCCGTCCACGTTACCCATCTCAATGTCCAACTTGGACACCAACCGTTTGGCTATTTCAAGGTCACGGTCAACTCGCTCAGGTGCGGAAAACAAATCCCACAAAGCTTTCTTGCGTGGTTGCACTGCGGGAACGTGGATGCCAACATGGCACACAAAGTCGCCGTGAACAGCATCGTGAATCGTCTTATCATTGACGGCCTCCAGAGCTTTCTCGGCAACTGTGCCGGTAGCTGCATTGGCACCTGCATCCTGATCTATATCCTCGCGCTCCTCCTCACGTCCATCTCCTCGCTCCACAACGGTTGTATTTGCTGATGGGTGTAACATGATCCATCCCATACGATGAAACTTCTTGGAGGGATTTGGATCGCTCAGGCTGAGGCCCTTGAAGCCGCCATCCTCCTCCCCAAGATGCTCCTTGCAGAACTCCTCGATCTTGGTACGACTGACGTTCGGCGCAAGTGTTTTGATAAGAAGGGCGGGCTGAGAGAGAGCTTCATCGCGAAGCTCTCCACCACGGACTGGGAGCAGATCCAGAACACCCATGTTCTCCGCGGGGGCCGTAGTCTCGCCCTCCTCCTTCTCAATCACACCACCAGCGCCGTCGCTATCGCTCTTGGAGAGACCCTCGAGTGTGAAGTCTCGGAAAACATCGCTCTCCAGATCCCGCTCCCATTGCTCATATGCAGTCCGGCGGAGAGGGAAAAGGCGGGCACGAAGGGCATCGCGGATCTCGGGAACATAGCGCTCTTTGAACCATTCTTCGTTGCGGTGCTGCTGAACAAACAACCTGGCCAATCGGACCTGCAGATCAACCTTGTATGCATCATACGCTTCCTGGATTTGCGTGCGTTCCTTCTCGCGATCCTCGCGTGCTTCGCGCTCTCCTCGAACCCGACGTCCACCGTTGTGAACACGCTCCCGTTCATCGTTCACATTTTGCTCTGCCCTCCACCATTCAGCAAACCAGTTAAATCCCACTTGGAAATCCAGACTGAGAGGATTGGGCATCGGATTTGTCGGAAGGGGGCGCTTGCCGCCATCTTGTCCAGGAACATAACGGTCAATGTTGGCAGCCATTGGGGAAGGGGGTCGTCGGCGGTCTTCGCGCTCGCGGGCAGCATTCTCACGAGAGCCATTGTAGAAGTCCTCGCGGTGAGAACGACGGTCCGATGGCTCATAGCGGTCAATCACAGGAGAGCGGGAACGCTGCCGGGGGCGTCGACGATCCTGGGATGCTATTTCATTGTGAGCCTCCACCTCTTTCCCAACAGTCCGCATGTCACTTACCGGGAGAACGACGTCTGTAGGAGTCACCCGGAGTGCGTCCTGAAAAGGAATCACCCTCACGGCTTCTGCCGGGAGACGTGAAACCATCATAGGAATCCATTGTTTCAAATTTCCGTTGTTATCGTCCACGATATGCGCCTTGGTCACGGGGATTGGTCCAAATCTGACTCCGGATGGATAGGCAGGCGCGGAGCGGTCCTAAGCGATCGATCCGAAGTTCGGTAGGGAAGAGCCGCGCAATAAGCTAAGATTCGGTATCGTCAACGTTAGACCAAGCAACTTCACACGAGATAGCGGTGGCGGCTAGAAGGTTCAAGGATAACAGAGGCATTGTGTTCGGGAAATAGAAGAAAAAAGATCACACTGCTGTCGGACTGACTGTCCCAGGGAAGGTAACGTTGGGAACATCGTACAGCAGGTGTATGGGGTTTAAAAGAGAGGAATTGAAGGAGCTCGCAAGAGCCGTCTCAAGCAGTCAAAGATGCATAGAAGAGCCAACAAGGCAAGAAAGGGGGTGGGGAAATCAAGCAGGGATATCAAAGATACTGGGGAGAAAGCCAAATTGAAAGAGAAGAGGGCCACCTACAAGAAGCCGGCGAAACGCGATTGATGAAAGAAGAAGAAGCCGAGGAGGTGAACTGAGCTGGAGAGAGCTTGGCGCTTGTCCCAAAGGGGCAAGGCGTGACGGGGATGACTGGCAGATTTTGATTGGCGGATTGCGGACAGGAACAAGAGAAGGCTGGTTGGCAATCTTGAGTTACATACTGAATGAGACTGAGTAGCAATGGAGAAGGCCAGGAAGAGCTATTAATGCTTCTCTCTAGAGTCAGTAATGTGGTCATTGTGGGGTTTAGATCGAGGGCAATAGGAAACTCCTGCGTGAAGACAATCTATAGTTTGCGGAACTTCACTACTCATGTGCCATTACACCGTCCTAGTTCGGTGTTGTGTTACTCAGCTTTTTCGGTTTCTTGGAGTCAGATTTCTAGTCCTTCAAATTCCTCCCGTATTATAATGTCTCTTATAGGGTCATTGCCGCAGCAATAGATTGGCGCTGGCAAACAAAGTATACTATACAAAAGCCCTACTTACAGTAGATACCAAAGAGCAAGTCAGTTCAAGGTAACTGATAACCTCCTTTATTATATGGGAACTGGAAATTCTATACGTTATCTGTCAATATGAATTAGCTAGTTATACTGTAAGATAACTAGGTTTATTAGAAAGCACGTGTATTATACACCTTTAGGATACAGGAGTAGCTCACGGTTGATATGCATTTTGCATATGATATCAAGTATGTCTTCAATTCTTTTGCTCCCAACGCTAGATATATTTACCGTGCTGCTTCCGTCGTCCATTTCGCCTTGCAAGCTGACGCACAAAACAGATACTATTTGGTATAAGAAATATATATGGCAACTAGTTCGAGTATGCAATATCTTCTTTTTTCCCAAGACTTTTTACATAACATGCTTTAAAAGCCAAGCTGGCTATTCATAGAGTATGACAACGTCGTCATATCACCGACTCCCGTGTTGTTAGTTCAACGGCAATGACAATGTGACAAGAGAAATTACAACCCACAATACACAAATTCCCGCAAGCCAATTTTGAAATACTCACCCAGCACTCACAATCCCAGACAACACTCAAGTTCATCTCGTCCCCGTACATACACTTCCCTCCATATCATCCCAGCTCGCTGATTGGCCCGAGCGCCTCCACCCCAATCACCAGCAAATGCAGATACAACTCACCACCCAATCCAATCCATTCCAAATTCCATAACTATGGGCAGTCTAGCCGATTCCCGCTGGGCTTCAAACTCAAACCAGAGTGACAGACATACACACCAGTCGGAATACCGTTCGACCTTCTCCACACATACCAGCATCCACAATGTCCGCAATCAAAACAGGACGAGCACGAGAGCTTCGAGCCCGGCGTCTAGATCACAACATCAGCCCCATCATCCAGGGACCCTGCTACCACCAGTAGAGGAATTATCCCGCTTTATGAAGATTGTCGCACGACTGCGCTGGAAACTCCCCTTCCTGGCTGAAGGTTACAGACTAGCAACCGTGACCGGTGCTGAACCGGGCGACATCGCACATGCTGAAATCATGTTCAAGATTGATTTTCATGAATATTATGCTCTGCTTGAACGTGCTATCGTGCATTTACTTGCTGTTTTTAATATTTCTGTTTCCGCGGGGAGAGGTGGGGGCGTTAGTGTTGATGGGAAAATGGATCGGAATGGGCATGCTGGAAGCGCTCATCGATATCATGCCAATGTTCTTGAAGCCCTACGGGAACAATCAACACCTTTATCGCCTGTGCTTGGGAGCGGGGTGGTTTATTCGCAGTTACAGCGAGCGAAGGAGTTGCGGAATCGTTGGAAGACTGCGGATTTGACACCTGAAGAGAGGGCAAGGCAGGGAGAGACGAAGGAGGTTGTTGCACTCGCCAGTTTTGATTTTGAGGAGATTCTGTCGGATATCTTTCTGGGGTTGGAGGAATCTTATGTGCGTGCGAAAGATCATGTTGATAAGTGCGTTCGTCCGGATGATGAATCTGGGGTTGAAGCTGATGAGGAGGCCGGGTGGGGATTCATGGTTGATGCTATGGACTGGGAAGCTGTTTGAATTTTGTTGTGCAGGTTTATATATATACATTATGGCATCGGTTGCGGGCGACTGGTGCTCGGTCAATGAGTGTGTTGATGAGGATATGGGCATAGAGAATATTCTTGCCTTTCAACTTGCATGTCTAGATCACAATGCTTCGGAATACTCAATCCATAAGTATATGGACAACGAATCGACTACAGTACCAAGTAATCGATGTCCAATCTGACTCCCTGCTGATGAATTTACACCCAACACCCACGGCATCAAGACCAAGACCAAAAAAAAGCATATTCAAATTTAGAATGATGTTCACACAATCAGTCGCAGATCCAGACCAGTCCATGCCAATTCCAGTCTTTCGAACCCCGATTTCCAATACCGATACCGATCTGTTTTTCCAGTGATGGAGGCCCTCTCTAATATTTCCCAGCCGAGAGAAAAGAAACGAAACTCAATAAATCCGCAACACGAAACACCGAGAAGTGAAAGAAACAGGGAGAATACCGGGGTGTGATAATCCACATATCACAGTGGATCCAGTAAGATGGAGTATAGGAAACGAAGTGGATGATAGTAAGAAAAAAAAGAGGAATAACAATCGGAATCCGTCAGACTGGATATTTGTTAGGCGAGGTTGGTATACAGGACAGCCCTATACATAGATAGTAATGGATATCGACGTTCCATACTAGACCAGACCTAATCAACAGTCGGAACGCGTCAACAGTGAAAGTTGATATCGATTCGGATGCCTGAAAGTCATTCTTGTCTTGTACACAGCACCTCCAGCCCGAGGAGCCATCGTCAAAAGGGGAATACGAACAAAATCAAAACCAAAAACCATATCGAACAAGAGGGGGAATGAGAAGTGAAAAGTCGTCCCAACATAGCGGTTATAAACAGACATCAGGGGCAAATGGGGAGATCAGAAGTGAAAGGGGTAAAAAGCACATCAAGGGGGCATAGAGCATAGAAACAGGTGATCCATACACATCGCTCGCTAGAGAAAAGGTCCAAGACATCCATCCATAAAGCCGTGACTACAAAGAAAAAAACAAAAGAAAAGAAATGACCATATCACTGGACGTCTACGTGGGGCGTCTTGTTCATGATAGGGGAACAAGTCTAACCACTTAGCCATCCTCATCAGAGGCGTCAGCAGAGTCTTGCTCACTCCCGTCAGCGCTGGCGGTCGTCTTAGTCTTCTTGGAGCTCAAGACGTCGTCGTGGACTTCGCTTGACTTGCGCTTCTGTCCAGCACCGTTGGCTTTGGCAAGATCCTTGCTGATATCTTCAAAGGTAGCAGATTCGCCGGCCTCCACGCGCTTCTCCATAGCGGCAACCTCATCTGCTGTCAAGAAACGGCCACCAGGACCACGGGGTCGACGCATGGCATGGTTGTGTCGTGACTCGTGAAGATAAGGCTTGCGACCCTTGGACGTCAAGCGCAATTGCTCTTCGAGCTTTTGACGCGCTACTCTGCGCTTCAAAATGCGGTGGAATTGCTTGGCGTTGACGTACAAAGGCGACTCTTCTTGGTTGCTATTTGGGACCATGTCCGAGGAGGTCTGGTTCTGTACGGCTGCCTGAGGAAGCGGGGGTGCGATGGAGGGTCGCCCGACGTGAGACATCACCTGGGCGTTGGGGGCATTCGGGCTACCGACGTGGCTCATACGACGTTGCGACAGCTGCGGATTCGGCGGCATCTGGACTTGTGATCCCATTGGGGGCATATGCCCTCCCATTTGGGGAGAACGGGGGTTGCGATCCTGCTTCATCTGCATACTGGCCATGCGTGGTGAGCCTCGGGATCCGGGTGCCATCTGCCCGGCCATGGAGTCCTGGTGCATGGGGTAGAACTGTCCCGAGGCAGCAGCTGTAGCCATGGCGGCGGCTTGTGTTGGTGAAATGCCATAGCCCTGGGGCATCGGCGCAGGAACGCCGTACCCCTGAGGGAAGTTCATCTGTTGATGAACGGCGCCGGATGCATTCTGTGCTTGTTGATAATGCGGTTGCGACGGGACGATAGGAGAATTCTGGTGGGCGGAATGTGGTTGGATAGGTGCCTGCGCGTTGGTAGGCGAGGCCATGGACCCGACAGGAGGACCAGCGTTAGGTGCGCCGGTTTGGTAAGGACCAGGGATGTGAGAGGATGGGTGGGGATGTTGGCCATGGGGCTGTTGATACTGGGGAGGGTACTCCATGATGGCCGAATGTGATAGATTTACACGGCGTGCAGCACTGCTCCAAGATCGATCTAAGGTGGCGATGGATCGGAATCACCAATCAGACTTAGCAGATTGAGTTAAGGTCGTACGTCAAGACGGATCAAGGTTGACGGAAACGTTTGTTTGGTGTAGAGCGAAATCGCGGGGCGCACAATGAGATGAAGCAGTCACCACAAGCGTCGGGCTATGCGGTTAATGATTCGACGATAGGTCTGCAAGGGGGGGTTTCGCGTCAGCCGAGCGCATCGCCGAGCGATCACTGGATTGGGTGGGGGTAGAACGACAACACAGGGACCAGGCACGTACAAAGGTATTGGCCGTCAAAGGGAACTCTTTAAGCGGGCCTGTGAGAATAATCTTGAACGGCGGGTTTGGCTCTTTTGTGCAAATCCACACGCCCACAGTCGGGTGTAACGTGGTTGGGCTGTGATGCAGTACCGGGGGGTACCCCTCGACGCGATGCTTGATGCGTTGTCAAGGACCTGATGATGCCACAATGTGGTGGCTACTTCAAGCACGGTCGCAATTCCACTGCCACGTCTGTTTCAATCTGAGGCGGTGCTGACTTCGCGACCTTGATGTCAGACTGCGCTTTTAGGCTCCACGCAAGACTAGAGATGAAGGTTAGTAGTGTCATCAACCAATCAACACGACAGACCAATGATCAGTGCGTTGTCCGACAAGCACCCAGGTGGAGGGGTGTTGGGATTCCAAGGCGGGTTAGACCCAGGCTTGGGACATGTATGCGTTGGCAGTGAAGCTACATACCTTTTGACTTCTGCAGAAGCAGTTGAAGATTTGAGGCGAGACTAGACACGACTCAACAGCGAATCAACGCGACTAGAAGTATGTTAGTTGCGACTGGATACCCACGAGGGATGATGTAAATGTCAGGGACGCGTGCAGGGAGAAACACAAAGCGCGGGTAAATCGGAACCAATGAGAGACCGGGAGGGAATAGATATATGATCCATATCCCACACGCGTTGTTTTGGGGGAGCTCGATACCTGAATAGGCACAGTGGAACAGATTGGACAGAGATAATCTCCGTGGAAGAAGAGATCCAAGGTTGTGATTTGACCAGAGATTAGGGGGTGGGATCGTGCCAACGAGGTTCTGTGCGTGTCACGGACAGTTCCGCTCGGAAGACCAGGGTGTAAAGAGTGTGTAAGGGAGTGTAAAAGCAGTGTAATGAGGGGGGGGAGATGTAATAGTGTAAAATGACATATAGACCACAGGAATAGACAATAATATACGCGTCTGGGAATCTCAACAATAAATGCAATTCATCTTACCTTCTAGACACCTTAGGATATCAAGTACAGGGTTACCCCCGACGAATAGTGTTAGAAAGGGGGCGCTGTGCGATGGTTGGAGGACTGAACAGGAGCGGGCAACCAACGAGAGAAGGCAGAAGAAGGGAAAGGCGAAAAAAGGGCGGATGGGGCAGTTTTGTAGGAGATTGACTGGCCGCTGTCGGTGACCGCCTTGGGGAAGAACGCTGTAAGTGGCTGGACATGAATACTGCCCCCTTACCGAATATTACTGGTTGATCAGGGTGTGTTTGGGCGTCGATTGGCTCACAGCGTAAGGCTGTGACCATACGGTAAGCTTACCATCCGGCAGTTCCGAGCTTGTGTGACCATGACGTAAGTTACCATCACGGGGTTTACAGGTCACTGATATCTCTCTCTTCACCTCACGGTCTGCATTCATGACCCTGGCAGAGTGTGGACTTGGCTATGGATTGGTGGTTTTCTGGGGGATTTGTTGTTTTCTTTTTCTTTCCCCTTAGACTCGGCTCTCTGTCCTAGTCGGGTAAGTTCCCTCCACCTGATGTCCCATTCAACCATGATCCTTGCTCTCAGATACTGTATAATTAAAGAGCAGTAATCAGAACATTCTGACCACTGTTCTCGCCTTCTCTGCGTTCCCTCTGTCACGGTCCTTGTCACAGTTCCAGAATTGTGTGATGAGATACGGGGGGCGGCAATGAAACCTCCTGGGCGCCAATATTGCAATCAGGCCGGGGTGACGGCGTTCTTAGACCTTGGGAGCGTCGATCTAGCGCCTTACTTTTCTTCTGGTGTACGAGTTATTTCCCTGGAAAAGAAAGTGAAGCAAATGATAAATGAAGTCATGACGCAATCCGTTGACCCCCAAACTAATTTTATAAACTGGCGGTCGAATGATCTCCGATCACTGATATCTCCACTCCTCGTATTGCATTGAGGCTCCTGGTATCATGAACGGTGTGCACTTAGTTGGACAGTTCACAGTAGATATAGTTACAGTTGACTGTGTACTATACTCCACGTGCATTCTAGTCCTGAACCGTCATTTTAGTAGCATCCATGGGCCATTCACAGGAGGCGAATTCCCCGATTCGCAGGAGGAGATGGGTCCGATCTCCGGACCCCACGTGTGGAAGCTTGACCGCCTCGGGGACACGGAGATCTGAGCTTTCGTCGTGTAGATGTATTTTGGGGGGCGATTTTTTTAAGCAAGTTTACCCTGCAGGTGGTAACTAATGTTCTTCCAAATTGACACTCACAATCAAGTGTATCCTAGGGGAATTTGGGGTCTTGGCAGATGAGTCATTTCGTATTCCGTATTTCATATCAGAAATATATATTATACAATTCGTTCAACAAGTCTAACAAAAAGCCATGTTCCAGGCCAAAACAAATCAGCCAGATGCTGAAGAAAAAAGCAGACGCAATTACCATTTGCAAGTGAAAATTATTGTCAACTTGTCCATGGCTTCATTTTGGGACCATCTCTAG